TGGAAACTTCTGGGGCGGGGAGCGCACGGGATGGTCTGGAGGAATATTATGAATTCACGTTTCTATTCATCGGCCACTCTTGGGGTTGACACACTCCGCAGTCCGAGGAATTGAATGCTGGCCCATTTTAGTGGGTGGCGAAGGTGAATTCTGTCGAACTACACCTTCACTCGTTATGTTAATTGCTTCCCAGAGTCCCTGATTTATGCCTCTCTACAGGTTTCCAGGATAGACGAGAGGAGAATATCTGAAGGTGCATTAAATAGACCAGTTTTCGAATTTAAATTTTGACATTTTCTAAAGCAAAATAGCATGCAAATGTACGGAATTGTGTGCAAAGTTGGGTGGAGTCAAAATCGAAATGATTTTTCGATTTTAGATGTATATAAGTGTAAGAAAAGCGGAGAAAATCACTCGGCAAAGTCACAACTTTGAGAGATAGTGTGGAAAATTCAACCCGAAAATCTATCGCTACACATCTTCCTCGTAGATATTCAAACAAATAAGGGAACAAGTCCTTAATGTAATGAACTCATTCATATGCATGAGGCCCAACTCGGGGCATTATTCGAGGATGTTTGGGTGGTGGATAGTTTCTCTTCTCAGTTTCTCTTTATATTATTTCTCTTTTCCACCTCCCCCCCCCCCCACATGCACTAATGCTACATCGTTTTAGAGCATTTCCACCCACACAATGGCCGACAAAGACGATGACGCTGCCCAGAATGAAGATGAGTTTCGAGAAAGCGCCAAAGTCCGAATTAACCAACAAGTCATAACGACTTGTGATTCAAAACTTATACATGTATCGAGGAGATGTACATTTTTCTCAATTTTACCTTCAACGACAGAATAATACGACGAATAAAAGCCGGAAGTAGTCGAGTCCAGTCTGAAGTTGGGCTTTTAGCAAAAGTAGAATGAGGGCATGGTGGTAGTCTAACAATATATAAATTTAATTATGAAACCCATTTCAATATTCATACAATTTGGCCCAACTCAGACTCGGGCTACCTTCATCTTGTCTTTCGGCTCTTTAATAATGTTCTTATGGCAACCCACCTTCCCCAATCCCCATCATCCATGGTTGTGCTGTGATAAATACAGAAGCAGCAGCATAATCTCAGTTCTGGAAGTTCCTCAAATTTACACCCCAACCCCACACACTTCCCCCTCACATATAGTACCGAATTTGTGCGCTCTAGACACTGTTTTATATGCTCTATGTAATGCGAAACACCCCTAAAACTCTTCCGTTGAAACTTGCCCAGCCAGGAGCAACTGACCACCACCTTCTTCAATTTCCTTCCACCGATCGCCACCCCCCCATCGCCTGCCCTGGGCAGAAACTTATGTGGCATTATTAATCATACTTTGCAACTCACAGTCAGTGGGGTGTGGTGCAAATTACGAAATTGTGGAGAATATTGCTGATTATTTTGCATTGCCACCCCCAAATGGGGTGGGGGTTGACATCGAATTTTCACCCAAAAACTGTGTGGTTTGTAGCTCAAATCTCCCAATCTCCCAATTTGAGATTTTAAAATCACAATTCATTCGTGCAATTCCACAGCGTTCAGAGTGCAAAGATGAGGTTTCGTGGCGCGGCCATCGTGTGTCTGTGTCCAGGGCAAAGCCACTCGATTAGGTTGACAGACGGGAGCTCATTTTATGGTAATGCAGCTCCATACATCAGCCCCGACGTCGTCCGTGCGAAGACGGGCCGAGTTTCCTGGGGGCGAGTGAGTGCGGCTTATGTTGCCGGATCCATTGCATCGCCCATCCGAGAAACTCCAGCTCACACTGCAAAACAGCCCCCAACTCCCGCCACATCATCTCATTTCCCTGGGAACGAGCCCATCTCGCTCGCTCCTTCTCCGACCCCTCGTGGCCTTTCGCCCTCTCCGTCGCTCCGGTGCATGGCCTCAAATTATAATAGGAAGTGGGAAATTTCATGACAATTCAGGGGAAGTTTTCCAAAAATACACTCTGCACTTTATCTAATTCTCTTATTTCTCAAATTTGCACTGTTTTCTATCAATAATCTGTTCAGAATTGTTCTGCAAGAATAAGATAAATCGTACGATTGGGATACGACTGTCCATGATTAAGTTTTTATGTGGTTAACATACTAAAAAATTTTCATATATTTTTCTCACGAAAGTCACAAGCTATTTCTCTTCAAGAGTTTCATTAGGATTTGTATATCACGTCCCGAGAATGTCGTACGACGTGTCCCATGATATTCTTAGGACAATTAGAAGACAAGACCTTTGAGAAGTAGAATTTACACAATTTACCCCATCCCCGTGCGGAAATCTTCACCTTCATCGCTATTCCACGTGAAATTTTACAACCCTCGAGTGGTAGAATGTCTGTTGTATGTTGTGTGGTCAAATGTTGGTGGCATTATTTTGCATACATTACAGTGTGGAGATGTAATATTATAATTGTCTCTTGATTTTGGACGTCTCACCCTGCCTCGCTCGGCACGGCGGCCCCAATCTTGCCAGGCATCGCTGGCTGAAAATGCTAATGAGGACCGGGAGAGTGGATTCTGCTCATCTGGAAGACTTCCGTGACAGATGGGCCGGGGAGAAGCTCCACATAATCCTCGCGTTGGAGAGCAAAATTGGATCAACATGAGGGAAAAACGGCAACATTTTCACTCTATAAAATATTTAATGCCATCAACCCCGTGAACAACTCAACAAGAGTTCCGACACCGCTTGTGGGGTGGAAATTTTGTTATTATGTTAATTAGGTGTGCCATCAGATGGTCTCCCAGGCGCACAAGACAAAGACATTACATATGCGATTTCATTGAAATTATTTGAGATTATTCCATTTATCATCGTGTCTGGGGTTTTGGAATCCAACAAACCACCCCTGTTTTCGTGGCTGATGGGGAGTGAATTTTGTGGAGTTGCACCCTCTCTGTGAAAAAGGGGGTAACAACAAGCCAGACGCATTTGGAGGGGTGGAAAGTATCACAGCTCTCGAGTTGTCAATCCCCCCGAAACTCGTACTCAGAGACTTCGTCTCGATTGTCACACATACGAAATCACAAATAAAATCCACTTGTGGTGCTTTGGGATTTGCGGGGGAGCCAAAAGGCGGCGGTTGGATGGATAAATCAAGGGGGAAAAAATCATAGCAAAATGGTCACTATAGTGTGACTAATGTCAACCCTCCAATTCATCATGGAAATTAATACGAAATTGAATATTCAAGTCACATAAATTTCGCTTAATAAAATTGCTTTTCTAATGCAATTTACAATCAATCTTGCTTCACGCACACTCACGTTGGTAATTAAAAAGAGGGACGCACCCTAATTCTGCGTGAAAACGATTTGCAATTCTGACCAATTCAAATTGAATTTCCTTCATGTGAAAAAGTGCGTCACAAATTATTATTTAGCACCACATTTTCTTTTTTTTTTTCTTTTCAATTCTTTCGCCCATCTCAAGCATCAAAATCATCTCTGAAATTGGTGTGTATTATTTCAATTTACATGCCCCAGTATTTTCGGTGATATTGGCGGGAGGAAATTAATGTATAAATCTCTCCCGCACAGCCTATGTTATTGTTTGTGTAATAAATTCCCTGTAATAAATCCTCCCGTCGATGATGGGCTCTTTAGCATAAATTAAAATTATTCACGGCATCTAGGAATTGACAATGATGATCGTATTTGGCATAAATACACGTTTCACGTAATTCAGCACACACTTTTTTTTTATCGAAATATGCAAAGTGAGGATATTATCATGAAATTTCCCCTCATTTATATCACCTCTTTAACATTTAACAGGAGCTTTTTTGCCACAGGGCAAATGTACAGACAAATGTAGCACAACGCAGACTTTTCCGATTCATTTCCTGCGCCCAATCTTTGTCAATCGAATAAATTGTAAATTATGTAGAAGACTGACAATAAGTATGATGCATATTATGAAGTATATATATTTAAAGAATTTCACCCTCAATATCCTTTAGCGTAATCATCTGCCAAAATAACAATAATACTCAGCAGAATTTCCACCCTTCGTGCATTGTCAAAATCACAGAAATTATTGCCCCTGTTTAATTTTTATTGCCATGTCTCATGATGAAAATGTTGTGGTTTATTTTATTTTAATTGACTCACAACCCCCATCCCGGGGATAGAGAGAGAGCCCACCCCTTGTGCACTCACTGAGAGTCGCTATTTTCCACCCTCACGCGCCACATTTCGGCAGAGCATCTCACCCAACTTTCTCCCGAGTTTTCTCTTTCAACCCCATGAGTTTCTGGGCGAGGGATTCCGTCTCACGCGGCGGAGTTTCGCTTTCTGCTCTCCAGGCGGTTGGGGCGCACGCCGCCCAGACCTCAGCGTCGCCAAAGAGGGCGAACTTTCAAGTGTGGCGCGGCAAGTGTAAAATTTCTCCCCATCGACAACTTTCACCCTCTTCCCGACAATCTCTGGCTGATCGTTCAGCTGCTCCACAGCTTATTTATGGGGTGAGAACATGATTTAAGGGTTGAAAAGTTTTCACTTTTATTCACTGAGGGAGCCTTTTTTGCCATTCACCACTCTCTGTGGGTCCAGCAAAGGATAAACACGAGCACGTGCGACACACAAAAGGACTCGGGAACTGATCTTTTTTTCCTCATCAAATGTTTTCCTTCAGCGGGTGGCGTGAAAATTGCGGCAAAAGTGAGACTTGGGGTGCTCTTAATTAGGGTAATGAAGATGGTAACACAACACTCTGAAAGCATTCAATTGAAACATAAAAACGACAAGAATAGAATTAAATGCTTAGTGGATTGATAAGTGATTTCGTATTGGGAAATTTTATTTTGATTTATATCAGAAAATGGGCGGAGCAATCAATTGGGCGGGGCTAAAAGGCTTTCTCTGCCAAGCGAGCAATCGAAGATTCTGTGAAAAACATCTTAAAGAAGAGAACAATTTATTTGCAATAAGGAAAGAACAATGAAAACCATCAAGAGCATTATGTCTTAGCCTCATATCCGCCATAATCTCCTGCTAATCCTTTCTTATCACTGCGGATGAGAGTAATTAAATTTCCCGGCCAGTGTCCGGACGATCGAACGTCGCCACACATGAGGAGTGAAAGAGTCTGAGTCCGCGATTTGGCCGCCCTGATTTTTTCCCTGGTCCACATGAGCTTTCTCCGTTTTCCCCACAAATACAGCTGCAGATTCTCCTCTTCCTGGCCGCGCTGCCAAGCAAAAAAGTCCGAGAGTGCATTTTTTTCGATGTCGATTGGTCAATATAAAATGGCATTACTTTTTTCACTGCAAAAAAACAGTGGCCACGCGGACGTCGATTGGTTCGGTCAGATGACGGGCATTTCGGAGTGAAAAGCAAAACTGCTCCGTTGCACACTCACACACCACAGACTCACACCGGGGGTGGGGGTGTCGGGTGGGCATCCTGTGCCGGGGAAAGAGAGTGGCAAACACTGCGCCGAATGTGGAGCCTCGCAGAGGAGAAGTACAGCAGATGAAAAAAAAACAGCATCAACTTTTCCGCACAAACTTTCGCGCGACTCACAACAACACCGATACAGGCGCCCTCTCCTCACTTCCGCACAGACTTTTCTTCCACTCCCACCGCGAGGAATGCCGTCGGACAGTATTTCTGCGCCGCAGAGAGCGCTTTTTTCCACGAAACACAAACGCCGGTCAAGCTGACCAATTCAATTCAGGAGAAAAATTCCTCAACGCGAGTGGCTCAGCCCGGACTCGAACCCACCTTGTGAGGAGATTTTCTTGAAATTTCCACAACTCCCTGGCGCGCACAATATTTACACACCAACTGTGGATAATTGTGAAAATAAATAAAATCTTTAATTATACACTCGGCAAGTGACTCAATTAGAATAACAAGGGCGAAAGTTTGGGCTCCTCGTCACACTCCTTGACTTTCATGGATGAATTTGAATAATAAGACAAAATGGGAGAAGCCATTGCTAAATCAGAAGATGTGTTTTTACTAATTAAGTGAAAAAGTAGCTGCGGGAGTCTTGTACAAACTTCCTTTTGATGCCAATTTTCGCGCTCTTCGTCTGCATCTTTTGACAAAGGATGCGGTAAATGGTCTAATTAAATTACTCTTCTCCCCTTTATAATTGTTGATTATTGACTCTCAGTATTACACCCATCTCATTCTTATCCATGGCTTTTTCCAAGTCTTTCTGTCAAGAGCAATAATTGGCAACGGAGGTGTTCTAGGAGAATAATGAAGACAAGCCATGGAAACTCACTGGGAATATTTTTAAAGATGTCAAAAGTTTAGCACATAAAGGAGTGCATTGAGAGAGATTTGTCCATTATGAGCAATTCAATGGATGTTTGGTGTGAGTTGATTGATTCAAATTTCGTGGTTCATGTCATTTTTGACTGTTATAAAACAGTGCCTGCATGTCGGTGTAATTCAGGAAGTCCCTTGCAGATTGGAAATTCATTTCTGTGGGTGACTTTTTATTCAATTCGTTCATCTCCCTCATTCTCGATGCGCCACCCTCGCTTTTTTTCACCCCCCCTCCGATAACCGCACTTTGTCGCCCCGCGAGTAGAGCGCGGCCCAGGAAAAAAGAGGATACATCTGAAATGAAATTTCGTCTCTACGCCAAAAATTCGTATATTGCAGCACAATTGGGTGAATTATCTCGCAATGTATTTTTGGGCCATGTCCCACACTCTGCCCTGCCCAGGGGGCTCGGTCGCCCCCATGTTCACACTGGCGCTTGAGGTGAGTGATGTCACGCGGGGTCGACAACCGGGGGGGGGGGGGGGCGGTGCGAAAATCGGCTGCAACACTCGCGGCAGCCTTCACCTCTATTTGACTGGATAAAAGTGCACCAGGAGCCACTGATCGCGCAGGGGGTGGGCGGGCGCCAGGCGTCTGTGGGGTGTAAAATTGTAATTAACAAAATGATGACATATGCAAAATTATCTAGGCAGGAAACATTGGCACACGCGGTTCTCGTTTGCGACGGAAATCAATGCCAAATAAATTTTCATTCGCTCGAAAAATACAACCACCACCCCCCAATCACACCCATTGATCCGGGACACCCCTGCCACCCCCTCTCTGGGATGGATGCTGGACGATTTTTCTGGCCCACATGCAGTGGGGGTGGCAAAGGAAGTGGCGGGATAAAAATTTAAAATCCGATTGACCACCTCCGATCATGAGAGACAATTTATGACTAAATAAACCATGTTTTACTTTGCTATTAATTAAAAGCACAGAGTCTGTTGGGATTATCATTATCATTCACAGATCGAGAGCATTCGAGACAACGTGAATCAACACAATTCAGTCCAATAAATGACATTAAATGCTGAGACAGAGACGAGAAAACAATTCCACTGAAGCGTTTATTTCAGTTGAAGCAATTTGACGTTGAAGAAAACTTCAAAGCACATGAAAATATGACTAGAATGAACTACAAGATCCTAAACTACAGTGCTTTTATTGCATTTAAACATTAGTTTGTTACACAGATTTGTAAAGTAGTCAAAAAATGTTGGATATTTAAACTATACAATCGGCAAAATGACGCTCCAATCGTCATCTTCTATGGTAAAAAAAAAAATCCCTTCGAAAAAGGGGATTAAGGGAAAAAATCTCCGATAATACTGGCTTATTTGTGTATTTTCCGTCACTAATTGAGAATTCACGACTCCCAGTGGAGTCGATTCGCTGGAAAAATCTGGGAAGAAAATGAAACATTGGCGCGATGGATTGCGAGGGAATGGTCCGTGGGGACACTTCAATTTAATGATATTTCCATCCAATTTTTCAGAACCCCCCAACCCCTCCCAGAATGGCAATATGGACGAGGGAAAAAGGCCGAGTAGAGATTGTCCAGCCTCTTCGGCGGTGATGTATTCGTTTGTGTTTGCCGGCAAAAAAGCGTCTCTCTCTCGCGCTCTTCCGGGAAAGTGCCAACCCCCCATGTGAGTGCTCATGTGGGGTGGGCATGTTTGTGTTGGTTAGTTTATGTGTGCGCCTCTTTTTGCCACCCACATCGCCCGCCATGGACAACAAAAGGACGGCAAAAAAGGAGAAGATTGAAAAAATACAGCAAAATTTTCACCCTCTCCCCCAGCCCCAACCACTCTTGCAGCGAAAAAGCTCGACAAAAAAGCCCGATGCGATGAACAACTTGACCGGCGAGCGAGAGAGTTAAGCTATATGCATCGCACGGATGCGAGCGGGACAGTCGGAGGAGAAATTCGGAGGAAAGGATGCGGAGAATAGGAGGAAAAAAGTCATGTGAAATTTTTATTTTCTCCTCTTCTGCAATTCACACACACACACACACACACACACGACGGAGTGCAAAATAAATTGCAAGGGCGGTTCACCCTACAGCGAAGCTTTTTTGGCCTTTGCATTTGCGCTTCCCCCCCTCGAAAGAGTGTATTAGCGAAAATGTTCTCAACTTCCGCCAAGTCTGTGGAGCTTATTTTCTTGCTCTCACACCGGGATCTACATGGGTGGGCTAATGAAATTTTCTCTTTATTTAAACACACGCTTGTTGACCAAAGAACACACCGGATTGGGTGGCTGAAAGTGGTGAAGATTGTTTGCTGAATGGAAACAGTTTGATACGAATACACTGGATGGGGTGGAGAATTTTCAATTCAATCACACACTGCGGAAAAGCTTGTGGTCGCAATGAAACAAGGTAATTAAGATCTCTCTGTTGAAACATTGAAGACTTTTTTTTTGCAATCTGTTCTCAAAATGTGTCCTGACTAAATTCAATGTGAATTTTATTTTTCATGTTCTATATGAAATGTTCAATTAAAAATCAATGTTTTTCGACTTTAGCATTGAATTATGATATTATATTCTTCCATGTACATCAATCTATTTTACTGATAAATACATCCATTCTGTTGTTATGCCCAAATTTAGGAGTTAATTGGAATTCTCGTGAGTTTAACGTGCAAATTCATGTGTTCACATTCGATCTGGCTCAATGACAGTGTCGCGGTGCGGATAAAAAATTGTCAAATTTGTCCAAGTTCAGTTTGGGGTGCAATGGCTGTATTTTTGCCTGGATGGATGATTGGCAAAAATGCATATAATGCTACCCAAATAGATCTATACTTGTATTTCATTATCACAATCACTCATGAACTGTTCATTTATATTCACCCGAATCACTCATACCCCGCTCTCACCCCATCCGCCCTTAGCGCGCCCCATATTGTATCAGTCGCGATGGGGCTGTTGATCACACTGCCAAATTTAATTACAGCCTTTCATTTGTCCGTCACTGTTGATTATCGCAATAAATGTGTAAATATGTATGTAACAACAAAATGGGAAGCGATTCCATAATAACGGTGGGCATTTTTGAACGTGTGGGGCAATTTAAGAGGGCACGGCGGTGCCCGGGGACGAAGAAAGGGGCTCTGTTTAATGAAAACACAGGATATCTGCTTTCATTTTTGCATGATTTTTTTTCTCTCTCTCTCTCTCTACATTGGAAAACCCTCATTGCCGAGGAGTGTGTATGTGGAAAATAAATACACACAATTTCACTGTTAAACATTCATTTATTCTTTGCCATAGATCCTTTTTTTCGGCATTACTCATGCAATTGTTGAAGTTAATGGGGAAATATATTCTGTTTATCTCTGCTTTGCAGCTAAAATCACTTTTATCAAATGTTTTCTGAGTCGGATTGTGTCATACACAAATATTCTTAAGCATTCTCAAGTGTATTTTCCAGTTTTTTTCTTGTCTAATCTCCCATAAAAAAACACTACGACTGAATCTACCAATTACACCCAATATATGAAAACCACCAGCAATATGCCCACCACTGGACCAATTAGCCAAGAATTTGTTAGGAGAAATAGGAGAATCACGGTGATGACAAAGACAGTGACGTAACTAAAAAACTCCAGCATCAGGAAGCTGAAAGACAAAAGAAACGGAGAGTGAAAAGAGGCTCAAAGGCTAATAGAAGCATCGCAATTACCATCTCTGGACCACTCTGTGCATCCACGTGACGCTGTTGGAGTCCTTGTAGTAGTACTGCCTCGTCCAGCTGATGCTGCTGGCGAAGAGCCTCCTAAAGTCCACGTGCGCTGGATTGAAGGACCACCGATCGAAGTCCTCCGGATGGAGTCTGTTCGTCAGCTCCACGTACTTCTCAATGTTCACGTCGGATATGCAGTTGGAGATCTCCGTGAAGTACTTTCGACCCTTGTTCTGCAGCTCCACCAAGTGAGTACCCCTCATCCACGGGGGGCTCAGATTGAAGATTCTCTCCGGGAAGTGGAATAGCAAAGCTATGACGTACGACACAAGGAAGTAAAGGTCCGCCCGAAGACCATTTCTAACTTTGCATCTGGGCAGAAATGGATACGAATCGCAGGGATTCTTCCACACCTCCTCATTGAGAATGTCCGCCATTTCTTGCACGGTCAGTGGGCAGACTTTTGGGTTATTAGTTGCGTGGATGATTTCTGGTGCTTTCGATGGAGAGGAACGCGTGGCGACAGCAACAGTCAATGCTAGTGTGGAATTTACGACGTGATCGCATGGCACGGCGAAAATGATGCTCTTGGGCTTTCCAAAAACACATCTTGCAGATCCTTTGACGAATAACCGGATAAATCCACAGTGACCACTCTTCGAGGTGCCCATCCAACCGGGGATTTTGTGATTGTAGAAGCCATAAACTGCAGGAAGAATTATGATTTTAATTTGAGTTGTCTTGGAGGAAAAACATTCTAAATTGCGCATGCACAAAAAAACCAGATTTCATTACTCATAGCGAACTGAAATACGAACTATTCTCATTATCACGCATAGTTTAAGCCAACAAACACACAATCATAACATTAGCTTCGCATTACAGTGCCGAAAAACATGTTCTTATGCACGAAACTTTTTTCTGTGTGTGAATCACACGAAACTGGTTTCATTCAATTTCACTTTCAAACATCAACGCACACAAATTAAAACAATAATGCTTTTTACCCAGTGAAGGTCTGACAATTCCTACTGGAAGTCCTGCCATCTCCTCGAGGATCAGATTCTCCGCCAATTGTTTAGTGTATGAGTAGGTGTTTTCGTGACCCTCAATAAATTCATCTTTTCTCTCAGACACTCGATCAAGGACTGATGGCGACTCGAGTGACAATTTGATCATTTCCCTGGGAGATTGCTTAGTTCTGTACACTTCCTCGCGAATACATCCGTCCACATTGGAGTTGGCCAGAGCCGTGGATGAGTAGATGAAGGCAGAGAGATGGCGGAGACTCTTGGCTAGATCAATGCAGCGAAGAGTGCTCAGCACGTTCATCTGCACAGCCTCGGCCAGAGTGCGGTTGAACTTGATGAGACCCGCGTTGTGGATCACGACACTCACGTTGTCGCGGATCTGCGCCAGGACGGCGGCGCTCAGGCCCAGGTTCTCGGCCGTCAGCTCGCCGACCACCGGCACCACCTTGGCCAGCGCCTCGGCGGACAGGTGCGCGAAGATCTCGCTGCTCAGCAGCCGCGCCACGCGCTCCTCCGGCGACATGCCTCGCTTCTCGCGCACCAGCACAAAGACGCGCCCCAGATCCGGGCTGGCGCTCAGCAATCCCTCAATCAGCGCCATGCCGATGAAGCCCGTGCCGCCCGTCAGCAACACACTGCGTCCGGAGAAGTAGTCCCGGAACCGCGACAATTTGCTATCCATTGTCTAATGCTTGTAATGAGAGTATCACAGAGAATGAGCCACAATTGTGTTTCACAGGTAGACACTGACTAAAACTTGAGCCTCCACTTTAGCAGCTATTTATACACTCGTTCCCAATGAACTTGGGTAAAAAAATAATAATAACTCGTTTGGAGAATTCCGGCAAGTAAAAAATTTCAAATAGTATAAAGTGTTCTGTACAATCTTGCGAGCAACTCATATGGGAAGAAAAAAACATCATGCTGAGGTCGACGTAGGGCAATAAACTATTAGACAGCATTTTTTCGGCACATAAGTGTCGAAATATCAATGATTTTGGTGCAATTTCAGGGCACAGAATGTGTTATTGTTTGCATCCAAGAAGATATCTAACATCTTCCTGACCCACCAAAGCATTTCGCCATGAGACACCGACACTCTCAATACGTTTAAATGCTACCAATGTATTTATGAGCGTCATAAAGCTCCAATGATTATACTTTGCGACTTTTTTGTCCAGCACCTCTTTCTGTTCTTGTAAGTGTTTGGGTGAAGAAAAAAAATGATTACGATCAAGAAGCACGATAGACAGTCCAAGGCTGGATTTCTGGTCAGTGAAAACAAACTGTGCTGCAAAATGGCTCAGAAAAGACATTAAATTAGCCGAAAAATGCACGTTTTCATTATTATTTTGTCTGTATTAATAGACGTAGAAACTTTCACGCGTGAGACGCGATCGTTTAGAGTCACTGGGAAGCAATTGTTGACACAAACAGACTTTGGATAGTCTCCATATAACATTCTATTGCTCTTAAAATGAAAGGTAATTCTTAAGGTCGCACCAATTCCCTTCCATCAATCACACAGCAACCTGGGCCAATTAAGCCCTTAAAAGCTCATTTCGTAATCCTCAAAATCGTGAAGAACCTCAATTAATGTAAATTTGCCAATACACTTTGTGATTACGCATGAGATGATGCTGCAGACGCGTAGGAGTTTTTTCTAAAGACCAATTCAAGAATCAACGGAATCTTTACGGAGTATTTTGATTGATTGCGATGTTTGCTGCAAAAACCCAAATAAGATCTCAAGTTGCAAAAACATGTTTTGATGTATTATTGTTTCCGGTCATCGATAGAAGTGATTCAATCAGCAAAAGACGTAAGCAAAACACGAAAAACTAGAAATAAATGTAAATTATAGCCATAGAACGAATCCGGAGAAGCCTAGTCCAAGGGTTAGCCCCACCAGGAGAACATACAGAAAAGTGTACTCCAAAAGGAAGCCGAGAATCAGGATAGCAAGCGTTGTGCCGAAGAAGATACTGAAGTACCACATGGCTTCAACGGTTAGGCATCTGCAAAATGAACAAAAGCAGACTTAGAATAAATGAACTTATTGAGATGTTCTCAACTTACGCAACTTGCACGATTCTATGCATCCAAGTTACGCTGCAGGAATCCTTGTAGTAGTATTTCCTAGTCCAGCTGATGCAGCTCCCAAACATCCTATTCCAGTTCACTTTTGCCATATCAAAGGAATATGCCTTCTGATCATCACTGTGCAGACTTTCCGACAGAGCCTGACAGTTGGTTATTTCCAGATCGTCGAGACAAGTACTGAGTCCAGCGAAGTATTTGCTAGCCTTGTGTTGCAGGACAATCATATTTGGACCACTGAAAAAAAGAGTGTCTTTGCACTAAAGACAAGGATCAATTAGAGCCAAGCACTTACGTTATCCATCCAGGTGAGAAATTGAACAAGTGATCCGGAATGTAGAACATCAGGGCGAACAAGTAGTTGAGGATCAGATACAGATCAGCTCTCCATCCAACTCTTGGTTTGCATCTGGGCAGGAATAAGTAGGAGTCGCAAGGATTCTTCCACGATTCCTCATTCATGACATTGCAGAAGTCTTGCATGGTTAGCGGATTGATGCTTTTATTATTTGATGTGTGAATGATTTGAAGGCGTCTCTCAGGTTCTGGTTTCGTTCCCAGTGACACTGCTAAAGCTAGAGTTCCTTTCACGACGTAATCACAGGGAACGCACCAGTTTATCAATTTGGCATCTCCAAACCACGATCTTAGAGCTCCTTTCATATAGCCTTTGATGAAGCCACAGTGACTACTCTTCGAATTGCCTAGCCAACCACGAATCGGATGATCGTAGAAACCATAAACTGTTAAAATACATCGATTTATCAATCAGTTCATAGACCAGGAATACTCGTGACATCAAGATGTTTACCTAACGAAGGCCTGACTATTCCTGCTGGAAGTCCTGCCATCTCCTCGAGGATAAGGTTCTCCGCCAACTGCTTAGAGTAGGTATAAGAGTTCTGATGCCCTTCCATCATGTTATCTCCGATCTCAAACACCTTGTTTAATCTGGAGGGTGTCTCGAGTGACAATTTGATCATTTCCCGAGGACTTCGCTTAGTCTTGTACACCAACTCACGAACACGACCAGCAATATTCGAGTTGGACAACGCCGTAGATGAGTAGATGAAGGCAGAGAGATGGCGGAGGCTCTTGGCTAGATCAATGCAGCGAAGAGTGCTCAGCACGTTCATCTGCACAGCCTCGGCCAGAGTGCGATTGAACTTGATGAGACCCGCGTTGTGGATCACGACACTCACGCTGTCGCGGATCTGCGCCAGGACGGCGGCACTCAGGCCCAGGTTCTCGGCCGTCAGCTCGCCGACCACCGGCACCACCTTGGCCAGCGCCTCGGCGGACAGGTGCGCGAAGATCTCGCTGCTCAGCAGCCGCGCCACGCGCTCCTCCGGCGACATGCCTCGCTTCTCGCGCACCAGCACAAAGACGCACCCCAGATCCGGGCTGGCGCTCAGCAATCCCTCAATCAGCGCCATGCCAATGAAGCCCGTGCCGCCCGTCAACAGCACACTGCGTCCGGAGAAGTAGTCTTTGATCCTACACAATTTATCCATGGTGATTTGTCACATGGAACTTTCACTGGTAATCCAATTGCTGATCAGCGAAGAGTCCAATAACAACTGAGGAATTGAGTTTTTCGATCGAGCGTTATAAATACGTCGAATTTGGGTTACTGGCAAAAATGGTAATTATTGTATTTAAAAAAAAATCGGAAATGACGTTCCTCATCGTGTTATGATATTCCTTAATTATGTATTTATTCATTCTTGCAGAGCTGTAATCAACAACGTGTGCCATGAGGTTTGGTGAACTGGACTCTTTTGGGGGAGAAAACATGAAAAGTGACTATACAGTCGGAGCTTTTACTTTGAGGAATAATTCACACACGGCTTGAAGAGCGGCTATCTTCGGGTATCTTCATGTGAGCTATTATCTTCGGAAATTTCACCATAAGAGAAGCACTGTTAATTGCTGGATTTTGTGCAATTGGTCAAGCTAAAAGCTCTAAATGGCGAGTTCGGTCTATTTATATTTCATCGCAATACCACTGAGCCGGTGAGTGACCAGCGGCAAATTATTCACGTCATCATCATCATACGCGGACTCATTAATTGTTGTTGTGTGGTACTAAATGACGGATATAATCAGCTGCAAGAGATGGAAAAGCCGCGCGTTAATTGCCTGCTCCTCGTTCGACACCCTCTCGGCGAGTGGTGGTTTCAGGGGCGGGAAAAGAGGTGAACAGGGCAGGACCTTAAGTATGCAATTAAATGGTCATTAAGGTGCCTTCCAGCCCGCGCACTACAAATAATAACATCATTTACCCACTCGTTACATCATGTAAATAATCATCCTGGAATAATTAAAAGGGCCTCGCAAGGAGAATCAATCACCCAAGAATAAAACACTCTAACGCATTGATATGGATTCCTCTCATGGCTGTGGAAGTTCCTCGTCAGTGCGTCATTCAAATCACTCGCCTAAATCCCTTCGCAGAGAAGAAGAGCAGCAAATTTGCTCAGCTTCTTCAGCCGCGCAGCAGCCCAGAGATTATATTGAATAAAGTTTTTTTTTATGCATTCCCAACTCTCGTCCAATTAGATTTGTCAGAGAGCTCAGAAATTTCTCCACGGCACAGTCATGCTCATTAAAATATGTAAATAATGCCAACAAACATTGGAAGGTTTTCTCTGCACATTTTGTATAACAAGTCAAATGCAAATTTTATATCACCCAAGAATATTTTCTTGCCGTCTCCGCCATTTCTTACCCTTCACAAATTGCAAAATCGCGACCTCTCCGAATAATACAATCACATGAGGAGCAATTTAATGGCTCGAATGGCAAATCATCAATCGTCTTAATTGCAATGGTTTGCAAGCAATTTGCAATATTGGTCACACTTGCAGTGCTCATTTGAATTTTCGGCTCCCCGTGTTGAATACACTCATTTTTAGGGTGCGGAGTTATGAGAAGCCTGTGAAATATTCAAATGACATGCATATTTGAGCACCGAACTATATTACAAAAATTCTTTCGTGCTTCTGGAAGTCAAACGGATGAAAGAACCACGAGAGATTTTAATTCTGAGCGCTGCGAAAGCTTCATAATTTCAACGATGTGCCCCTAAGTTTGAGAACCTGTGATTTTGTGCTCGCTATGTATTAATTCTGAGCGCCTTGTTATTTTGTGTATTTTCCGTAACGCTCAAATTCTATATTTGATTTTCGATGGTAGATTAACAATTCTCAAATTGTTAGCAGTTCAGCGTGTAGAATTTCCTCCTTGTTATTCAACTCTTTTGCCAAGTGTTCGCCAAACGGAAGATTTTTGCATTTGCCCGACAAATTGATTGTATGAATAAATTACTTCCCTTCTCTCTCACTTTATTGGAGTTTTTTTTGGCAGTTCCTTGAAGGATGCGGCTAATGAACTGGAGAGACTTCATCACTTAGCGCGCGCGAGAGAGCGTCAAAAGTCAAGTGATTTGCAACATCATCACCCCGCTTTGCCGACTTCCATCGATCCACTCATTGAGCCATGATTGTTAACACTCTTGTGCATCTCTTTTCGCGCATTTCCTTCACACCCAAGACATGATCTTCGCGACCTTTGCCGCCGCAATCCCGCGCGTCCACCCCCAAAACCGCACTCATGATTTATCGTATTTGTTCTCCACTGTGGTTTTTAATGAAGCGAGACAAATTTATTCGACAATAATTTACCTGGAAGCCATATCAGTGTTTGCGCAGAGAGAGAGAGAGATTTCGAATTAAAATTAGTTACTTTTGCATTTGCCCACCATTCTTGGTGCGCCTCACTTCCTCCGAAGCGCTCTGGAAGAAGAAAAAAGAGAGAGAAATTCCAGTCCCGTGGAACACACATTGAGATCTCGTAAATACATCACAATTGATTACACATAATGATGGTAAAATATTCAATTATTTCACTGGTGAACACGAAACGCTGTGACGAGCTGAATTAATTGGTGAATATTAAATTATGTCCGTCTTAGCAGACGTATAAATAATATATTGGCAGATATTCATATTTATCGTGCAGGAGGTCAAGTGACTTTGAGAGAAAGAAGAGGGAAAAAAGTCTCACTCGGAAGTTTAAATCATTTTACAGCCATAGCAAATCGCAAAGTCACTGAACTCAACGTGTATTTATTTTTTTTTCAACTCCATTGACAGTTTGACGACCTTCACTTACATATTTTTATTTGGATGAAGTAATTTTATATTCATCCGAAGTGCTTATAAAAGCGCATGCCAGTCGTGGTCAGTGAGAAGAATATCAAATTCATGGAAGGCGTGGCTTGTGAATAGGCGGAGCTTAAGTTTGTATATAAAATTACTCTCTTAAATACTTTTTAATTAAATTCTGGCCTGACAATATGAGAAGGTTAATAACTTTCCAAGAGTTTTTTTTTTGCACTTCCTATAATAAAATTAATTAACACACTATACACATTAACATATGCCGTCTATCATTTCGGCAACTCATTCGTATGTCATTGTCTGAAAATGCCTTATATAGACACAAGTTCTACAACGAAACTCTTTAGTGTTTAGAGACTGTTATCTAAGGCAAGTAGTAAAAATTCAGTGATAAGAAATGGAGGAATCCACAGGAAAATTGTGTAGGATCAAAGACTACTTCTCCGGACGCAGTGTGTTGCTGACGGGCGGCACGGGCTTCATCGGCATGGCGCTGATTGAGGGATTGCTGAGCGCCAGCCCGGATCTGGGGCGCGTCTTTGTGCTGGTGCGCGAGAAGCGAGGCATGTCGCCGGAGGAGCGCGTGGCGCGGCTGCTGAGCAGCGAGATCTTCGCGCACCTGTCCGCCGAGGCGCTGGCCAAGGTGGTGCCGGTGGTCGGCGAGCTGACGGCCGAGAACCTGGGCCTGAGCGCCGCCGTCCTGGCGCAGATCCGCGACAGCGTGAGTGTCGTGATCCACAACGCGGGTCTCATCAAGTTCAATCGCACTCTGGCCGAGGCTGTGCAGATGAACGTGCTGAGCACTCTTCGCTGCATTGATCTAGCCAAGAGCCTCCACCATCTCTCTGCCTTCATCTACTCATCCACTGTACTAGCAAATTCTAACGTTGCGGGTCGTGTGCGCGAGGAAGTGTACAAAACTAATCGAAGTCCTCGTGAAATGATTCAATTGGCACTCGAGACGCCGTCCAGCTTGAATAGAATTCCTGAATTTAAGGAAGCCTTTATTGAGGGTCACATTTCGTCGTATACATTCACAAAGCAATTGGCGGAAAACCTTATCCTTGAGGAAATGGCGGGACTTCCAGTAGGCATCATAAGACCTTCTTTGGTTCATGGATTCTACGAACATCGCATTCCTGGCTGGTTTGGTAGTTCTCAAAGCGGTCACTGCAATTGCATGAGAGGACATGTCAAAGGGATAGCTCGAACCTGTGTGGGCTATCCAGATACTCAATTCACAAGTGTTCCTTGCGACTACGTGGTCAAGGCTGCGCTGTGTCTGGTGGTCTTTCTAAGTTCACAGTCTGCTCCACAAAACAAGCCAACAATTGTCCATTTAACTAGCACAAGGAATGCCAATCCACTTACCAATCAGCAATTCTGTGACATTCTCAACGAGGAATCATGGAAGAGTCCTTGTGACTCCTATGCCTTGTTGCCTAGACTTAAGCTCCGCAACGGATGGCGAATGGAAGTCTTCTTCCTCTGGCTCACGCTTTTCCACGTGATTATGTATATTCCAGAGAGGGTATTCAAGTTGTCGCCGAAATGGATGAGGTAAGTTTACATATTGAATAAACCACGCCCATTCCTAATCTCCGCCTACTTTTTTTTTTCTTCCCAGAGGTTTCAGAATGCTGTCGCTGCAGTACAATTCAATGAAGTTCTTCAAAGAGCACGGCATACGTGAGTCGGATTATTGCTTAGACAACTCAAAGGATTTGCTGAGACAAATGCATCCTGATGACATTGAAAAGTACTCCTTCGACATTGACAGAGTGAACTGGAGGAAATGCCTGGCTCAGTGTCTCTTCTGGGCCAGGAAGTCGTATTACAGGGATTCCGGGTCAGTGACATGGATGCATCGGGTTGTTCAGTACTTGTAAGTACAGTTCCTAGCACATCCTGATGACACTTCTAAGCATTTCGACTCTCTATTGCAGATTCTTGGGAATGGAATGTTTAGGCTATCTGACTGTGTTCAAGATAGTGAAATTCCTCATCATGTTCTTCACTGGGAGCTTAGTTTTAAGTACAACTGTGGGTCTCTTTGCTGCGCTATTTGCTTACTGGCTATAGCAGTGTGTGAATCGATCCAGGATACTGGATCAACATGTTTATTTGCACATGGATATTGTCATTAAAATTGCTCCTACAATTTTTTTTTATCACTCCTCTCGTGGACATAAAAGCTCCTCTTCAGGACACGAAAAGGACACGAGGGTTGGGATTTTGTGTGACTAATTAAATGTACACTGATATTAATTGAGTTTTTATCTCACACTGCTTCAACAACTGTCCAATATTTCGCTGCCGGCCTGCTTAAACCCATTATCGCGCGCCTTCGGACCTCACCTCCGCCAAATCCCGCCACAAATAATGACAAGCCATAAATGTTGTAGGACAAATTGCAATTTTGACGAATTTATTGCTCCAAAATTGAGAATTGAAGCGCTCCTCATTTAATTGGATGCGATTTCGCGTGGACTATTTTTTTTTTTTTGCTCATTGTGTCTCCTCTGGTTCATGGTTTATATCCTCACACTCTCTAGTTTGTGTCCTGTGTGGACGCGTGGGCCAGAGAGAGAAAAAAAAATTGCTCACTCTGTATCCAGTTGGACTGTAATGAATGAAAATTCAGTTGAAAATTGAGGGACGATTGGGCATTTTTCAGAACTCACTCACCCACTGACTCATTCCCACACATTTTGCTGTTTAACACATGAAAACTGTTAATTTCATTACAAGCGAATGAATAAATTATGCTCCTCTTCCATTGTGCATCGCATTTTATTATCCATTTAATATACCTTTTCGGACAGTCGCATAATAACATTGTTATTTGGGGATGTTTTGCATTTGATCACCCGCCAAAAAGTTCATTGTGACGAATTGCAATTAGAGGAGGTTGAAGTGACAATTTATGCGAAAGCGCACCCATCGCGGCAAGTCTTCATCGCATATTCATGGTCGATGAAGAAGAAAATGCCTCTCAATTTTTCCAATTAAACTACCATCCTCTGGTGTGCTTTCTTGTGCCATTTAACATTTAACTCCAAATGCCTATATACAATTCAGATGAGAGACCTCAGAAGGACACACGCAGGCATCAGTTGTAAATTATATGATATCTACGACTTGTTCATTTTACACTCACTGACAGATTTACTGTCCTTCGTCGCATCACTGTCGATGACTCATTTGAATAATAAATGCTGCAACCAGAGATCGCCCTGAAAAGTTCAAATCTCCAGCAAAGGGTGAGGCAGAGAACAATGTGAGAATTGCAGGTGGCAATTTGAGACAGAAATAAGACACTTAGTGATTGCACTAAGTGCTGCAGAAGCTCCGCCCACTCCCAAGTCCCGCCCAGTTTGCAATTAGCTTTGCATGGATTTCACGTACTCACTGTTTATTCATTCCCACACGCTGAAATCACTTGAAATTCGTGCCAAACCGACAAAATCCACGGCAACAATTAATGCCGTGGAGAGATGAGTATTGATAGGTGTATTCAAATGCACAACTGTTTATCATTTTCTTGTAATGAGAATGCAATGGAATGTGGCTCAACGTGATGGTGTTTCAGCTGGATTTTGAGAAGCCCGATGATTTTAATATTTCCCCTCGCAGAGGCACAGGAATGACGCTGGAAATTTCAAATAGCGTTCAATAGACAATGTGAGATGCTCCGACGTGGAAGATTCTTATCGATGAACACAGAGTGACTAGAGCATTCTCCAATCTTGCAAACAACTCCCAGGAACATATGAGGTTTTGGCAGAGTGAGAGAAGAAATGTCTGTGCGAATGATGCTTGCGAATATGCTTACAGCATGTGTAGAAAGGATAATTGGATGAGTCAAGTCGAGTGCAAATGAAAGAGATTTATATGTGCACACAATTAATTTCCTTAAAAAAAAACCTCCCGATCATCATGACCAATGATAAGAGCCGAATTTCCGACTGACAATCCTTCAGAGAAGAACGAGAGTGAATTGACGAATATTTGACTGTTTGTGGTGAAACCTTAAAAATTCATCAACAGCCATTTCTCAATTTCCTGAAATATCTATCAGTTGTATGGAAAATAAAATGGAAAATATAAACGTCATCATCAACATTGGGCGGAAAATTCCACCCTCAAATGAGAACCTCAATGTTGGGTGCTGAAAAACAGTCGTTGGAGAGCCAAGAGAGAGACGAAACATGGAATCAGTTTGAGGTAAAAATTGATACAAAAACACTACCAAGGAGAGGCGAATGCATCGCTACAGAGTACACCACGTGAAAAATGAAATTGCTCATAAACATCTGCTTTTCAAGGCTCTAAGCAAATTATAACACTTTCTTTGAATATGTTTAAGTTATAGAATTTCTACATCATACATTGTACATCACTTGCGCGAATACTTTTCCCTTTGGACGGATCACTTGTGCAATAAAACCACGTGAAAGGAAGATTGAGGGAAGGAGTGGAAAAATAGACGAGAAGTCTCATTTTCAGTGGATCCAATGGGGCTGAAGCGATGGCAGGCTAAAGGACGGGAGGATGTGGTGAAAAAAAATTGATAATAAAACTGCAGTGAAAATTGGAGTTGAAACAAACTGAAAGTCGGATCACAGAATTGGTCACCAAACCAACCACAATCGAATATTGTGGCTTTCCCCGCATCAAAAAAAAGAAGATAATAAAAAAAAACTCACGGCAGTCATTTTACAGTCATCAACATCACGAAATTTCTGTCATTAAATTGAATTCATAAATATTTTTGTCTGTCAATTTGGCGGGAAAGAAGTGAGTGGAGCACAAAGTCTGTCTTCAGGCGCTATTGGAACGCATTCCTTCCAGTGGAATGATGAAAGCCATGGAGATTATTCCATATAAATTCAAATATTCAACTGACTTCGGAAATTACGCTATGTTACATTTTTCGTTGAACTGTCGAAAAAAATAAATGGACGAGATAATCAAGAGTGGTATGAGAGAATGTGTAAATTATTAAACACTTCCTCATCATCATCATTCACACGAAAATTGTTGACAACCACAAAATAACAAAACAATGATTCATTCTAAAATATTCACCACTTTTTCATATTTTCTATTTATTTATTCACAACAAAATAAATTTTGGCTGCAGTATCGAGACAAAAAAATCACGCGGGAAAAGCCATATACATTTTTTTTCTGCATCAACACACACACACACACACACACACACAACGCACGATGGTTGGGGGGCTCTTTGGCGCTCACAGGGCCCCCACCCAGGTTCTCTCTCTCTCTCACTCAGTAGGTTAAAACACCCATTATGATATAGTTAAAAATTCGCATTCCAAAATGTAACACGGAGAACACGGGCGGACGGGGACGTGGTGATAGTGAATAACTCAAAAATTCAAACTGAAAAATTTAATAAATGCGGTTATCTTCTGACTTTTATTTCATTCGACAGAGCGGAGATTGAAATTGTGGTTGCTGACTGTATAATATTGAAAAACATATTGCATATATATATGGGAAAAAAAGGCAGAAATATAATGGGAAAAATGGACCATTTTCATCTTTCATGTACAGAAAATATTTTAGTTTCTCACTGTCATTTACAGAAGAATGAAAATGCACTTTATACTCAACTGACTCAAGTGAAGGATGAGAGATTATCTCAAAATCTGTCTATTTGCACGTGAAATCTTCAAATAAACCTCATTTCTTAAGCACACCTGATAAGAATTCACTGTTCCCAAATACATTTTTCAGCAATTAGCGATTTTGTGGATGATTTTCTGATACATCTCAATGCCCTTCAGATAGCCTTCGGCGAAGATGAACTCATCGTGGGCGTGAATAAGAAGCGGAGTGTTGGAAATTGGTGAGAATCCAAGTGCTGGAATTCCAACTTCCCTCAAGAATGGACTGTCTGTGGTTGCTGGACAAATGATCGGTTGCAGCTTGAGTTGCATCTCATCGGCCACAGCCTTGAAGGCCACCCAGAAGATGTTACTGTCATCCAATTTGGTCACTGGTGACTTCTTATCCTTCCTCGCGAACACCATCTCAATTCCACCACCAGCTTCTGCACACCAATCCTGAAGCTGCCGAAAGAATGCCTCGTGATCCAGATTGATGGCCAGGCGCATGTCGAAAGTGACACTGAGGAGCGGAGGAACGACATTCGCCTGAACTCCACCCTCCAACTTGGTCAGATTGATGACAGTCTCAGTGCCGGCAAAGAAGCTGGAATTCTTCTTCATCTTCGCACATTCTCTACTTCGCATCTCCATCACTTTGCCAATGATGTAGCTGATCTTCTCCCCAGCTGTGTCCTCCAATGGAGTTGCACCATGACCAGGCGTCCCTGAGCACTTGAAAGTCACTTGCCAAGGACTTTTATCGCCGTAGAAGAGAATAAAAGCCTCCGTTTCTGAGGTTAATCCCTCATCCAGGGCGAAACCGACATTCAAACATCGAAAATCTTCGGTGTGCACAAATTCTCTCATCCCCAGATAGCCTCCAAGTTCCTCATCAGGCACAAAGAGCACATGAATGGTTCTCTTGAGAGTTTTTCCAGTCCTCTTCAGAGCTCTCAAGGCTGCAAGATACTGCGTTCCCACACACTTCATGTCTTGCGTGCCTCTAGCGAAGATCCTACCTTCAGCATCCACGTGGGCAGAGAAGGGAGGATAAGTCCACTTGTCGGGGAACACAGGAACCACATCCATATGACTGTTGAGGAGGATCGTGGGCAGAGATGGTTCACTTCCCGCCAACGACAGCACAACTGCTGGATTGTTCTCATTCACAGGATAAAACACTCTGAATTGCATCCCCAGAGAGTCAGCCTGGCGCTTCAGAAAGTCAACGCACGGCTTGTAATCGGGATTGGGATGAACACTAGCGATCCGGAGGTATTCCCTGAAGATCTTGATCTCCTCATTATCTTCCCACTTGTTGGCCATTGTTTGAACTTCACTCAGATTCAGACTGCACAAGACTGAGTGGCTCCCCAAACGTGAGTGGGCTCTTAAAGGCCAGACAAATAAGTTCGTTATCTAATCTCTCGAGTGCCCAAAAGACAGGTTGTAAAACTTATTTTGCCGACTGAATCCACAAAAACCACAAATGCATAAGTGTCTACGCGGAGTCATGAGAAATTTCTCTCTTGATTGTAACCAAGAAACAATTCAACACAAGTGGAGTTAAAATAATATAATTGGTATTAAATGAGAGCTTTGAGACATTTTCTTCATGCTCGGCATTCACCAGGCGTCTCCACTTGGCCAATGAAGACGCCTGATAGACATAATTTTGTTCAATCTTCCGCTGTTCAGCATTAAAACCAATCAAATTCCCACAGTTTTCCCCCCAATCTTTCCACCTTGCTCAAATTGCCCATGATATGGTCCACTTCATGCCAAACTAGCTGGAGTTGGCTTATTAATAATTCCATCGCCCAAATCGAGTCATTCATAATTGAATTTTTCACCACATCACAAATAGATGTTTAATAAAAATTGCACGTCAAAATAATGCCGCCGAAGATGAGTGGGTGGCGAATGCAAATAGTAGCGAGAGTATAAATTGGTCAAATATTTATTTAATTAACACTTGTATTGGATGGCGTGCCTTCCACAACCCATGCAGATGCCCTTTAAGCCACACCGCAAATCATTTGGCGCTGCATTTGAGCGTCGGGTGGCAAAAGCGCAGCTTTTGGGTGTTTTAACATCTATAATCACGTCGATGACACTCGTATTAATTAAACCCATCGATTGGCATTATCACCTACTGTTTCTGGAAATGATAGGGATTAATGGAACAGAGTGAAGTGAGAATTATACTGTTACATTTCAAACTGTCCATCCGTCAATGTGTCTTCGCTAGTGTGCCTCTGCTGTTTTATCCAAATCATCCAAAAAATACAGTGAGCAGCAAAATCTGATTGCAAAATTTATTGACTTAAAATACTCTTCTTAAATACAAATTCAAAGAGGCTGCAAAACGAGATCAATAATATATCTTTTTCTTACAAAATTAACACACCTCTCAACAGACTTAAGTACATTCTCATGGAATTATTCGCGTTGGGATGATTACTACGAAAACAATGACGATCACAGTGCAAATAGACAGCATGTTCTTCGCTCTCACATGATTACCATGGCCTCCACATATCGGCAGAGGCATTTCCGTTCTGAGCTGAATTCTGATTGTGATCTAGATTGGGACTAGGCTGCTGCTCTCTAGCCTCCAATTTTATGGCTTTCGCGCTGACTTCGTATTTCGCGCCCTCGGACACATCGAAGGGATATGGCCTCTTCTTGTTCACATACTGTATCTCCGGCCTGGGCTCCAGCCTGGCCTTCTGCAGCTCCGTCGTCGACGAGACTTGCGGCTGCTGCAGATTCGAAGTGATGGCTGCCGCCGCTGAGGAACTGGGCATCAGCGGCGGTGAAGCTGTGGAGTTGTGATAGTCCGAGGAGTGATGCGAATCCTCGCCGCAGCTTGAAATCGACGACACCGGACTCAACGGCGGACTGTGACGCGCTTGCGGTGGTCTGACGCTACTGAAAGCACTGCTTCGAGTGTAGGCCGACGCTCCCAAGTCCAGGCCGTTGGGCGGAGGTGGCGCCGGCGTGCTGAAGGGACTCGTGCCCGGGAAGAAGGACAAATTGCTGCTGTTGGGCATTACGAGAGCCAACTCTCCAGTCGGCAGTCTGGAGGGGATCAGCTGAACGCCGCCCATCTGAATCCGCCCGTTGTTGTTCACATCTTGCGGCAGCGGCAGAATCGACGATCCCGCGGTGCTCGCGCCGTGGAGTGGCAGGCCAGGAAATGCGGACAAGCCAACGGAAGATGTCGCCGGGAAGCTGATCGACGGCGTCAATTGCTGGATGTTCGTGACACAGTTATTGAGATGATTGGCCAACCGCTGCTTCACCCCCGAATCAATACCATCCATTTGGCTCACGTAGCGCGTCACCTCTTCGGCGCAGTCCGTGAAGCCAGTCTTAAACTTGTGCACAACCGTCGGATCAGTGTTGACCGCCAACGCGAACTGCTGGCGTTGGATTGTCTGCAGATGCTTCACAGTCATTTCCAGAATGTCTGCCTTCTCTAGCTTCGTGTGACGAGCAGGCTGGAAAAGAATTGAAGATTAGAGTTTGGTTTTATGGGAATTTCCTAAGCGTAAATTGATAAAATGACTCAAGATGTACTCAATACCTCTAAGAAGTATTGAAAGCATATTCAAACTGTCTTAAATGCGTTTAACATTTCGATAGCCACAATACAAAATTCTATTAAATTTCTGTCTAGTCTTCAACCATAAAAACCACCCTTGAAAATTCGAAAAATCACGCTGACGCCCCGGAGATTAATTGCAAATCATGCTTGCACCTGTTAATGCATGAGACCTGTGTCAACAGTCCGCCAAAGACATCGTAACAACTATTATTCCGAAGAGTTGCCCTCGGGCGGTAATTTTGCACCTCGCGCTCATCTTCAGACAATCTCAGAGAGGAACATGAGAAAGTAAGAGTGAGGCGGGCGCCCGAAATAGTTATTAATTGAGAGTGACTGTCGGGAAATCTCTCTGGGTGGTCCTCTGGAAGTTGACCTGCAGCTAAATTGTGATCATTTTTCGCGACTTTGATGGTTTGTTGATTGGCATAAACGATTGCGCGCCGCATTGCTGGGAAATTGGCATGAAATCGGAAAAGAATGAAGGCATTTGGCTTTGCCACAGTTCATCTTCGGCACACAATTGTACACAAAATACAAAATGGGATTTCACGTGAATCTCTTTCTGAATCTTATCCACTTGTTCAGCGCGGCCTTTCTTCTGCCCTCAACCTTTTGTACACTGTCGGATCATTTCGACGCTTCGCTCTCTTCCCGTCCGCCTCTCATCGTTCTCCAATTCACCAAAAAAAAAATTCATTTTGATGTGGGCCACTGAATGGCTGCGGATGGGACTTGAGCATCTCCAGCAAATATTTGTCGGTTCCCACGCATCCTTGACCGAGGTGGGCTTCTTTCAACCATCGCTTCTCAACCATCATTAATTCTCTCCTTCTTTTGAGTGTCGAAGCAGTGAGAAAAAGAGTGAAGAAATCGGTATGCCAGAGCCTTTTGCAAAGTGCATCAACGGCAAGAAGAAAGAGAGACTCTCAAGTGAAATGTTAAATGCTTCTTCCACACACTCATTTCACCCTCCTCCAAATTATTGACTGTGTTTCTTCACCACGTCCATCGTTCGTGCAGAAAAAGACCTGAACGCAAAAACCTCCTCCTCCGCCACAGTGATTTATTCCCAGTCCATCTTTTACGATATTTTCATTGAGAAGCACACACACAAAATTCATTCAAGTCCGCAAACCATCTCAGCCCTCTATCTGATCTTATTTGCCGTCTCTCCTGACCAACTTCATTCTCAATTCCACGACCGCGACTCGCGCCTGAGTTTGGTGGTCTTATCCATTCGGAAGCGTGGGAACTGAAAATGATGAACCCGATGAGTCTCATTTTTGCCCTCCGTCAGTGCATGTATAAATCTTGATTTCTTGTAGTCTCTGAAGCAATTCTCTCGAGGGTTCGCGAAAGTGCCCAAACAGACGCACTAAGGAAAAATCTCCCAATATGCATCTTCACGACAAGTAAGCAAGAAAAAGTCAATTTTTGGAGTTGAATTAAAGTATTTTGCAGTACTGTTTCTGTGAGACTCAGAACAATGACATGTTTCTTCTATAACTGATAAACCCCTTTTTCATATTGTCGATCATCTCATGGTCCAAACATGGCAAAAACTGAATATCGTTGCATAAGAAATACAGCGAATACATCTCGTCATGATATTGATTCATTCGGTCGCAATGAAAACATGCAAATCGACACTTTATTTTTCCACCGTTTCTGGCTCCCAAGGAAAAATCAAGAGAGATTGTTTTGGAACCCGTGATTAAAGGGCGTACAAGGTAACTTTCACGAAGCAACTGACACTGATTGGCAAATATCGCCTCTTCTTCTTCTTGACACTGTGCTTCATTTTTTTTTCAGTCACTCAAATTGCGCACTCCGAAAATATAATCACCAACAAAAGTGCCTTGAAGATCTCTCAGAAATTGAGGATAATATCCTAACATTAGTGGTTTATGGACGAATTTTGTGGTTTTCTTTTGCAGCAAAGTGCAGCAAAGCAAAAAAAGAAAAATCAGTGGATGATAAAATGCACTCTCTGACCATTGATCGCGGCAAGATCAGCCATTTTCGGTGGTGCAACTTAAATCCCAAGTCAAAGCGCAGTGCTTCGAGATCAATGGACAAAGGTAAATAAACAAGAATGACGACAGAGTGGAGATGTAAGGGAAAAATTGAGGCTTCAGCATAAATTATTCCATTTGGGGATCCTTTTGTGTGTTCCTCACAATCACACTGTGCTCACGCGGACAATGCGGCCGCAATAAAATCCGAAGAAGCGCCCTTTCCAGTGCACCCAAATCAATGAGTTACGCGCTTTCGTCTGCATAATTGCGTCATGATTTATAAATATGCCAAAGAGATCCTCGCATGTCTTAACGAGGCATTGTGTTTGGCTCCGCCGCAGTCAATCTCTTGCCGATCGTACGAAACAAGAATAAGAATAATACAAAAAAAAAACAACAGCGACAATTTCGCGAAACTGCAAAATCTCCTAAGCGAAGCGCCCGTGAAAATCGAGGGTCGTGGCTGACGTCAGTGCGGACTTTGTGAAAGATATCGCGTGTTTGAGAATGTGTAATAGAGTGTCAGGGGGAAAGGATGGCGCACGATCGCGTCAAGATCGCCAATTAATTATTATTAATTGCAAATCGATTATGCAAATTGCGAGTCACCGCGAAACTAGAGACGCAGGAAATTCTCCAGCATGTGTGAGAAATTCACAAAAAATATTCTATAGATCAACACTCACGTCTTTCTTCATCGCCTCAAGAATCAGCGTCTTCAGCTCATTGAGACAGTTGTTGATCCTCGCCCGTCGCTTCTTCTCCATGATCGGCTTGTTGCTCTGCAAGCAGAGAAAAGACACATTTTGATAAGCACTTGGCATTGTGGAACACAGCCCAAGATTCACTCACTTTGCGCATCTCCGCCTTTGTCATGGGCGGCGTGGGAGTCACACCTGAGCCACCCTGGCGATTATCCCGACCATCATGGGCACTATTGCCACTCATCGTGCCACTCAGACCACTATTGCCACCGTTATTATTGCAGCTATCCAGATCGTCCTCACGGATTGGCATCATCTTTCCGGCAAAAAAAAATATTCCAAGTCCACTTTGCCGAATTTCACCGCACAACAAACACAACACTCTCGCGGAATTCTGCACGATCACCGAGTGATCCTCAAAAAATCCATCCGGATAATTTGTATGAAATTCCTTTCCCACAGTCGCACTCACAGCGCTCTGGCGCAAACTTATACCACTGATCTGACCGGAGACTCGAGAGAAACTGAAATCCTTTTGCCTGCCTCGCGTTCCCATGCACAGTGACTGATCTCTCTCGCATTTTTCAAGAGACCCACAATAAACATTCCTCGCCCCTTCTCGCTCGCTCGCCAACCACGCTCTCGCTGACTCCCTCAGTCGCATTGGCCGCCGCTGGGAAGATCGCAGAGCTGAGCAGGAGTGCCAACCTCTGCTTCAGAGTTGTGATAAACAGCACAACACTAAACCAAATAATTTCAAGAAAGACAAATAGCCAGACACAAGAGACACAGATGGATTACGCAGAAAGATTAGCACTAGAAAGCTCTAGACTTGGACCTGAAGCAAGATTTCTATATGATTTCAAGATGTCTGGCATCGGTGTCATTTGTATAGTCTTGACATCTTCAGGCCAAGCTGCTGACCAGTTGACAAGTGGTTTGGAGAGTAATTTTTGGTTGATCGCGAATTAAAAATGAACTGATTGAAGTTCCAAATAACATAAGAGGTCGGCTTTACGTAACCAACTCCTCCTGCCGCCCCAACTGGCATAGCACTGCTCCACTCCGCATTCATGACAAGACTGACTACCTCGCGCATTTCTCCGCGTCACCCTCAGTGCTGCCTCTACCGTCAAATAATGCTAACAGCGAGAATCGTATATCAGGAGGAAGAAGGCCGCCTAGACAGTGGCATTCCCGCCACAAACTCTCCAGGGATACCAATTGGGCAGGGATTGGTGTTTTGCCGGTTGGTGGTCTATGCAAATCACGAAGCACAGGTCTGTAAGTGCAACACCGGAATATCTAGCCTCTCTCTCTCTCTCTCTTAATGAGGGATGGATCGGCCAGAGATCATGCGTGCTTTTTTCGCACTCATTTTCCGCTCAACTCGAGGCAATTCTGCTAATTCCCACTCTCAAGACGTCCGCCTTGTCTCCCGAATAAACGTGCGGCGGCGGCGAATGTACAGAAAGCAAAGAGAGTACAAAGTGATCTCCACACAGAAGCATAAAAATGTACAGTGAGAAATTCCAACACAGGCACAACACCAGCCCGGGGACCGACACTCTGCGCTTCAGCCGTGCAGCCTCGACCTTCACATATATTCTCACCCAAAGCCTTCCCATCTGTGAGAAGTGACGTTGATCGACCGAGGAAATTACATGCAGAGCACCACGCGGCTGATTCCGATCTCATTCCCCCGATAAAAATTTTCCCACACGCCCAACAACAGCGAGGGGGAAATGGAGTGCGAGACGGGATCAGAGAGTGCTGAAATTCGAGGATTTCCGACTTTTGATAAGCGACACGATCATCAGCGCGCTTGCAAGTGCAAATTTTGGGCGGATCTGAATCACACTCTCTCGCTCGTGTAGTTGCAGAATTGTGAGTGTGAAGTGATGAATGGGCCAATTTAGTCGTTCTAAACTAAAGAATCACTTCCGTTCCCTTTTCCATGGCGCTCTCGGTGCTCATCCGTCTCAATTTAGTTGATAAGCCAGCCCTGAAAATCTCCAAAATCGTCAATGAATTGTTTTTTTATTTTCTTGCCATCAACTCTCGAGCGGGTTTTTGAAGATGCTTTCAGCTTCTTAAAATTACAATCCAACAAAAAAGCGCGACATGATTCATGGCGCATGACTTCCCCTCGAGACGTCAGCGCAAAGCCACATAATTTCATAACTTCCCCATCAACAGGAAGTACAATTTCACAATAAATTTCCCTCTTATTGAAGTCCTCTCACCCTCACTTTTTTTTTACCTGCCATCATTCCCACACGTATTATTCAAATGCAGCTCAGAGATCGACACCTGTGCAACTCTTTCCACTCAGGCTGGAGGATTCAGAGAGCAAAGAGAGGATCTCATGGAGGCGGACGACAGAAAAAAACGTCGGATATCCGAGGCATGAATTCCCATTGATCGTGAGTCAGAGTGTTGTCTGCCTCTTCCGTCCCGTGGAACTATTAAATGCATTTTTTGCGCCCCTGAAACTGTATCAAACAGGGAGATGGAGAGGTTTATCAATCGAGGATGGGAAATGACCTTTTTGTAATCTCCGCCCACACAAAAGCCCCACCCCTTTCGCGCTCTAGTCACAATAAGAATCTTTTGGGCGAGAATATGGCGCCTGTATTGTAAATTTTGTACAAATTTTCGCCTCACAAAGAACTTTAATGACAATACTGTGTTGATGTCAAACTCATATCTTTTCATTTAAGGCGCCCAATCATCCAAAGATTGTCTCCCCTCCTAACCCATAGAATGCATTTTTCTAACCAATATCGCCATTCAAATGCTGACCGTGAATAATTTTATATAAGATTTGGGAACTACCCTCGAAATAAATCGCTCCGAAACTTCTGAGCAATAAAATGTCGATATTCCATAAATTGTCGCAGCATTTCGATGTCACTGCCATAAATTGAGGGCAAGAGCAGAAGAAGAAAAGGGTCTCAAAAGCGGAAGAGTGATGGGAAGAATTGGAAACTGATGACTCTCGGGTGAATTCTCCTTTCAATATTCCTCCTTGTCACATCACACACAAAAGGATGCTTGAGTTCCCCTGGGATCCATCTCGTGTCTATTGACCTGGGCAAAAGGGATGCAAGCGCCTCTGATCTCCTCTCCGGTCGCACGATCTCGAGGGCCATGGGAAGAGTTGCACACACCAAAGTCCCACAGTTCTGGGGATGTTTACTCCTTATTTAATATTTCTCTCTCTCACTCGCCTTCCAACCATTGTGTTGACGATCTTTTAACAATTGTTGCCTTAATGCTAAGGCAGGAAAAATTTTACCATCCAGGAAGAAAAAAAACACACTCACACAAAATGCAAGAGAGAAATTGAAGAGATCGTGAGAATATTTCTCCATAAATCCAGCCATGGATCGAATTTCATATCTCTTTGGGTGAAACACGGATTTTCGACAATCATCGCAGACACTTTTCTACTGATGATGATCGCAGTCACCACACTTTTCGTCACAATTTGCATAAGACAGCGACTTTGCGTGTGTCACGCGGATATTTCCGGTGTCGTGCACAGTGATGATCGGCGCGATGATGACGCGCTGGCGCGATCATCAGCGTCACCAAGTGACATGTCCCATGGACTCCCACACGGCCCCACACATGGCCACTCATTTGCCGGGCGTCTCAATGAGCTGCGCAATTTCAACGTGAATTACTTCACATCGGAGGGACCTTCTCTCTCTCTGCCAACAAGAGCACGACAGACGCGTGGAACTGAGCACCGCACTCGACTTTCCCACGATCCTCACTTGATCACTCTCGCCTCTGTTTATTGTGATATCTCTTTTGGGTGTGTGATGCCACGAGGGGTTCATCACTTTGCATTTACAATCGTGCGCTGCTCTCATGGAGAGCCGAAGCAAAGCATAAGCTCAAAGATCTTTTTAAATCTTGATATTCGAGACACAATCAATGACAGAATATCTTGATTTCTTGATATTTAGCTAAGACACATTGATATATGAAAAAATGCTATTCATTAGAATATGAAATCTTGATCTTATTATTCTCTTATCTTAACATGAGAACCTTTACTTCAATTGTTTTCACCACAGCATTATTAGCTAAAAGTAAGATAAAGAACACGTGCAAAATATAACTTTCTTTCCTGATTATATTCTTATCTAATACATTTCTCACCAGTGGGACTAATTCGAGTTTTCCTTGTTGACATTATTGTTGTAGATGACAATCGCGAAAAGATAAGGAACACAATAAAAAGATGGAATTTCTGAAAAGCCGTCTTCAGTTGCATTTCATCTTGTCAGACAGAAAGACAGCAGTGCGTGAAAGTTGAAAATAATGTCCTTCGAAAATGCTGAAGCATACTTAAATAGTAACAAATTTATTAAAGATCTCACACAAAAACTCCTAGATCAATATTACGAATGGATTCAGTGGAGAAAGGACGGAAAGGACTCAATCCTGGACATTGGCAGCGGACCTGGAAATGCCTTTTACGAAACAATGTATTCCCGAATTCCGGAAAATTTCTCGAGAATTGTGCTTTCGGACATTTCCAAGCCAATGGTTGAGTTGCAAAAGAAAGTGTTTCAAGGAATTGATCGCGTTTCGTGTGAAGTTTTGGACATTGGATCGCCAATTGATGAAAATCTCTTGAGAAAACTCGGAACTTTCGATCACGTGACGTCGTTCTTCTGCTTAATGTGGGTCAAAGATCAGCAACAAGCCATGGATAACATCTATAAGTTGCTAAAGCCGGGAGGAGATTGCTTTCACGTAATTGTTGCTGATTGTCCTGTTATCGATACACTTCTATCAGTGTGTGAGAAACCTCGATGGAAGGATTTTTTCACAGGATGGGAGGATTTCTATGTCTTCCCGTACATACAACTCGATAAATCCAAATCAAAAGGATTACAGTTGATGAAGAATGCCGGATTCTTAGAGATTAAAGCAGAAATTGGATATTATCCTTTCAACTTCAGATCTGACAGAGAAAGAGAACTGTTTTTGAGATCAATGCCGAATAAATTCTCAAAGAATGTAACCGCGGAAGAAGAGGAGGAGATATTTCAAGAACGTCTTCAATTCTTTGACAAATTTAACCTCGGACAATATCGAGATAACATTGGAAAAAATGATAAACTCAACTCTTATTTGATTCTGTATGGAAAGAAAAGTAAATAAAAACATTTTCTGCATCTCAATTGCCCTTTTCAAATGTTTTTAAATTGCGACAAAACATTCAGAAGATACTTAAGAACACATATATGTATCTGAAAGATAAAGTTACAATAAATATTGTAAGTTGAATAGTGACAATGCTCAACGCTTCTTGTCTTGAACTTTCACTTTAAAAAAAAAAACTCTTATCTAAAACACTTTTCTTACGAAATAGAACGAAGTTTTTTTCATATGAAATCAATTGTACCATTCGTAGCAGTCGCTGATAGATAAGAAAATGGCAAAAATCCCATTAGTGCTGATAATCCAGTCGAGTTTTGTATTTCAGAAAGAAAAGAAGTTCGCGAAAGTTACAATGTCTTTCAAAAATGCCAATGAGTATTTCAAAGGCAACAATTTCATTGAGGATTTGACGCACCATCTTCTAGACAAATTCTGCGACTGGATTGAGTGGAGAAAAGACGGGAAAGACTCAATTTTGGACATTGGCAGCGGACCTGGAAATTCTTTCCATTCAACTATGTTTTGTCGACTCCCGTCTAACTTCTCGAGACTTGTGCTTTCGGACATTTCCAAGCCGATGGTTGAGTTGCAAAAGAAAGAGTTTGAAGGAGTGAATAAAGTGTCGTGTGAAGTTTTGGACATTGGATCGCCAATTGATGAAAATCTCTTACAAAAGCTTGGAACTTTCGATCATGTGACTTCATTCTACTGTTTAATGTGGGTTAAAGATCAGCAACAAGCCATGGATAACATCTATAAGTTGCTGAAGCCAGGAGGAAATTGTTTTTTGTTAATCGTGGCTGATTGTCCAATTTTTGATGCAGTGTTATCAGTTTGCGAAAAACCTCGCTGGAAGGACTACTTCAAAGGATGGCAGGATTTTTACGTTTACCCATACAAGAAGGTTGATGAAGCAAAAGCCAAGGGTTTAAGCTTCATGGAAAAGGCTGGATTTGTCGATATAAAAGCCGAAATTGTTTATTATCCTTGGAAATTTCGCTCTGATAAGGAGAAAGAATATTTCCTAAGAGCAATGCCGAATAAATTCTCAAAGAATGTAACCGCGGAAGAAGAGGAGGAAATATTTCAAGAACGTCTTCAATTCTTTGACAAATTTAACCTTGGACAATATCGAGATAATACTGGGAAAATTGATAAGCCAAACTCTTATTTGATTCTGTATGGGAAGAAAAGAGAATAAATGGATTTTTTCTCTCTTGAAAACAAAATAGATGGGAATATAGATTCAAGATAATAAAAGATATTTCAACTCATAATATTCTTACGTTATTGATTAAAGGATTAAACAGATGAGATCAGTTAAGTTAAATAGAAGGATGCTTGATACTTTTTATCTTATTGTTTTATTTGCTCTTACAAAAGCCTTCAGTGTCAATGTCTTTGAATAAAATGACCTATTTTATGCAATTATACAAAAACGCACGTCTTCTGATAAGCACTCTTCAGTCGCATATCGTCTTGAAAGGGGAAAACAAGTCGGTGAGAAAAGAATGGCTTTTGAAAATGCTGAGACATATTTAAAAGGCAGCAAGTGCATAATTAATCACACAGAAGATCTTCTTAATGAGTTTAACGACTGGATTCAGTGGAGAAAGGATGACAAGGACTCAATTTTGGACATTGGCAGCGGACCTGGAAATTCTTTCCATTCAACTATGTTTTGTCGACTTCCGGAAAACTTCTCGAGAATTGTGCTTTCGGACATTTCCAAGCCAATGGTTGAGTTGCAAAAGAAAGTGTTTCAAGGAATTGATCGCGTTTCTTGTGAAATTCTAGACATTGGATCGCCAATTGATGAAAATCTCTCGAAGAAACTCGGAACTTTCGACCATGTGACGTCGTTCTTCTGCTTGATGTATGTCAGAGATCAAGAAAGAGCCATGAAAAACATCTACAATTTACTGAAGCCAGGAGGTGATTGCTTTCATGTAATTGTGCTTGATTCTCCTATGCTAGACGCTGCTTTGTCTGTCTGTGAAAACCCCCGATGGAAGGACTATTTTTCAGGACTTCAGGATAACGATATGTTGCCGTACATAAAACTTGACAAGTTTTCAGCAAAATTCAAAGCTCTTAAGTTGATGAAAAGTGAAGGATTTATCAATTTAAAGGCAAAAATCAGGTGCAAATCTATTGACTTTGAATCTGATAGTGAGAAGGAGAACTTATTGCGATCAATGCCGTGTAAATTCTGTGAAGAAATCACTCCGGAAGAAGAGGAGGAGATATTTCAAGAACGTCTTCAGTTCTTGGATCAATTCGTACTCGGACAGTATCGCGATAACACAGGAAGAATTGAGAAACCAAACACTTATTTAATTCTGTATGGGATGAAAAGCAAATAAAAGTGGACAAAATGTGCAACCTTAATCTTTACAACTGCCCAAAATTGGCCCATTTGTCTCCATCCAATAAAAATGCTAAGGCGCTGTGAGGATTCTCTTGTGTGAATTCTATAGAATTCCCAGCCGATCGGCGACATGAGAAATTGCCCCGAAATGATTTCCCACACGGAAAGGACGATCTCTGGCTTTCTCAAACATCTCTTTGTGCTCCTCCTTCGCGTCTTTGTTTCTTGCGTGGGTAAATATCCATTAATTTCTCAAATTTTGGACGCACATTTGACACCAAAATGCAAATTATGATGTTGTTGCCCGTTTTGGGAATTGGACTCTTTCGGCCCCATGATTGAGGAAATTGAGAGTGCGAGATCCGGAAATCTCTATAGTTAATTATTTTTTGGGTGAAGAAATGGAAAAATAACATGGTCAGTGGCTTCCTGAGGGTGCCGATGATCACATTCCCTCTGCTGGAATTTCTCATGAGCGCCCCTCCGGCATTTGAGTTCAATACACTTTGGCAGTCTCATTATATTCACACACACGTGAAATTAGGGTGCAAAGTATCTGTGGGAAAATGTACTTTTTCACAAAATGCCAGAACATTTGGCCAGAGAACTGTGACACACTCGCTTCCCCTTCTTTTGCATTGAAAATAGCCCTCATTGCGATTGTGTACACCGAGAATTCACCGATAAAATTGCCCCATACCAAAGGCGTATTGAGAGAGGGTTCTGCTGAAGAAAAGACGACCGGAAGACAACACCTGGTCGAATATAAGGTCGTGTGAGTGCCACGGAATCAATTTCGGGGTGAGATTTGGCTCGCAATTATCCTCATAGGATCATGAAGCGACGCCTTGGACTCATTTCGATGTGGGCAGCAGAGTGGTCAGAAAACCACCATATCGCTGGTCATCTTTATGCACACACATTCCCACACTTTGCGGAAGAGCCCACCTGTTGCCCCTTCCCAGAGCGTCTTCATCCACGTCCGGTGTTTCTTCTGTCTCACCAAGGAGCATCTCAAGTTTATTCTCCTTCGCTGCCATTCATCATTTTTGATGATTTTTGGTCAAGCGACTTCCACTCCCAAATCCCAATTCTCACCAAAAAATTGCCTCTGACTCGACGTCAGTCGCATGAAGAAAGTGCGACTCTTCTGATTTTCACCCCAAAGGAAGAGCCATCGACCGAGACGACGAAATCACGAAACCCTCTCCCTAATTTAACTTCTTCACAGCCCCGTGTGCAGCTGTCTTCAATCACAATTCCCTCCTTGGTTTCACTATTCAAATGCTGTAAACGTAGGGAGACTTGTCTTGAGGTGCAATGAAAAACCGTTACGAGGATTTGCACTGTTTTGAGCAGGTCATGCTTTGGCGAATAAATTCGTTAAACACAAACTCATTAGCGGCAAAGAAATGCGTCTTGAGGCACCTTGAGAAGCCAACACCCATGAGAAGACATCCTCTTCTCAAGTCTCTGCGACCTGCTTATGTGCACGAGATTAGAGGACAACAAAAGACTTCCTCTTCAGCCCTGAAAGGCTGCGATCACAAAGGCAGGTAGGAATTTGTGACATTCAACAACACTGTCTTGTGGTGTTGCGTTACAGTTGGTAAACCAATTACTTAGAAGACGTCTCAAGTCTATCAAGTGTCTTGTTTACTTTCTTCAGATTCACAGCTCTTTTTTTGCTCTCTTCTCTCCTCTTTTTGGCGACCTGTCCTCAAATTCGCTCCCAATAAATCATTCAGACCTTTTCTTAGGTGAACTTTTTCTTTTGAGAAATTGTGGCAAATTAAATGACAATCAGCAGGACAACAGAGCGGCTTCAAGTGGATTAGACACAATGTGTCCTTTGGCGGACAGGCTCTTCCGGTTGTGGAGTCGATTAAAAACGTATTAAAGGCAGTGGAACAATTTCTGGGTGATTTATTTCATCGTGAACAACCACAAGAGGAGGCAAAGATGCACGTTTACTCCTCCTTCTTCCCATACAGAATTAAATAAGAATTGTCTCGATCCTTACCAAGTGCATAGAGATCTAGTAAATTTTGCAGACGTTCCTGGAACATTTCCTCCTCTTCTTCCGCAGTGACATTCCTTGAGAAATTATCCGGCATCGATCTTAACAGATTCTCCATTGAAATATCAGAAATATAAAATACTGCGAAATTGAAGATCTTCTAAAATGAGATCTTATTCGGCTTGATAGTTGTTATTTTTTGAAACATCATTTTGAAAATGCCATAATCATAATCATAAGATGAAAGCAGACTGACGACTGACCAAACTCACAAGAAGCCTTTTTTTAACTTTTATTTCTAGCTTTTCTTATCACATTCTCTTGTATTTTCTTGATAATGCTGATATTGACCCAATACAAGCTCAAAAAAGATTAATTGCATTTAAGATTGTGCGTCTAGCGATACGATTAAAGCCAATTTTACATGAATTCTGATAAGAATTCTTATCAGTGTATCACGAAAGGAGCAAAAATGTAAAGTCAACATGTGAATGTGTCGTCATTAATCTCTGCGAGTACATAAAATGTGTTGAACATTTCCACAAAACCTCCACCAAATGATCACGTCAAAAGGCCTACCAGTGTGAGCTTGGCTGGAGTTTTCATGGTCAATTTGCAGGATTTCCTCCCAGTGCTGAAGATCTCCCGCCAGTTTCTGGCCAAAGTCAATTGAACCATCGAGACCAGAGCAAATCATAAATTTCTGCTGCCAAGTGCGAAGAATTCTCCACGCGTCTCTTCCTCGAACACATTATTCTCTCTGGTCATTCCTTTACGATGGCCAATTACTGGGGGTCTTTTTTGCCCTGTCGAAGGTCTCACTTTTTTTCACAATGTCTTTTTTCACAACATTTTATTTCCTTTTATTGGTCACTGGACAAAAAGACGCACGCATTCCCAAATATTCTAGTTTATTTCGGGTGTGTTTCTCAAAGCTCTCAATATTGCTCAGCATTGTAGAAAAAACAAATAATTATATTTCGGGCAAGGGAGAGAAAAAAAAAGTACATAAATATCGAGGTGACCTTTTTACAGAGGTCAGTCGGTTGTAAAATAATCCCCGTGATTTTTCTGTAATGGGACTTCTTCAAGGTATCTTCGAAGGAACCTTTGATTGATGTAAGAAATTTATTTGGCCAGAATGCGTCAGAAGTTATTGTGATATTTCCCAATTTTTTTTTACAATCATCAAAACAAGGTGAAAAAATATTGTGCCTTGGAATAAGAAATTAATTGGTGAGATTAAAGGTAAATGAGAAATTACAGAGACTTCGCGCCGAATCGCGGCAAAACACAGAATAATTGGGTCTCCTGCCAAGTCTTGGCCAGAGTCAATTAAGACATCCAACCCGAGAATGTGTCATAAAACTTTGTTAGACACTGTGACCGACACGTTCTGCGAAGGAATGATTTTCTGGTCATTCTTTTACAACTCCTCACGCAGAGTCCCTTTGGCCATGCACTGAAGGTCTCTTCAGCCTCGACAAACGTCAAAAAATCTCCTTAAAGAAGTGAATTCTCAGCCACAAATAACCACATTGTCTAAATGTAATTCAATTTCGCGCGAATAAAGTAAGATTCCTCTGTGTGCGCTATTTCAAAGGGTGCGCAAATACAGTCAAACGTCACCTTCGATCCTTTCGCAGAAGCTTCGGCAATTTTGCAAAGAGTTTTTAATATAAATAACCCCACAATTTGGCTGCGTGTTGTAAAATTAAACCTTTCGTTGAAGGCTTTCCCGAGAACGTCTTTCACTCTTTTGCACTGAAATTGTGTAATGTCCTTCGACTTTTGCCAATTTGCCTGCCAAATATTTAACCATCTCCCGAGAAAGGGTCAGGCAATCCTTTCAAATGGCCCAAAATTCGCAATCCTTTAGCCTCGGTTTCTGCAAATTTATGCTACTTGAGGTCGTAAAGTAAAAGGGATAGAGGTCGCCTGGACAATGCTTGAGGAGGCAAACATTGTAAAAGTTGCCGAAATTTTGCAAAAATGCCAGCAATTTATTGCGTGCCTCTAATAAACCCTTCCTTAACTCACTTCGAGACGCGTGGAAAGTCGCCTTGAAGTGATCCCAAAAAGTACCGTACATGACAGGAAAGTAACTGTTCACAAATGTCGAGGAAAAAAGTGAGTCTGCAGTGAAAAAGCCCATCTTCAATCTGTCTTGTAAATCCTCCATTCAAAAGATGTCTCACAGAGGCGCAACCCTTCCCTTGCATAACTGTTCACATACACTGAAACTCCACACGCTGAAAAAAACACCCCATTTCTACCAACCCTTCTGCCACTATTGCGCCGCTTTTGAGCAACCTAACGGCACATGAGCGATCATTGTATCTTGCGCGCATCTGAAGAAAAGGATTTCGAGGCGAACTCGCTTCGGAGGAACATCAGGTGCGCAGTGACGGAAAGGGACAATTTCCTCTTGTTTTATGGCACTTTTTGCCTCAATTCCTAATTTTTATTTAACACCCAGGCAAGTATTCACTCTTCCTAATTCTCTTCCTCTTCCTTTATCGACCCATTCCTCGTGATTCGAACCCTTATGCCTGTCTTTTCAGTTCTCTTTTCTATAAATAAATTTAACTGTAAATAGAAAAAGGGTTGTTTTTCTGTCGTCTTTTTCTCCCGAGATTTTTTCTCCGTGAAGAACTGGGTAAAAAATAACCCTAAAATTAAATCAATCTACTCGTGAATGAAACATATGGAGAAGGTAAAGTCTAACGTGCTGAAGATTGAGAAAATCATAAGAAATATGACAGAGATTTGGAAATTTGTGAGAGAAAAAAATTCTAAAAAATCATGATTTTCATGAGTCAAATTTCTTATAATTAACGCAACTCGCTAAATCATCATTTGCAATACTTTAACAAAAAGCAGCACCAAAAATTTCCACCACTTCTATCTTATCAAACGCGCGCGTAGCAAAATATTTCGTGTTTATATGTATGTTAATCATTAAGAGGCGTTTCGCGCCCTATGCTTGGTTGGCGCGCTAGAATTCATGGTGTTTTACAATACACCTTAAAATACTTATTTTATAAATTGTGCTCTGAACAAACACACACTTTACTTTGTGTACGAGTGAAGAGAAAAGATGACGAGACACAATTGCAATCAGGCAAAAATAAGTGCATAATTGGAACCTCTGATAGCAGAGCCACTCTCCTAACAGTTCACTTTCGTTTTCCAAGCAGAGAAGAAGTGTGTGTGGAATTTAGAATGTCGTTTGAGAACGCAGAAGCATATTTGGAAGGGAATCAATATTCCAAAGTTGTGACTAAAACTCTTATCAATGAGTTCTACGATTGGTTTGGGTGGAAAAAGGATGGCAAGGACTCAATCCTGGACATCGGCAGCGGGCCTGGAAATGCCTTTTACGAAACTTTGTATTCCCGACTTCCGGAAAACTTCTCAAGAATTGTGCTTTCGGACATTTCCAAGCCAATGGTTGAGTTGCAAAAGAAAGTGTTTCAAGGAATTGATCGCGTTTCCAGTGAAATTTTGGACATTGGATCGCCAATTGATGAAAATCTTTCGAAGAAACTCGGAACTTTCGATCATGTGACGTCGTTCTTCTGCTTGATGTTCGTGAAGGATCAACAACTGGCCATGGATAACATATACAAACTACTCAAGCCGGGAGGAGATTGCTTTCATGTGATCGCGATTAATTCTCCTATTTTCGACACCGCCATAGCAGTCTATGAGAAACCGCGATGGAAGGATTATTGTACAGGTTGGCAGGACTTCTTCGTCTTGCCTTACAGGAAGCTTAACGAAGCCCAAGTCAAAGAGAAGGCATTCAATTTCATGAAACAAGCCGGATTCTCCAATTTGAAAGCCGAAATCAGATACGACAGTTTCGTCTTCAGCTCTGACGAGGCAAAAGAGAAAAATTTAAGAGTTATGCCGACGAACTTCTCAAGGAAAGTCACTCCAGAGGAGGAAGAAGAATTTTTCCAGGATCGTTTGCAATACTTCGATCAATTCGCGCTAGGAAATTATCGTGACAACACTGGAAAAATCGATCAACCTAACAGTTTATTAATTTTGTACGGAAAGAAACCTGAATAAAGTACTCTTGAAAATAACGCGATCAACGGCAAATGAGTCCTAAAATAGCATATAAACACATATTTTTATGATACACTTTACTTTTACTAAACTACTGTCATTCTAATTGATAGAAATAATACAAAAAATAAACACGTGCAACATAAACGTTCTTCTATCTTACTGTGTTTTCCAGAGAACAGCTTTTGGCGTTAATTGATCAATTCATTGGAAGTAATTAGTCTGAAAATAGAAACACTGTAAATCAATTTGCGATTATGAAGGTGTTTCGTTACCATTTTCTGCATTGCAATTGATATTCGATAAAATCATTTCAGTTGCTTTCCGTCTCTCAAGCAGAATAGAAGTCGTGTTAAATAATGTCATTCGAAAATGCTGAAGCATATCTTAAAGGCAATAGTTTCAATAAAGTCTGGACAAAAGTTCTCTTAGATGAATTCTTCGATTGGATTGCGTGGAGAAAGGATGGAAAGGACTCAATTTTGGACATTGGCAGCGGACCTGGAAATACAATCAATTCGGCTTTGTATCCTCGACTTTCGTCTAACTTCTCAAGACTTGTGCTTTCGGACATTTCCAAGCCAATGGTTGAGTTGCAAAAGAAAGAGTTTGAAGGAGTGAATAAAGTTTCGTGTGAAGTTTTGGACATTGGATCGCCAATTGAAGAAAATCTCTTGAGAAAACTCGGGACTTTCGATCACGTGACGTCGTTCTTCTGCTTAATGTATGTAAAGGATCAACAACTGGCCATGGATAACATCTACAAGCTATTGAATCCAGGAGGAGATTGCTTCATTGTTATCGTTGCTGATTGTCCGCTTATCGACACTCTTTTATCCGTGTGCGAAAAACCTCGATGGAAGGATTATTTCATAGGATGGCAGGATTTCTATGTCTTCCCGTACAGGAAGGTTGATGAAGCAAAAGCCAAAGGTTTGAGTTTCATGGAAAAGGCAGGATTTGTAGATTTAAAAGCTGAAATCAGATACAATCTTGTTAATTTCCGCTCTTCCGATGAGAAGGAAAACTTCTTAAGATCATTACCTAATAAATTCTCTAAAGAAATCACTCCGGTAGAAGAGGAGGAAATCTTGCAAGATCGCATTGAGTATTTTGATCAAATGTGTGAGAAATCAAGTTGTTATTTGATTTTGTATGGGAAGAAAAGCAAATAAATCACATTGTGGCGGAAAAAAATACCTTTATTACATAGAAATATCCTTCTATAAATCCTTATAACTCAAAACTTAAAGTCAAAGTCCATCTTGAGTCCTAGTTTTTCAAATTCTGGCAACTTTTGTCGAATGAATTTCTCCACATCGATCTTATTGAGTTCCTCCTGAACTCTTGTCTTGGCAGGATTCTCAATAGCGTCCATAATTTGATATCTCAACAGATTCGGCAAGATGTTCACCGCAAACTCAATGAGATAATCCAGCGTTCCGGCTCCTTCTGTTCTCACCTGAATGTTACCCAATTCCATCTGCAGATCCTTAATAACAGGCCGATTTCGCACGTCCAGAGACTGACTCATTGCTGACGTGACCTTAATGTGCTCCACTGTGAATTGCGCTCTGCCGCCCCTCGTCACCATGCCACTGCCAACTGAGAGCTCCCACTGTGTGGATCCCTTGATCTGCTGCGTCCCAACCTGCGTCCCTGCAAGCCAAACACAGTTTACCTCTCGTCCTTGCCACCCAAACCACCCAAATCATCATTACTTATTGTCACCGTGTTGTTTTCCATAGTCACTGAAATGTTGCCAACTCTGTAGAATGAAGAAACTCCAACTATCCACGTGTTTGTCATCTCCATGCTGAACATGCCAACGGTGTGATTGTAATCTCTGACTTTGAACGGATCATAGCCCAGCGCTCTGATCTTCTTTCGACCCTCAGCAATTGCCATGTCGAGTGGCGAAATTGAATTCGGCAGCACATTCTCTCCAATCACCTTCTCCAGCTGTGAATCCACTTCTGTGGTGATCTTTGCATAAGCCTCCTTCAGCATGAAAGGCTTCATGGCGTCAAAGACCAGATTAGGTGCCGAATTGACAATACTTTGGAACACAGCACCCATGAAACCTGAAGGAAAAAATCACAATTTCTCACAAATAAAGAATTCTGGGTGTAAAAATACCCTCATTTCGACACACCCAAATTCTGAAAATCCATCGACATGTCGGCAAATACGCTGTCCATGTTGATCTCCTGAGTCCTGATCTTTCCATCCCTCTCAACACCCAACGTCACATTGCCCTGCGTGAACACATCCTTCAGCACCACCGTGAATGGTCCCGATGAGCGACTGAAGAGTGAATTAAGCGTGTAATTGCCCACGAGTGTCATCTTGTCCACTTGAATGCCCGCGAAGACTTTCATCTCCTTCAAATCCATCTTCACAAACTTGATGCGGAACTTGGACAATCCATACGCCAGGACGTTGTCCATCTGAAGTGTCGTCATGGTGAGTGTCTTCTTGATCGGTGGAATCTTCATGGGATCCGGAACGGGTGCTCCGGGCAATCCAATCGGATCTGGCTGCTTGTAGTGCTCAACTATGGCGAATATTTGCGCCGACAGTCGACTTTCGGCAACTTTCGCATTGTGATCCGTCACTGGAGTCTCAGTTTTGGCCTCTTCATCGTCTGCGATAAGAGAAATTACACTAAAATAAAAGAAAAAAGATCTGAACACACTTGAGGACTTTCCATCCCACTCACCATCGGCCAATTCACACTCGCTGCTGTGCCATAGAAGCACACACGAGATCAGGAAGAGCGCTAGAATCCTCATTTCGCCCACCCAGACAGCCAATCGCAATCACTGACCACAGCTTCTCTTGATTTTGCTCTGGAATGCAGGACAACTCGGCGCAAACTGGCCCCAAGTGTCGCTATCGCCACTAAGAATCAGTTGACCTTTGACTGAGAGCATCAGCGACGTCACCGTCCTCAGCATTCACAGTCTCTCTCTCTCTCACACTCTCGGCTCTCTCTCGTGATAAACACTGCCCGAGATTTCTGCCACAAACAAGTCTAGCGTCGCCCAACGCCAGTTTCCACTCCACTCGAGGCGCTGCCGCGCATCTCCGGATGATCGCGCCGCATGTGCTGGCTCTTGGACGCCCCGGCGCGGAATTCCTTCGGACAGAAGTCACAAGAGTAGAGATATTCGCCGGTGTGCGTGGCAATGTGTTCCTGAAATACATTGGCAACTGAAGAAACCAGCATACTTTTACCAGATTCTCATCTTTCTCACCCTCAGCACAGTCTTTCTCTTGAATCCTTTGCTACAGATGTGGCAGACAAAGTCTCTGGTGAGCGTGTGGGAGTCCTTGATGTGCTTCCTGAGCGCCGTGGGTGTCGGCGACACCTTCCCGCACTCTTTGCATCTGTACGTCCCGTAAGCATTGTGCTTCTTCACGTGACTGTACAAAGCTTGTCTGTTTTTGTACACTTTGTCGCACTTTTCACACTTGAAGCCATTCTGCACGGCAGAACTGCTGACGGCGGAAAGTGTGTGAGTGCCTGAGTGACGTCTCAACTTCTTCAGGAGATCGAAAACCTGACCACAGATTTCGCAAATGCACTTATCCTCCGCCTTAACAGTTGAATCATCCCTTTTCGGTCTCTTCTTGGCCACAGAGCGCTTCTGGTGTTGCTTGCGAATGTGAATCTTGAGAATGGACTTGAGGGCGAAGGTCTTGTGGCATATGTCACACATCAGGACTCTCTTCTCAGGCGTGTGGCGATTCTCCACGTGCCTGGAAATTGCCACCTGCGTCATGAACTGCCTCAGGCAGTGCGGACACTTGAACACATCCGGATTCATGTGATACCAGAGATGCTCCAAGATGTTCTTCTTATCCCTGTGCTTCACCTTGCAGCACACAATGTACCAGCGCCTGTTGTGCTCCCGTCGGAAGTGCAGTCGAAGCTCACCGGAGTTCTGAAACACTTTCTTGCACAGATCACAAGTCAGGGAAAAGAATTCACCGATCATGACTTCTTCCTGATTGCCAACAGCTTCGTCACTTTCCTGACAATCTCGAGAAGCACTGCAGATCTCCTTGAGAGTCTCTTCGCTCTTCCTGATCGTCTGACAGAGCGTCCGGAAGGACTCAATCTTCCCTATGCAAGTCATACAAGCGTTCTTTGCCCAGAAATTACAAGAGTCAATCTGTGAAGATAAATGTAATGAATTCCACCATTTATATGTTAAATTACAAACATATTTGGCATATTTTACCGTGAAATTGTGGTACATTTCGAGGAAATTGACAACCTCTTGGCCAAGTTTGTCTTCAAATATGTCAATGAAATTCTCACTATTCTGCAAACAAAACCGACAAATTTGATTCCCAGAACTTTGCAGAACACTTTTTTGTGCCATATTATCACTATTTTGTGTGTGTTCTTCAATTTTATACGCACGCAATTGCACTGAAAAATGTTTGTTTTTGTCTAGAATAGAAAAATACAATTGTGAGGTTATGTGGCGTCATCCCGACTGAAGCGATTTCTAGTACTAAAACATATAAGCTTCGTTAGACGTCCTTGACACAATCATTAAAAATAGGATATAAATGATTGATCCCGGTGGCGGGCGTCCGTCGTCAGTCGGCCCGATTGTCTGCTGACGGTCAGGGTGGTCAACCGACTGTATGTAAACAGTCGGCCCATTTGTCACCTGACCAAAACGGACATTTGCCACAGACATTTACATTGGAGTGTGACCGAAAGTCGGGAGACATTCGGGCATGTGTCGGATGTGCCAAAAATGGCGCCTTTGCGTATTTTTTTTTCATGGCGAATTAAATTAATTATTTTGAAGAAATTAATTAACTCCCAGTAATTATATTTATTACATGCGCGTTTTTTATGATCAAAAATATGCCGGCATGGGCGCACGATAAAGAATTTAATTACGGCTCGGAAAAGTATTGTCCCGACCTGAAAAGAGTTAAATTGAGCGATTTCCGCGATTTTCTTTGCATTTGGAAAAATTCTCATTTTGGCCGAAAATTCTGACGTCGCCATGTTGCCAACATCTGCTAACTTCAGACCGGTGCCACCCGACAAACAACCGACAGTCGCTTGTTTGTCTCAACGGACGACAGTCTCGTGACTGTAGAACGACGTTGTCTGTCATCAAGACGACCGCTCGCCACCGGGATGTTGTTTTTTTCCAAGCAAATATACATCACTTCGACTTTTGAGAATGTTTGGCCCACCCAAAGTTGGTGGGACAGGTGGGAAGTTCGATCAAAATGCCTTAATATTGTAACATTATGTACTGAAATTCGGTATAAGTTTGAACCAACTTGAAACATGAAAAATTCAGCTTGTTTAAAAAAGGAATAGAATATTCTTCATATTTTAATAAAGATGCACATTAAATATTAAAAGGTGTAATAGGAAAGGATAGGTGTAAAAGGATTAAAATTATTCTGTTCCGATATCAGTCGCAATTTACATTTCCTGTACAGTGGATTTACCCTCGCAACTTGTTTGAGAAATCTTCAAAAATGATTACCATATTGTTTGATTTTCACAAGTTTCTCAAATTCTGTGTTAGCGCGAGAATTCTGCGACCCTTTCGAAATGAACCGCGATATGATTACATTTTTATTTGGTGCACAATTTATTCACTCTTCTTTTGTATTACAAATCTCATGAATATTTTTGAGATGATATCTGATGAGACAGAAGTGGATGTGCTGAGAATGATTTGTGGCGCACTCATTCTACTTGGATATTTTCAGTTTAACTTTAAAAATCTCGGAGGAATTCCTTTCTTGCCTGAGTGCCAACTTCTGGTTGATTGGATTAAAGATTTGCATGATGAGAAGGAAGAAAATGCATTTATACGTCATATTGTCGATGAAGAAGTTGATGAAGCAAAGGAATTGTCAATTACTTTTTCCAAGTCAGTTTGCAAAACATACAATTTCCAAGGTAATTTCTATCAAGCAATTTACATGTATTGTTATTATTTCAGGTTCTACATACCATTGTTTGTAATATGTGGAATTGGATATGTATTAACTTTCGTGTCCAAAGAAATAGTCTTTCTCAAAATTCCATATCTGACTCCCGATTATCACTTAACATATATGATAATTCAAGCATTTTCAACACTAATGGGAACAACATGGAATGCTTTATCAGACACTGGAATTATCATCATCGGAATTTATGTGATAAAATCCATCAAGATTATCAACAGGATGATAAAGTGTCTGGACGATAAGGATGCAATGAAGAAATGTCCGAATCTTTTGATTCACATCCTTGAGAAGCACATTGGAATGATGAGAATTCTGGGCACTTTCAATGATGTCGTGAAGTTTATGTCATTAATTCAATTGATCATGAGCACATCAATTTTCCTCGTAATCATTTTCTCTATTCAAATTTTTAAAGATATGATTGTTATGCATGTGATTCTCTTTACGCTTGTTATTCAACTAGGACTCTTATGTCTCTTTGGTGAATTAATTCGATTCCAAACAGAGCAGATTTTCCAAAATCTTTACCTCACAAATTGGTACGAGATGACTCTGTCTGATCAAAGATTTCTCCTTACAATGATGGCGAACTCTTGTAAACCGATCGGACTTAAAGCCGCTGGAATGTACGATGTTTGTCTCATGTCTATTGTTCAAGTAAAGTATTTTTCCAGTTCATGTTACAATAATGAAAGTGAAAAGAATTTTTTTCTTCTTATTACAGATTCTCAAATTATCTGTATCGTATTCAGCTATAATTCTCACAATGGCATACAAGTAAATGAAATTTTCAAGATTTTTTTTCACTCTTCTAATACAAATTAAGAAAATTCTCAATAAATATTTAATGAGTGTGTAAAAGTGTCTTGTTTTGTATACGAATTGAGTCTTGAAAATCGTCAAAGTCAGAATTATTGGAAGTTAATTGAAGTTAAACTCACCAACACATTTCGACAGCATGAGGATGAGGAACTGCCATTTTCCAATAAGTAATTTAGGTGCACAGAAATACCCTAGAATTCTGCAATTGGTTTTTCGGGGAGAAGAGAAAGATTGAAGCAAAAGCATATGCTCCATACCACATATTAAGCATAATAGTAAAAGAAATTAAGAATTTCGGAGCGTTGCCTAAAAAAGTTTTAATTTTACTGTTTCATTGTGAGCGAATTTGGTGATAATTCTGCACTACGATCAGATGATCGTGATGACTCTCCGCGTGTGACTCTCACGACGCTCTTTCGGCGCGTTTCTTCTCCTTCTCGGCCTCCCACTCGAGCGGATGCGACATCTTGTTGTGGCGGAAGTAGTTGGCGTTGCTGTTGAACTGCTTGGGACAGAACAGGCAGGAGTAGAGCACCTGGCCAGTGTGCGACGCCATGTGCTCCTTCAATGAGAGTGCCGTCTTGAAGGAGCGCTCGCAGAGGGTGCACTTGTGAATCCTCTGCGCCTTGTGCTTGTACTTGATGTGCTCCGTCAGGGCGGGCTTGTTCGGCGCCATGCGCTGGCAAATTGGACACTCGAGCGGTCCTGTCGTGTTGTGCCTCTGCATATGCTTCCTCATGGCGATCCTGTGCTTGAACATCTTCCCGCACACTGTGCACGGCACGAGTGGCTCTTGCTGGCTCGTGTGCTCCGCCACGTGCTGCTTGAAGAGATTCTTGCAGCGGAAGATCTTCGCACACACTTCACACACCGACACGCACGAGTTCTCATGCACGCGACGCACATGCTGCACGAGAATTGAGGCAAGAGCAAATGCTCTGCCACACGTCTGACACACATGCTTCTTGTCCTTCGGCGCCATGTGTGTGATCATGTGCGCCTTCAAGCGAGACATCTGCACGAAGCTCTGCGGACACTGATCGCACCTAAACTCCCTGAGTTCCGGGGGCGTGTGGCGCAGCTTCTTGTGAACCTGCAATCCATACTGCGTCTTGTAGTTCTTTAAGCAAACTGTGCACTTGTGCATCGTCGGATTGACATGATCGTTCATGTGCTCGTGCAGCTTCATCGGCCGGTTGAGCTTCTTCCCGCAGCACACAACATATCCTCGACACTTGTGCACCGCCCGGAAGTGAACCTGAACATCGCCGAAGCGCGGAAACTTGATCTGGCACAGTTCACACTCCATCTTGAAGAATGAATGAATCTCAGCATCGATTTTCTCATCTCTCAGGCGCTTTTCTTCCTTCTTTCGCTGGCTCAACTCCTCAAATTCCGCCACAGTCATTGATGGCAACGACGGAAGCACATCAAAGCCCCCAGTGCTATCTTCCTCATCATCATCATCATCATTATCATCATCCGGTGGATCCGGGGAAGCTTCTTTCTGCTTCCTGCCTCTTCTCTTTGCCACTTTCTTGCCGCTCGGACGTCCTACTCGTTTTCTGGACTCATCCTGGACGGTTTCTTTTTCCTCCTTAATGTCAGCATGTCCCAAAGACGCACATTCACTGTCCACGTCACTCTCCTCTTCCTTTATAGACTCCTCACTGGTTTCCAGCTTCACATTTTGTCTGAAATCCTCAGGATTCTCTTCTCGCAACTGATACTCGCCGAAAACCTCAGCCAAGCGAGCTTCATTCTGCTTGGCTTTTATGAGAAGCGTCCGAAATTCATTGACCAACTCCACACACGCTGTGCATACACTCTTTGGCCAGTTGTCCATGGGTGAGATCTGTAAAAAAAAAGCCATAAATCAACTGGAGAAACAAGAAAGACAACGAGGACTCACGGTGACTCCCATCAAGTTTCTCAGAATATCCGCAATTTCTGGGTGATCATGATCATCCCTAAAAACCTCATAATATGTTGAGTTCTGAATGAGACAGAGACGACAAGTGATGCTGGAGCATGTCAGCTCCTCTTTGATGACAATACAAGCCATTTGCGTGGGTGAGAAATGCTTAAAAATCCTTAAAAACTATACTGCACAAATTCAGTGTTTTGCTGTCACTTCTCAAAAACATAAACATCATCACTGCGACATCAGCGCCGCGGTGGCCGATAGAGACATTGATTTAGGGGATTTTTTGAAGAAATCCGGTGATTCCCCTAAAAAGTGCAGAAGAGAAGCAATTTTGCACTCTGAATGAGTGAATAAATTGGACTGAATGCATTGAAATTTTTCAATTTGTGGGCTTTTTATTCACATTTTGTATATTTAGCGAGAAATAATACTTTTTATGTCAGAATTTTGCATTATTTCATCAACTCTGGCTTCTGGAACACTTGCTCTGCCCGTCTCTTCTCCTGCTCGGCCAAGTACTCGATCGGATGAGCGTTCTTCCTGTGCATGAAGTAGTTGCCGTTGTTGTTGAACTCCTTGGAGCAGTAGGGACAAGTGTAAAGTACTTCTCCAGTGTGCAGCGCCATGTGTTCCCTCAGTGAGCGTCTCATCTTGAACACTCGATCGCAGATGCTGCACTGCAGCACTTCCCGCCTCCTGTGGATGCTCCTCACGTGCTCGCCAAGCGCCCGCCGGTTTATCGAGACGTGCTGACAGAATTGACACTGCAAATCTCCAGATGTGTCGTGACAGCGCTTGTGATTCCGCATGGCCACGCGATGCTTGAACATCTTTCGGCAAATCGGGCAAGGAATGGTGGGCTTTAGCTGACTCTTGTGCTCCGCCATGTGCTTCTCGAACAGGGATTTCGTGCGGTACACCTTGGCGCATATCTCACACACCAAATTCCTCGAGTTCTCGTGCTTCCTGCGCACGTGCTCCGTGAGAACGTGCGATGTCACGAACGCCTGTCCACACGTCTCACAGATGTGCTTCCTGTCTTCAGGCGCGGTGTGATTTATGAGGTGCGCCTTGAGAGCAGCTGCCACTGCGAAGCGCAGCGGACACTTATCGCACGCAAACTCGCGCTCCTCGACTGGCGTGTGCACCAGAATCTTGTGCTTCGCGAGAGTCTCTGTGGTCTTGTAGAACTTCAGGCACACCGAGCACTGATGCTTCACCGGCTGTATGTGATCCTGCATGTGCATTTGCAGGTAGAGAGGAGCCTTCAGCTTCTTTCCACAACACACAACGAATCCGCGACGCTTGTGTTTCGCCCTAAAGTGCTTCTGGAGATCAGGAAAGCGAGGAAATGCCAAGCCATTGCAGAGAACGCATTCCATTTTGAAGAAGGCATGGATTTCTGCATCTGTCTTCTCATCCAATGTTTTCCTACTGTCCTTCACTTGTTGTCCAGGAACTGGAGATTTTCGCTTCCTCGCCACTCTTTTAGATTCCTTCCTTCTGCTTACTTTTGATACCCCTTCATCTCCTGCGTCTGATATGCAAGTGTCTTCGTCTTTGACTTCTTCCTTCACGTTTGTCGACACAAAAACAGGAGATGTTCTGGTTTCCTGCAATATTTTATCATCTCTGACTTTGTATTCTCCAAAAACCTCAGTCAAGCGAGCTTCATTCTCCTTGGCTTTAATCAGGAGCATCCAGAAGTCATTGAGCAACTCTACACACGCTGTGCATACACTCTTTGGCCAGTTGTCCATGGGTGAGACCTGAAAAGGACAGTGTTAGTGCAACAGAAGCATTTGCAGGACCTCTTTTCCTCACAGAAATCCCAAGAAGCGTTCGGAGAACATCAACAATGTCTAGGCAATACTTGTTCGCCTCGAAAGCTGTGCAATACGTTGAGTTCTGAATCAGACACAAGCGACAAATAATACTAGAGGATGAAAACTCTTGTTTGATGGCTATTTTGTCCATTTTTCTGGTCTTGAGAGGCACAAAAATCGCTGAAAATCACGGAATTCGGTCAATCACCTCACAAAATGTAAACATCATCTGTGCTGTGCTCAGCGCCACCTGTGGACGATAGCAAAAAGTGTGATGGTGGGAATTTTATTTTCTCTCTTCTCAATCTGGCTTCTGATAGATTTGCTCTGATCGTCTCCTCTCCTGCTCAGCTTTATACTCCATCGGATGCGTCGTTCTTCTGTGATGGAAGAAGTTGCCATTGCTGTTGAACTCCTTGGGACAGTACGGGCACTTGTACAGCATTTCTCCAGTGTGATTCGCCATGTGTTCCTTCAGCGATCTCTTCATGCGGAAGATCCGATCGCACAGGCTGCAGTGATAGGATTTCCGCTCTGTGTGCACGCGCTTAATGTGTTCGTGCAGGGCTCGACGATTGGCCGCCACATGCTGACAGTACTGGCACTCGAGATTGCCGGACGTGTCGTGTCTGCGCTTGTGCTTCTGCATCGCCTCGTAGTACTTGAACAGCTTGCCGCAGAGTGGACAGGGAATGGAGAGCGTGAGCTGATTGTTGTGCTCTGCCATGTGCTTCCTGAATAAGTACTTGCTTCTGTACACTTTGGCGCATATCTCACACACCGAATCCATCGCGTTCTCGTGCATCCGACGGATGTGGGCGGTGAGGACGTGTGATGCGGGAAATGCCCTGCCGCACGTCTCGCAGATGTGCTTCCTCTCCTCCGGCGGCATGTGATTCACCATGTGACGCTTGAGCGCCGACGCCAGTGCGAAGCGCTGAGGACACTTGTCGCACGCAAACTCACGCTCCTCAACCGGCGTGTGCTGAAGCTTCTGGTGTGTCAGCAGAATGTCATGGCGATTGTAGTACTTGAGACAGATATTGCACTGATATTTGATCGGATTCCTGTGATTCTCCATGTGCAGCTGCATCTTCATCGGCGAATTCAGCTTCTTGCCGCAGCACACAACATATCCGCGGCACTTGTGCTCCGCCCTGAAGTGCTTCTGCAGCTCAGCGAAGCGCTCAAAGTGAAGTCCATTGCACAGAACGCAGTCCATCTTGAAGAAAGTGTGTATTTCCTTGTCTCTCTTTTCATCCTTTGGCTTCTTCTCCTCCTTCACTTGCTCAACCTTCTTCACTGCTCTCATTGGTGTCTTCTTGGCGCACTTCTTGGAAGCACTCCTTCTCCTGGCACGCAACACAGCTTTCGTGCCTCTATCACTGTCTGCATCTGTACAGAAATCCTCACTTTCGTCCTTAACTTGGTCAACAAGCTCAGCTTTCAGCTGCTTCACTTCCGTTTCTATGAATACAGGAGATCCTCTACTTTGTAGAGAGACACTGAAGTCTTTATCTTCTTGGATTAGATACTCCCCAAACACGTCCGTCAGTCGGAATTCATTCTCTTTCGTCTGACTCTGAAATGTCCGGAAGTCATAGATTTTCTGCACGCAAATCGTGCAAATACTCTTTGGCCAATTATCATGCGGCGATATCTGCAATAATCAATCAGATATACTTATGCACTCTAGCATAAATGTGTGAGACTCACGTGAACACCGAGCATACTTCTGAGAACATCAAGCAGTTCCGGACATTCAACATTCTCGTCAAATACTTGATAATAGCTCGAATTCTGTGCAAGACAGAATCGGCAAATCACACTGGAGGATGTAAATTCTTGCTTAACAACTAAATTATCCATGTCTGGCTGTTCTAACTCTAGAAATTCACAAAAAATCTCACTCGTAAACTTTAATATTGCACGAAGTCAATAGAAAAATGTAAACATCCGTCTGGCGAACGCAGCGCCACGGTGGAGAATAGCAAGAACTTCGGTGCTTTGAAAACAGGTGCGCCAAAGAGAGCTTTTTGATCCTTCGAGGAATTCGCCAAAAGACAGTGAATCCTTTACATATAACAATTGTTCTTTAATTACTCTTCATCTCAATGCCCTGCGCTGCCCTTTCGGCCCGCCTCTTCTCCTTCTCGGCCTCCCACTCGAGCGGATGCGACATCTTGTTGTGGCGGAAGTAGTTGGCGTTGCTGTTGAATTGCTTGGGACAGAACAGGCAGGAGTAGAGCACCTGGCCAGTGTGTGACGCCATGTGCTCCTTCAGCGACACCCTGGTCTTGAAGATGCGCTCACACAGGTTGCACGGAAAGGACTTCTTCCTGTCCCTGTGATTGTACTTTATGTGCTCGTGCAACGCCTGCCGATTCGGCGCCACACGCTGGCAAATGGGGCACTCCAGGGAGCCGGAGGTGTTGTGCCGATAGCGGTGTCTCTGCATGGCGATGCGGTGCTTGAACATCTTGCCACAGATATTGCACGGCACCTGAATGCGCGAGATGTCTGAGTGCTCTGCCATGTGCTTCTCGAAGATGTTCTTCGAGCGGAAGACTTTGGCGCAAATCTCACACACGGACACGCACGCATTCTCGTGCACGCGCTTAATATGCTGATCCAGAATGGTTTTCAGCCCGAACGCCTGCCCACACGTTTGGCACACGTGCGTCCTCTCCTCCGGTGCCAAATGGCTGATCATGTGCGCCGTGAGTGCGGAAGACAGCGCAAAACTGAGCGGACACTTGTCGCAGTGGAACTTGCGCTCCTCAATCGGCGTGTGCTGAAGCTTCTTGTGCACCTGCAAGCCTCCCTGCGTCTTGTAGTACTTCAGACAGATCGAGCACTGGTGCTTCGTGGGGTTTATGTGGTCATTCATGTGCTCGTACAGCTTCATGGGTCGGTTAAGCTTCTTCCCGCAGCACACAACGTATCCGCGCCGCTTGTGCGCCGCCCGGAAGTGCGCCTGGACGTCGGCGAAGCGTGGAAAGTGAATCTGACACAGGACACACTCCATCTTGAAGAAAGTGTGAATCTCCGCGTCGACTTTCTCATCCCTCAGGCGTCTCTCCTCCTTCTTCTGCCTCGTGGCTTCATCATCAGCCTCTTCAACCCTTGAAGTCTGTCCAGAACTCTCCTGTTCGTCCTCCTCCGAATCGGACACTTCAACCTTCCGTCGTCTACCGCGCTTTTTGGGCATCTTCTTCGGGCGACCTCGCTTCTTGGGCACTTCTGAGCGTGATTCCTCCTCTTTTATCAGGATGTTCACAAGAGAAGCACAGTCATCACTGACTCCGTCGCTCTCCTCTTCCTTTATGGAATCCTCTTCAGTTTCCACCTTCACCGAATCTTCCACGTTGTCAGGGAGGCATTCAGGAACTGTTTTCTCCTGATACTCCCCAAAAATCTCCTCCAAGCGAGTCTCATTTGTCTTCGCTCTGGTCAGAAATGTCCGGAAATCATAAGTTTTCTCCACACAATCCGTGCAGATGATCTTGGGCCAATTATCCAGCGGAGAGATCTGAAAAGTACCACAAGTGACAGTCTGAAGAAGAGGAAAGGATTTGACAAGAATACTCACGGAAATCCCAATAAGACTCTTCAAAACATCCACAATCTCCGGATAATCGGGATTATCTCTGAAAATCTCATTATAAGTGGAGTTCTGGACGAGACACAGACGACAAACTACACTGGAGGACGTCAATTCCTCCTTAATGGCCATAAAATCCATTCTAGGAACCTCTGACTGTCCTCAAATCCCTTGCAAAATCCTCCAAATCCAGGAACTCTCAGACTGTCACTATTTTTCCTAAAAAATTGTAAACATCACCAAAGCGACGACAGCTCCACTTGCGGAGAATAGTGTAAAAGTGATCTTTGAATCTCATCAAAATCAACAACGACAATTGAAATGTTGGTGCAAAATGAAAACGACAAGAGTTTTATATAAAAACAGACATTTAATAATTTACTTGATTCTCGAGAGTTTTACATGTAAAATATGCACGAGATTCTCACTCGACAGAACTTGCTAAAGTCTTATAGATTCGTACGTAATACTAATTGGAATGTTCTTCTCAAGTGCGTATTGAACTGCATCGTGAATTGTTGGGAAGTTCTTGCTCATGCCCTCCTTCTCCAAGTCATACAAGTTGGACTTCTTGTAGCCCTCGTACACGGGACCTAGACAGGTCAAATTGGGTGTTATTAATTCTCTTGCAAGTGGTGATTAAGTGGTGTTAATTGAGAAAACTCACATGAAATCGCTGCAATTAATACTAGAATTGATCGTCCGCTCAGTTCTTCAATGATGGACTTGAGTGTGGCAAAACCACCAGAATCCACATACGTAACAGCCGAAAAGTCCAACACGATGCATCTCACATCGTGTGGCGATTCATCCTTCACGCCATCCTCAGTCACCGGCGCCTTTCTGCCCTTCAGGCCCGTGAGCTTGTACAGCAACTTTCGGAACTGATCGCGCGACGCGAAGTTCAGCGATCCACAGTAGTGGAAGATCTTGACATTGGGCACCTCCACGGTGCCCTTGTACTTGGTCACGTCCAAGTAGATCTCCGTGCCGGGCACGCTGCCCAGCAGGCACACATAGGGCTTCAGGCTCTTTAGCAGCAGCGTGAGAATGCTGAGTGCAATGCCCACAATCAGGCCCACATCGATGGCCACGAGGACAACTGTGAGGAAGGTGGTGAGCCAGATGAAGCCGTCGAGATGGCTGCACTTCCAGAATCTGAAGAAGTCTCTGTACTGCATGAGAAGTCCTTTCAGCGACACGAGAATTATGCTGGCCAGCACACACTTCGGCAGCGGCTCGAAGAACTTGCCGACCCACAGGAGAATCACCACCAGGATGCTACAGGACACCACGGAGGCCACCTGAGTGCGACCGCCCACAGTTTGTTGGATCACAGAGCGAGACAGCGATGCGCAGAATGGGATGCACTGAAAGAAGGAGCCGAAAATGTTGCCGATGCCCTGAAAATAGACACACACACACGCTGTCAATGGAAGGAAAAGACAGAAATAGATGTGATATGATCTTGAAGACGACAAATAATCTCAAGAGTAAAATACAAGATTTCTCTTAAAGTAAGAGATCGCGACTTCATGACAAGTTCAAGTTTTCACAATTTCACAGTCATTTTGCGCAATTTTGAAGCTAATTTAAAATGCTACCTTGAATGTTTAAAAAAAAAAAACACTTTCAAAAACTCACTTTTACATCTTTACACAATCTATACAGCAATTATGAGAAAAGCTAATAAATTCCCGTGAAATACCTTCTCTCAAGATCACAAAAAGGGCTCAAAATGGGTGAAGAAAAAATCACTCACCATCGCGAGAAGTTCCTGGTTGAAGCGGATTTTGTATTGCAACTTCTGGGCAAAGATCAATGCCATGGAAACTGTGACTGTGTAGGAAACAATGGCAATTATGAAGCTCTCTGTTGCGATCTTCGGCACCAGTGCGAATTTGGGTGTCGTGAGCATTGGAAAGCCCAGCGGAATGTCCTGGATAGTCTTCACATTCCACACTGTGGCCAGATCTAGGTAGCGAGATGCCAGAGTTCCCGTCACCACGGCGATCAGCTCAATTGGCATCGGCACAATGGTGATCTTCGCCAGGCGTGGCTTCAGCAGTTCATTGTTGATGATCAGCACAATCATCGCCACGGCGGAAATCACGCACGACACCCAATTCGCCTCCGTCACCCTCTTCGCAATCTCATAGAACGTGGTTACCACGTCGAAGTAACCCGGAATCTGGGGCAGAGACAGGCCCAGGATGTCCTTGATCTGCGACGTGAACACGTGAATGGCACAGCCCGTCGTGAAGCCGGACACGAGGACGTCTGACAGGAGTGTGGACACGACGCCCAGGCGCAAGATGTAGAAGACAAGCAGATAAATGCCCACCATGAAGGCCACAATTGTGGCCACTTCTATGGCTGTGGGCATCGAGCTGTCCGTCGACTGACTAGGATCTGCTGAGTACTTGAGCACAAGCTTTCCCACCATGATCGACACCACGGCGAAAGTCCCTGAAAGCGCACGCGAAATGCGGAAAATCAGTCTCTCTTCTGTCTCTCTAAACATTTGTTCCTCATTCAGCGGAAATATCAACACCATGTAGACAATAAATTAGTATGATTTATCATCATAACACTTTGTATTAGTTTTCAATATGAGCGAAAAGTCAATATGACAGTGAGAAAAGGTAAATGAAATTGATGAGAAATACTTCTTATTTGATGTTTTATCTAGTAATTTAAACCAAATTACAGCAAAGAAAAAAAGGAACATTTCAGCATTTTATGGCAATTACTGTGCACGGCATGCTTGTATATTTACTGTAGATGAGAGAAAAATAAGGTCGGTTATCAATTAAAAAATCGACCAAAAAGATCTCTGCGATTGTGAGATTTCTCAGCAAGATCTAAAAAAACGTTTTAGAAGAGCTGATGAAATCAGCAAATTGTCCAATTTCTATGACCTCAAAATTAATTGAATGTTCGTCAACAAAATTATTGTATGAAAATTGCTGAAAATCTAAGATTTTCCCGATAGAACAATAACTTTGCCACAATCTGCTTAACTGATTTAAATTGTTACTTTTCTCTTCAATGTCTGGAGAAATACACAAATCTCTGGTATATATTTTATTTGTAATTCAAATGAAGTTCAAGGATGTTCTTTATCGTACATTTTATACAGTTATAAAGCCACTTTTTATAGTTCATATAATGCTTGATATAATATGAATTTAAAAAAAAAACACCTCATTTTTGTAGAAGAAAGTTTCCCGTCAAGTTCATTCAGAAGAGCGTTTCTCTCGCTGCGAAGCTTCTTCAACTTTGCTCATTAACAAATTTGTAAACTTTAATTGCCTAATTGATTTTCCACTGTTTTGCAATTCCACAACTGACCGGCAATTAACAGTGCAGCAGCAAGAGAAGAAGAAATACTCTCATGAATTGGAAGAGGTGAATAAAAATCCACGTGGTTGCATTTTGCTCGAGAAGTGTGTGACCTTTGAGAAGGACATGCGTAATGTGATCTTGCTGCTTTAGAGAGAGAGAGAGATTAAGATTCGAAGTGATTTGTTGACGCTTCAAAATTCCTTATTTGATTATGTCGCGATAAATCGCTATCAAGATCACACCCAACATCTTCCTGGACTTTCGTCAGCCAAGCGCGCCAAATCCAGCGGAAACCCGCGCATTGATCACGCGATCTGCGGTGTGGCCATTTGATGATCGCGCCGCGTGGGAATGTCTGGAACTCTGGAGAATAAAACACCAAGAATCACGCGCCAAAAGGAGCCGATATTGACAAAGGTTAGTGTCAAGCACGTGACTGGTTTGCCAGCACTCACGACGATCACCGGATTCTCTCGCTCTCTCATTGATCATTTGACTAAATCCAGCATCTTTCGGTCATTACGCATTACTGCTCGGGTGGTTGCTCACCTTGCTGATGGCACAGCAAGACAGACGAACACGTGAAAATTGGCGGGTAAAGCCGCGATCACTTCTCTCTTCCCGATCGCGATTCTCTCCATCTTCACCCCAGCAATCAATTTATGATGCAGTCGTGAGACAAATTAACTGTTTATTGCTTCTTTTTGGCTGCTCCTCACCTCTTCCCCCGTCCACATTGCATGCGCACACATAAATAAATAAATAAAAAATTTGTGCGAGTGTGCAAGAGATAAATCGAAAGAGCGATGCGCGCCGTTTTCTGGCAATAACCAGATTTCCTGGAGTGTGCGACTTCACAATCAAATTCAAAGATCTCCGTGACAATTTCACATTAAGCACAACTCCTCAAGTGTGTTTCCCCACTCTCCAGTGATACGTGATACTCTCTGTGTTACAACAGGGGAGAAAAATAAACACTGCATTGCACTCCTAAATGACTCATGAAATCGCATACAAGCACTTTGACGTGTCTAAATATTGTGCAAAAATAAATTAAATATTTCATCAAGTGGATTTGCTGAATCTCTAAAAAATCTTCATTCAATCCAGAGTTATGGAAATATTTCTTTTTTAAAATATAATTGAGCAACGTGAAATTGTGGTAATTGCCAGTGTTTGGCATCAGAAAGGGCGAACAGAGTGGCTAAATACAGATGTCGATGGATTGGATTAATTGAAAGGTCACTTCAACATTAAATTTCAGGCTGAGTTTCACGCATTTTATAGGTTGAACTTGAAATGGACTTGAAGGTTTTTTGGGTTTAACCTTTTGGCGTGATTGACAGAATTTGTTATTAGTGACAAATAAATCCCATTTGGGAGATGAAAATGACTTCAATTTTGACCTCAGCAACTCCATTTGAACCATATTTCCAGCCTAAAACAGTGCTTTAGTGATTAATTAAGAAGTTCGGGAGTAAAGAAAACTTTGAGAGAAACATATTTTTGTTTGCTGACGCAGTAAGATTGTAAAGAATTTTGCTTGGAATTTTGTTATTGCAAAGATTCTCTCTAACTTTGTAGGAAGTTTGCACGTTGAAGCCCACTAAGAGAGAGTCAATAATAACAGCCACACTTTTGGCATCTGCGTTCCAGTTTTATCCCTAAACGTGTCTCGTACTTTTTCTTCTTTCGAAACACGAGTTTAACCTATTTTATTGCAATTCAACCCCCTAAATCCTTAAGTAAACTGTTCGTCTTCACACTATAGTCAAACAAAGGCTGTGCAAAGTGTGTAAAAGGCGCTGCAGCATTTCGACTGCGCCACTCTGTGATCGCGTATACCTCCTCAATTCACTCAACTGAACCCACTTAATTGATGTGTCTTCTGCGTATGCCACAGCATTTAAGAGGCATATCTAAGTCAATTGATATTGAGTTGAATGTTGATTGGACATGATCATGATTTGGGATGGAAATGCGCACTGGCAGGATGATTTTGCGTCGTCGATCCTCTGCTGGCTTGAGCGAAAGGAGTTGATCAGGAAAGATACTCACCCATTGAGTTGTGACGCGACGTGCCGAAGAGGAAGTAGATGAGGACGGGAAAGAATGCCGTGTAGATGCCCATGATTGCCGGCACATTGGCGAGCAGGGCATAGCCCATGCCCTGCGGTATGTGCATCACAGCCACTGTGCAGCCCGAGATGAGGTCCAGCGGCAGGTCCTGACGCAGCGAGTAGGATCTACCCCAATCCATGATGGGAATCACGGACAGGAGGCTCCGGAAGAAGTCCACCTGCTTCGCGTTGTGCACCACAGACTTCCATTCTGCAAAGTCAGAACGAGAGAGAGCACTTGAAGATCCCACTCACGATCGCATTTGCGGCGATCCTCTCTACTCACTGCTCTTCTTCGGATTCTCATATTGAAAATTCTGATTAATCTGCTCTAGGCGATAAATTGGCCGAGTGACTTTCACTGCTATCGATTCATTCGGCACTGTCATTGTGTCACACTCTTTTCGCCCAACACTTGTTCCCTAAAATCGTGTTATAAACAAAATTGCACTGACTGTGATTCAGATATCACCCACAAATTTGTCTCTCTCTCTCTCTTATAGCTCTCCCTCGCGTGTGTGAATCAATTGTGTCTCGATCGACGTTTCAAACTCAACTGAATCACAAGTTTGCGCGCGCGACAGGCAAGTTGTGGGATCGCGACGATAAATAAAAATAAGATCGCGAGTCGCTGTGCCGAAAAAAAAGCGCACAGACATCTTCTGTGCACACTTCCACTCTATCACGGGGTTCACGGGAATTCCTTCGGATGAGCAAAAAAGACCCCTTCATGGTCTCATGACTCTCCATGACAACAGGAACACCGTGTACGATCGTGGCGGAAGAAATTTTCCATTACCTCTTCTTATGGGAGATTGAGCGGAAAAAACAGTGGGGAAACGTGACAAATTTTATTATTCTTCTTCCACTAGATGTGAAATTCGATCACTCAATAACGCCAAATATTTGTCATTATATCAACTCATTGAGCGGCACTTTTGTGTTTAAACAGTAATTTTTGCGAAAACACTACGCACTTCGATAGCAACAGCACGGGGAGTTTTGCAATTTTCCCCCCCGTGAAACTTTTTCCAGAGAAGTTTGCTGGATTTTGTGTGCGCAACTGCGAAGCACGCAGAGAACAACACTAAAGAGCATTCCTGATCAAATAGCACGTGAGCTTGGCGCCCACCCACGTATCATCATCTTTAGGCTGCTTTTTGCACATAAGAGCAGATTGCCAGTGGAACAACTGATGGTGGGATTATTATCAGCATTTTACATCGCATTGCAATTCAATCTGATATTGCAATTATGCACAAAGTGGCACGCAAGATCGCTTCTAGTGCAATCTGCATTGACTCCCCATCAGTAAACCACACAAGCAAACTGCGAATTCCCAATATATTATCTATTTTTCACACAAACTGCTAAACTAGTGAAAAACAGTTCGTTGAAAAGTGCCAAGAAGCCCCAAAAATACACATAATAATCTCTAATTTTCACTGCGTAATTTCGCCTTCACTCCTTCACTCTTCACGCGATGATGTGTTTTTCTTCTCGCACTTCCTTGTGTGCCACAAGAACGCGTCACATGATCGACGGACAAGATCAAGACGTGGTCGCGACTTTGCGCACGCTCGAGCGCGAATCAGGCTGAAAAATGGATTTTCAGCATCGCGGCGAGAAACTGTGGAAAAATGCGGGTCAAATACAGTTTTCTGTTGAGCTATTTTTCCCACCGTTTCTTCCACTGATGGGCATTCGATAGTGTTATACCTTAAAGTTGATGTTCTTTGAAAACATTATAGCGCGTGCGCCACTCAAAAGTCAGATATTGGATACTTTTTGCTTAATTCTCTCTTCAAAATCAAACTCTGGCTATCAAAATTGCTGCATTTTATAATCAATTCCTAACAGATGGATCAATTCCCACTAACACTGCATTGAAAATCAGCAAAAGATAAAGTGTCCACTCTTATTTTGCGTCTAGCATTCTATAAACTAGGTTTAAACCCAAATGTGTAAGTCAGAGTGGACAAAAAACAATCACGAAAAACAAACTGATAAAGAAATCTCATACGCAAATTGTTCCTTTCAGTGACATTCCCTCTTGTAATCTTCACGTCACAGATCGGCGAATTGCGGCACAAGCAGTTCAGAGATCAGTGGTGATCGTACTGTATCTATGTTGAATGGGAGGTGCGCGATTCTCAGCTGTTGCGCTGTGAGACAGACATTCTTGAACTTAGACGCTCCGATACAGTGAAGGTCGCGAATGGGTCATTGCATATCTAAATATAGGCGATTTTGGCGGGCTCCGCACTCGGAGGCACACTTCTCAACCACATCACACACGATCACGCCGTGCTGCACTGTTTCATTGGCCACGGCGACGCGCCAAGAGCGAGGTGGTCATTTTCGGCACACCGAAGCACGTGGTGAGCATCTTTTTGTCGCAATTTGAGCAGTGCGGAAGACATCGGAGTTCCAAGGGGAAAAGCGCCCAATGACGCTAAACCTCTTCACAATCACGTGCAATCAGTGATTTCAGGACAAAGACCAATGATCGTACGGTTTTTGCTTGGTGATTTGTTTCCAATTCAAGATCACAACAGCGACTGCCCTTTAGTCGCGATCGCGCACAGAAACACCAAGTCGAAGCAGAGTGTGCTTATCACTGTGAATGAAGCAGGCACAAAAAAAGCTTCCTTTTTTCGCGAAATCGTGCACTCACAACAAATGTGACACATTTTGCGCTGACGAACGATACAAAAGCTGTAAACTTTTGCCATCTTTGGCGCTTAGGATCATTGCACACACATGCGGAAGATTAGACATTTTAATATGCCATTGCTCGCTTATTGCTGTGATTCCGCAAAAGTTACTTAACATCTTCAGATTTTAGCGGTTTTCCAGAGACAAACACAAAGAAATTCTATTTTCATGCTCGTGATCGTGAATCACATTTTCTGCAACTCTTTTTTGCCAATAAACTTCACAAATAAAATTAAAATCGCATTGCAATTTGCACAGTGTGGCCTTTATTGTTCAATTCAATCACTCGTCTTTTCAATAAGAACACACATATTGCAAATAAATGAAATTGACGAGAGAATTGAGAGCGAGAGAGAGACAAAGTGAATCAATATCGCACACTTTTACGACTTTTACCCTAAAACCACACGTTTTATTGCTTGATGACAAAGTGAAAATTCCAAGGAAAGTTCTAAGATTGTCACTTGAGATATAAAAGTGGCCGGAAGCAGTTTCCAACAAGCGACCACCTTGTTTTGCACTCAATGTACTTCTGGCGCGAAGGAGTGATAAGACACTCTTTCGCACTGTATCACGTAAAATCTCCCCAATGAGATGAAAAGTTAATAAATTACAGAAGATTTCACGTATTCTCGCCTTATCATGATGGTTGTTTACTCGTAAAACGACCACAATTAACTTGAACAGACGTAATTTAGATGGTGACAGCGAAAAACATAATTAAAAAGCAAAAGTGTAGTTCACACATGATATTTGTCGCCTCTAAAATTGTTCCACTCGCAAGACACTGTTTCTCAATGAAGGTAATTACTTTGTTGGTTCTATCAAGAAAAAACCAACAATACATTTGCATATAAGAACTCTGCTTTTAAGGGAGCGTTGAAAATTTTCCACATTGTAAGAATATGCATTGATTGATGTTACGAAATGTCTTATTGATCTCCACACGATGCTTTAATTGTGGCAAATTGAATCAAATCAATCGAACTCTTCGTCTCGGCACGAGATTGTGTCAATAAATATGCATTTGTTTGATGTATTTGGAAAAATTTTCCCTTTTATCGCATGTAAGCAGAATAAAGTTAAGTATTTTCCTACAAAGTTACAATACAAATAATCAATATCAAACTATAATGTTTGACTCTTCAAGTAGTGATAAAATAGTGTTTAAATGTCTGTCTGTAATTTAACCTATATTATGATTAAGAAGAAAAATTTTCCAACTTACCAGAGATTTGTTCTTATATAGATCATTGTTTGTCATCCAAATCTAGCCATATTAGATTTCTCACAAGATTCACTTCAATTGTTGAATTCTAGTTATTATTTGAAGAGTAAAAGTCAAGGCATTGACTTAAGACAGATCAACAAAATAGTATTTTCTACGCATTCTAGTCGAAAAAAAAGATGAATGCGAAACTGTGTGTGAGAGATAAGAATCGTCCTATTTACACTTTCGCGGGTGTACATGAGATAAAATACATGAAATATATTAACAAGGATTATAATATTTTGAAAAACTCGTCTCAATTTGATGGACAAGACTTTGAAACACATTAAGATTATTTCAAGGACTTGGATAATCTTGTACTGTGGGATTTATTCAGCATTCTTACTGGAAAACCGGTCGAGTTTGCTTGAGTTGACTCCATGCTGAGATATGATTTTTCGGAACTATGCTAATCTATGCTGAATTTAGGAAGTGTTTTCCCACTTTTTCACTCATCTCGTAAACGTGTTATTCGAAAAAAAATGTTGTAAAATAAACCATCAGGTTATGCAAAGTAGATTGATAGAATAATTTTTTTTTCTTTTTGCCAAAAATCACGTGCCAAACAATTAAGAATATCCAGCTTGGAGAGTTTCTTGGCATCTCGAGATGTGAATCACAGAAACTCTATGACGACTAGATTTATCGACATTTGCAATTTAAAGTTAAAATGATCCAAAAGAAATTAATAACATATTGAATGCCAATGACAGACACTTTTTATGGAAATTGCATTGACGCGAAATCATTGAGGATTAAGTGAATTTTCTCGAGATTTTCACAAGACCTCGCAAGATTGCACACCTTTTTTTGCCTTCATCGCATCCGCTCGACAATTTGCCCATTCAAACTCAGCGCATTGAGAGACATCTTTCGCACATTATATGTTGTGTACTAAAAAGACAAAATGTTTTTGAACAGAAAAGAAAAAATCATTTCTTAATATAAACCTCAAAACTTTACAAAATCCTCTATTTTATGTACAGAATTCAGATTAAATACCTCACATTTTTTATATATAAATATAGGACAATATCACTCTCAGAAAACACCACTTTTTTGTGTTATATAAATTGAAGCGCTTCGACGTGGAAATATGACACGAAATGATCGTTGATAATTGCAAACAGTGTTGAAAATTAGTGATAAAAAGATTTGAGCTACGTTTACCATGAGAGCTTTGGCGCCATCACCGATGATTCGTCACTCTTGTCGCGCGTTGCCTTGTACGCCTCGCGTTCCTGATCAGGATACTTGGTGGGCAAATTGGGTGAGTGCAAATTCACCTTGGCCCCATAGCGAATGCCCGCGATCTCGATCTCATAGTCACCGCTGAGCACATACTCGTTCGACACCTTCTCCGCCACACCCTCCGGACTGAGGTTCTGCACGAAACCCAAGCACACTTGGCGCTTGAACGTGAACCCATAGCTGGCCGTGGTGATCTGGCCGCAGAAGTCACCGTTGCGGAAGATTGGCTCGCCACCCATCGGCCACATGTCCACTTCGGAGTCGTGATCGTTGAGCAGCAGTTGCACATACAGTCGATTCACACCCTCGTCGCGCTGCTTCATCAGCGCATCCCTGCCGATGAAGTGGAAAGGTTTCTGGAAGAGACACACGAGAGAGACGTGAAAGAGTTAATAATAATGTTATATTAATGTTATTAATAATGAGTCTTCCATTTTACAGTCAGATTTCGTCCTTTTTAACCCAATCTAATGACATTTTAAGAGATTTCAAAAAAAAGTCGAGTGGAATTCATCAGAAAAACGATGTCTTAAGTAAAAAATGCAAATACTCACATCGAACTTCACGCGCCACATTCTTCCGCATTCCAGCGGTGTGGTGAATGTGTCCAAATCCTGTCCCCAGAAGGCGAAGAACTTCTCCACTCGCAGCGCCCTCATGGCATAGTAACCACAGTGCCTGATGCCGTACTTCTCGCCCGCCTCCAGCAGTCTCGTGTACACGTGCAGCGCGAACTCATTGGGGATGTACAGCACGAAGCCCAGCTCTCCGGTGTGCGTGAGATTGAACGCACGAATGCCATTGGCCAGGCCCACATCGAGTTCGCGGTACGTGAAGAAGGGGAAGTTCTTGGGCGCCAAGTCCGTGTCTGTCAGCTCGGAGAGCATGATGCGAGAGAAGGGGCCCATGATGCAGATGGCCGTGTACATGGAAGTCACATCGGACAGACTTATCTGTCCACCTGGCGGCATGTGGCGCTCAATCCACGCCTTGCAGCGCGTCTGCTGGATCGTCGGTGCGATCATGAAGTAGTGACTCGGCCCAATGCGCGCCAGACTGCAGTCATTCTCATATCCACCCTGCTTGTTCTGCATCCCCGTGTGAATGATCGTGCCCACGGGCACATCGACATCATTGGAGCACAGGTGCTGCAGCAGATCCACAATCTCGCGCCCCTTCGACCACATGTCCACCTTCGTGAAGGAGCTGTAGTCGCACAGACCGATCTTCTCCCGGCACGCGTTGTACTCTTCAGCGGCGTATTTGAACCACGACGGCTTGGCGAACGTGCGCGTGGCGGCGATGCGATACTTTGGCACACCATTGTCGTCCAGGCAGTGCTTCTGGTCGAACCACGACGGACGCTCGTAGCCCATTGTCTGGCCGAAAACACCTCCGGACTCCTTGAAGGCGGGGAAAATCGGTGACATCCGCAGCGTGCGGCCAGTCTCGAATTCCTGAAAGGGATATGGGATGGCATAGTGCAGTCCTGGCACCTCCCGCACCCTCTCACGCAGGAACTTGCGGTTGTTGTGCAGTCCCAGGAAGCGCGATATGTCCAAGTCGTGAATGTCCACCGTTGAGTAACCCTGCGTGATGAGATCCGCAATGGCGAAACCCAGTCCGGCCGTGGAGACATTCTGGCTTCCCGTGGCCACCAGGTAGTTCTGTATTTCTGGGCTTTCGCCCACAATCCACTTGCCGTCCGGCGAGAAGACTTCAGGAACATTGGAAAGACGCTCGAGGAACGCCTCCTCCAGACAAGGAACGCGCTTTATCAACTCCTCGAGAAGCACATGGAAGTGATCCCAGTCCACAGGCAGTTGCATGGAAGCGGCATTAGCTGTGAATAGAGAATCAGGTTGAGATACGCTCTCAATTCCGCCACAGACAAGCTCATCATCTCAATACCCACGTGGAATCAGGCCATCCTCGAAGGCTGGCTTGGCATTCTTCTCATACCCGCCGGCCAGGAGTCTTCCGTCGTTCTCCCGGAAGAAGATCTGTCCGTCCAGATCTCGTATCACAGGCGCTTCGGGCGACAATCCGTCCACTTGCTTCGTGTGCAGATAGTAGTGTTCGGCGGCGTGAAGAGGAACTTTCACGATGGGATCAGAGAGCAAGCCCACATCTCTGGCGTGGAGAGTGGCGCAATTGACAAAGTACGTGCCGTAAACAGTGCCCAAAGATGTCTCAATGGCCTGACCGCGTCCCTCGGCGCGAGAGATGCTCCTGATCGCGCACTTCTCCACAATCTTCACGCCCATCTTCTGCGCCTCGCGCAAAAGGCTCTGGCAGATGAGCATGGAATCCGCCACGCCGTCAGTGGGAATCCAGAGGCCGCCCAGAATGTCAGACACTTCGAGCAGCGGGAAGACCTCCTTGCACTGCTCTGGACTGAGGATGCTGCACTCAATTCCCCAGCCGCTGCAAAAGGTCAAAGTTTAATGTGAGATTTAAGATATCCGCAGTATTTTTAACTCTTCAACACTAGATTAACCGACAAGACCGAATCAAGTGAAAATCTGCGTCGCTATTTTCATCACAACACTGTGGTAAACATTCGCCAGAGACAAATCAATCCAACTCACGTGCTTTGTGACTTCATGCGCCGAAAGACGGTCATTCTGTCGCGCGTCCTGGCCAGATTCAGCGATCCGCATTGCCGCCAGCCCGTGGGAAGGCCCTTGTCCGTGAGTTCCTGGAACAAGTCGATGGACTTCTGCACCAGCTTCACCTGTGACAGCGTGGGCTTAAACGCACCCACGAGTCCGCTGTTCTCCTGCCACACGCGCCCGTCTGTGACGGTGTCCTGATCCAGCAGGATCACCTGCGCACCCATGCCCGCCTTGGCCAGGTTGTACGCCACGGACGCCCCAATAATACTTGCGCCGTATATCACAACGTCCGTGCTCTGCGGCAGGGAGCCCGACTCCAGCTTCCCATCCAGCCATAGGGCGCTCGTGGAGGCGGCCGAGAAAGCCCGTCCGGAAGACTCTCGCGATTTTGTGTCAAGTTTGGAGGCTCTTTCCTGGCCACCGGCGAATTGACGAGGGAATCTGCCATAGTGTGCGTGTCCGGTGAGAGTTCTCACGGCAAAATCCACACCCTTCTGCACGAGGACTTGCCTATTTCGTGTGAAAAACATTACTTTTCGCGAGGTGCACTGAATCCTTCTCACATTTCACACGGCAAAGTGTCACTGATGAATTCGCCGCAAGATTCGCGATATTTCGCCCGATATATCGTTTGGTTTCGCGCTCTTTCACAGTCCAGTTTTATGACTTCTTTCTCCTTGACAAATTTTCACAATAGTCAATTTTAGAAATATTTCCAATAATTCTGTCTCAATCTTTGGGAATTTTCTGTTTATTGGGATTCTTCTGGAATTCTTCCAGAGACTATAAATAATTGTTTATCACCATTCAAGAAGCATTTAAATGCAATTCTTTCATACATTTTTCGCGTTATTCCCAGTATTTAAGGATTCTCTTTCACGAAAAGCAAATCATTAAGTTATAGTACCAGTGAGAGTTAAGTTGTGAAACAAATAACAACATGAAATCAATCTTCTTCGTCATCTGTCTTGTGCTGTTTATTATTGTACACACAGAGGCTGAAGACACTGAAGACATCATTGGTGCTCTTCCCAAGCCCCCAACATTGCCGGATGTTGGTGAAATTAATAAATTCCCTTCACCACAGGACTGTAATAAAAGAATTTTGTGTCTTTTCTGATATACTTTAAAAATCTAATTGAAATTTTTCCTTCTAGTTCTTCAGGTAATCAAAGAGAAGATTTGTGTCCCTCTCTGTAACATCATCGCAAGTAATCCTACCTTATCATACCTTGCTATAATCATTGATGCCCTGTGTAAGTGTTGAGAATGTAAGAAAATTGTGATGATTTTTATCTTAATGTTAATAAAATAGAGCACGTGAGAAGAATCAGTAGAAGGACCTTTAAATTCAAAATCTCCGTTGTCGTGGCGCTGCTCACCACTGAGATGAAGTTTGCCTTTGACGCATCGCATCTGGCAATCCCACTGTTTTTCATCACAACATTCAGCTGTTGAGGGTGTTTTGGGCAATTTTCCGGGCTTTTTCACGCATTTTCACAGAATAAAAGTGCATTTCTGATCCCCATGTGATGCATTCCACAGATAAACAGTGAATAGACACGCACAAAAGTGTGAAAAATGTTCCCAAGTGAGTGTGTTTGTTTAGGCCGTTTAGGCTAAAGACCCGGACAATTGTCAGTTTGTGGAGCTCTTCTGGAGGCTCCGCGCGCCGGCTTCCGGCCTCAGTGTGAGGCTTTCCCAACAGCGTGAGACGCCCATGTGGTGGTGGTCATTATGAATCCGACGAGTCTCTATGTGTCAGTGTCGCGACTTGTCTTCCAGACGGACAGCCTGGAGCAGAACTGGACAGATCTGTTTCGGCTCATTCCGTACTTGCGGCAGTCGCTGTCCTGCTGCGTGTGTGGCAACCTCCTGATGGAGCCCTACTCGCCTGACTCCCCGTGTCAGCACCACGAGTGCAAGACGTGCATCGGCGGCAGGAAGAATCTCAAGCCCTCCTGCTCGTGGTGCCGCGAGTACCAGAAGTACGAGGAGAACGTGCAGCTGCGCATCCTGCTGCAGTGCTACAAGAGCCTGTGTGAGCACATCAAGTCCTCGGGCATCTACCAAGTGATGATGAAGCAGGTGCAGTCGAGCGTGAAGATGAACGGCACTGGCGCCGGGGCGAGTCTGGTGGACATCATTGACGAGGGCGTGATGTTCAAGGATAACTTCAAGAGCACAGCCGGACTCTCCAAGTCCGCCTACTCGATCCTTCCCTGTCTCTACACCTCCATTCCCGTGTCGTCGAGCGCGCGGGAGCCCGCGAAGGTCGCTGAGCGCGTCAGCGTGGGGCCCTCGACGGTCACTACGGCGCTATCGGTGCCTCGCCCACAGCCCATCGCGCCCCCAATGCAGCCCGCCATCAAGACGGTGTCCAACGGCTCGGCCATGTACTCCGTCCTCTACGCTGGCAACGGCAACAAGATCACCATCAAGCGCAAGACGGCGGAACCCACTCCGGCGCCGCCTCCACAGCCGCCCGATCCGCAGATCCCCGCCAAGGCCACCCTGCCGTGCTTCAAGAAACCCTTCCAGGCCACTACTAAGGCCGCCGCCGCCGCAGCCAAGGCGGCCGCCAAGCGGAAGGGCTGCCGCTGCGGCAACGCCACCGCCACACCTGGCAAGCTGACATGCTGCGGGCAGCGCTGTCCGTGCTACGTGGAGTCCAAGGCGTGTCTGGACTGCAAGTGCCGCGGCTGTAGGAATCCCCACCGGCCGGACGGCTTCAAGGTGCGGCCGCGCATTCCGGAACTAGAGAATCTAGAGCTGAGCCTGGATGCAGCCAGCGCGATGCCGGACTTTGGTGGCCAAGCGGCGGAACCCTTCCATCAGATGGAGCAGGAGTGCTCCATGGTGGATCAGCACATCACACTGGATCACAGTCCTCCCAGTCCTGTCGTCTTCACGTCCACCAGCCTCCAAGGTAACATCCAGGGTGAGTTTGTCTCTAAACCATTCATTAACTGATAATGCTCCCAAGGAGGCTCTGGAGAAGGAGGATTCTTTCAATCAGCTTTTAAAATGCTATCAGTTGATTTTCCAAAGTGAACAATCGATTTTGAGATAAGGCAACTTTCACTACGAGAAAAGAAGGTTAAAATCGAATCGGGAAATTTCTTGGAATCTGGATATCCGAGACACGAACCGGTGAAATTTGGAGAATTTGTGCTGAAATTGACTCTGACCTCTTTGCAGTGCTGAACGTGTACTCGGGCAGCTTGTCTCCCGCCTCCACGACCGTTCCGGCGATCCTCATGAGCGAGACTCCGGCCACGTCGTCGACGTCCTCTTCCAGCACGTCCTCGTCGTACGCGCTGAAGGACAACTACGGCCTGCTGAACGCCGTGTTCGCGGAGGAGATCGTGGATTCGCAGGATTCGCTGCTCACAGACGACGATTCACGCGAGCAGGCGTCGGATGAGGATGAGTTGGAGCAGAGCGACATGGAGATTGATATCTAGGCGGCATATTATGGAAATTGGACGAGTGCAATCTTTGCGTCAGCCAAAAAAAGCAAATCCGCGACGAAGAGATGGAATCCCTTCATGTTTCTCGCGGTGGATCTTTAGCCAGGGAAATATCTCTGCGTGTGTGTGTGTGAAACAATAGAATGTCTTTATATCAGAAGAAGAAAAAAAGTGGAATAATTCTTAGCGATGATATATACAAGTTTTAGTGGAGGAAGAAAAGGAACTTTATACAGTGGAAATCCTGTCACTTAATTTCTTTCGCTTTTATACCTGGCAAAGAGTGTGAAAACCGAGAAAGAGTTTAACTGTGGAAAAGTCTCTTATTGGATTATGCTTTATTTGAAACATGAAGAACTGAAGCTGACATCCAGTTTACACACACGCTCTCGAGCATGTTAAAAAATCTTTGGAGAATTTTAAAATTTCACATAAATTTATTGTTGTTTAGGCAAGGTGATGATGGGGTTAGATGAAAAAAAAAGAAAGGAAACAAAGATGAGACAAAAATACAAAATACTGTAAATTATTTTTTATAATAAAATTAAGCTCTTAAGTGTAAAAGATTTCTCTCTATTCAATCATCTTCAAACTCACTCTTCACGCTAACATTTTCGCCTTTTGTTCGCTTGCGCTTCAGCGTGTCTTCCGAAGTGTTTGAATCACTGTCCGGAGCGTCAGACTTTCTGGAGCGCAGATTCTTATAGTGATTCCTCTTGATGTGATTCACGTAGTTGGAGACTGAGATGACGGGCATTCCGTTTTTCCGCTTGCGCCTGGCATCTTGGCTCAATCTCACCTCCTTGTCGCACTGCGAACAAAACACGCAGCCGAACACATCGTTCTCGCCATACCGGATGCTGATGTCCAGCTCGTCCGCGTCAATGGTGTGTTCCATGTCATTTCGCTCAAAGAAACTCTGGATTTTCTGCCTCAATCCCAACACTGTGACTGGAAATTGACTCTCGTGCGGCAACTCCTTGCACTGCAAGGGATCCAGAGGCTCCGCTTTACAGCTCTCGATCGACTGCTGTCTCAGATAGGCTCCTGTAGGCTCTCTCTTGTCCGAAACAGTGTCCAAATCCGCTTGGATACAGTTCAACAGGAGTCTTCGGTGTCCGAGAGGAATCTTGAAGTGTTCCGTGCACGAAGCGAAGTAAGAGAAGAACTCTGGTGTGCGTGGACAGAAGCTAGGCATCTCTTCCTGACACATCTTCTCCATAGCGTGAAAATCTTCCTCTTTCACACTACAAAAGGTCGCCTTGGAAGCGAAGCCGTTGAGGAAGAGGAGATTCTTCAAGTACTCAGGCAAGACGTTTCTCTGCCTTGCCTCCAAATCAGAGAAGAACCGCCTAGCATCTGTGTCTGTGTGGTAGCCTATCATGCAATTGCCATCCTCGATGGCAACTTGGCCAGACATTTTCCAGGAAATTATTCTACAAAACAATATCAGTTCTTCATTAACTTGATTGGCTTGCTATAAGATATGCATTTTCTTACAAGAATAACACGCAGAGTCCGCGAAGTGTTGTCCCAAGAAGAATTTCCAGTTGAAAATTCACTACAAAGTGCTGTTTTCTTCAAGATTTCACAGACGCGGAATTTTTAAACGTCACTAATGACAGCAACTTGAGCGCCACCGCGAGCGAAGAGGAGAAGCAGCGGAGGAGCGTCAGTATTCATGAAGACAACAAAGTATCAAGATCGTGTAGATGAGCAGGGATATCGAGCTAGTGAAATAAACATCATAGTGGGAATATCATTGGCTTGTTCATTCGCTAACAGAAAGGCTTCTGGGGTGATATTCTGAGGTATTTTGTATCTGTGTCAGCGTTTTCAGTGTGAAAATCGTGAAAGTTGTGTAACAAAGCCGACTGTCAAAATGGCAACATCCACTGAGGAGAGGACAATTTATGCTAAATTAGAGGCGATGAAAGACATTCGGTAAGCATTTTCCTATGGAAAATCATTTACAAGGCTTTCTACAATATTTTCCAAGTGTTTCTATGCAAAATAGATAATAAGAATATGTCTTTTCAAGCCTACCTTAAATTCCATACAATCAATGGCTTGAGTTTCTTGTATTTTTTCGGACAATACTCGCAAATTTTGCGTTCTGATGTTGAATTTTTGCTTGAAAAATCCATCAGAACATTTTCTTAATCAAGCATTTTCTTGAGAAGCATCCTTTAGTAGCTAAATGTCGCTTTTTAGGGTTGTTTTCCTGGGGCGTAGTGAATGGCCAATGGGAATTATATGGGAAAAGGAATCCTGTCTCAATCATATAGGAAAGAATTTGACCAACAATTGTCCTTCTCAGGCAAAAGACGATCCATTTGGAGAAGCTGAAGATGAAGATTGTGCGTGAGGTGGAGAACAGCGATGCCGAGGAGAAGTGCCTGGGCGAGTATCGCCGTGAAATGGAATTGCTGCTGCAGGAGAAGATGAGCCATGTCGAGGAGCTGAGGCAGATTCACGCCGACATCAACACGATGGAGAGTGTGATCAAGCAGGCGGAGGAGAATCGCTCACGAGCCCTCAATGTGGCCAACAGGATGCACGAGGAATACGTTCCGCTGAAGACAGAGATCGATCACATGCGGCGAGAATATCTAGGATTAGAGCGCCTGCCGGAGCTGCACGAGGAGGAGGGCAGCATAATTGGGCCAGATCGCTTCCAGGCGTTCTATAAGGGGCCCTCGCATGTTCCCCATGGTGCCACGGGAGCCTCGTTCGCCCGTCCGCCGGTTTTGCCGCACTCTTTGGCGCCCGACGTGGGCGCAGCATCGCTCTCGCCCTCGACGCCGTCGCAATTTCTCGCGCCTACGCCCGTGAACCCCATCAGGGCAGCCGCCCAGGCTGCAGCGAAGCCCGATCTGCCCGCCAGTCGACTACAGCAGCCACACGCCATCAGCATTGGCCATCCGACGTTCAGGTCTGAGTTCAATGTCAGTTTGAGGTGATTTTCTTTTGAGTTTCCTTTTATTTTCGCACAAGTTTAAGGTATTTTTCTGTGACTTATGTTAAGAAGAAATTTGTAGTTTGCGCTATTCTTTTGATTTGAGATGTTATTTAGAGATTTGAGGGTGATTTTTTTTAGCAGAAATCGCTAAAATTTATCTAACATCTATTCTCTATCGTAGGCAACAACCGCCCCCAATGAAGTCCTGCTTGTCTTGCCATCAGCAAATTCACAGGAATGCGCCAATTTGTCCTCTTTGCAAGGCCAAGAGTCGCTCCAGGAATCCCAAGAAGCCCAAGAAGAAGGATCACTAAACACGGAAATCGGCAAACATCTTAGGATTAAGAGTACTTTTAGGGATAAAATGCGTGTTTCGTGTAGAATTGATAATTGCTTTTCTTTCTGTACTTTCGTATTGTACTTATGGAATATGTGAAAAGAATGTCTTTCAGGGCATTCTTTCTGTAGTAATTAAGGAGTTCGTAAGCCAAGTAATTGATATACGATAGGGAAATATTGTAGCTTATATTTCGGAGAATAAAGTGAAGAAAAGAGGATTTAAGATTCAAATGGTTTTAATGCTTGCTATCTAACCTATAAAATTTACATTTGTTCAGCCGCTTTGGATCACATCGCTGTCCGGGGAGGGAATGTCATGAAGTCGCCGGCGCTCACGCTGAAGCAGGTAATTTTGTGGGAACGCTTTGGAGATAAGTTTTGATATCAGTTTCTCTCCCTAGTTTATGCTGCGTCAGGAGGTTCTGAAACTCTACAGGGACGTGTTCAGGACGATTCGAAGAGTTCCCCAGGAGAGCGATCGTGCGGAGCTGAAAGAGTGGGCCAGGAGGGATTTCCATGCCAATCGCCACCACACTGATGACACCACCATCAAGATGATGCTGCACTATGGCCGCAGGAGTCTCACAGAGTTGCAGAACAGCTTGGACTTGAGTGGAAACCGGTGATTTATTAGACCAGAACGTGCCAGAGAAACCTCGTGAGCAGCGCAATCTGTAGACATGTGCATAGAGATGTGATTAATAGAATAACAATGTCTCGTGTTTGACTGGAGACGCCGAATTTGGCCAGTTGGTGGCCCAGGATCACGCTTATGATGTGCTGTCCGTCGAATCCGTAGCAAGGAATCACGTTGACCAGCACCAGGCCGAAGGAGAAGACCACCAAGTAGCGCAGAAAGAGAGTGAGGGCATCGCCGAAGGCGGGAGAGATGTATCTGAGCTTTGGAATGAAGCTTGACACCCGAACGGTGCGATAGATATCACCAGGATGGCCCATGTAGACGACTCTTCTGCCTCGTCGCGTCAGCTCGAGAATTGTGGTGGAATTCTGGAGTAATGGCTTGAGACAGTAGCCCTCCTGGCCTCTATCGTTGCACTTCAAGTCTTCCTGGCAGTACCTGAGGAAGCGGGAGCTTCGGAATCTCGTTGGAATCTTTGATATTGGCAATATTGGCTTACCTGTAGGAATTCTCCACTGTTAGTCGAATAGGGAGGCACACGTGCTGGGGAATTTCGAGGATGTCATTCTCTCCGGAATACTCAAAGCACACATTGGCGAGATTTTCAGGATCACAGCACTGCGTAATCCCATCTACAGTGCCCACAGGCGTTGACTCATCGTGACTGTGTATAAACTCTGATGAGAGACAATAAGCTGGCTGTCTTCTGAGAGCCTGCAAGAGACAATCGTGCCAGGAATCCAAGTCTCTCACATCGCAGGAGTTGATCTTGGTAATGAAGTCACCCTGATTGAGACCTTTGGCGCCCAAAAGAGGCGACTTTCGCTCGATTTCTGCCACATAGATTCCTCTGTCGATGTGATAAAGCCACCCTAGAAGTGGCCTGGAGCCTTGAAGCAGCAGAAAGCCAATCAATCCCAGCGCCAGATTGTTCCAAATGCCAGCACACAAAACCCGAAGCTTCCGCCAGGCTTTCAATCCGGCCAATTGTTCCGAACTGAGCTCCGTGAGTGCCACCGGGAGGAAAAAGTACACTCGCACGCTGAATCCCAGCAGAGGAACGTCTTCCAGCACTGCTGCTACTGCGTGACCGAGTTCATGGACTACTGAACTGATCAGAAGCGTAAATAGATAGTAGTGAATCTCATCTAGAGGCAGTGTTACGCCTGGCAAGAGGATTTCCATCTGCACTCCGGCCGCCTCGGTCACACCTGGACTCGCCCATGAGCTGAAGAAGCTCCATAGAAGCGCTCCCAAGGATACTGGCAGGAGAAAAAGGGCACTGTAAACACCCAGATCAAAGGATCTGGAGAGGAGGCGTGGCGAAGAGCTACTCCACTTGACCAGGGCGCGATTTAAAGCTGTGGTGTACCATTCAAGCCTCAGAAACTTCACCGTGAATCCCGTGCCCTCCAGGAAGAGCCGGTAAGGATGGTGCATGCAACTCTGCAATTGAAAGAAAGTTCAGCATCACAAGATGAGAGGACAGCGAAGGCTTACCTTAAAGAATGCATCGAAGAAGAAAAGCACTCCGTGAATGGCGACAATAACCAGGAAAAAGATCAGGAAAGTCATCCCGGACGAGCCGGCTGCAATCCTTTCAAAACACTTCAAGCGACACCCAGTGGAATTGTCTGATGAAGTGTCGTATGAGAGAAGAGACAAAGACAAACAATTCTAATTCTGTTTCAATTCAAGATTTGTATGCCCTTTGCAGGTAATCTTCTGACAAGAAATTCTGTAGAATTTACTAAATTTACTCAACAATTTCTAACTATCCGGAAAATGATAGAAATGATTAAAGCAACATCTTCGACGCTCCTTGAGACATGTTCGCCCATTGTCCGCGACCGGCTGATGGGCCGCGCTCTGCAATGGCGCCTTTAGTACAGCGCAGTGACAGCGCTTTTAGTACACCCATGGAGAAGCAGCAGAAGATGATTGTGAGCATTTTCTAGTGATCATTTTCGTCCAAGATACTGTAATATTGGCTGCAAAGACACTATCACGCGATACCCCAGAACCCCTTGCATCGATTCCAGGTGAGATTTCGTGCGGCGCACGCGGAATTGTGGGTGAAAAGCTGAGGAAAAGTAGCTGCCTGTCAAGTGTCCCTTTCAACCCCCTTCGGGGAACAAAAAAAGCACAGACTTGATGGATTTTGGGCGGAATTGTGGGGTTATTGGGAGTTTTTGGTGGGTCGAACTGATGGCGGTCTTGTTGTTTTGCTTTGTTTTGCACGCACGCACGCATCGAGAGCAGTGCGAGGTGAGGATTGTCACGTTCCGGACGGCGACAGCAGAGCGAGCAGCGAGGTGGGCAGCAGCATTAGACGGAGGGCCAGCCAAAGAGCCTGAGCATTCGCAAGTGGTTGATGAAGAAGAACTCCCTGAACCGCCTCCCGGTCGTGGTGAAGAAGATGGAGACAGACACGAATGGGCGTGACGTGGAGGCGCCGGTGGAGAAGATGGACACGCAGGACCTCGAGATCGATGCCAATGTCATTCCGGCCAACGTGTGCGACACACCAATGCGCTCAGAGGAGTTCGACGAGACGCTACCGATGGAGGAGAATGTGGACTTTGCCCCCACAGCCACTTCGCCGCTGCACCCCTTCGGGCAGCAACAGACGGAGCCCCCGCGCGAGGACAGCACCATGGAGGAGGAGGACCACGCGCGATCAGAGGCGACGTTCACCTTTCGGGTGGAGGAGTTCAGCAAACTCAACGAGCAACTCCTGTCGCCGCCCTGCTACGTGCGCAACCTCCCCTGGAAGATCATGGTGATGCCGCGGATTACACAGGGCGGTGATCGGCCAAACGCCGACAATCGCTCGCTCGGCTTCTTCCTGCAGTGCAACGGCGAGAACGACTCGCCGTCGTGGACGTGCAAGGCCACGGCCGACCTCAGCATTCACAACTTTAAGCCAGACGTGGAGCCGCTGAGCCGGAAGATCACCCACGTGTTCTACAGCAAGGAAAACGACTGGGGCTTCAGTCACTTCATGTCCTGGAACGACGTGCTGGACCCGGAGAAGGGCTACATCATGGACGACGCCATCGTGTTGGAGGTGCATGTGGTGGCCGAGGCGCCGCACGGCGTGTTCTGGGACAGCAAAAAGTACACAGGCTACGTGGGACTGAAGAACCAAGGTGAGATAACCCTCGCGCCAGTCACTCCGATAGGACACTGCAATGGTAATCTTACTGGCAATGCGTGTTGGAGTCCAATTCGCGATTAGTGAAGTCTATGACTTCTTTTATAGGCAGATAAGCGTACACACACCTTTGTTCTCTGTTTGCTTGCACATTTGTGGGCGAAGTTGACGAGATTTGGTTACTCCGCAGGTGCCACATGCTACATGAATTCCCTGCTGCAGACCCTCTACTTCACTAATCACCTCCGGAAGGCGGTGTATAAGATGCCCACGGAAGCGGATGACAGCAGCAAGAGTGTGGCTCTGGCGTTGCAGCGAGTCTTCCAGGAGCTGCAGTTCTCAGACAAGCCCGTGGGCACGAAAAAGCTGACCAAGAGCTTCGGTTGGGAGACTCTTGACAGCTTTATGCAGCACGATGTGCAGGAGTTTCTGCGTGTGCTGCTGGACAAGTTGGAGAGCAAGATGAAGGGCACGTGTCTGGAGGGAACGATTCCGCGTCTGTTCGAGGGCAAAATGTCATCTTACATCAAGTGCAAGAATGTGGAATACACAAGTACGCGCATCGAGACGTTCTATGACATTCAGCTGAACATCAAGGGAAAGAAGAACATTGATGAGAGCTTCAAGGATTACGTGGCCACGGAGACGCTGGACGATGATAACAAGTACGATGCGGGTGAACATGGACTGCAGGAGGCGGAGAAAGGAGTGATCTTCGTCTCATTTCCGCCTGTCCTGCATCTTCACTTAATGCGATTCCAATATGATCCCGTGACAGACAACAGCGTAAAGTTCAACGATCGCTTTGAGTTCTATGAGCACATCTCGCTGGATGCGTATCTGCAAGAGCCGGAGGCGACGCCGGCGGAGTACACACTTCACGCCGTGCTTGTGCACTCAGGTGACAACCATGGCGGTCACTATGTGGTGTACATCAATCCACTGGGCGATGGGAAGTGGTGCAAGTTCGATGACGACGTGGTTTCCAGGTAAATTATCTCTCATTGGTGCAAAGTTTTTCAGGGAGAGTCTCTGACAATGATTTTGGCTTTTGCAGATGCACCAAAGCTGAGGCGATTGAACACAATTATGGCGGATTGGATGACGATCTGAGTCTCCAGGCGCGCCATTGCAGCAATGCGTATATGCTGGTGTACATCAGGGACTCAGCCCTGCCCACTGTACTGCAAGACATCAGCGAACAGGACATCCCGACCGAGCTGGTGGATCGCCTGGCGGAGGAGAAGCGCATGGAACAGGTGCGGCGGTTGGAGCGCAGCGAGGCGAATGCGTACATGAATGTGCACGTGGTGCTGGAGGAGTACTTCGAGGGTCACCAGGTGACAGATCTCTTTGACTATGAGAAGGTGCATTTGCGTGTGTTTCGCGTGAAGCGCACGGTGACCATGACGGAGCTGATGGAGATGCTAGTGGAGGCGTTCAGGACGCCGGCAGAGCAGATGCGGCTGTGGCCATTGTCGCAGCGTCACAGCAATTTGACGCGTCCGATGGTGTTTGACATTCAGGATGATGGGAATAAGCTGGTGATCACAGTGGCGGACGGACAGAATCCGTGGACAGTGTTCCTGGAGATGCTGCAGCCGGACGCTGGCGGTCATCAGTTGCCCGTGTTTGACAAGGACACAGACGTGCTGCTCTTCTTCAAATACTACGATCCAAATCAGAAGAAGCTCCACTATGTGGGTCATGGCTACTACAATCTGACGATGAAGATTGGGGACCTCGTGCCGGACTTGCTGGATCGCGTGGGCTGGCAGAGGGAGACGCAGGTGATTCTGTATGAGGAGCAGGCGAGTGGATTTGTCGTGAGGATCAACAATTTCAATGAGACCATTGAAAAGAGCATGAGAGAGATCACAGATGGGGACATAATTATCTTTGAGAAACGCGAAAAGGCGGAGAATCTGGAATTGCCGACAGTTGAGGATTACTTCAGGGATTTGCTGTATCGCGTCGAGGTGACATTCATTGACAAAACCAATCCCAATGATTCGGGCTTCACGCTGGAACTCTCTCAAAGGATGTCATATGATCAGTGGGTAAAGGTGAGTATGTGAGAGATGGCAGTGATTGAGGGATTTTGTGAGTGACTGACTGTCTGAGGGTGTGTTTTGCAGGTCGTGGGCCAGCGAATGAATGTGGATCCGTACGAGATTCAGTTCTTCAAGTGTCAGACGTACAAGGATGTGCCGGGCAATGCGCTGAGAAGCTCGTATGACGGCACACTGAAGGACATCTTGATTTACAACAAGCCAAAAAGCAGCAAGAAGATCTTCTACCAGATCCTCTCCATGAACATCAATGAGCTGGAGACGAAGAAGCAATTCAAGTGCCTCTGGGTCTCGGCCAATCTCAAGGAGGAGAAGGAGATCGTGCTGTATCCCAGCAAGTGTGGCACGGTGAAGACGCTGCTGGACGAGGCGGCGAAGCAGGTGGAGTTCAGCGAGGGTGGCTCGCGGCGGCTGCGCGTGGCGGAGATTGTGGGGCACAAGCTGGTGATGGGACCGAATGAGGACACACAGCTGGAGTGCCTGCAGACGAGTGCCGAGCAGACGCTGACGAATCAGAAGGTGTACAGAATCGAGGAAGTGCCCAAGGATGAGGTGAATTTGGCGGCGGATGAGCTGCTCGTGCCTGTGACGCACTTCTACAAGGACATCTACAACACCTTCGGCATCCCATTCTTCATCAAGGTGAAGAATGGCGAGCCTTACGCGTCACTGAGGCGTCGCATCAAGGCGCGCCTGGGTGTGCCGGACAAGGAGTGGGAGAAGTACAAGCTCGCCATCCTCACCATGAACCGCATTGACTACATCACCACCGAGGACGAGGGGTGTGTCAATGTGAGTGACTTCCGGAGTCAGACGACGAACAACCCGAGGCAAACGGCACCCTACTTCGGGCTAGAGCACATCAATAAGCTCCAGAAGCGATCACGCTTTAGCTATCTTGAGAAGGCGATCAAGATTTACAATTGAACTTACATACTATATTTGCTAATGGCGTCAATATTGGATATATTCTTCTCATCAGCCCTCCTTCCCGAACACCTCCCCTCCACGCCCACCCTCTCCTCACCGCCTCGTCCCCGTTGGATCCTCTGCATTATTTTTACTCTAGGATTTCTATTGTAGATTTTGAAGGAGATAAATTGTGTGAGAGAGAGAGAGAGAGAGATGATTGTAAAGATAAGGAAAATTGAAAATTATGATGGTAAATTGCAAAAGATGCAGCATAAATAAAAAAAAGGAGGATGAAAATTTTATTGTAAATCAAGAGATTCACGTGTAAAATGTTTACTTTGGAGACAGAAGATGATGAGTTTTGAGACTTTGTGACTTTTCTTTTGCATTCGAGTATTAACAATTCGATGTTCACGATTAATTGATTTTTAATAAAAGGTCATACATTTAGAATTGTTGGCGTTTTTTGCCTGATTTCTTGTGATTTTTGGGCGAAAAATGGAGTCAATTCTCCACAATCATTTTTCCTAACAATCATGGCGGTACAACTGATGGTTTTGAGACATCATGCGCCGTCAGCGCCTCTGTGTGCCGACACCCGGTGTGTAGTTTTAGTACAGAAGCAGGGATGGATGACGTTGCCTCGGTGAAAATAGAAAATGCCAATTTACGGAAAATTCAGAAGAAATTGCTACAGTGGGACGTGTCGGAAAATCCCTTGGCACCTCTGACGTCCCTTCAGAAGGATGTCATCTACAACCTCTCGATGGCGCCTGAGGAAGTGAGTGGTTTTCAGTGAACTGGAAGAGACTGTCAAATTTGATGGATTGCTTGGGTGTTTTTTTTCCAGGAAGCTGGACATAGTGAGGAGAAGAGGAAGGTCGAGGACGTCTCTGAGACTTTCTTGAGTGATTCCCTGAGAGATCTAGAGAACGGAGGCGAGTCTGTGGACACATTCCGGAAGTTTCTCTCCTGGTGCGATCGTGTGAATGACGAGATCCTCGATGAGGAGGATATACATCATCAGGAGTTTCTGCGGCACTTGCAAGATAGGCAAAAGGACTGTGATTGTCTGCTGGAGCAAATTGAGAACACGCTGCAGAGCTTGAAGCAACTCGATGGGGAGTTTCAGTTCGTCTCGACGAACACGAGTTCCTTGCACACAGCCAGTGAGAAGCTGATTGAGGATCAAGAGAGACTCAGTGGTCTGGATCAGGAGATTCGCCAGAGACTGCAGTATTTCACCCAACTGGAGACAGTGTTGCAGAAGCTGCAGAATCCCACGCTCTCTGTCATGGGAGACAACTTTGCGGAGATTCTCAATCGACTGGACGAGAGCTTTGAGTATCTCGAGAGTCACCAGAATTTCCGCGATTACAGCCTGTACATGGGGAAGTGCAAGCAATGTCTGACCAGAGTAGTTCAAATGATGCGCAGCCACGTGATTAATGTTCTCAGTACGGCCACTGAGCAGGTTTTGGCGCCCAGGAAGGTTCCGGAGGGCGCAAAACCACGAGAACACACTTCGGACACTGCATTTGCACTCTTCTACGGCAAATTCCAGGCATCGGCGCCCAAAGTGAAGCGAGTGACTGGTCTGATTGAGCAGAGACGCTCGCACTGTGCGGAATACGAAACCCTCCTGCAGGATTTGCATGAGTTCTACTTGTCCCAGAGGCGAGTTGTGATGTATCCGGGCGTAGGGGCGGCTCTGCAGGATCTCACGGCGACCCACAAGGGTGATCACTGTGCGCTGGTGCGCGCTGCCTGTGCATTCCTGGTCCATGTGTGTCAGGACGAACACAGACTCTTCCTTCACTTCTTCCCGAATCATTCACGAGAGATGAACGGCTTCCTGGATGCGCTCTCGCTGCAGCTGTATGACAATCTGAGGCCGTTCATTGGCCAAATTGCTCATCTGGAGACTCTGGCGGAGCTCTGTAGCATCCTGAGGACGGAGATGCTGGACGAGCACGTCCATCACAGTCGTGAGTGTCTGAAATCCGCCTGAAGTGGCTCTCTAAAATGACATTTCTTGCTTATTTTCAGCTGAATCCTTGGCTCCTTTCGGGCGTGTCATTAATCAGCTCCTCCATGACGTCCAGGACAGATTAATTGTTCGTGCAAAGCACTACATTCAGTCCGACATCCTGAATTACAAGCCCTCGGCGGGAGATTTAGCTTATCCGGACAAGCTGGAGATGATGGAAAGCATCGCACTGTCGCTCCAGGAAGTGCCTCCGTTCCTCCAGCGTGCAGATTCACGCGCCTCGATGTTCTCAATGACATCCCAAGAGGTGGACTCGATCAACTCAGCTGCAGAGAGTCAGATGAGATCCCGAACGGGAAGTAAGATTACCTCTTCAATCTGCCTTTGATTGGCTCTTCAAATTTCTCGTCTCTTTTCACAGATTCTCCGGCGGATTTGCACGGGATGTGGTATCCAACAGTGCGCAGGACATTGGTTTGCCTCTCCCGACTGTACAGATGCGTGGACAGGCCGGTGTTTCAAAATCTCTCCCAGGAAGCGCTGACTTACTGCATTCAGTCCGTTTCTGCGGCTGCGGCGCTCATTCAGCAGCGTAAGGTGAGGATTCAACACACACATACCATAGAATATAGTCTAAAACACCCTCAATTTTGTCTCCAGACAAATTTGGATGGAGAACTATTTGAGATAAAGCACCTGCTGATTCTCAGAGAGCAAATTGCACCTTTTCGTGTGGATTTCATTGTGAAGAAAACCAGTCTGGACTTCAGCAAGATGAAGACAGCGGCTTATGGGCTGATCCAGAAGCGAGGGCAGTTATTTGCACTGGGCAGCAATAATGCCTTGCTTGAATTTTTGCTGGAGGGAACACCTCAGGTGAAGGAGCAGCTCTTGGACTCCCGAAAAGACGTGGACAGGCAATTGAAGAGTGTGTGTGAGATCTTTATAAAAGACGCCACAAATCTTCTGGTGGGGAATGTAATCGCATTCATCGAACACAATCAAGCGTCCGATGTGAAATTGCCTGAAATGGTGCCTTCGCATGTGGCTGGAATTGTCCAGGAAGCGCAGAAGAGCATCAAAGTGAAGCTGAGCGGACTTCAAAGGGCAATGCAGCTTTATCTGGCCAACAAAGACACTGAATTCATCCTCTTCCGACCTATCAGGAACAACATCATCGGGGCTTTTGTCAGGCTTGAACAATTGCTGACCACAATTGGGAAGTTCTCCAAGGAAGACCTCGCAATCGCTGCCTGTCCGTCGGCTGAGCAAATTTCCGTCCTGCTCAGTGCTAGTGTCTTGTCTGAGGGTGGATCTGGTGGGGCAACAGCAGCAGTAGCAGTTCCCAGTCGGAAATCCACTCTGTCTTCGGTGGAAAATGAGAAAATCCAGGAGGAAATGCAGAAAACGGATGCAGAACAAGAGGAATTGCAATAAAGAAGAGACGGTTATATTTCAAACATAAGAATGAAGTTTGGCATTTTGAGTGACACCCCCGGAAAGTTTTCTGATAATATGCCTCGTCCTCGCTCCAGATCTCGCTCCTACTCGCGCTCCGTGAGTCACTCTCATCGGGAGAAGAAGTACTCGAGGAGCCACAAGTCGTCCAGATATAAATCCTCACGGAAGTCTCGAGAAAAGGATCGCCACAGCTCGTCAAGCCGGAAGCACTCGTCAAAGCATCATAGGAGCGACAGGAGCCACCGCCGGCATTCATCCTCCAGATCGAGATCTAGCAGTCAAAGCTCCAGACACTCATCCACATCCACCAGCAGTGTCCCCTCGGAGAAATCTAAGGAATCTCCAGTGGCGGAAAAGACGCCCAGTTTTGCGTCTGTGGAACAACTGGGCAGCAATGTGTCAGCCAAGGTGTTTCAGGAACTCAATGAGGATACATTTGCCGTAAAATCCTTCACACCATCAGCGAAATCTACAAACAGCAGCATCTTGATTGACATAACCTCAAATCCGAAGGTGAAGCTGCAAAGCACACCGGACATCCCTGAAGAAGACACGGTTTTCCACCAGAATGTACGTCCGGAAGATGACTTATACGTCCTAGACATGTTTAAGTAATTTCCTCCTTTGATTATGTTTTGCAGTTGTACGGAAATGACGCCGCCAGAATGGATAAATGGGTGAAAAAGCTGTTCGCCTACCGGCAAAGATGCGCTGCGACTGGAAAACCTTCCTCATAACTACAATTCTCCTTTATTGCCTCATTCTAAACTATAAACCATCTCAGAAAATGTCTGACCCTGTCTTTCTGGCCTCTATGAATGCTTCCTCGGGTGTTTTGAGCTCATCCGGGGAGGGTGTAACTGGACTACCGTCTTCCTTGAGCTCACCATTCTTGAAATCTTCCAGGATCTTTTTACTGTAAACAGCTTTGAAAAGGTCCTCGCTGGTGAACTCACTCTGTACAACATCCTGTGTCTTGTACGACACGTAAGGCTTCAGCTTGCAATCCGTAAGATCTGGCACGATGAGTTCGGGGATCATCTCGGGACGCATTACGAAGACATTGTCCACAACCTCTCCAATATCCCGGACGCCGTATTTGTAAATGGGCAGGGCGAAAGGCGCACCTTCGAATTGGTTCTTCTTGTGTACTCGAGTGCCGCGCTTGTTGTACAGCGGAAACTTGCGGAAGTTCCTGTTTCCGCACACTGAGGATGTCGTGTGAAGACTCCTGGATGCGCTGATCAGCGCTGGAGGCACTTTTCGCAGCATCTCTCTGGAAGGAAAACGCGAGGCCAGGAACTGGGTTGATGAACGTACCCGACTGTCAAATCCCGGAAACACACGTGAAACATTAATGAAACATTGCGGGTTCAGCCCAGTTGGGCGCGTTCATCCAAAACGATTAATTTGTCGGATCAAAACAGCTGATTCATTGGGACACGCGTTTCCCCTCCCTTTCTGCCATGCCAGCACTGTCATGGCGGCGTAAAAAATACCATGAATTTAGTGGTTGTTCGAAGTGAAATAATCAGCATTCTTCGCAATTTTGAAACAATTCTCAATGTGTGCTAAGTTCGTAAATGATTGATTGGACAGAGAACAGGTATTTGTGTATAAAATGTTCAATTTCTGCCCCTTTTGTTACATACAAGCCTTCGTGTAATTTAACACCATTGTCTAATTTAAAAGGTGTTGAGTGGCTGCCGCGACAATTGTGTTTTCTGTGCAAAATGGGTTCAAACAGCGATGAAATTGCACTCCTGGAACGCGTTCTCTTGAGATTAGCGTGTGCAGATACAGATGAGCAGTTGGAGAATGCCGTGAGTAAATTCCTGGCGCCAGTTTTGCTGAAAATAGTTTCACCTGAGGAAAGCGTGCGTCTGAAGGTGAGTTTGCAGTAATTGCAGCAAAACAGACAACACTTTCTTCACACAAATTCCTTCTGTCGAAGGTCATGGAGGTGCTGACGCACATCAACAAGCGCCTGAAGACGCGACCGTTGATCCAGATTCCGGTGCAGGACATCCTGTCGCAGTACCAAAGCACGGACTCGTCGTTTGCAATGAACTTCGCCATCATTTACATCACGATGGGCTTTCCGCGATTGCCGGCGGATGTGAAGTCTCGGCTTACACCTCAGTTGCTGATGGCGCTGTCTGGGAAGCCGGAGGTGCATCAGGATAAGATATTGGCGCTCATCGTGCCCCTCCTGGGCGAGATAAAGCTGCCGGAGGGCACGAAAGAGAGGCAGGAGGTGCAGGAGTTGCTTTCGCAAGAAGCTGTGAAGTGTCAGCTGATCTCGTTCCTGCAGGACGTCTTGCTCTTCCCCTACGGCATCACGCAGGAGAGCGAAGTGCCGGCTGGCATGAGTGCGTACGCTTTCCGACGGATCTCAGGCAATCAGTGGCGCACTGAAGAACTGGAGGCGCACAAAACGGGATTGGTGAAATTCTTCTCCAGTGACTTGCTGGCACCCGAGGATGCGGTCGTGCCGCTAATTGTTGCCTCGGCGGACACGCGCTTTAGTGTGGCCACGCCGGCCATAGCTGAGCTCAGTAAGATCTGTATTTCCATGGATTGGACCAATCCGAGCGTCTCGGCGCCCCTCTACACACTCTTCTCGGGCAATGGCGCCAAGATTCCGGACAAGAAGTCCTCGCCTTGCAACGTGCGAGTGCGTCAGAAGCTGCTGCAGTACCTGCTGAAGTGCCGTGGCAGGGGAATTGATACGGTGAAGGGGATTCAGGTGATCTTCGAGGCGCTGTTCGGCGAGCAAACCAATCAGCGGTGCAAAGTGCTCGCGCTGCAGTTCTGCGAGAACTTGATAAAGGACGGCAATCCGGAGCTGATCAGGAAGGTGTCAAAGGTGATCGCCACGGGAATTGGGAAGCTGGTCAGTGCGACGGCGGAGCCTTTTGACGTGCAGAACGCCGCCTATTCCGCCATGTCGGTCCTCGTGGGCATTTGCCCAGAGATTGTGAATAAGGACTTGGAGCTGGTGGTGACGTACTTTACGACACTAGGCAAGGCACCCACGGAGATCCAGGCGAACCTCCGGGAGGCTCTCGTGGCCATGGCGCCGGCCTTTAGTTGGCGCCATGAAGCCGGCGATCCGGGGAATCACACTCTCTTGCTGGCTCTCATTGCTCAACACTCGGAATCGCAAAGCACAATTGTCCAGAGTGTCTGTGTGGCCTTCCTCACCACTTGCTTCCCACCTCAGCAAGTCACAGCGCGATATCTTCTGCTGCTGATTGCCGGCAACAGAGCCTCGCTCAGGGAGAGCATCTTCATCCATCTGTACGGCTCGCCGAAGAAGGACAACATCGACTACAGTCGGCTAAAGTGTGTGAGTGCGAAGGACGCCGGCGAGAGTTCAGTGATCCTGCCGCAGTTTAATGAAATGGCACTGCATTGTGCCGAAATGGCCAGCAAGAGGCAGGAGAATGCCAATCAGAGATTCGTGTCCGGGAAGAATGTGCTGCCCTTCGATGTGGAGACTTTTGCAGAGGTTCTGGACTACTTGAGGGCATGCCTGTGGACTTCAGCTGGCTACACTACCCCGCCGAGTGCACACTTCAATCCTGCGCCACTGAGATCCTACATTCTGGGCAACTCGAAGGCTTCGCAAGGCATCAAGATGTACATCTCCCTGATAAGACAGCTCGTCACTGTCCAGAGGGGATTTGCGCCGCTGTGCTGTCTCTTTGATCTCCTTCACGCGGCTCCGGACATTCTCTGCAGTGAAAGCGCCGAGCTGATGCCACTGTTAGCCAGCTCACTGAAAGACGTCACGGAGGACACGAGAACAATTGTGGGACAACTCTATGGCATCCTGATTGCCTTCAATTACGACAAGGCGACATTCGATGAGGAGGTGCAGAACTTGCTGAATGCGTCCAATAAGAGTCTCGAGGGGCAACACGGCAGTCTCTTGGCTGCTGCTTATGGAATCCACAAGAGGATTGACTTCCTGAAGCAGCCGGACATTCTGCAGTGGGAGACGCTGAAGACGGCCGTGATGGTGCTGATGAAGTCCCTCCTGGACAGCCATCCGATGATAATTTCAGCCGCTGTTCGCGGGCTGTCCTTCATCGGTGGTGTTACTGAATTGCCGCTGCCCGGAGAAGCTGAAGAGGAAGTGGAGGGGTCCAAGCAGAAGCTCCTCAATACACTGATGGGCATCTTGAAGAGCAACAGCGTGAAGCAGAAGCTGCGAGAGGAGGTGTGCTCTTGCCTGGCCAGTCTCTCGCGCGGAGATTCGGCGTTCTACGCCCGGAGGATCTTACAGGAGTTTCTCCATCTCAACAAGCTGACGAAGGATCCGGCTCTGCACATTGCCATCGGCCAAGCAATTGGGCAGATTGTGGGACGCCAGGAAGTGGATGTGTTCAAGCAGGACAGCATGAAGATGGACACAGACGAGGTGGTGGGAGATGAGGAGCTGGTCAAGTGGCTGCTGAAGGAGTTGATAGGCCTGGTGGCTGAACTGCATCCGTCTTCGCGACAAGCTGTCACTGTGTGGTTGCTGGCCACAGTGAAATCCTGCCCAGGCAGCATCGTGCGGGAGAACCGAGAAGTCCTCCAGATGGCATTCACTGAGCTGCTGTCGGAGAACAATGAACTCGTGCAGGATGTGGCTTCGCGGGGGCTCGGAGAGATCTTCTCCCTGTCCAGTGACACTGATCAGCAGGTGTTGGCCACTGAATTGCTGCAGCAACTCACCGGCGGCCGTCGGCAGATGATGCAAGTGACCGGAGAGTCGAAGATCTTCGAGGAGGGCGTGATGGGAAAGACGCCTGGTGGCGAGAACATCACCACTTATCGTGAACTTTGCTCACTGGCGTCGGACCTCAACAAGCCCGATCTCATCTATCAGTTCATGCAGCTGGCCAATCATAATGCCACGTGGAACAGCAAATTGGGCGCAGCTTTTGGGCTGAAGTCCATCGCTGGCGTGGCGAAGGGTGAGATGCAGCCATTCCTCGGGAAGATAGTGCCCAGACTGTTTCGCTACAAGTACGATCCGACACCCAAGATACAGAACTCGATGGTGAGCATCTGGAATTCTCTGGTGTCCAATCCTAAGGAGATTGTGGAGCAGTTCTACTGGGAAATTCTGCAAGAGATCACGCAGCATCTCACGAATCACGAGTGGCGCACGAGGATGTCATGTTGTCTCGCCGCCAGGGATCTCATCAAGCTGCCCGGGTATCTGAAGCTGCGCGAGGGTGAGACGGAGGTGGAGCTGGTGGAGTTGTGGAGTCAGCTGTTTAGGGTGATGGATGACATTCATGAGGGCACAAGACTGGCTGCCGAAGGCACAGCTTCGGTGCTCAGTAAGGCGTGCATTGTAGCGTCATCCGCCGGACATGGGAAGAGTGGCGTGCGCGTGGTGAAGAGCATTCTGCCGCTGTTCCTCGAGAAGGGCATCACGAATGTGGTGCCGGAAGTGCGGAAGATCTCCATTCGCACCCTAAGCGAGATCATTGACACCGCAGGAGACTCCATTGCACCTCATCTGCCACTGCTGGTGCCTTGCCTGCTGCAGGCCACCGGCGAAGTGGAGATCGACAAGCTGAGCTACATGTCTACGCGATACGGCGATCAGTCTGATGTGCAGGAAGTTGTGGACTCGATGAGGGCTGAAGTGGCGAAGCAGCACCACACGATGGTCGCTCTGGGGAAGTGTATTCGGTACATTGATGTGGAGACACTGGAGAAGATCACGCCTGGGATTGTGGATCTCATCAAGACGAGCGTGAATCTGGGCACAAAGATTGCCTGTGCGCACTTCATTTGTCAAGTGAGTCTTGAAAGACGCATTTTCCAGGGCATTTTCTTACATTTTCTCTCTCTCTTTCTGGCAGATTTCCGTGCGTCTGGGCCAGGAAATGACACCGCTATCGGGGAAATACCTGAGTGCCTGCTATCATGGTATTGCGGATCGGAATCTCACTGTGCGGAAGTACTTCGCCAGCGCCATCGGCCACTTGTCTGGCATCCTTCGGGAGGCTAGTCTCGTGAAGCTGTTCACGAAGCTGAATGACTTCTACAACGACCGCCAGTCGTACAAATGCCAGGCCGTGCCCAGCGTCCTGCAGTCCATCAACAAGCGCTATCCGGACACGCTGAAGGACTATGGAGGACAGGCACTACCGCTGATCTTCTTCGCGATGCACGACGAGACGGACAAGGCAGTGAGTGAGGTGTGGAAGGATCTGTGGAATGACGTGTGTCCAGGCGAGTCGGGGATTCGCATGTATCTGGACAGCATAATGCCGAATCTTCTCAAGTTCCTGGGTGACTCCTCCTGGACACTGAAGTCGCAAAGTGGGAATGCCATCAAGACGCTGGCGAAGCAACTGGGCAAGTCCTTGAGTGCTGGCGACAGAGAGACGCTGATCAGGGCCGTGGTGGCAGGGCTGGCGGGACGGACGTTCCAGGGGAAGGAGAAACTGCTGGAGGCTCTTGAGAATCTCTGTGCACATCTGGAGGAAGATTCCGGAGAGCTGAGCACACTGGCTGTGGACGCCGTGATGCGAGAGTGCCGGAAAGAGGAGCCGATGTACAGGACGCACAGTTTGAAGGCATTGGGCAGCATCCTGGACGCCCTGAAGATGGATAGATTTGAGGAGGTTTACAACATGGTGTGGAACATCTTGGAGAACACATCGCTGGCGTCTGAGGAGGAGACAATCTCGGCTGAAGAGCGCAACAAGGCGCTGCAGGTGAACATTGCGCTGAAGGAGAGTGTGTGCGAGACTCTGGGAAAAGCCTGGCCAGTGAATTCTCTGGAGACACAGCAGAAGTATCAAGTGATGTTTGCGCAGAAGTGCGTCGAGTGCTTGGGCAGGAACACGCGGCCTGTGCAGGTGAGTCTTCTGGCGGCGCTTGGGCGATTTGTGGAGCGCCTGAAGATTCTCGAGCCGCCCACAGAGGAGCCAATGGAGATTGATAATGCGGTGAAAAAGGCCAGAGTGGATTCGGAGGGTGACACAGTGGACACCATCTGCAGGATCGTGCTGAAGTGCTCGAGCCAAGTGGCGGAGATTCCCCACACGGGCCTAAAGAAAGAGGCGCTTAACATCCTGCTTATTCTGATCAATCGTCTGAAGAAGAGTAACGACGCGGCCACGCTGGGACTCATCAAGGAGCACTTTGTGGCCACTGTGGAGCTGTTCAGGCGCGACAGCTCACCAGAGATCAAGTGCAGAGTCACAGATATTGAGGACAAACTGCGCGACGTATAATTGTAAAGAGTGAATTTCTTGTTCAATAAAAAACTTCTATGCAAACGATAAAATCATTTTGAAAATGTGGGTTTGGCGCGCATCGTCCATGAAACATTTCTGCAAGGTTTCACGAAACAATGAACTGCCGCATTTCGGCCAACGCGTGGCGATGTGAGTGCGAAGGTAAAGGACTGCTGGGCTTTAGTGCTGTCACCGGGAAACGTTCCCGGCGTGAAAATCTCAGTTTTAGCTGCGAAATCCCCTTGGAGATCCCAAAGATGCGTGCCTTGGCTACTGTGGGACTCCTATTGACGCTCTGCGTCGTCCTGCTGCCCGAATCTGGCGCCCAGAGTCGCTCGAAAGCGGTGAGAGAGAGTGTCTTTTAGGGTGGTGGATGTTTTTGGACACGTCACTGATTGCGGAGGGGCGCTTTTGCAGGGCTCCGGGTTGGCGGATAAGGTGCAGCAGCTGCTGGATATGTCGGCGAAGAAGACCGTGTTGCGCCTGAACGGGCAGACGTTCAAGGACTTCGTAAAGACGCCGCCGCGGAACTACTCGATGGTGGTGATGTTCACCGCGCTGTCGCCGTCCAGGCAGTGCGTGATCTGCCGACACGCGCACGAGGAATTCACCATCGTGGCCAACTCGTTCAGATTCTCGCCCGTGTACAGCAACCGGCTGTTCTTCGCCATGGTAGACTTCGACGAGGGCTCCAGTGTGTTTCAGATGATGCGTCTGAACACGGCGCCCGTGTTCATGCACTTCCCCGCCAAGGGGAAGCCCAAGGGCAGCGACACCATGGACATCCAGCGCGTCGGCTTCTCCGCCGAGGTGATCGCCAAGTGGATCCAGGAGCGCACGGACGTGCAGATCCGCGTGTTCCGGCCGCCCAACTACTCCGGCACCGTGGCGGCCGTGATGCTGTTCGGCCTCGTGGGCGGCTTCCTCTATCTGCGGCGCAACAACCTCGATTTCCTGGCCAACAAGCAGATGTGGGGCTTCATCGCCGTCATCTTCTGCTTTGCGATGGTCAGCGGCCAGATGTGGAATCACATCCGCAGTCCGCCGTTCGTGCACAAGAGCCAGAACGGCGGCGTGTCCTACATTCATGGCTCATCACAGGGGCAGCTCGTGATCGAGACGTACATCGTCATGTTCCTCAACGCCATGATCGTGGCCGGGATGATCCTGCTCACGGAGGCTGGCAGCAGCACGGACGCGCGCAAGGGACGGATTATGGCCATCGTCGGGCTATTCCTCGTCGCCGTCTTCTTCTCTCTCATCCTGTCTGTGTTCAGGAGCAAGGCTCAGGGCTATCCTTACAGGTGAGTGGAATGCAGTTTCTCTGTTAATTCTGAGAGATCTGACAATTCTTTTCTCCGCAGTTTCCTCTTCAAGTGAGTTCCACGGGTTCTTGTGATAACATTTCCACCGCTGAGCAGGGAATTTCCCGAGGAATAAACTAGTTTCTCGTCCAGCTGAGTGTCTTTTCTTTAACTGTTTTGCATGAGAAATTATATTGCTGTTCGGTGGAGGAGAAATTGCTGGGCGTCGAGAAATAGTGGGGCGTCTTGAGAGTTTCTCGAGAAGCCAGCGCTTATTTCTAAACAATTGAGTTGTGCAAGTGAAAGTAAAGAGCAAAGAAAGATCAATAACGCACTCAATTCGTCATGATTTGAACTTTCTCTTTACGAATTTGCTGAGAATCTCTAGCAATATGATCTTGGAGATTAATTTCCTCAAGAAGGACTTCTTCCCAAAGCCCAAAGACTGCATTTTTGTCCTCAACCTCAGGACTTGTGCGCTCATTTGCACCTGTGTTGAGATCAATTGGGTCAAGCATTCGGCTTGATGGCAAGAAGAGTGGGACTGATGAGAAGAAAGTGCTTCAACGGTGAATGCGATCAGTTGTCGCGCGGTCTTCTCGAACAAACGGTCGCACAAGATGGTGTTCTTCAGCCACATGGAGATGCTGTTCCTCAGCATGATCGCCGCCGTAACAATCGCTGGCCTGCTGATTGGCGCCGTGGAGCCTCATCTGCCCGCCTTCCTGGCGCAGTCCTTCCGCTATGGGAAGCACTCGCTCAAGGAGGGTCGCAATGCGCTGGTGGCGCGTCTGGAAGTGCCCAAATCCTCCTTCCGCCACTTCTACGTCTTCGCCCTGCTCTGGTCGGCGGCCGCTCTCTATCTCGTGCTGCGCACCTGCGTGGCCGGGAAGCCAGCGCCAGAGGCGGTCATCGCCTTCCTGGACTTGCTCTGCGGCAAGAGGAGAACCGAGAAGAGTGAGTTTTCCCCCACGAAACATTTGCAGAATTGTGCAGATTTTCTACACTTTGGCGTAGACAATAGATCGTGTGCGCAAGAATTGATGACAATTTGGTAAAATTTAACCACATTTTGGGGTATTACGGGTATTACGACAGAAAAAGAGCACAAATTGCGTAATTTATTCCATTTATTCACATAAACTTGCACTAAAGTTGACCTTGCACATAAGAATATAGAGCACTGAGAATTTCTAAGATCGATATATCCAAGGATATTTCCGCGGACGCCCCGCAATATGCAAATATGCATTATGGAATTTAATTTATCAGTTTGTTACTAAATGAGACATGACGATTGATCATTGATTACATGAAGTGTAATCAATGTAAGTATCTTTCAAAAGAGGTTTTCTCACTTTTTCCGCTTCCCACCAGGCAATGCCCTCGAGACGCTCCTGGCCACTGTATGCCTGTTTGCTCAGTGCAGCCGCCGCTTCTGGGAGACGCACTTCCTGCAGATCTTCTCGCGCTCCAGTCGCATCAACATTGCACACTACCTCGTGGGCTACGTGCACTACTTCGGCGCCCTCGTGGTCATCCTGGGCCATGCGCAGGGCTTCGTCACGGCGTCCGCGAGCACCGTGACGCGCGATCAGCTCTCCTGGCGCCTCTGGCTGGCCGGTGGCGCGTTTGCCTTCGCATGGTGGCAACAGTGGCGCTCAAATGTAATCCTGGCGCGCCTTCGGATGGACGCCAAGGGAAATGTGGTGACAGAGAAGCACTTGATGCCCAGCGGTGGATTCTTCGACATCGTCTCCTCGCCGCACATGATGTTCGAGTGCCTGATGTACGCTTCGCTGGCGCCCCTCATGCTGGGCAACACGGCGTGGCTGCTGGTCTGCATCTGGGTGATCGCGAATCAGGCGCAAGTGGCGCACTTGACGCACATCTGGTACAGGGAAACCTTCCCAGACTATCCGAGACAGAGGCGAGCTCTCTTCCCGGGAATCTTCTGAACACTGAGAGAGGATTAAGAGTCTCGATTTTTTTTTAACTTTAAGTTCAAGTTCAAAAGGAATTTATTCGATTTTGGGTTTTGTTAGAAGAGTGAGAAGAAACCGTTTGCAATGTTCCCTAATAAACCATATGACTTTCTCACTACGTTCGCCATATTTCCTATCACACCATCACGTCTTCGGTGATTTCCTTGGTTTCCAGGATAGTTAGTGTGTCTGGTGGATTCATTTGGTCTTTTGGTGGTTGTTGTTGTTGTTGTTTCAGGAGGAGCGTGTTGTGGCTCTGCAGCCGCTTGAGTCGCTTCCTGACTCCCTTCGGGTTCTGCACTGTGATTCTCCGACTTTTCCGACTTCATAGCAGCTTCTGTTGTGGTCAACTGAGGATCAGTGCAAGCGTGAAGATCAACATTTTCACGCTGATCACACAAATTTCTCTCGGGATTGAAAACCTTTCCAGGAACGCAATGTTTCAGTTTGGGCTCCTCCGGTTCGTCAAGAGAACACTCGTAATATCTGAGAAATGATGAAATATTGTGCTTCAATAAATTCCATTTGTAACACCATTGAACGCCACTTACGTCGTACAATCTTTAGGATTGGCAAAAGCTCTTCGCGATTCCGTGCATTTCATCAACTCCTCCTGAGCCAAAGTGAGACTCAGAAGTGCCAGAAAAACCGTATGGAAAATACTCTTCATTGCACAAGTGAAAAGAGAATGTCTCAGAATGGAAATTAACTCAAGAGTTGTAGTTTTTATCAGAAATTATTTTGCCAAAGTCATGAAATTGAGTTATTAAACTTCATAACTCTGTCACGATCGTAATATTGGCAATTTCCCAGAAAAAAAATGTTTAAGATTAAAGTCGTGCTTGATGTTTAGCACGCGTCGTCAGAGTTCTGGCACTTCAGAGACGCCAATCAAGGAATTAATGGACAATTTTTCGCCATTCGTCAATAAGATTTACCTCTTAATCGCTGTTAAATATTCATAATAAATCCATCAATTTGACGAGAAAGATGATTTATGTGATTTCTGTTATCTTGTGAAGCATATTTATTGGTAAACTTTCACACAATTTCCTTTCTCACTGTTTCCAGTTAAATTACCTTGCAAGATTAAATAGATAGATATAACAAAATAAATAAAGTCTCTTAAACAAGGGGGGCAAAAATATAGAAAAAGAAGTATTAAGTACTCCATAAATTAGCCTCGTAAAAATCACCTCTGCGCGATGTTGAAATGCGCGCGCGGAGAGAGTCCAACGAACGGGAGAATGAGTGGGAATTGCTCTACTTGGGAATCAGTCCTCTGGCCTTTGGGTACGCCGACGTGGACCTCTTGGCGCTCAGCGAGCGCCCCGCGGCCGTCTCAGGGCGCGAGGAGCGCGCCCTGGAGGCCGATGGCGCCGGCTCGGGATTGTTCACATTGCGATTGATGATCTTATCGAGGCGTGACTTCACTTGGCTTGTGTAGTTCTGCTGCTGATCGCTAATGTCCAGGTCACCCTCCGTCTGCATTGCCTCGGCCAGCACAGCCTGCAGCGACGCCGACACCTTGGGATTCCTGTACTCAAATGTCGTGCGCAGTGGCATGTCCAGCTCGTGCGACAGGATATTCTCGCCACGGTAGCGCAGCATCTCGCCGCCCCCGCGTCGGATCTGCTGCAGCGCGAACTCCGACACCGGACGCCGCCTCGCCGGCTGCGCCACCGGTCGCCTCAGCTGCCCATCCGCTGCGATGGTGGGACAGAGATTCCACTCCTCCTGCTCCTCATCGTAGCGCGCCTGCGTCGTGAGCCTGGATTTCACCTCGGCCGGCACGAAGTTGTCAATGATGAGCAGCAGTCGCTTCAGCTCCTTGATCAACTCATTCTGCGTCATCTCCAGCTCGCGCCGGTCGCGATTATGCTCCTCGCGCGTGTCCACCAGCTCCTGCTTCAGTGTCACCCACTTGGCATAGCACTTCTTCAACTTGCGCGTCTTCACGTCCACCTCCTGCTGCAACGACGTCACCGTCTCGCGTATCTCCAGCGTTGTCTCCTCCTGCAACTCCAGCTGCTGCTGCATCTCCACCTCGCGCTTCTTGCGCTCCGCAATCTCAGACAGTTTCCGTTCCAGTTCCAGCTGGCGCTCCGTGTACGTGTCCAAGATATTTCGGCCGCCGCGCACCAGCTGCCCCTCCAGCTCCTGCAGCTTGCTGGCCAGCTGCTCCGTGATCTCGCGCTCGCGCTGCAAAAAGATTCGCAAACACATTTATCTCAATCGGCTAGAAGATTAATAGGGACGTTGTTTGGACTCACCAAGAGTTTCTCCTTGGACTCCTTGTCGGCCATCTGCAGCAGATCGTTGTCTTTGCTGTTCTCCTCGCCGCTGGCGTACTCCTCCTCCTCCTCGGCCTCCTCTTCCTCTGCCCCCTTATGGTACTCAAATCTGCCCTGCTTCCGCTTCTGCCGGCGCCTTGACAGACTGCCCTCGCGCTTCTGGCGTTCCTCAATCAGCTGCCTGAGGCGCTGTATCTCGTCCTGGTACTCCTTGAGCTTCGCGTCCTGTGGATCCTCGTTCTTCACCGGCTTGTTCTGGATGGTCTTGGCGCGGCTGGCGTAGCGCAGCGTCGTCAGCGTCTCGTTGTAGTTGTACTCGCTCGGCCCTATGTTGGCGATCATGATGGTCTTGCTGTTGCCGCCCAGCGAGTCCTGCAGCAGCCGCGTGAGCTTCGAGTCGCGGTAGGGAATGTGCGGCGAGTTCTCCGCCAGGGCGGAGATCACATTGCCCAGCGACGAAAGGGCGCGATTGATCTTGCTAGCCTCCTTGAGGCGCTCCGCCGTGGCGCCCGTCTTAGACTGGCGCTCGCTGCCCGCCAGATCGATCAAATTGAGCTTCCCCACCTTCACCGTGTTGCTATCCAGCTCGCACATCTCGATCTTGATGAGGAAAATTGCGTGAGAGCGCGAACTGTGCTCGTTCATGTTCGTGTAGCCGACTGTGCGGTTCCTGTTGCCCTGATTCATCACCGTCACCATATCCTCCACGTTCTTGCACAGCACCGAGTGCAGATTCGGCACGTGCACACCCACGCTCTCGCGCTCACGCAACTCCAGACCACCGCGATTGCTGGGCTTCAGCAGATCCCGCAACTCCTCCATGTAGATCTCCAGATACGACGCCTCCACGAGGAAGTTCATGTTCTGCGCACGATTAATGTGCGCCCAGATCTGCTCGAAGGCGCGTGGAATGATGCCCTTGTCCTCCGGATCGCCTCGCACGCCCTCCATCGTGTACGTCTTGCCTGTGCCCGTCTGCCCGTACGCGAATACGCAGCAGTTAAAGCCCTCCAGCACAGACGACACCAGCGGCCGCACCGTCTCGTCGTACAGGTTCTGCTGCGTGGCGTGCGGCCCGTACACGGCATCGTAGGTGAACATCTTGCGGTTCTCCTTGCTGGCCTCGGCGGGGTTCTGGATCTCCACAACTCCCCTGGCCGGGAACACCTCCACGACCTTCTGGAAGTTGCCCGCCTCCTCCTTGTTGCTCAGCGGCCGGCAGCGCACCACCACCTGGACGCACTCATTCTTCACCCCCTGCAAAAACACATCCGGATGGTCAGCTCTCCTTTTATTGATTTTTCCCGCAGGCGCCATTGCACGGGCCAACTTTCTACCCATTTTTCCCACTCATTCCCACGCCTACTCACCGCACTTTTGTGTCTCGTGTGCTTCTCCATGTTGCAACTGTGTTTTGTGACTGTTTTGATGACTATTGACTTGCTTTCTCACTGGGAAAATTGCATTTTCCTCTGACTAGACTTTGTGTTCTTCTCCTGCACGAACAAATTTGACACTCCAATTGCCAGCGATGCCAGCGCGCTCTGGCTCACAACACAGGTGTCCAAGACTGAAACCGCGAAACTTCGGCCTCTTAAAGCGATTCATTTATGTGAATCTTTTTGCTTTTTCACCTAGCCAATTCACTTAAAAATGACATAGAGCTTGCATTATGTTTTCACAGAGTCATTAGAAAAGGTGCACAAAGCATTTCAGTCTCTCATCTTCCCAACAAGAAAGTTTATTGCAAAAATTGAAGGCTTCCTTATATTCCATGCATCTTGTGGGGATTGAAGATCTCAATCCAGTAGCCGTCGGGATCCTTGATAAAGGCCAGTCCCTTCATCTTGCCGTCGTCCGGCTTCTTCACGAATTCCACACCCATCTTCTCGAATCTGGCGCAAGCCTCGTACACATCAGGGACCAGCACACCAATGTGCCCATATCCGCGAGGATCGGAGTTGCCGTTGTGGTACTTCTGGTCAGGATCCGTCTCTGTGCCCCAATTGTGGGTCAGCTCCAGTGTCGCCTTTCGGCTCAGCGCCCAGCGGTTGCGTTCGCTCTGGTTCTGAGGCACTTCACTGGCGTTCTCGTATCTGCAAATTATATCACAAGATACTCTTTAGCCCTCTCGAGAGATTCACAAGTGATGACAGGGATACCAACCCGAGGAAATACAGCGTGAACTTCATCTCGGGGAAGTCCAGCTTCGTGAGCAGTGTCATTCCCAGAACTCCTGTGTAGAATGGCAACGTGACCTTTGGGTCTTTGATTCTGTACATCGTTTGCTGGAAGAGGAAGTCCTGTAGGGAAGAAACATAGTGCGATTAGCACGGATCTTCTGACCAGAATTGTCCGGCATCTTGACTTTTCACCTTCGTTGCCGGATCCGGAGTCATGCAGAGCTCCTTGGCCTCGGAATTGGACAATCCACTCGGCTCCCCCATGACCAACTCCTGCAGTAAAGTCTTCTTGAGATGCTAAGGCACGACTTTCAGCTAAGAAAGTGGGAGATTAGCGGGGAAATTGGCCAGAAAAGTGATAAAACTCTGCCACTTGTTCACCTTTCAAAGCTTATCTGCTGACTGAGGAATTCCGCTAGGCGGCGACAATGTTCCACTTCCCCTCCAAGACTTGAATGTGATAATTTTTGGAGAAAAAAGTTTCAACCCACCCATTTGACTTGAAATTAAGGATGAATCGAGATGAAAATTCATAGTTAATAAGGACCAGCTTGCTGGACTTTTCCTACGATTAATTACTGAGTCCTTGAAACATGAAACAGCAATGAAACATTGTAAAGTCACACACTTTAGCTGCTTTTGACGTATCTTATTTTCTTAGCTGAAAATCCCCTGTTTCCCTCATTTTCCCTCTGTAATTCACATGTTTTTACTTATCAGTGAACTCTCTGTATAGTTTAATGTCTGATAAATAATAATCAATAACTGAGAGTCCATTAAACACTTTGTTGGGGGGTTTTAAAGATAATTGTGTGGTTATGGCAAATCTCGAGACTCCGCCACAATTTCCCAGCGATACCAAGAGTGACAACATCAAGGAGCGCCTGAATCTGCATGTGAAGAGGCGCCTGCAGCAGGATCCGCAGTCGTCTGCGGAATCCTCGGCTTCGGCTCCATGCTCTCCGCCCAAGCGAAAAGGCTCCACGGGCGGAGCAACAAGTGGCGTCCGCAATGGGAAGAAGAAGCGCCCCGCTGGCAGCGGCGATGACCAGAAACCACCGGAGATGAAGAAGCCGCAGCGTGAGCGAGAGGAGAAGATCAGCAGCACCGTTGAGATTCTCCAGATGATTCTCAACGAGAAGAAAAATTCCCTGCTCAGAGATCCGGAAGTTGTGAACTTCCTCGAGGGCGCCGTCCAGAAAGCCAAAACGCCATCGCAAGGCACAGAATAATCAGATTGATTGTTTAACATTTTATTGGGTTCATTCTCATTTAAATATTTCCTATTTTACACAAAAAAATCTCTACTTTTTATCTATGTTTTAAATATTTGTGATAGTTTTTGTTGATTTTCCTTCAGTTAAACGCCATTCTTAAAAGATTTTTATATGATCGTTAAATACGTGTTTTTTTTACCTTGTCTACTTTTGCTACAAACTACTGGATTCTATTGAGTAAACAGAAGTAAAGGGATATCTACAGTCGCTCGTGCACACATTTGGGGCGCTCTTCTAACCATTCTAGTGATAAAAATAGTAACATTTATACTTTTTTTTTTTAGCTAAATTCTTGTTAAAATTATCTCTTGAAATATACACTACTTTGCCTAATTATCTAATTTCCACATTTTTAATATATTTAATTTGTGATACAATTCGTGGCTATTCGCCGGGCATTCTTCATCTTAAAACTCCCTCACGATCGCTTTAATACTCAGTTTCCTTGATCAGAAGTGACATTGTTCATGAATTACCCACCCACTCTCTCTCTCATCCCCTCTCTAGCTCCATCTCTCTTTCACTTCCACTTGCCGTTGAATAGCTCCCGGACGCGCCGCCGCAGCGGGACGCGCCCCTAGGAAGCCTCGTTCTCATACGGATACTCATCGAAGCGCCTCACGCGCACCTTCTGTTTGTAGTGATACTCCTTGAGGTACGCCTTGATGCTGCTGGGCAGATTCAGCTCGTTGATACCATCGTACGTAACGCGGCTCACAATTGTGGCCCTGCACAATTGCTGCAGACTGAAGCAGAAGTTCCTATTCAGCGGCAGCGTCAGCATCGGCTCAAAGAACATCACGCACATGGGATCCTTGTAGTGCTCAAGCAGTCCCGTGACCGTCGTGGCTGTGAACACGCTCGGATCGTGACTGTCGAAGCTGCAAAAAGTCAAAACGACCGCAGAGTTAATGATTTGTGAATAAGAGACCAGAATTAGTAGAGGGAAAAATTGAATTTAATTTTGTAAAGACATTAAAGTTGCAAGTGATCATGATAAAATTATAATTGATTGGCGAGTTTAATTTGAGATTAACGTTCTGGAACGATTGACTAAAGTGCTTTTTGGATAGCATAATATTTCACCCGATATTATTTCCTATTTATGAGAAAATCATTGATATTTCAATGCACAAACAAACCGATCCATTAGTAGAAATCTTCAAAGCTCACAATTTGATAAGACATTCTAAGAAATTCACCCACATCATCCTCAATTCCTTATCAAATTTCTACGGAATTGAAGAGCGAAAAGTAATCAAAAATTCTCAGACTTCAACTCCTCATCGCTTTAGCAAAGTATAAGTTATGTGTGTGTGTGTGTGGATTTTTCCTGGTAGAAAAAGAGTTCCCTTCGGTGAAACTCGTGAAATATTCACATTCTTCTTACCCACAGAAAACACCCTCAAATTAGCTACAAAGTAGCAATATTCCCGACTTTAAAATTGAGGTCGAGAAAGTAAAATTCACTGGAAGTCCAATATTAACTGTATGGTTGGAAAAATGTCTGCATAATTTTTCCGAGAAGCCGAAGCAAATCAAATATTCCTCACCTGAATGTGTGGTTGAACTGCTCGATGCGCGCATGGAGACTCCGGCCGTACTTCCTGAACGACACGGAGAAGAGGAAGTCCTCCTGGGCGGAGTCGCGCAGCAGAAAAGTCCCCTCCGGCTTTCCCTCGAGTAACTTTTCCGCCTGATAGCGATCCATTTTGCACCAGTAGAAGCTCCTGGCGATGATCTTTTGCAGATCCGGCACCAGACAGTGGATGTAGTCTACTTGCGAGTGCACGCGCTGCGGCGCTGGCTGCATCAGTGCCAGCTGATGGTGCTGGATGTCATCCAGCGTGTACAAACTGGGCGTGGCGGCCGCCGTGGCGCCTCGGTTGGCCTGCATCAGGCTCTGGATGGTGGCGGAGCCCAGCGCCGGCCAGTGCACCAGCGGCGCCGTGGGTGGACTCGACACGGGCGGCGTCACGATAGTCGGCGTGGCCTCAGAAGGGCGCGGACGGAAGCCTGGCGGCGCCTCGACGCCTTCCTCGATCTCCCTCTCGCGCTGCAGACGTGCCTGCTCGTCGCAATCCTCAGTGGGATAGTCATCCGGATTGAACCTGCGGAAAAAATCAATTTAGAAAATTCTGTGTCGGATTTCTGGAAAAATTCTGGTTCGATTTTTCAAAAACAATCGATATCCAGATAAAAAAAAAGTGTCCATTTCCAAGAACATTGACAGACACTGTTAAAAACTATTCTCCGAATCATTGCCAAAAATAAACCAATATTTCCAAAGAAATGGCACTTTTGGATTGATTTTCAAGTTAAATTTCACACTTTTTATCATGAGGCAATGACCCAGAATTGCTTATAATTAGAAAATTTACATTCTTAATGACTCATAGAAACACGCTGAATTTCATCTGTTGAAATTGATGAATTTCTCGCTCGTTAATCATGAAATTTTACCACGAATTTCGGGGGTGTGTTTTAATAATGACGCGTGCTTCAGCTGAAAAAACTCTGAATCACACACACACAATATAACGCATTGACAAAGTGATAAAAGAATTACGTCGATTACCGCGAGTTATCAGCAATGTTTTCTTCTTGCGCCCAATTACCAGCCCAAAACGATTGTCTCTCTTCGAAGGGGACTCCTTCCCATAACAGCATGCAATCATTGAATTTTTAATCAACTGTCGCACGACATTGTCATCAACTCTAATATCTATTTTAATAACCCTCTTCAGAAACCATTCCACTGTACTCTTGAGGAATTAATGATGAGTTCCCCGACTAAATTACCCTCTCATATTGCTTTTCAAAGGTTAACAAATCGCACGCCGATTGTAAAATGGCTCAATTGAGCATTGAATGAAGTACCTGGAGAAGTCAAGGAGTTGCGGCTCGTGATTCATGAACAGCAGAACATTTGCCGGTCCGGGCGTGCTCGGGAGGCTGCTGTACACGGCCGTGGTCTCAATCCTGTGGATCAGCTGGCCGTTGGATCGCAGCAATGTGGACGTGGTGGTAGTTGTGGGCGTCTGGAAACTTGCGTCAGGCAACAGCAGCGCTCCTGCGCCAGCCGCCGACTGTCCAGGAAACACCTGCACGTGTTGCGTGGACAGGATGACATTGGAGGCGTTCTGGGGTGCCGCCGCACTGGCCGGCGATGAGGACGGACGAGCCACTTCGGCCGGAACTTCATCAATCTCCTGACCGACCAGCGGCGGGGACGAAACTGGCCTGGGCGCGCTTTCCTTCGCCTTCCGACAGGTGCAAACATTAACCTGCAACAGCTAAGCATTCAAATCCACTCTCCTAATACACCGTCACTATTAAGACGCTCACCTTTTCCTCTGTCGCCACGGTCGGTGATGTTTTGGAACTCTTCATTTTGGCACAGTTGAACTTGAGACTCCAGTTCTGCTTCTTCGGCTTCTCCTTGCCGCCATCCTTGCACATGCTAGAGCAACAACTATGCGATCGGCACAGTTTGCACAGCTTGTGCTTCAGTCCACTCGTCGACAGCAACTTCTTAACGCACTGCGAAGATTCTCTCGAATCTGCGTGAAAACAGACAGGAAAAGAGAACTCAATTTCATTGCTTCAACACACGCCTGTCATTCATATCTATTCAACACACTGGATAGATAAGACCGACCCTCACACTCTCCATGATAAGCCATTGTTTACTACCCATTTTCACGTTAATTTCAGCTGAAAAATACTTCTCAGAATTTCATACAACTTAAAAGCGCTGTATTGTTGCAGTTTCCGCTCTCTCTATATATTTTAGCCCAGAGGCAAATTGTGATCAATTGAAAACTTGTAATTGATTAATGACGCAATCCTTCACAATACACACTAAAGTTGTTCTTTATCAACATCACAAGCAATGTAAAGATAAAACTTCTTGATATAAAGCATTTTAGTCGCCTTTATATTGAATATCACGTTGAAAAGATCTAAAAATCTGTTAAAACATGGCTCAAATTCCAGTTTTTTGTGTGTCAAAAAAAAAAAGCTTGAGCGGACAATACTGAAAAAGCATTGGTCTACCACTTTCATTCTATATTTACAAAACACACTGCTCCAGATAAGCTCCGATTTTTCATTCAACAGAATTCTGTTTTCCCAGAATTTCGCAACATTATAGTAAACAGGAAAAAGCGCACCTCGTGACACAATCTGCAGAAGAGGAAGTATTTTCTGATGGATTAAATTCACATTAAAAGTCTCTTTTATCGGGAATTTCACTGGCAAACACACAGTGGAAAAAATTGATGGATCAAAAATAGAGAGAAAAAAGTAGATTCATGCATTGCTTTTACTCCATATTTCCACGCCACAATTTTCCCATCAAAAAGGATAAAGCATAGATTTTTCGTGGAAAACTAAAGGAAAGCCTCGCTTTTACCCTCAAAACCCACCATTTCTCATGCAATAATAACAACGAGAGCAACTCGTGGAAGAAGTGATTGTAAATTCATTGGTGTGCATATATGAGATGCAATCCAAATGAATTGCCATGTGGATTTATTCTCTTATCCACACAACACATATCTCATCTTCTTTCTGCTTCTTTTTTTTGTCATGCATTCCGGATGTATTCACACGGAACACGCGATTTTTTTCGCAATGTTTTCATTCGCCTCTTGTGACTCTACATGAAGGCATTTTCGCCCCTCCACTCGCGCAGTGAGAGATTATTACGTGATTCATAACGTAATAGAGCAAAAATAGTGTCTGTGAATGAATTTTACCGCACTTTGCCATTCGTGTCGCTCTTTTTTTCTTGTGTCCCTCCTCAAGCCTTGTCACTCATGCACACACACACACAGTCAAATAAAGCGGCCAAAAAGAGACAACTCCAAGAGATATGCATGAATATGTCATTAAAAAATTACATCAAAACCCCGATCGAAATGGATAATAAAATGAAGGAAAAAAAAATCTTTAAGCAACGCCACAAAATGTGCGTATATACATACATTCATTTGTATTTAATCTTCAATTGTTCACACTCACAGAGAGTTCTCACGGATGTTCAAATCCTCAATTTAATTGTGTTACAATCAATTGAGACACAATTTTCCACTTTACATTGGTGGGAAAGTGTCGGAAAAAGTTCTCAGAAGACGCTTCACAACTTGAACACATTTAAGAACAAATTGCTTAAGTAACACTCTCTAAACTTTCTATCACAATCAGACATACAACATACCTTCTGTCTGGCCCTTGGACTCCTTCGGCGTTGCTCCATTGGCGATACTGAGTCCCGTGAGTCGATTCACGATACTGGCCTCATTATCAGTGATGTTGGACACCGTTGTGTTGTTGTTGTTGATGACACTTATCACAGTCCTGTGCTGTCCATCCTCCCTCGCCGTATCACAGATCGATGTGCTGTTATTATTAAAGCTCGCCACGGTGTCGTCCAGCTTTGGCTCTTCGGGCTTCAGCGTTGGCCGCTCGTACGGACACGTGCACTTCTTCTGGGGCTTCTTCTCCGACTCCATCCTCCTCATGCGCACCCAAATCACCAGATTCCCACCCTTCTTCCGTTGCTGCTCACTCTCGACGTCTGTATTCCGCTTGCCCGGGACACTGAAGAGTTGCCCCATGAGATTTTCACCCTCGCGGCCGCACTTACGATCTCATTATCGTCCGGAAATTGGATGATCCTGCAGAGACACAAAGAAAAACACACCATCAGACGGTGGAACAGTTGGCCAGACACACACAGAAATCGATCACCTCTGGCTCAATATTTTTGATCACACCACAGCATAGAAGCCAATGGCACGCAGTGGTGAAGATGAGTCAGAAGGCAAAGCAGAAAGAAAAGAATTCAAGGGAGCGCGAATGAGAAAATGAAGGAGTTGTGCGAAGAATCAAAAACGATCAAGTATCTTTTCCTGGAAGTGAAGCCATAAATCTTGACTCTTGAGAATAAATCTGCGCGCTTTTGCCGTTTCTCGCGCGCCCTCGAGGGAAAAGCCATCGATGATGCGGTTGAAGTATTTGAAGCGACAGGCGAAACACGCAAAAATTTCCAATGATCTTTTTTCTCTTCCTCTTTCAAAAGATCTTTCTCTCTCTCTCTCTCTCACTCTTTCTGCCCATAAAGAGAAAGCCCAGCAAGTCTGGGGCTTCTTTTTGCTCACATTTTGGTCTGAGAGAAGATATTTTTGAACTCATTCAATCAGCAGATGCGCGCCGAAATACCTGGAATTGCTTAAAACTTGAGTGTGTGAGACAAACAGGGGCCAAAATTCAGCTCAACGAGAAGTATAAAAGTAAATAACAGAATTTTCCCATTTTAATATCCTTGCTTTCTTCCCCGAGAGTGATGATAAATTGTGGTAAATAACCGTCAAATTCAATTCCAACCGCGACTGAATAGAAGGTGATTTATTTGACATTCAAACTCAAAACCACAGCAAGACGCCCTAATGGGTTAAATGAGCACCGGAAAAGTCTAAGGTTCTTTTATCGCGCATTCGTGACTCGGTGTGTCTTCAAATATTCCTTCAGAGAGATTTGATTAATCCATCCATGGAGTTGAAAACATTCCAGATAAATCTCACTTCCGCTCACAATTTCAGTTGCGCGCTCTTCAATCTACAAACACCATCAACTCAACTGAGATAAATCAGAAACAATCGGATATTTTATCTTTTCCTCTCTCTCTCTCTTCATCAGGGCGAATGACAAAAGAACAAGACAATCTCTGCCTTTTTTTCATCTTTTTTCGTTTATCTTTCCGCTCGGCTCAAACATCCCAAAATTCAACCTCGCGCAGCCCAAAGAGAATTCCACATCAACCTTCGTGGAATAATTTATTTTCACGAGTCTATTGTAAATAAATAATTAAAATCTAGTGGAACTGCAAGAAAGAAGGACTTATTGAGGGAATCCTTGAAAGATGACTTCATTATAAACTCCGCCAGACTTCTTCTGGGCGAGTTAATTAAAACCCAAGTGAATCACAACATATTTTCACTTGAAAATACCATCAGAAGACATAAAAAAAAGCAGATTTTGCGGTACTTTTACATACTTCCACGTATTAATGTATAATTCTATTTTCCACATCATCGTGATATTTTATTGCAAATTTTTCCCAAGAAAAGAGTCTCAAGATGAAGTAAACAGCATTTGAAGAAGCGACAAACAACGTTACACTTTGTATGAAATTCATCTCAGATTCATTTTCCCCACAGAAATGTCCTCAGAAGTGCACTACTAAAGTTTCGTTTGAGGTTTTTCTATTCACTGTAGCAAACAGAACTGAAATACATGCCAAAGCATATTTGTATGAACACAAACTCTGATAGTCAATGAATGTGAGAATTTCGATACTTATCTCAATTCATTCAAGTTTTTCTCTTGCGGTCACTATTGAAACTCATTGCTTTCAATAGATCTCAAGTCAGAATCAAATAAATAAATTGATCTCATGAGAGCTTTTCGGAGAACCACTGGCTATTTCGGTCATCATTTAATTCACTCAACACAAATGTGAAAGACTCAGAAATTTAAGTGCGCATAAAGCTATACATGAATATTGGGGAATTAACTTGAAATTCTCCAAATAGAACATCCATGTAAACTAAATACACTAAAAATTCATGAAGAAGAGACATTTCGTCACTTGTATCACCCAATCTTGTATCATATTTAATTCTCCAAGGACAAGCGTGAGGTTGTGAATTGTTTGCTTGCTGAACTGAATGAATTTGTTAGGTGACAGCTGTCAAAGACAGCTTCTTCATCACTTCGTGAGGTCATCGACACTACACAAATTACACATCAGGCAGACGAGAAGGCCAATAAAGGGAGAATTGAGGCAGTAAATTGAGCTGAAGAAGACCAATAAACATTCATAAATTGCAATCAGCTTCCACGAAGTCTCTTCTTCGTCTCTTCTGGCTTTTGCCATCTTCTGCAAAACTGCATGCGCGCAGTGTGAATTCGAATGAAAATTTATGCATTCAAGCAAACGTGCGGCAAAACTTTTCCGCCGGCTGTGAAAAGAAAAATGCCTGAAATGTTAGTCAGAGTTGGCGTCAATTAAGCGAGAAAACTCAATCACAGCAGATGCCAAAAGCTCACAATGTCAATCTGTGGGTCGAATTGCCAAATTGTGAGTCAATTAAATTGGTTCATCAAAAAAAAAAAGAAAACAAATCAGAGACCACAAAAGTCTGTCATCAAATTGGAAAAATTGCTCATCTTTGTTAAAAAGTTCTTCCCAGAAATAAAACCGGAAAGCCATTCTCTAAAGATAATGCCTCGCAACTCTTTAATTGGATGTTTTTTCCCCGCTCAATCTTCTCACCAAAGCATTTTCGCAAATGCTCAGCACACAATTTCTGCTTTTTTTCACATCTATTTTTGAAGCCTCATTATCTGCCACTTCCTCTCGCTCTTTTTTTTCTTCTTCTTTTTTTCCTTCGTCTATCAGAATCTCAACTCTGCGGCCAATGTAATTGCGCTAGAGAGGTTTATCAGACAAGTCGCGAGTGTGTGTGACTATTGCGATAAAGAAGAATCACTTGTGTTTGTCAATGAATTGACGCGGTTGAGGAGGAAAAAGTGATGAGAACTCGGCATGACGTCACTTTTGGCGTGATTTTCTCTTTCAATATATGATTTTTATTCTTCTCTCTTTTCCAACACCTCAGAAATACCCACATTTTTTTTTTACCGTCTTTAATGTATATTTACATACAGAAACTCTGTCCAATTATGACGATTATGGCTAAATTTAGACAGACGTTCTTCATTTTTGGCCAGATTTATTGGCATTTTGGCCTTTTTCTCCACTCTTCAGCACCCAACTTCACTTGATGTGAAAATATCTGGCAAACTTTCAACCAACTTCCGAGAAGCGGAAGAAGGTGAAGTAATTTTGGTCTTATAATTGCGTGGCGTCTTCATTCCTTTCCACACTATAGGCGCCCCTAACCAAACTCTTATTGATCGTGAAATTGAGGTTATGTCACGCGAAAAGGGCCTTTATGAATACTTATAACGCTTACAAGGTCATAACTGACCAGAAATGCGTACAATTCTGGGAAAATATGAATAAAATTAACACTAAAACTATTAGAGAAAAACACGAGACACACAATTTTGTGTCCAAACACACTCTCTTCCCTTTCCTCTCTCCACGCACACACAACACACTTATTCTTGGCCTAAACAAAATTTCCTGGAAGATAGACTCTATAATTAAAATCACAATCCGCAAAAACTCTCCAACCAATTAACACACTTGGCGATAGGCGAAAAAGAACATGGCATAAGCACAAAAAAATCTGCTTGATTTCTAATTTAGAATAATTCTGTTTATTTTTATCTCGGCTCTTTGTTTTTTCCTGTCTAAAAATTCACTTCCCAGAAATCTTATGCATAATCATTTCACAGCCACGTGATAAGGATATCGCAAGTGCTTTTCCAGAGACTTTATAATAAGCGCAAGAGGAAAAATCCGCTCGACGAAAGAAGCTTTCATGCTAATTGAAGCATTTTGTCTGAGCACAAGTGAAAAAATCACGCAATTCCAGCGCACTAAATGCAGCACAGCTACAAACAGCCTCATTAAAGCCAACTCCCAAGCTTAATTGACAGCTCAATTAGCACCCCCGTTAGAGTATGCAGCACTGGAAATTGGACAATGTTGTGTGAGAAAATCCACCACCTGACGAAAAGTCAATACTCCGTGTCGAGCCACACCTCAGCTGACCCAGTGCCATGGAACCTTCAAGGAGACTCCGATAAGACATCAGTGTTCTCCGTGTGAGAAATGGAAAATTCCTCCGCATCTCTTCCCCCATTCCAACGACAACTAAATTAATCTATTTTCCACACACCCACGCATCATCCCTTTCCACCCATTCTGACTGTCTTCATATGTACAATTTCAACTTCATATAAATCAATTTCGAATCTTGTGGCTTCCTTCCTCTCAACCTTATTCCATGTTTTCATGTAGTCGATTAAGTGGAAAAATTGGATTGTTTTCAAGGAAAAAGATATTTGATTATCCTCTAGAATAATACTTTAAGAAAGTTTTCCTTTAAAATACCCCTAAAACTTACTGATGAATAGTTGTATTACATTACAAATAAATGTCATTTTTGTTTCTTTTGCAAGTTTATCATCTTAAATTTTTCTAACGTCGACAAATTATCTATAATAATATTAATAAAAATTCTATGAAGAGTGAGTCAATGGAAAGTTTTCCCTTGTTAAAACCATAAAATGACACAGAAATACCTTATCATAATTTCAATATATTGTCCCCGAATGTGAAATCAATTCCCCAAAATTCATGACTCACATTGATTGTCTACAGATTTCTTTGTAATTCTTGACGTGACAGCTGTCATATTGACAAGAGAATTTAACGTCAATTTCGAAGATAACTGCTAAAAATTTCCAATGTACCAAAATCATTATCACATCCCATGAAATGTTATTTACCCAAGTCATTTGCAATGAAGAAAATATGACTGTGTGATTTGCTAAAATGTGATATAAAATAATGAGATAGACAATTTTCTCAGCGTCCAGACAACCTCTCAACACTTTGTGGCTTTTTTTCCACTCTCGAGTATAGGAATCCTAAAATATAATCATGTTTTTACATGGAGTTTCTACAATGATATATAGAAAAATGAGAGATATAATGAGGTTGTGACTCTCTTTTGCGTCTCACTACAAAACTAATTGTCATATTCCAAGAAAATATTGTCACCAAAATCCGACATGCAATGGATTTCCACAGAACTCAACACTCACACTCTCCCCTTCACATTTTGGCTTCTGTGTCACCGGAGCAAGAGAGTTGAGTGTATCCAATATGTTTGTTGACATACGATACATATGAAATGGAAATGTGGATAATATTTTCGGGTGCGGGAGTCAAATTAACCCACAACAAAGGTGACAAATAGCCCTGGACGCAGCCCAGATATAGCTCACAATATGACAAAAATGACATTGAACTCGTGTAATCATTCACGAAATTTCCAGCGATAAGTTGCGAGATTTACTGATTAAACATACTTTTTCCAGAGAATTGATAAGAGTTCCTAGAACCCCAACAGCCATTGCATAATGCTTGGGGACTCTGTGGCACAATTAACCCCACAACCTAATTGATCTCTGATAGTGACGCGCATTGTTCACGCTTGGCGGAAAATTCACATCAATTCGTACACACAAAAAAAACTTACACAGAAAATTATATTCTGGATGTCGTGCCGAAAAATATATCTTGGAAAAACTCGTATCACATGAGCCACAAAATTTCCACACACTTTAAAAAACCAACTTCCCGCCGAGATGAGCGTTTGTAATCTCTGGTGTTACACACAGGAAGTGCTGATAATTACGCGATCGAGTGTAAAAATTCATTCAACGAGACGACGACACATTCAACAATGTATTTAACGTGTCACTGGATTATTCATTCAACTGAGAAATTCCATATACTTTCACACACACACACAATTTATCGTCTTTGGGATGCAAATCACGATTCTTGACTGAAAATTGTCAATCAAACTGCCTCTCAATGACTAGAATTCTCTTGTGCCAAAAAGCAGCCGAAAAAATTTTCACTTTTCCATCAAAGTTCTCATTCAAAACTGTTCACACACCAACAATAAGTTGGAAATCGAACTGTTCAACCAGAGACTCAATACAAGACTGACTGTTTCACTTCAGCATTCGAATGTTTTTCCTTCCACTTGTTGACTATATTTCTCTCTGTTACACACAATTCACCATCTCATTCGCACAATGTCGAGGCGGAGCCAGACACGAACTGGGGTGAAAAATATTTACTGCATGTTTTTCTTGGTTGAAGATGAATTTCCCAGGAATTTGTCGCCAGATTATTTTGATACACACTTATTTTCTCACGCAATTTTTCTATAGAAATTTCACACAACACTTCCACCACCTTTTTGGACAGGGGAAAATGTGATTCATTGCGCAAGGATTCGAAAATAAATAGATTTGTTAAAAAAAAAACTCACCTGATGAACAATTATATCAGGAATATGTATACTTTTCGAATGAAGATTTGTGCTTCACACCTGAAATAAAAAGAGAAGACAAATTATTAATTTGAAATTCGGAAGTTACAGCACATTTCCACACACTCTTCAATATTTACGACATCATCATTGCTTTCACCCTCTCTTATTTGCAATTCACTCCTCATCTCATTGCGTCACAAATATCACGTGTGTCTGTCTTCACTCCAAAGTCCCCAGAAGCCGCAACATTGATTAGCTTTCTGGGATGGTCTTAATTGAATTTCCCAAGAAAATTCCCCAAAACCCCAAAGCATTCGATCACAAGGAAACTTGATTTCACCTTCTTAGAACAATTCTCATTTCATTTGAAGGGATTGTTTCCACGGAAATGACTGCACTTTGTCACGTTTCAAATTATTAATGATTGATTACTTTTCAGCGAATTAACTGGTAAATCAATTTGCCATAATAATTGAGGAGGAGCTCTTTTTCTCTCTTTCTCTCTCGCTATCGTCTCTTTCTCGACAACACTTATATTTGCTTTTGGAGAGAGAATCTAAACACACAATTCAATTCATTGGAAAAAGACACATGCAAGACGTGGTCTTGATGACTCCCTTGCGAGACACTTTCTCGGAATGTTTTCAATGCATCCACTTTGGCTTCATTGGAAAATTGCATCAATTGTATTTTCATTAACTGATAAATTTAACTTAATTCAATTTAAAGGCACATTATGAATTCACCATAAAATTGAATTAGAATTCATTTATTATTTGTAAGTACCAAAGGCAAACTTTTCAACACTTCAATTACCTTCAAAATGCAATTAAAAACCAGGAATATTTGAAAATATAATGTTGAATTTCATATTTTCGCCCAAAATTTACAAAATTTGCCTTTTTCGGATAATAAAAGAAGATCAATTTCTGAGAATCATCAGATTATTTGGCTCCTGAACTCTCTTTAAACTGATAAAAACGACACATGTCGGTTTATTACCCTTATTTAACATCAACACTTGCTTATTCCTTATCATTGCGCTCTTTCGCTTTCTTTTTGCACTGGAAAATTGACAAATTCAATATATTAATTCGTGGAAATGAATTTCAAACCAAGCAATAAATATTTCTTCGGCTTTTCTCAGAATCATTTTCTGTATTATCTTCCATTATTGGGCGGGGTTTTTTCCACGAAAATCTTAATTGGCTATGCTTTGATTTCGTATGATATGAATTTATTGGTTAAAGCGGAACTTTCTTATCATTTTCAATGGAAACTCTTGTCAGAGTGTAAAAATTTATTTATTGCATTCTGTAATCTCATATCTAATTGTTATTTTTCTCATTTAAATCACATTTTATGTGACCCCTTTCACAGACGCCCCAATAATAATAATTAAACATTTACTTAATGGTGAAAAAAAGTGAAGATGCAATGCTTGAACAGTCTATTGGCAATATTCTGTACCCAAAAATTATTTACTCCCAAACAACTACGAAATCGCCACGAATTCCACGTGAATCATTCTACTCACGTTTGTTTTCTTCTGCCTCCGCTTCTTTGCTCGCTGACTAATTTGTTTTAACCCTCCCAAGTTCACTGACTCGCCACAGCTTTTCATGAAATTTCATACCTAATTAGCTAGTCAAATGTATACAGAGATTAATCTGGAAAGTTAACAATTTTGTGATTGTCAACTGATTTGTGACAATTGGAAGTGTTGCACAATATCATAAATTACATCCACCTACAGAGGGCGACGCCCTTCAGTACCGCTAAATTCACAATTTGTCGATCGCTTGGAAGTTGTGCTGATTTTCCTCGCATACGTAATCAAATTACTCTCCACTTTGCAAAGTACATTTTCCCTTCCTATCAAAATTTCCTTATCAGTACTGTGAAAAGCCATGCAAAATGTAATTTTGCCAATTCGCAGAAACAGTCTTTTGATGTCTAATTCGCCAACAAAAATACATTTTTATGAATTAATTTAAAATTCACCATCATGAAATATCAGTGATGCAAGAGGAATAAAACAAGCTTTGTGGTAATATTTCAGAGAAAAGTACGTATATATGTATTCTGTATTCAATAAATAAAATGTCACTTTCAAGATATGAAAAAAAAGAGGAAAAAAAATTCATGGAAACAAACTTTTCGATACTAATTTGACAAAAATTTTCTCACCCGAAGGTGGGAAAATTCGTTCCGCTCTTCCAGTAAATAAAAAAAGTTTACTTCATTCCCTCAGAATATTAATATGCGCTCGTAGGAAAAATTTCGCCGAACACTCTCGAGCGATTTCCAGGAAAATATATATTTCTAAATAGGGTCGTTTTGGTGAGTGAATGGCAAATAAATTGAAATTCCTTCCTGGAATCTACTGCTTTATCTTCGAGTTTTCATATTTCAACATTATTCGCGCAGAATATTTAACAAATATAAAAACCCCCTCGAAGTCTATTTTCAAACTCAAAAAAGGATCATTGTTTGAAGCGCCTGAAGTCATACTTTGCGCATAGCACAAAATAAAATTCCCAAACAATTCGTGATAAAAGACTCGAAAAAACTGCTTATCAATACAGTGAATACGGCTATTTATTCTGTGTGTCGTAGATATCATTTTGCCACCATTTTCAACTCTGATACGGCGCGATATTGCATTGTAATGTCATATTTGAGACTAAAGGAGGAACGCATCGAGTGCAAACACGCGACTCAACGCACCAAAAATACACATAGAGAGTTGTTGAGCGGCATTAAGAAATGTGAGTTAAGCTATAAAACTTCCTCACGAGTGACTCGTGGACAAAATGTACTCAATGGAACAGTGAATCACACTGACATGTTGCCACACGTACATTAACTGGAGCATATTGTCATATAAAGAACTGCAAGTGGAAGTTACGAAACTCCCAAGAACAAAATGCACATTATTTGTCACACCAGAAAACCTCCCAGAAGTCAAAGGTAAAGGAGAGAAAGTGTATTGAAATTTTGCAACTGTATTGCATTCGATAGATTCTTCTCTTTAAACATATGGAATATAGTACACATTTCGCATAGTTCTTACAATATTTCTGAATATTATGACGCACGAATGGTATAAAATCATTTATAAGAAGCTTTATGACATTATTTTCAAGGTGAAAAGCTTTGTTTATACTACACAAAAGAGACATTTTAGAGACAGATTCTTCTCATTATTTTCCGCAATTATAAAATAAATGCTTTTCTGTTTCGTCAGGTTAAAAGGGTTAAAATGATAAATTTAATATTTTCAAATTGCACACTTTTTCTTAATCAATTTCAGCATATTAGATTGTCTATTTAATTATGTTTTATTTTTCATAATTCAATATTACTCTAGAAGTTTTACAATTTCATCGTAAGTCTTTGCTTTCGTTTCTGGCAGGATAAACCAGAGGAGCAAAAATAAGATAAAACACGATCCGGCGAATATCCAGAGGTTTGAGTGAAATCCCAGTATTTCCGCCAGTGGCATAAAGAAGTACACACTAATTGTGGTCAGGACATTGGACATGATGAGCAGACAGAGCAAAATCAGCGATCTGATCTTGATGGGCAGAATCTCAGTGGCAATAATGACTGGAACAACGATGATTCCATACGTCGCAATGGCATTGTATCCGGCATAGGCGAGCGTCGGGATCCAGCTGACCGCAGAGATGTTCACTTCAGCATCATTCAGCATGACCATCGTGTTGAGAATCACCAGACAAATGCCCGCTCCCATGCTGGACACCAGCATAAGCCACCGACGACCTGCTCTCTCAATCAGCATCATGGACACGTATGACAGAAGATGGACAAACACCGCTGACGCAATTGCGGACGCATTTCCACCAATTCCGGCGCCCGCCTCATCCAAAACTATCCCAGCGAAGTTCTCCATCTGGAAGAGGCCCGAGAAATTCCGCCCCAAATACATGATGAAGCATATAAGAATCGCTTTCCTCGTTGATTTCAGATCTACAAATTATTAGAGAGAAATTTTATAGAGACAACAAAACACCATGAAAATTCACAGAAAAAACACTCACTGAAATCATCGCAATTGAGTGAACTTTTCTTCATCACATTCGCAATTGAGGCCTTCAATTGGTCAAACTCTCTCCGAAATTCATCAGTAACGCTTGCCTTGTCATTAAATCCCCTGTAGAACATGAGCGACAAGAATGCCTTGTCATCCTTCTTCTTCATCAGCAAATACTGTGGAGATTCCGGGAAGAAGACGCTACACACCACAAACACCACTAAAATAGCCAAACTCAGTATCGATGCAACGTGCATGTGAAAATATGCACCCATTATATATCCAAGAGCAATGCCTAGAGTAATCAGCAATCCATTGTAGGATCCAATCGCACCGCGATTCCTGCAGAAATGTCCATCATTAATTCACATTCTTTGCAATTGTGTAAAAATCCAATGCAGATTTCAAATAATTTCAGCCGCTTGACAAGTGAAATCCATGAAATAGAGACAATTTAAATTCAATAAAGTAGCAATGCACAGCGTGTTTCACATTGAGCCATGTCTAAAATGTATCAAAATTAATTCTTTTCAGTTTCCTGGACGTAAAAAAATCATTTTAAATATCAGTATATATTATTTTAAACCTTATCATTCACATTTTTGCAGTGGAGCATTTATTTTCTACTTGGAAGTTATATTACCTTGTCGCAAACAAAATCTAATATAATATAACGCTGTCGCAGAAAGAAATTTCAATGTGAATTCTCAGTATTGTGTGTGTTTTTTCCTGTTGCGATTCAGAATCAAAAGCTCAAATAAGTTCTCTTGCACGATATTTGACAAGTGCTTTGAAAAAGTCAACGTGTCAGTGCAAAAAAAATCGCGTATTAATGAAGTTTTTATGATGTCAATAATCAAATTGAACATTTTAACACAATGTGAATCACTCTCTCTATCTCTCTCTCTATCTCACTCTCTAGAGTAATCATATTGGAATCTGTGACAAGCTACTTAAAATTGTCTCAAAACTTGCACTTATCAATAACTTTCTCAATTCCATTTCTTTCTTACTTCGTCTCCGCAATTTCCGACAAGAACATTGGCACTGTGATGAACATGGCATTGCTTGAAATTCCACTGAGTGCTCGAGAAATCAATAAATGTGTCCCATTCCTTGCCAGGATGATTAAGATGTGGGCACAAATTTGTGGTATAGCAGACAGAATGATGGCCAACTTTCGGCCCATATAATCGCCCAACTTCCCAAACACCAGGGCTCCTGCACAGCCACTGATGTAGAAGATCGCCGTGATCATCGACGCCTCCTCCACTGTGATCGGACCATCGGGTAGCGGTGTTTCCGGCGAAATGAGAAGCGGGAAGATTGGCGAACTCCACCCCAGAGTGATTCCAGTGACAACTTGTGCCAGATTAACTGAAGATCATCGGGAAATATTTGTAAGGATCACTAAACAAAACACCGATCAAATGAATAAGACATACTTGCGATCGCGGCGACATTTTGCAAAAAACGCCCACTTAACTTAAATGGAAGAAGGTACATTGTTCGCAATATCGTGGAGAATATATAGTATGAGATCCACACGGTCAGAATATCACAATGAGACTGATATGAGTTGTAAAGGCAATTGTGGAAAGTTAGCTGATAAACGACCATCAGACTAAGCGTGATAGTAAAATCTTAAGTACTCAATTCTTCTAAAATAAAAAATAGATACGTATTATCTCTTATTTACCCACAGACTTCATTTTATTGTCGTCTTAGGAAAATACTACCGGTAAAATGTAAATTAACATTTTATTGTGATGCACATTGATCATTTCAAAGCCATCTTTGCAGATGCAATTTCTGGTTAATTTCAGTGATGGAAGAAGCAAAAAAATTGCTCACTATGTTTATAAGTTATAACAAAACTCTCTTATAGAATATATACATAGTTTCTATCGTTATTATTTTATCGCAAAATGCATTATACAAATTCATGATAATTGCATTATTATTTATGCAGATTTTTCAAGCAATAAAAAGAAAAATGTTAAGTGTTTCAAACAAAATTCACGAAGTAACAATAGTAAACTGTTACTTTCATTTGAAATAGGCGTACTTTTCTCGATGGAAAATCAGAAGTCTTTAGAAATCTCATCGTATGTCTTTCCTTTAGTTTCTGGCAGAAATTTCAGTACAAACAGCGCTTCGAAGATGCACCACCCAATGAAGAACCACATCAAAATATCCAGACCAATATCCTCGATCCAGATCAGGAAGAAGTGCACAATTGTGAACATCCCGAGCCAGGCCATCATCATCATGGCTGACGCAATACAACTCCTCAATTTTGGCGGCAGGATTTCAGCTGACAGCTGAAGAGGCATGGACACCACACCAGGCGTGGATACGAATAATACCACACCGATCACTGCAAGCGCCCAATAGTCATGAACGTGCCAAATGGCGTTGTATCTCGCGAAGAGCGCCAGAGGAACCAGAAATGCCGCCGTCAACAGAGCCGAGACGATCATCACCACCTTCCTGCCCCAAGATTCCACCACGGAGAAGAGGACGAAGGCCGAGGGAACGCCCAAAAGTGTCGCGATGAGGGCAGCCAATTCAGGATTCATGGTGAAGTTCATTCGAGTGAATATAACGCCCAAATAAGCCACAATCACTTGAATTCCACTGAGGAACTTGCCAGCATAGAGAACAGTGCACACGATCAGAGCCTTCCACGAGGATTTCGGTTCTGGAAATATCAGGGAACTTAGTGAGAACCTACTCAGGAAGACTACGTAATTACAAAGTCTTACTAAAGTCATCCCAGGATAAACTCTCTGTCTGGTTTTTCAGCGTCGGAGAGTTCTTAAGCTCTTCAAACTCCTCCTTGCACTTCTGGGGCATTTCTTTACCCTCCGGAACAGCCCTGAAGAACCTCAAAGCCTCCTCAGCAGCTCTTTCCCTCCCCTTAAGCAGCAAATACTGCGGTGTTTCGTGCATTATTAAAAAGACACACAAGAAAACACTGTTGCAAGCAATGAAAATATAAGGGGTGATGTGAAATCCAACATAGGCACAAATGATTCTTGTCAAGAGTGTTCCACAGTGGAGAACTCCATTGAAAATGCCCCCTAAAATGCCACGAATCCTGAAAAAGAAAGCACATCAAGAATTTCTGCTCGATTTATTAAGTAAACTCTCTTTTATCTTACTCCTTCTCAGAAATTTCCGACACAAACACCGGAATCACAACGAAAGAACATCCAACTCCAATCCCATTGAGGACTCTGGCAATAACCAAAGTCACGAAATTCTCCGACAAGGCGATCAAAATGTAGGCCGCGATGTGCATCAGAGTGCCAATGTAGAGACTCCACTTCCGCCCAATGCAATCAGCCAAGCTGCCGAAGATCAGCGATCCAGCTATTGCCCCTAAATACAACATAGATCCGAACAGAGACACTTGAGCTGTGCTCAACGGGCCCGCAGACATTGGCGTGTTGTCGGAAGTGAGCAGAACGACAGTGCTGGAAATCCATCCAATGGCAAAACAGTAGTTTAGCCCACTCAAATTGGCTGCAAATCAACCCCTAATTAACCACTGACACAAAGTGTGTGGAAAACAAGTCAAAATCTCACCACAAAACGCCACTAAGTATTGACAGAGTCTCGCTCTGCTGCCGGAGATGACGATCATCTTGACGCACCAAATCACACTGAGCTCTCTCAATTCAATTCGAGAGCCTCACATGAACATATTAGTGGCAAAAACGGATAGTTTACTGACCTTTTTTGCAACACAAATGAGTGTTAGTCATTAATTAGGTAAATAAATGGGGATTTCATAAGAGCTTTAATAGCAATGTACAATACTTTTTCTCCGAAGACATTGAATATCTTGTATGTTATAGAGAATTACTTGAAATATATAAACAAAACCCGTTTTCTACACTCAGACAAATTACAGGTATTCATGCTCTTTCTCATTCAATTTTATCACTAAAATCTCTCAATTGACGTACTCTTCGTCACAGTGATATTTTTCCTCCACTTTCTTGGGACTTTCTCACCCAGAAGTTCAACTACTTCATCAAAAGTCTTCCCTTTTGTCTCTGGCACGAAGGCGTACGTGAAAATCACACCTAATAGACACCAAATGGCAAAGATCCACATCCATAGCGAATGTCCCCAGAAGTTCGCCAGCTCGAAATAGAATTGCATGGATAAGAAAGCAATAATCCAGGACAAAATTAACATAAAACTGATAATACTGCCTCGAATTTTGATTGGCAAAATCTCAGCTGGGAGAGCGAATGAGATTGAATTCATTCCAGTGCCGGGCAGAGCGACAGAAAGTGCCATCGAAGGTATAATCAGCCATGCAAAGTTTGTCATATCGACGCCATTCTCCGCGAGTTTGTAGTGAATGCCGGCGATGAGGAGAGACAGTCCTGAGATGACATAGAATCCGATCAGGGGCCTTCGAAAGCCTCCGTACTTCACAATTGGTATTGACGCAATTGCCGCCATGACTTGAACAACAGTTATCACCACATCCATGGCAGCTGTGTCCATGTGAGATCCCGAATCTCTCAGCAAGGATTCGGTGTATGAAATGAGAATTCGATTTCCTGTGAAGTTTTGATTGCCACTCAAGAAGAAAGTGATGAAAATGGCGAGAAGTGTTGCTCCTCCTTCTGCAATACCAAATATACATCCATGTCTTTATCACTTGAACTTTTATCAATCTATGCTTCATATCCTTACTGAAGTCCTGTAGGGTGAGAGCGCTCTTCTGACTCCTCAAACTCGGTGAATTCTTCAATTCGGCAAACTCATCAGCAACAATTTCTGGCATTTCCTCACTTTTCCCAACACCACGGTAAAATTTCAGTGAATTTTCAGCCTCTGCATCACGATTTTTCAGCAAAAGATACTGCGGCGTATCAGGAAGATTGATGAATATCATCACAAAAGTGCCAATAATAACAAATACGCCAATTGGTGTGGCATAGAAACCACCATAAGATGTCAAGCACTTTCCCACCAAGCATCCAAAGTTGAAGCCAAATCCGAGAAAATTCCCAACAACTCCTCTCAAGCTCTTATCTGCGATTTCCGATATGAAGATGGGGAAAACAACGACGCATGCTCCGGCCGCAAAGCCACTGAACACTCGTGAGATGTGCAGGAAGACGGCATTCTTGGCAATGGCGATGAGGCCGAATCCACAGAGTTGAGGCATGACGAGTATCAAGAGGCTCCTCTTCCGGCCCACTGCGTTCGCCAGCCACCCAGCGACCAGGGATCCCATGACGGCGCCCACGTACATCAGAGCTGTCATCAGAGACACCTCGTCAGTGGAGATGGGGCCGCTGGCAAGTGGCGTAGCCTCTGACTGCAGCAGAGCGATGGCCGGCGAAGTCCACGAGAGAACGAAGCCAAAAAGAATGCTCAGCAGATTGGCTACAAGTGACAAAATCAACTTAAAATCCTCCCTAGAAAGGCGAGAAAAGTCAATTTCTCTCAACCTGATGCAGCCGCAAGAATTTGCACAACTTTTCCCTTATCCACTGAAGTACTCATCATAATTGTGCTCTGTCTTAAGCAAAAATTCACAATACACTGGCCACAGATAAGACATTGCCGAGGCAAAATCTCATCACCGAAAGACTTACGATGCTTTGCAGAAAGATTATCGTGATTATTTCCGTACCAAAGAGTAAATATTCAAGTTTTCACGTCACCTTCACTATACAAAGACGACTTATTAATAAATATAGAAGAGCTTTGAAAATTCATCAATGAAAAGCCTTTGTCGACTTTCATTAAATAACGAGAAGCTTTTGTAGCGCATTCAAAAGCTTTTGAACTTTTCCCTTTGAAATGTTGCCAGAGTTTACCAATGAATTTATCATCACAAATCCCCCTTTTATTTATACCAACACGCTTTTTTCATGTTGCAAATAATTTGTGTATTGAATGTTATTTGCGAAAATTATATATTTTTTTTTACTCATTCGGAGCTGAGAATTAAAGTGAAAAAATGATGAAATTGAATCAAAACTCACTAAAATTCTCTAATAGCCAATTAAGTATACGATTTGTAATGTCATAAAATACATTGAGTACAATAAAATAATGTTATTAATAAGGGATTTCCATGGGAAATTCCTTAAGATGGTAAAACGCCTTTCTTGCTCTTTCCCTGCAACTCCATTTCCACCTGATCAAAGCTCTTGCCCTTCGTCTCGGGCAGCCTGAAGTAGACGAAAATGAACTCAAACACACACCAGCCGCCGCACATCCACAGCGGCGTGTACATGCCGTTGTGCTCGCCGAAGATGAGGAAGAAGTCCACAATGACGAACGTCATTGCCCAGTAGAGGAGCATAAAGGTGGTGGACACGGGACTCCTGAGCTTTGGCGGCAGCACCTCAGCTGACACGCTGAAGGGAATTGCCACCACGCCTATGGCGGCCAGGGTCATGAAGGCGGACAACGATACGACGGCCAGCCAACTGTTGGCCGCCGACTCCACGCCGTAGAACGTTTTGGCGAAGAAGACAGCGCCCAGAATGGCAATGGAAATCGCCGCTCCTCCGCTGGAGATCAGCAGATTCTTCCTGCGTCCAGCACGATCCACACAGATGATGGCCAAATTGCTGCCAATCAGCTCAAAGACACCCACAATCAGAGCCGACAAATTGGGACTCCACGTGTGCGATCCCGCCTCCATGAGAACACTGGCGGTATAGTTGTCCAGCGGCAGGACGCCGCACAGACTGCGGCCAGAGATGAGCACCAAACTGATGAGGATGGCTCTTCTGGTGGTCTTTGGTTCTGTGCCCAACAAAGTGTCACAAAATTAGAAAAACACCGCAGAAAACACAATCAGCCAAGATATTTCCTTACTCAAGTCCTCAATCTTGATCCTCTTGTTCTGATTCAGGAGCGTCGGTGAACTCTTCAGTGCCTCAAATTCATCCTTCACCGCCTGCGGCATCGGCACTGAGAGATTCCTCGTCACACCACGCAGGAATCTCAGTGACTTCTCTGCATCTTCTGGCCTCTGGCGCAACAACAGATATTGTGGCGTCTCGGGAAAGAAGGGAAAAGTGACGATGAAGATGGCGAGGATGCCAAGAACTCCATAAGGCACCACATAGAAGTCCAAATAGCTGCCAAAGGCGCGTCCAACAACAATCCCAATTGATACCATGTTGCAGAAAATTGCACCCATTCCGCCACGAATCCTAAAGATGCACAAAGTGAATACGTGAACGCCTTCATCAAAACGATCATCTTTGACGTGTATTTGACGCCAATTCAATTAAATAATAGCCAAATAGTTTTGAAAATTGCAAACATTCTGTGGAAAAGTTCACTCATTAGATCAATTCAAATTTTGTCGAGGTTAACACACTATTTCTTCCCATCTGCTGGACAATAACTTTCCTCGATTGATTCATCGTTTTTACACGCCACTGAATTTTGACACATCAGTGCCAGGAGACAAAGCAGAAATCTTCCAATATTTGCACATCATCAGATAAATAAATTACTTTTAATTGCTCAACATAATTCAATTACCACCAAAATGGGAAGTGATTTGATACACTTCACCTATAAAGTTGCTTAAGAAAATTACTCTTTTTTTGCACTATCGCTTGGAATATTATAAATAAACAATTCAGAGAATCAGAATAAATATATAATGTTAATTAGACTGGGAAAACACGAGAACTTGAGAATTTTTTAATACTCTTTTCTGACAAAACAACTCCCTATCAATTAAAAAAGCATCTTTTGGCGCGTGTATGCATCGTTAAAATACTCTCGATTTCCCGCTCAATTCAATGATAATGAACTTTTCTCACAGGAAAGTTATTGCTTGCGAATTTCAAACGGACTGGTGAGAAGACTTTTCACTCACTTGTCCTCAGACACTTCCGACACGTAAATCGGCAGCGCCACGAAGAGTCCACCGCAGCCCAGGCCACTTAGGCAGCGCGAGGCATAGAGAAAGGAGATGTCAGCGGCGAAGATGATGAGCAGATAAGCCAGGACGTGAGGCATCGTGCCGAGAAACAGTGCCCACTTCCGTCCCACGCGATCCGCCAGCCAGCCCACGAGCAGAGAGCCGAGCAGGCCGCAAATATACAGCAGCGCACTGATGAGAGACGCCTGCCTCTTCGTGATGGCGCCAATGGGTAGCGGCGTGTCCTCCTCGGACAGGAGTAGTGGAATTGTGGGTGAAACCCACCCAACGGAAATCCCATACATAAGCGTTGCGAAGTTTGCTGCAAGATTTCATCAAATCAACCAATTCCTTCAAGGATATTTTCCCCTCCTGCTAACCATCTTTCGACAAGTTTTCTTCCCCTCTTTACCTATAAATCCAACCAAGTACTGTCGCTGATGCGACGTCAATGCAAATCGGACGAACATTTTAACTCAACACACTATAATCTGCTTCAGACACTTTACACGACACAACTGAATCCTCTCATTCGCGATCACTGGACTTTTAATCAACCCAAGAAAATACTGTATGACGTAGATATCACCAAAATTTACATTTACACACCAGAACGATATATAAAAAGTGGTTTTAGTGCGAATGTTTTCTGTTTTTTTTGCTTATGAAACAGGAATGTTCAGGACAAAAAACAAATATCGTGCATAAAAGTTTGGGATGAAGTGATCTTTTTTCAAAATCACCAACATCACATGATCAAACTTTGAAATACACAGAGTCACAGTTTAAGGAGCGATCCTCACTGCTTCACCAGTTGCGCGGTTATGATATGATTCTTCATGAAACAAATGTTTATGTATATATTTTTTCCGTATAAAAATCCAGAAATTGCTCGCGCGAGTGAGACAGGCAAACGTATTGAACAAAGACGGGAATTAATGGACAGAGAGAGAATTGTCGTGTGGGGAGGGAAAAATTTGTGATAAAATGAAAACTTTTCCACAAGGCCAAAAGTGACAAATTAATAGAAATAAATACACCAAAATGGATTGGGCAAAAAGACCATCTTTTCTCGATATGCACGCTAATTGGTATTCAATATTTTCGTATGAATCTTAAACTAAGGGGGGCCAGTGCCTTTTAGGCTTCTCTCTCTCTCTCTCTCGCTTCTCCTTTTTTGACGCAATCAAGAACTTATAATCACTTTAGTGCCTGACAAAGTGGATGCCTAATGAAGGAAAAACTCCTCGAACGTTAGGCATTTTTGCTGGGTTGCTGCAAAAGAGCGTTGCTGCATTTTGTCAACACACACACACACGCAAATACTCTCAATATTCCAGATTGCACCGGAACGTTGAGGAAGAAGTGTTTAATGTCTAATTAAGTCAAGGTCCACCTTGACTTCTCACTTCCGTTCGCCCTAATGCAGAGAAACAACTGGTTTCCCAATTATTACCCGTAAGTTTACTTTTTCTGTTGGCAGTGAATATCATCTTAATTAGTTGATCTTGAAATCCCAATATTTGATATTTAAATAGCAATTTAACCCTTCATCTGATGCACAATGCCGAAGGAGTTTTATTCACTCCAGTAAAAGAACAATATCTGAGTGATAAAAGTCATGCAAATAGATAATGTTCAGATAAGAAGAACGCAAAGGTTATAATAACACCGTTCATTGAGAAGGTAAGGATTATAAAGTTAAAAATATATGTAATTGTTTGATAGCAATAAGAAAATTAGAAAGATATCTTCTAAACATGAAAGAAATTACCCTAAATATTCAATCAAATCTTTTTTATTTATAGCAAAACGTCTCTGAAATAAAGATAGTCTAATTAATCTAAGTGCGTATATCTTCAAAAACGTAAATATATATTATAAGAAATCAAACACATCTCCTAGAAAAACAAACTAACATTAAATTAAGATAAAACATTTACGCTCTTTTACACCTTCAGTCACTGATGTTGAAAAAAATTAACAAGCATTGCGAAAATAAACTTTTATAGCATTATTTTTTAGTTAAAAAAGTGTTTATTTTACACTCAATTGTATGCAATAAAATATTCTCTCAATTCAACACTATTTTTCACCCTAAAACAGTAAAATTTGTAAGTTTATATGAGCAAGAATAAAGCAAAATGAATTCGTCTCGTTCATTATGATATTGAAAACATACTTTGGCTCACAAACAGAAGTCCGCGAACTTTCTGCTCAACCAAAGAAGCATGGAAAAAGTCATCATCATCGTCATAGTTAATTTTCCGCATTGATTCCAGCGCGTCTTGTGCCTTCTTCAGCCCTCTTCGTTGCTGTCAAGCTGGCAAAATTTAATTTACAGTGGAAAAAGAATTGGCACAAATTGCTTCTTGTTAGCATTTCATATACAGAAACCCATTGACAGTTGAAAGCGAAATCTCTCAGTCTCGACAATTTTTACTCATTCAGCTTATTTATTTTTCCACAGCAAAGACACACCAAAAAAACCGATCCACCGCATGAACAATTTAATGACAATTTAATTTTCCTATAGTTTAGATTTTAAATAATATTGACAGTGTGCTTTTATCAAATTCCACCATCAATGTTTTACAAATTTTCATCATTACTCTTGTAATTCACATAATTGCATTACGCCACAAAGGCTGCCTTCAATATTCACACAGAACAAACACACAATTCACGAGACCGGCGAATTCTGCGTAGAATTCTCGTGTTATCTAATGTGTAGAAAAAAATCTTGACATGCTGAAAGTCTGGTTCTTTGACAAATCTACTCTGATTTCGCAAAAAAAAAAAACTGAAATAATGTTAATCAAACGACTTTTTTTTCTATTAAAAAGACGAAGAAGAATATTAATCACTCAAGACTTGTAATTTAGTGGCATGAAACTTGGTTTTCACAGTCCTTTTTTTTTGAGGCTTTAATAACTTTTTCAGTATTGGTCAGCGGACTTCTTAACACAATCCCGCAATCTCAGACATTTCGCTCTCATATGCAAAAATAATATCTTTTGTTAAGTGCGCTAGGACTCTAATTATTCAATGAAAAATTAAATAAATCCCCGAATAATTGCCTTAGCATAATTTTCCGACTCCTCCCACAGTGAATCAAAGGACAAAATAACCGCCACAAAGTTGCAATGAGTGAAAATAACCATGAGAAAGGCATCAAGTGTTACAAACTTTAAGAGTTCAACACCAATCATTTGCGATTATTCCCTGCAATAAAACCCTTCCCCGCCATTTAATCGTCGACTAGCAGGTGTTTTACTACTCACGGTGTCTTTTTTCTCATTAAATATTGACATCGCGAAATCATTGTTGATGTCTATTCGTTGTGTGACGCCCAGAAGATGGACTTAATTAGTATGAATTAAGTATCAAGAAATGATGGACGACATGCCAATTGTTGTGCGAAAAGTGTCCTGAAATCTTTCCAGAGAGACACACGACGAAAAGGCCAAATATGACAATTGACTGTGATTTATTGAAAGTGCTACAATTTTCCGCGTCCGTTCACACAATTAACCCGCTAGCACAACAGCTCAATAAAACACTTAATAATCCGGTATTCACAATTTTTCTCTCACATGTTCTCACTAGTGAACAGTAGACAAAAATTGTCCAATTACTTGACGCTTTCGTGACAGGTGATATACGCGAACGCGTGACTTTTTCACCATCCGGACAAATTGAAGGGTTTTCCGGGTAGATTCCCTTGGTTAAATCGAGGTTTTCTCGCTACAGATTTCATCGGTAGTTGAATTAGTTGAATGAAGAAAAGCCCTTCACTGACAAAATTGTTATTAGATCATTGACATCATGGAGAATTATGTTTGTCATCACATAAAATTTACGACTATTTCAACCTTTTCAAATACAAAAAAAAATTATTTTTAGGGCAAATTATCAAGAAATGCCCGTTATGATAAAACTAAGCATCTGGATTAAGTTGTAAAGCCAGTATTCAGTGTTGTTATTTCTTTTCACACCACTGTATAAGTGCGAAAATGTGTCATTCTTCTCTCTCATCTATTCAATTCATTCCAAGAAGGATTCTTGTAAGAAATATCTTCTTTCTCTCTTCATACTCGTCTATAAAGGCCAAATTGTTTTTCCCAATTCTCCACATTCTTTGCAATTGCTTAACATGTCGAAGCGATGCATTTTCTGCATTGTTTACCCCCTGAATTCCCAGAATTCTTCACCCGCCAAGCAACTTTCATTGCTTGATACATTTCAGCGCTTATTTTGTCTTCCATTGCGACTATTTGTCAACCCGGGAGTCTTAACTGTGCATTTTGTCGTGGTTTTAGGTCAATTTTTGGGTCTTTTGGGAGAGCGACTCCCACACAGTCAACAAAAAAAAATGGCAAAGCGTCATCAATGCTGGCATCTCGCTCTCGCGCGTGGGATCGTACGAGATGACAGTGGGAGAGTGAGTGAGATGCCGCGAGATTCGCTGAGATTGGAGGACGCCATCTTGGAGAAAAACTCACCACATGCAAATTGATTGTGAAATTTCACCATGAAAGCCAAAAGGGTGCCTTTTTTGGCTGTTTGGGGCGAATATGAGGCGCTACAGAGACACAAAATGCTCCCCGGAAGGATAATTGAACCCTTCCAGAACTTCCGGACGGGAGATTAAAAGGAAAATCAAACACGAGAAATCACTGGCATTTCTCCCATTTCTCAGTCTTATCTCGACCCAAATTGATAAAAATGCGTGTAGATTGTGGCAAAGACTCACCCTGTTGGTCTGCTGTGTCGTTCCGTATCACTTATCAGACGCCAGAAACATAAACAAGTGATTACGGATTCATGAATGAAAACAGCACAGCAATCAAGAATGTTCACTTATCGCACAGATTTCGACACTTTACTGTCTCTGCGGATCTGTTTATGCACTGTTGTCAGGTGGATGAGCCCATGGGTCACGTTGCTGGGGCGGAGGATTGATGAACTTTCTTGGAAGTGTTTCAGAGAAAGGCTGCCAAATGGAATTCCACGAAAAACACACCACACACACTTGTCAATGGGCCGATACTCCAATTGGACACTGCAAACACGGCTCTTGGGCAGCTTCACTACCAAAACAACACCAACAATCACACCCACGACACACTCTAAGGATTTTACGGGCACTTTTGATTTGATATTGTCACGGAAAGTGCCTTTTTGGCCACTTTTTTTCTGCCTCCAACGCCCCGAAGAAAGTTTCGCATCAATGGCGCACAAGTGCTTGTTTTTTCCGCGAGGTTGCGCGACAATGCGCCCACGTGGCATCAGGCAACACTATTGTTTTGATCCATCGCGACGCGCATTATGCTGGCAAATTGTAGGTTTTCGCGTGAAAAATCGCTTATTGGAGCTGGAAAATGACCCAGAATGGTGTGCGAAGAAGGAAGTTGGCCATCGGCGGAGGAGTGCTCACGACGTAAGTGAGAATTATCTTGATTTCGAGGCTTTTCTCATGTGTCTTCATTTCCAGGATCGGTGTGATGGCTTATGAAATAATCCGGATTAGGAGGCAATTTGATGGGCTGGTGGACACGAGTGTAATGGATTATGACAGGAAGAGACCGGACTACATCTACATCAACTACTCCATCTACAGGGAGTCGCTGAGGCGACTGCAGGAGGAACAAGAGGGCAAAGTAAGAGCCTTCCGGAAGGATTGCTCATCAGTGGCGTGATTTCTTATCGCATAGAGGTGATAATGGGGCTTTTTTTTCTCTCTTCCGGGTGTCGCAGACCTTCGTGAATATCATCAGTCATCCGATTGAGAAGTGGTGGAAGGCAATGAAGCACTCTGTGGCCTGGAGATTGTTGCAAATGGCCCAGACGTCCGATCGCCACGACAGAATCAAGGCAGTGCGTCAGCTGGCCCTCGTGGATCACCTGAAGTCCTGGGACTACCAGCACTTGGCTCAGCTGTGCGACGCCAGGACAGCGGTGTCCCTGGCGCGCTCCCACTGTGATTTGCGATGGTTTCTGCCGCCGCGCCACTTGGGCGTCGTGAAGAACCCAAAACTCCTGCTTAAGGACATTCACCGTCTCCTCGAGGATGTGCAGAGCAACAAGTGTGCCGCGACACTGCTGCAGAAGACCTTCGGGAAGTACGAATTCCAGGAGGTGTCTGCGGATCAGGAGCTGCTCAAGTGTGGCAAAGGCTTCGCACGCATGAATCCAGAACTCGAGCTCCTGCGGCAGTGCATTGACGTCCTGTCACACCTGTCAGAGTACCGCGATGTGGCCCAGAGGATCATCTCCGAGGGCGGTCTCGTGCATCTCATGGAGATCTACAAGATCTTCCGCGATCACTTCGATATGAGGCTCAAGATTTGTCGTGTCATCGCGAATTTGAGCATTTGCTCTAATCGCATTGACGACTTCTTCGTCACAGGTTGGATCGCAGTACTTGCTCAGTGGACACGCAGTGACGATATGCGAATCTGCGTCACCGCGGCCAAGACACTGAGGAATCTCGACACGGATGACAATGCCTCGTGTCTGTACAAGTCCAAGATTTACCCTCTCTATCCGCTATGGCGGCGCAAGAGGCGTCCGGAAGTGGACGTTGTGTTTGTGCACGGAATCTTGGGAGGGGTTTTTGTCACGTGGCGCCAGAAGGAGGGCATCGCTAGCGAAGGAATGCGCCAAGGAGGAGTGATCAAGATGACCAAAACACCCACAAAACCCACCTTTTCGGAAGAACTCCTGGAATCTCTCGAGGGAATTGACAAGTGAGTTTTCTACACTTTCATCATCCTCCCAGAATTCAGTGCATTTCTTATGCTTTCTTCCCTAGAAACCGCGGCGAATTGCCTGAAGACTGGGAGGTTGTCTACGAGGATTGCCCGGAAGCTGCGTCTCACGACGCTGTGGGGCCGTTCAGTGTGTCCGGCGAGGAGTGGAATGCACCGGATGGCTACTCGAATTGCTGGGCCATGGATTGGCTGCAGGAATCCTTCCCGGACATCCGCGTAATCGGCCTGAATTACGACTCGACGCTGTCTGAGTGGTACTCGAAGTGCCACGGCTGCGGATGTCACATCACGCGCGGCACGGTGGAGACGCGCGCCAGGGAGTTCCTGGAGCAGCTGGTGGCGGCGGGTGTGGGTCAAGGTGGCCGGCCAGTGGTCTGGGTGGGCCACTCGATGGGCGGCCTGATTGTGAAGAGCATAATTACGCAGGCGCTGCGCCAGGCGGATGAGGCGGTCAGGGACATTGGCGTGAACACGAAGGGAATCATGTTCCTGGGCACTCCGCATCGTGGCACGCCCGTGGCCAAGCTGAAGCAGCACACGCAGATGCTACTCTCGCCGACATTGGAGGTGCGTGAAATGGAAGAGAATGCCAAGAGTTTGCTGGAGTTGCATAAGGATTTTGTGGGGAAGATTGAGAGTTTGTGTCCTGAGGTGGAGATTGTCAGCATTGCTGAGGGATTGCCGACAATCTTGACCAGCTTTAAGCTCTCCTATCATGTGGTGACGGAGGAATCGGCCAAGATTGAGTTGGGGGACTTTTATCGTCTCAATGACGATCACTTGGGCATCTGCAAACCATCTTCGCGGCACTCATTTCTCTACCAGCGCCTATTGGGGCTCATTCAGCGAATCCACGAGGATCTGCAGCGGAAGTCGACCGCATGAAAGACTGTGACGAATAGATTGGACCATGACGAACACCTTTTATTTCACGAGAGGCTTCGAGGAAATTAGTTAGTGAAGTAATAATATATTCTATTTATACTGCGAATGCAAGTTTTCCTTCAAAATTCATACTGATAAGACAAGTTCGGCTATATACAGTCATGCAGCATTGGCAGTAATCCGATGTCGAAATGAGAGCTCAAGGAATTGTCTGTGTCCGGTTCATCGTCTCTTGTGCAGCAAATCTTTTTGCAGGAAATTGATGTGCTTAAATATTTTTGTGGCACTAAAACTATTTCGGGAATTTCTGTCAATTGTGACTCAACTTCTGAGGAAGTCCCGAGGGAAATCCGTTCCGAGATTGAACAGAATTTCCATATTGGTAATTTCGTCAAATTTCAATATCAATATCTTGCGTTCAACATGGTGTGTGTGATAAGTGTACGCCGAGAGCGCGTTTGAAAAGCGCAATCACTGAAAAAACACTCGTTCTCTCTTCATCTCTCTCTCTATAAATTAGCCAGCGGATTGTTCCCAAATAGTCAGTTTGTCTCTTGACTTCGTGTAGTGAACTGTGTGAGATTTTCCCACGGGGAGACTCTCTACGGAGGGCCCCCGCGGGGACGTTTGTGCGATGTATTCCAGGGAAAATTCGTTTTCCACATGCTGGATAAAGAGAATCGTGAATAAAAGTGACACCGTGCAAAGATGTATCTAACTATTGCTGTTGCCCTTCTTGTTGTGTACTCCGGGGTGCCTTCAAGTGGAGCATCGGGAATCGCTGAAGAAGCCTCCCATTTGGACATGCTACAGTTTTGGCAGACTTGCAAGCATGAGGCGGAAATTAAGACGTTGATCGTGAAGGCTGCAATTGGCGAGAGAATCATCTTCGCCAATCACTCCAATCTTACAATTCAAGAGTGTTACAATCGCCTCAGACACCACACATTCCTCTGGATCGATGCGCAAATGCTCAATCACAGTGTGGAGAAGAGCTTCATTTTGGTGAAAAGGACGCAATATGAGAAACTGAACTTGGACATGAATCCGCCTAAACTGTACGCACTGACTAAGAGTGCGCGAAGGTGGAAATTGATGCTTCTGCTGGAAGTCCAGCCGAAGATCATGCGTGTCTTGAATGTGACCAAGGAGACCTTCTGGAAAAGAGAGGAAAATGCATTTGTCAAGAATTACAGTGAGATTAGAAGAGTGGTTTCATTTTCTTTGTGAGCGATACTGAAGCAATTCTTCTATTGACAGATTATAGTCTCATCAGTAACGAACAGAAAATCGAGCTGAAGCATCGCAGGCGGATTTGTCTGGACTTCGGTGGGTTCGCAAGGTTGAATGCCACAGGAGACATCCGCATCAGAGATTTGCGAAAGACTCTTTGTCGCAGGGAATTGATTAGAATTAGATTTCCCAACGAAGGACTGGAGAAGAATGGACAAATATCTGGAGTCTCAGAGATTGTGGCCAACAAAGTTGAGGTGGAAATTCAAATCCACACAAGCCATAATACATCAGAATCATTAATCCTCTCCGCACTCGTAAGTCAACATTGCAGAATGGTAAAGAAATATAGAATAATAAAATGTTAACATATTTCCAGATGACTGAGACCAATATAAAGATAATCAAGCCGATAATGACAATAAATTAATGTTTAATTTTACATAGATTTGTTGTATTATTAATTTTTCCAATCTGTATTCATTTTATGGTTGATATTAAATAAAGAGTTCTGGAAGCTTCTACGCGAAGTGTTTCTTTCGCATTTTTGCGTAATTTTCAGATTTCATGAGTTAATTTCATTTATACAATAAAATAAGAAATGTTAGAATTTAGAGACAAATAATATCTTTTATTGCACAACTATGCTTCATAACAATGGTGTTGAAAATGATTTTGGTTTGCTGATTGCATGAATCTCTGCCGGAACGACAATTGACGCCTCAATTTGTCCGGATTTTACTGGAATCGTGACAATTGCCAACCAACGGGACGTTTTTGTGGGTGAAATTCTGGTCTTCAGGCACAAATCGAATGTCCTTCTAAATATTTTCCTCCTTCTGAAGGTCCTTCTCATCACAGGTCCTTCAAAATCCAGACACACTCGCTTTTTAGCTGAAGAAAAATAACGCAGAATTGTGCAATTTTCCTATCAAAATAGATTTAATTTATCATTTCGCGGAAAAGACTTACTTTGTTGACTTTGCTGCTTATCTGGGACACTCTTTGGCCTCAATTGAATGCTGTTTAGCTGATCATTCTCAGAAATCTCCACTAAATACTTGTAGAACACTTTACCGAGCGGCTGGATTTCCTCCTCCTCTTCCGTGGCATTCGGGCTGTGCATGAGGATTCCTTCAGTCGCCCTGTGATAGACAAAGTGATCCAATGAAGCGCGGCTTCGGTCGATCCTCTCGTTCTTGATTGGCGCCCAGAAGAAGGAATTGTGTTGCAATCGATGGCGACAATCCTCTGGCGCTCTGTTGGTGAGCAACGGCTTCTGCTCAGCGGCTGTGCTGAAGGTCCAAATGGGCGTCGGAGAGTCACAAAGGTGACGAAGATCGAGAAGATCTGAGCCTGAGAGTCTCTCCATATATGCACCATAATCCCTGGCAAAAGTGTCACTCACGAGAATCAGTGTGAAGACACTGAGAAGCACTTTGAGAAACATGGTTTTCCGAGAGAGAAAAATTTGCGCAAATGAATCTGTTTACAATTATCAAGCGACTGACTGAATATTTTGCTCAAGAGACGGTTTTATAATTGCGATAAATGTATGGAAAAGCTCTAATCTTGTTGTCGAACAAGTCTAACAAACATACGAAGAAGTGTACGAACTTCAATATCTCTATTACAGAATACATCTTTATGGTGTTCATTTTTGTAATATCTTGAAATATATTCTTTAAGCTTGTCTTTTAACAATATTTTTCCTCCGAGAAACAATCAAATGCGCGGTTCTTGATAAATGTTGAGTTAAGCGCTTAAAATAGGAACGATAAGCTATAGTCTGTAAAAATGTTTGATTAGATATTGAAAAAGATATTTCGCTACCTCTATAAAAAAACAATTTCATTGAACATCTCACCCAGTCGTTCCTTCTTCATCCAGATTGTACAGTCACTTGCGGAATGGTCTCCCTTCGGGGAGATCCATTCTCTCATCACCCAAATTTCTCTTAAATATCACAAAAGTAGTGCGTAAAGAGTTGCAACACTGTCTCAAGTTTCTTAAAAATAAAAAATAAATGTGAAGTTCAGGAAATGTTTGAGTGTTTATTGCCTTTCGCAAGAAAGGACGACAATCACTTGAAAGAAATTAATAAGAAAGCGACTCAATACAAGTTATCAAAATACCATTTGCTGCAATTCAACAGCAGGAAATCATGAATCATATCCTTATCTTTGGTTTCCTCTTGGCTTTTGCTGTGAGCGTGGCCACGAAGACTGCCCAAGAAGTGTCCGCCACGGACATTTCTCTCTTGTGGGACAATTGCAACTCTGAAATCGAAATAGGGACTCTGGTTGTGCATTCCGGACATCCTTGGCGACCCATCTTCTCCCGGCACAACCTTCGCGGCTGCCACATTCGCCTCAGGCGCCACACTTTCCTCTGGATCTCGGCAGATTACGTCCAAATGTCCAACAAATTGACCGCCCAACATCATCTCTACTTGCGCAGAGTGCAGGACGACACGCTGAACATGGTGCATCCAATAGCTCCGCAATTCCCCAATGAGAACTTCCTGAAGAGACTAATCCTCATAGAAATGACGCCGAAGAATCTGCAGCGCGTTGTCAGGATAACCAAGCGCAAGAAGTACAGAAGAATATTGCACAAGCAGACGAAATACTTGGGTAAGTTTTGTGGTTATCAAGTCGTTTTTTGGATCACTTTCTAAGGCTAAATTTCTCGGCAGATTATCAAACCATCGAACAGAACATCACCTTGAATGACTACAGACGCACTTGCCTGAACTTCGGAGGATATACGCAATTGCAGGCCACGGAGCGTATTGACAGCGAGGACTTGCGTAGCTCGCTGTGCTTCAAACAGCACAAGACTATCGTCCTTCCCGCATTTCAGGACTCCGGGAAGGACTGCCAGTTGTCCGGACAGAGGGAAACTGTGATCATTAGGGCTGAGGTGGAAGTGACTCTGCAGAGCAGCGATGGTCTGTCCTTCCCAATCACCCTTCATGCCCTCGTAATCGAGGACAGAATCGCCAAAGACACCATCAAACCACTACTCTAAGAGATCTTGTCATGTTTTTTTTTTCGCAATAAACTCCTGAACTTCACGAAGAACATCGAATTTTTGTTCCGTGGAAAACTCTATGAAGATGCTTTGAATGCGTCATGAGCAGCGAGTTGTGAAATTGTGAGTTTGTACTTTGAAATTGCAAGATTGCGACACTTAAGAAATGGTAAATTTCCTGGAAATCATCAGCGAAAAGTGGAGAATCAGGCTTAATCATTTCAGGTCTTTTATATTGTTTGGAAAATAGATAAACTGCAGATAAAGAGTGCAGAATGCGTAGGAATTGAGTCTGAGAAACGATTTTTTTTATCAAATTCTCTGTCTGTATTGAATAATCAGAATGCAACACAATAATTCCACGCCGCTCACCTGCCAATGATTCACTCTCCTCTGCAATACTTGCATTTGTCCACGGTGTGGTTGACAATCTTCTGCAATCCAGGGATGAAGCAGTAGCGCGTCACGAATGACACTGTCTCGGCGCGCGTGCGACAGATTTTCTTGCCCGAGGGCGTCGCCTTCCTGTGGAAGTCCATAATCACATCCACCTTAATCCTGTCCGGAATCACGTACACATCGTTTCCACGCACATTCACCTTCAGCGCCCCCGAATCGGAGTCCAGAGCCATGCCGCGCCACTCCTTGAGGAACTGCTCCACCTCGCGCGGCGCTCGCCAGTGCGGCTGCTTCAGCGACTCAATCACGTCCGAGTAGAAGGGATCGTTGAACTGCTCCTGATACAGCATCTGCAGATTGTCAATGATCTCCGGCAGTGGCGACGGCGTTCGTGGACGCCGGCGCAGTCGTGAGTTAGAACGTGAGCGCTCACGAGACGGCCGGCGCGACCAGGAGCGCGAGCGTGAGTACGATCGCGATGACGAGCGCGATCTCTCGCGCCTGTGGCGACTGCTGCACGGCGAGCTGCGGGCGGCTGAAAGAGCCCGATTCACCTGGCCATTGAAGAAGTACCTAGAGAGAGGAGGGGGTGGATTGAGAGGAGACGCTCTAGGACCCGCGTGAAGACATGCAGTTTGAGAAGACTCTTTGAGGCTCTTACCTGAGGCGCTTCACGCGCTCCTCGTCTGTCTTCTCGAGACTCTTGAGGAACATGATGAGGTGATTCTTCTCCTTCTCCGACAGTGTGTCAAAGTTCTGCAGCAGCGCCTCAATTTCTGTGTCCGTCAGCTGCTCAGCAGCACTGCTGCCCTCGCCAAAGTGTCGCCCATCCGGATTCTTGCCATCCAGATTATCCAGCACGTCCGTGAACATCGACATCCAGTGTTTCACATCATCATTCATCGTGTCCAGCGGATCGTCAGTCTGACTCCTGGCCTTGTCGCTCAGCGTCTGATGGTTCGGCGACTCCGTCATCTGCTTGAGAATGTGCGTGATGTTCTCAAATGTCTTCAGCACAGACTGAATCTTCGTGTGCAGCATCTGTCCGTTCAGCTTATCCTTCACACTTGTCACGTCACGCGAACGACTGAAGTTGTTCAAATCAATCCCCTCAATCATGGCCATGCTCTTGCCGACTAAATCAATCACCTTCGGCCCGATGCGACTCAACGCGTCCTCCAGATTCGTGATCGTCTCCATCGCCGACGTAATCGTGAGCACCTCATCGGGCATCTCCACCGGAATGCCAATCGTGCGCTCGATCTTCGGCGATCGCGATCGTGTGGTTCGTCTAGATGAAGTGGACAGCGGCGGCAGTGGGGGAAATGAGGGCTTCTTTGGCTGCAGCTGCTGCGGCGGCGGCTTCTTTTTCTCCGGCTCACCATCACTGCTCCAACTACTCTCACCTTCCTGCTCACGCTCCGTCGCCTCCCGAATGGCCTTGAGGATGTGCTCCGACTCCTCCGTATACAGCTCCTTTAGGCGCCTCTTCCAGAACTCCAGCCACTCCGGCTTGAAGTCATAGTCCTCCGTGTCGATGCCGAAGCGCGTCAACTCCTCGCACCGGCGATTCCAGTACGTGCGCCACTCCGCCTGGTACTTGGGATGGGATTCCGGGAAGTTTTCAAACGCCGCATAGCTCTCCTTCAGACCCGCCAGCTCCTTGTGCAGACTCTCAACATCCCTGGTCGGACAGTGCGAGCGCTTGGGCTTCCTAGTGTCCAGATACTCCCTCAAGTCCTGCGACATAGCCGGCGGCGGACTGTCCTTTGTCGGGGAGATGTCCAACATGAGACCAGCATCCTCGAAGCGCTTCCTGAAAGAATTCTGCTTCCTCTTGTTAGCATTACCATCATTTTGCTGATTTTGTCCCTTATTTTGTCGACTCTTCTCCGGATACTGCAAAACGACAAAATTTAGCGTCGAAAACAATATTCTCTGACTAGTTTTACGATTCACAGACCTTGTAGTACTTGTGACCTTTGAACATAGGCATCACTGGGGGTTTGCTGATTGGTTTAGAGGTGGAGGGCTCATCTTCATCGTCCCAATTTTCCTCATACATGATTTTCGAAAGTCCGGCAGATCAAAGTGAGGTTATTTTCTCACGCAAAGATTTCTCCGCACGACTCACAGACAATTGTCTTACCTAAAACAACATACAAGATTGATAGACCAACCAATAATCATTTCACTCTTATAGAAAGCCAGAAATAATAGTGAAAAGGAGCAGGAAAATATCCATATACATTAAAATACAAATACGATGGGCTTCGGAGAAAACAGCACATTTTGAGATGGTGTAAAGGGCATTTACCCACAATGTTACGATGTGAAACGGCGGGAGAACCGTCACTGTAAGAATTTTCGTCGCAAAAGGTATTGAAAACGCACTAGAACAGCTAGAAAAAGAATTTTTTCCAGAAACCGAAGCCTTCACAGGGCTCTCAACACCGCCATTGACGTTCGATGGCCAAACTGTTATAAAAGCACATCTTCAGCTAACTTCACATTGCACCCCTGAACTGCACCTGGGGTCGGTTTTCTATTACTTACTCAATTTTAAAATATTCTGTGCACTACGGAAAACCTTCCTCGTGGCTTGAAACAAAGAATAGAAGTGAATAAGAGATTAGAATGGCGTGAAAATTTGTAATTCTCAGTAAATTTGATTTGAGTTTCCGTTACATTTTACTATTTGAAGTGTTCTAAATGGATTCTCCGCTATACACGCGCCCTCTTGACAGATGAATTTAATGGCGTTGCTGTTTGTGTTGTGAAACTTCATTGAAAAGTGCTAAAATCTTCGAGATACATCGACAATACCCAGCGGAATCTCCTGACGAAGTCTCCCCGAGAAGGTAATGTACAGTTCTGTGGTGAAAATTCACCGTAAAACTTGGTATCATCGTGACAAAGTTGATGTTTTGTTTACACCGACGCTCCCTGGGACTTTTTCACATTTTCCACACTTTTCTTGCGATTGTCTCAGAAAAAGCTGTCTTTTCGGCCTCTGAGGCACTCAATTCACGGTAAGTGACTATTGTTAGAGCATCTGAGACGGTCCCAAGGGAGTTTTTTTTTCGCGTGTCCGGAAACCCTTTCCGGGTGTTTGATGAGCGCAACAAGCCTAGAGAGAAGTGTGCTTTAATTTGTCCAGCAGGTTTTCTTGATAGTTGCCCAAGGATATGCGGGTAAGTATTGGTGTCCCATCCTGGTTGAGAGATCAGTGAGAAATCACTTGTTGCCAGAGTGAGTGCCTTCACTAATTTTCTCCTTCACTCTTTTCTCTCCATCTCGTTCTGCAGGTGAAATCACGGCCAAAAGGAGTCCATCCAGTGTCCAGAGAGTTGATAAGCAGTGATCTTTTGACGTGAATTTTTGGTTCAAACACTCGTGAATCTCGCGACGGACGTATTTTGTCCAATTTGGCAATTTCTCACGCGTTTTTGCCACGGATTTTCGAGGCATTTCGACAGCGAGTGCAGTGAGATTGTGGAAGTTTCAGGGCATTTAGTGTGATGGAGTCGAAAGATGGTATCGCCAGGTCAAAGGTAAATGCTCAACATGTTCTGTAGTCATGTAAGAATTCTCAAAAAAGGAAAAAGACAAAGTAAAAGCTGACAAAAGATAGAGACAAAATGTATAGAAAAAGGATTTTTTTTTTTGCAAATTAAAGAATGAATTGATTCGTCGGTATTTTATCGCTCTTTTCGCGTGTCCAATGGCAAAAATTCTCAATATTTTGTGTGGCGATGGTGGGAAATCAGTGTGTAGTTTGAAAACAGTGATCTCGATGGTGCATCTAATGATCCTTCCCTTTCAGCTGCTGCCCAGTGACTAAAAATCAATCAATCTTTCTTTTATTCTCCATCTTTTCTTTACCAATCTCTTCCCGCAACTAATGCCGATTTTTTTTTCTGTCTCTTTGCGACTACGGTCGACTCTTGTCTAGGTGGAAGAAGACATCGAGAAGCATGTTCTCAGCACAACCGTGAAGCTCTCAGATGGAACAGTAGGCAATGTGTTCAGCCGCGGCGCTCGCAATGAGTTCCAGGTCTTTCTCTACAACTGCCATGTGTGCGGAGTGCCCAATCTGCCCGGCGAGAGGTGCCTGCAGACCCACATCAGCGGCAGGAAGCACCAGATGCGCCTGGCGCAGGGCGTCATTGATGCCACAGCCTTCAGGGCGCCGATGCAGGCGAAGAGCAAGAGTGAGTAGACCTTTCTGATGATCCTTTCAATGTATTTCTTTCAACACTCGGTGCTTTTGCAGTTCAAATGCACATCGCTCCGGGAGAACCTGTGCCGCCTGGCTTTGAGAATGAGGTGAAGCTGATTGCCGAGCTGCAATCGGTGCTGGACAGAAATAGAGAGGACAACTATGTCGGTCTGGAGTATCTCATGGAGTTGACTGGTGCCAGAGAGACTTCGTATCACTGCACGCTGTGCGACAAGCGCGGCGATCCGTGCACCATTCTCAGTCACCTTGTGAGCTACAATCATCGATTGAAGTACTTGGACAAGCACTATCCGTCGTGCGTGCGAGAATTCGGGGAGTTTCGCTATCAGAAGGAGGCGCGTCCGGTGCTAACGAAGGTGATTCAGTCGATTTGTGCGGCCATTGAGGAGACGCACGGTCGCTTGACGCCTTCGGTGCACGACAAGGATGAGTACGAGAGGAACAAGATGAAGTACTTAACGGAGGTGATCAGTGAGAAGCACTTTGATGAGAAGACGGGGCCGAAGTTTGTGAAATTGGTGGACAAAGTGAAGATTGCCGATATGATAAGGCGCTCGAAGATCAGCTTGAATTTGAGGAAGAGAACTTCATCGCCAGATACGGAGATGATGCGCGGCGGTGGTGGAAGAGAGCGTCTAGATTCGGTGTCGAGTATCTCGAGTTCGTCCATGAAGTCCGGCAGTCGCTCGCCAAGAGCCAAGAGATCTCGACGAAGGCGCTCAAAGTCGGCGTCGCCAAAAGTGAGGAATTCCGCGAGGTCGGATCGAGTGGAAAGATTAGATTTCCGACGCCGGCCGAAGGACAGCGACGAGAAGGTTAACAAACGGCCCTTTCCCACGCCCGAGGAGCTGTCCAGGCAGGCGAATGAGATCCAGGAGGAGCGCTACAAGTGGGAGAAGTACAGGTGTCTGGTGGAGAAGGCAGTGGAGGACTTGAGTAAGGTGGCAAAGGAGCACGAGAAGAATCCGGAGAAGCATCCGCTGTATCCTGAAGAGTGGAAGAGATTCTGGAATCGGCGGTATAAGGAGTTGCAGCAGGAGAAGAAGGATCCGGCGAAGCATGACTTCAAGCCGGAGTGGATCAAGTTCTGGACGCACAGGATGAAGGAGTTGCATGAGGAGGAGATTGATGAGAAGAAGCGCGAGATCAGGGCAAAGGTGGGATTGCCACTGGAGGAGGAGAGAAAACTGCCCGTGTCATCTGTGGAGGTGATTAAAATTCTGGACAGTCCGGATTCGATTGAAATGGGCAGGAAGGGGAGCTTGAGTCCGTTGTCTGATGATGGTGGACGGAAGATACGCATCTCACCAAGACGAAGTCGTGCCCGAAGTCCACGCTCCAAGTCGCCCAGCCGACGCAGGAGTCGCTCGAGGAGTCGTCGCAGTCGCAGCTACTCGCCCAGCAAGCGATCGTACTCGCCGCGCTCCAGGGAGCGTTCGGAGCGATCGGACAGATACTATGAGAGATCTTCCGTGAGATATGCTCCGCCGCCGGATCCGTATTACAACTTTGAAGAGTGGGCGAGCTACTATGGGCCGCACAAGAGCAGACCTGTGTTCGGGAGATCAGCCACGAGTGCTTATCCGGAGGCACCTGAGGAACCAGAAACGGATGAGCCACTGACAGTTGTGTCCGTGCTGCGCCTCTTGACTGCTCTGGAGGAGCATTTGGGCAGTCTGGGGCCGAAGTGTATTGATTTGCTGGCCAAAGCGCTGGCGCTGGAGAAGGTGAAAGCCAATTCGGCAGATGAGATGCTCGTGAATGAGGACACATGCACGTTCTTCGAGACGACCAAGGAGAAGCTGAAGGGACAGATCCTGGCTGGTGTGATGGAGGCGGGCAAGGTGAAGGCGGTGAAGAAGGCGATCAAGAACATTGCGGCGCTGATTCACATGGTGACGAAGAAGCGTGAGGAGAGGGCCAATGGGGAGGCGAAGGAAGCCGCGGCGGCGGCGAAGGAGAGTGACAAGGTGGAAGCAAAGGCAGCTGTGGCGACGCCTGGCTTGGACAGAAGCAAGATATCGCTGAAGCTGTCGGCGGAGTTGAGCACACAGGGCAGAGATGACATCACGCAGATTGAACTGGAGCAGTTGGTGCTGGTGTTCGTGGGCATGTTGCAGCGCTCGAAGCAGACGGGCGACATTGTGACGGTCCGGGATTTCCTGGAGGAGAATGACGTACGCCTGGTGAGAGGTGGTGAGAAGACAATGGTGGACATTAAGAAGACTGTTGAGGAGGAGTTCAATTTCAAGGAGGACGCAACGGCACAAAGCGACGCAAATGCCCTGGAGAGTCTCACGGATTCGGACCTGCAGACACTGCTGCAGAACTTCAAGGATTTGTCGTCGGAGGAGCAACACCACCTCATCTCATATCTGAAGAAGCTGGAGGCCACGGATCCCACGCGAGTGGAGAAACTGCGGAAGTTTGTGAATCTCGATGTGGGTGAGAAGCGAAAGGCGTCGTCGTCGCAGGATACAGCAATTGCAGCGCCCGATGAGCGCACAGAAGTGCTACCCAAGGCGAAGGAGAAGAGGATTCAGTCCATCTATGATTCGGAGGATGACGATGATGATGATGATGACTACAATTTCGATGATGTTGTGAAGGCGGCGTCGAAGAATGTGAAGGAGAAGCAGATGCAGGATCGCATGAAAGTCGTGCAGGAGTCGCTGCAGCAGAAATCCTCCTTGGAGGAGACTTCCAGTTCAGGTGGCTCAACGAATCCAGTGACGAATGTCAGCGCGTATTCGGCTGATGCACAGGCGCTGATCGCCAATATCATGGGATCTCTGCAGAAGAATGTGGCCAGGACAAGTCAGTCAGGAGAGGCGCAGGAGACAGCCAACGCCGGTGGCATGAACAGTCTACCCTACTATCAGCAAGCCACGGCTTACGATTCCTACGGAGCGCCACAGGCCAACAGGTGAGAATTGAAGAATGATTTCCTTCTTTTTCTCACTATTTTCCCCATTTATTTCATTACCACAATCATCCCTTTGTCTTTTCAGCTACTATCAAGGCTTCGGGATGCAAAATTCCGGCGCAGGCTTGTTTCCGTCAGCCGGCGCAATGAATCCTGGACAGCAGCCCATCTTCCCAAATGCCCAGCAACAGCAGCAGCAGCAACAGGCAAGCCAGTGGCAGAATTCCACGTACAACAAGTACTACTAACCACTAAATCTATCAATAAAGGCTTTTACATAGTGTGAAAGACATCTTTTGAGCGCGAACATCCTTTATTTCAACATCAGTGGACATACATTTCATTGTGTGTGTGTGTGTGTGTGCGTGTGTGATGAAAAGGCCGGAGATCATGGGCAGGGTGGAGTCTTTATTCAAATTCTCTCATTGGGGATCTTATATGTACAAAAAGGGGGGGAAAAGCTGTACAAGTCTAAATATCACACTTGCGCGCGCTCACATGATGGAACACAGGCCGGATGTCTCGTAGCCGTTCGCGAAGCGCCCCGTCGTCTTCAGCGTGCGCTCCTGCAGTGTCGCCTTGAGCTCGTGCGGCTTGAGATCGGCGGCCACAGGCTCCTGCACGCCATCACGAACACTGTCGCTCACGCTATTTATTGAACTTTGCTGTTTATTGCCAACTACAACAGAATTGGAAATGTTTATTCTAATCTTATTCGTGGACGCCGCCGGAGCGGCCGCTTCCTGCATCTCCACATTCCCATCAATCGTGGCGATCATCTGGGGCGCTTCGGGGCCCCTCGACACCTCTTCATCTACCGCCCCGTCCGCTTTCTCACCTGCACGCGCATCCGTCCAGGAAAAGGGAAGAGAAGAGACAATCAGTAAGCGCATAAATCATGGTTGAAAGGGAAGTTTTCTTTCACCAGAGAAAATTAGTGTCTTTAAATCGTGTCAAGAGTTTCACTCACCATCCTGTCCATTGATCACCTCCACTGGTCGCTCATCCAGCGTCTCCTCGTCGATGATCATCTCTTCGTTGGGATCAAAAGACGTGCCCACATCCATAAACGCGTCATCTTCGTTGTATCCGTCATCCTTGGGCTCCTCCTTGATCTTCACCACCAGCGGCTCAGCGGGCTTCGCCTCGTCATCCGCCTCCGCCACCTCGTTCGGCACCTCATCCTCAATCTCATCCAGGTCCTGAATAGGAATGTGTGGCTCCTGGATCTCCACATCGGACTCCTCCAGCTGCGCCGAAGTGCTGCTCTTTGTCGGCGACTTCTCCGGCGACGCCACTTTCTCCTCCTCATCATCGAGTATCTCCGTGATTGTCGGCTCCACAGGAGCCACTTCGATCACATCATCATCCTCCGCATCCAATCCAGGCAGCGCTGCGCTGCCATTGGAAATGAGATTCAGAGCGAGGCTCTTCTCCTTATCCGCCACATCTTCATCTGGTTTCTCTTGCTTCACCACAACAACAGGCTCATCATCATCATCATCATCGTCGTCTATCATCTTAACATCTTCATCGACTGGTGGCTCCTCTTCAGTGTCATCCAACTTACTCTCGCTCAGCGTGAGGGAAGTCTGATAGTCAGCATAGCAGAGTGGATGATAAGTGCGCTCCTCAACTCTAATGGCCGGTCTCAAGTGCCACTCTTCCGTCTCCTCATTGTAGAACTGCTCAAAGGGATCATGGCACACCTCGCAGATCTTATTAGAGTCATCAGGAAGGGCAGGACAACTCGGCACAGGTGAATCTGCACCGCCACGCTGATTGGAATCCTCCTGACCGGCATCCATCTCCAGTTGTTGCGTCTCAAACCAATTTTTCTCTGTGGAAAAAGAAGAACACCCAAAAATTTAACTCCATTTCACTCCTCTCTCTCTGTCTTGCTGCACAATTCTCACCTCTCTCCTCAAGATCCTCAATCTCCTCGTATTGAATCCAATCGGTGACATCGTAGTACCACTTCCTGGAGTGTGCCTTCCTGGCCGAATCTCGATCCCGACGATTCTGCCTGAAGTGCCAATCCAGATGCTGACTGTACTTCATCGTCTGCTCAGGCGGAAAGCGAACGCCACAGCTTGAGCACTGCATTCCACTGAAGAGTTGATGCACAATTGCCGATTGGCGATTCTTTATCGTCTCCGGACGCGACAAATTCACCGGCTTCACTGCCTTCTCCTTTGACGATCTTGAGGATTTACTGTGATCACTGTGATGATCATGACGTGATGATTTAGATGAAGAAGACTCTTTCGACGATGACTTCTCCGTGTTCGATGACGTTTGACCAGCAAGAATTCCCGATGCGAGGAGTTTTTGAAAGAGATCATCGATATTCACATTATTAAGCACAGGAGCAGCAATTTTGTCTTCATCCTCCTTCTTCTTCGTCTTCTGCTTCTTCTTCTCAGGCTCTGGCTGTTGTTCCTCACTTGTCGGCGCCAAGGATTCCAATCCAGGTGTTGCGTGGAAATTCACAATCTCCTCATTATCTTTCGCAATGGTGTCTGCTGCCGTGGCAACAACAGATGCACCCTGGAGACTGGGATTCTCCGCTGTGGCAGCCGCCAGAGCAGCTGCAGCTGTTGTGGCAGCACTGGGTGGTGGTGGTGACACGAGATCCTCATGCCTTGTCGTCCTTATCATATTGCGAATGAAAAACTTCCCCGGCTGAACACCACTTGGCAATCCTTGGAAGCGCAAAAAGTGCTTCTGTCCACGCAAATTGTAACTCTTGGGCAATTCACCAAAGACAACAGGTTCAGGCACACCATTGATGATCACAGTGAGAAGATAGTCGGCAAATTGGAGTGTGTGCACTTGACCATCCACCTCAAACAGTTGCTCTTTGCCATCGAGAAACACAGGCATAAATCGTCCACCATCGATCACAAGATTGATCTTTCCCACCACCAGATCCGTCCTCAGTGATCCAATGCGCACTTGTGGCGGTGGTCCTTCAATCTTCACAGTCCGCATCACGCCATTCAACTCCACTCTTGTTGGCTCATTGAAGAAGCACTCATACCATTTGTTGTCAATGTACAACTCCCTCGTTGGACATCCTAGGCGAATCTGATGTGTGACACCGTCAATTGTCCACGGAATATTTGCCGCATTGAAGCTCAACACTGTTGAGTACTTATCATCACATGTGATGCGTCTCTGGCCATTCTGAAAGCCAATCTCCTTCGGATGATCCCAATCCATAAATACAATTGCGATGTCATCGTAGAATCTAATCTCTCTCGGTATGTTGTCAATCTTAATGGTCAGGATATTTGTCTGCTTCGCCTTGTATGCCAACGCCAATTGCTGCTGCTGCAGCACTTCCAGTGCACTGAATTGGGACAGCGGATTACTCCAGGCGGCGTTCTGCAGTGCATTGGCCAGCGGATTTATGTAGCTATTTTGCTGCCACGGCGCCGCTTCCGCCTCCCAAACACCAGGCACAGCGGCACGCTCACTCCGGCGCAAATCCGCCGCCGTTGTTGTGGCAAAACTCGACTCAATCGTCACAGTCTTCTTAAGCTTCCTGCCGCCCGCCTCACGCTTCTGCGCCTCCTTCACCTTGTTGGTCTCATTCAGCTGCATCACCTGCTTCATCATGCTGTTGTACTGCTCCTGATCAATCGCCTGTGTGTCCAGCTGCTCCTGTGCCTGCGCCACAATGATCTTAATGCTCGCATCATTGGCATCCTGCGATGATGGATCCTCCGATAACTCCACCTTGCCAATCACCTCAGCCACCTCCGTTGGTGCCGCATTGGCAAATTTGCCCGGCAACTTTCGCTTTCTCTCCAGAATCTCAGTGATCTGCGTCATTGGCCGTTTTGGCTTTGTTGCTTCCGCCAATTTGGCACGAATTGCCGCCAGACTAGCTTTCAATTGACTCTGCTTCTTCGGTGTGTCACCCTGAAAAAGACGAAGAAACCATGAGAATTGGACAACTATGCAAATCCCTTTGACAAACTCACCTTTAATTTGGCCCAATTGGATTCAGTCTCATGTGAAATTATTGGCGGCGGCGGCGGTGTCAATTGTTCAGCCGAACTGGCAGCCTTAATAGCACCCAGAGTCCTCAAGTCCACATCTTGAGACCCGAACAACCTGCAAAAGAGGTCACAAAAACATCAATTTACGGCCACAAACTTCAGACTTATCCAGGTTTTCATCAACTTACACATCCAACTTATCACTTTTACTCTTCTTACTCGCCACATTGGAATCTTCCGGTTCATCAATGGCACGCTTCTTGCCACTCGTTGGTTCTTCTGACGCTTTCGTGGCCTCTTCAGCACTTGCAGCTCCTGTCGCTTCATTGACGCCACTTGGAAATTGTCGTAAATCCACATCCGCGATTGAGGCATCAACAAATTGCTCTGCAAAGGAATCATCTTGTTGTTTTGCATAAAAATAAATATATAGATAGAATGAGAAAGGAAATCAAAATATATATATATATAGGTTCAGGGAAGGAATTGGTGAAGGGTGGAAAGAAAAAACTTAAAAGAAGGTGGGAATTTTGTGAAAGAATAAACTCAAAAATTAAAATTATCAAACTACAAATTTACAATATATATATATATAATATATATATGTGATAGCTTAAAAAATTCCTTCTCCACAGAGTCCTCTTTCTTCTCGCTCGCTTCTCGCGGGACAAAGAACTTTGATTTGGGCACAATCTCTTCCTCCTTCGATGGCAAAAGAAATTTGAGAGGAGCGCAACAGTAAAACCTCACTTGAGCTCAATAATCACAGATACTTTTAATCACAATTCCCATTTGGCAAGAAGGGAAAAATGCGCGCGCATTTTATGAACTGTTTCTCTCGCACGCTTCTCTTTTCTTTTCTTTTTTTTTCTCTCTCTTTTTCTCAAATCAACAATAACAACTCTGTTGTCCTGAGGAAATTGTACAAGAGAAGACTACAAAATTGAAGTTGAATCTCACGCTTACTTTTCTCCGCGTTCTCACTTGACACTTTCTCAGGCTGCTGCAAATCGTTCTTCTCACCACCAACACCCGATGTCACGACCTTCTCCTGCTCCGCCGCCGCTGCCACAATCCGCATGTCCACATCCGCCACGGGCACCTCTGAGGCGCCGTCGCTGCCTTGTGGTGGCGTCGGACTCTTGTTACTCCTCGCCGGTTGCTTGAGGAAACTCCTCGTGCCCGGCGCCAATCGCATATCCCTGAAGATTGTCGGCGTCGCTGTGTTCACGTCCTGCTCCTGCTGTTGCTGCTGTTCCTCCTTGCCACTCCTCTTGGGCGACTTCTCGCTGTGCTGCTCCTTCTTCTCTCCCTTTCCACTGCGATCACTGCTGTGTGATCGCCTGCCGCTCTTGCCACCCTTTCCGGATGACGATGACGATGAAGAGTCCCGCCGGCTGCGCTCCTTCGACGACGACAACGACGTAGACTTCTCCTTCGACTTTGGTGATGTTGACGTACTCTTTCCACTACTAGACTTTGACGACTTGCCAGAGTGTGATGATGATGATGAGGATCGCGACTTATTCTCCTTGTTTGTAACCACCTTTCGCCCACCCTTGCTGCCACTTGGCGTGATCATTGGCCGCACCGGAGGCTGCGCCTCAGCCATCCTCGCCATCTGTTGCTGCATCTGACGCACCAAACGCGGATCCCTGAGTTGCACACTCGACACCAGTGCAGGATTGACGGGTGCCACGCGAGTCTTGCCCATCATGGGCGCGGGCATCGAAGCGAAGGGCGACATTGAGGCTGTGGCAGTCACAGGAGCGCCCATGTGAGGCACAACTGAGGGAAAAGTGCCCGGACGAGGCATGAAACCGCGCACAACAGGCGGACGGACGCCCGGTGGCCCAATCACAGGCGGCGGAATGGCCTGCAAAGAGTCAACATGCAATTTAGAGCTATGAAACTCTTGAGATTTCACAGTGAAAAAAAAAGGAAAACCTACCATTTGCAGACTTGTCATTTGCATGTTGAGCTTCTGCTCTTCTTCCTCAATCTTCTTCTGTGTCGCCACAAGTTCCAGTTGCAGTTTGTGCTTCTGCAACTCCTGCAATTCCCTCTCCTTGTCACGCAATTGAGACTGCATTTCACTCAACTTTGCCATTTCTGTCAGCTTTGGATCACCAGTACCAACCTGAATAGGATGAAATTGGCTGTTAAAAACACCTTTTTCGTGGCTCAATTGAAAGACAAAAGTGCCAACTTTACCTTGTTCTTGAGAAAATTCGGATTCAAATGAATGGCAGGACTCTTGACTTTCGCCGTTATTGGCCATCCAGGATCCATGCAGTTGATCTTCACGTCCAGTGTGTAGAGTTTCTGCTGCGAGAAGACCTCATTCCACGTCTGTCTCAGGGCGAACATCTTCTCTCTCACCTTCTCGTTCACCTGTGCCAGAGAAATCCCAATTAGAGTGACAAATCTTGTAGGAAATTACTCTTTAAACATTATTTTACCTTCTCAAACACACCGCAGAATATATTAACGATGTACCGACTGAAGAGTGCCTTGTAATCACGCCCAACATTCTTCACAATTGAATCAATTAAATACAGCACGGGCAATTTCACATCCGGATTCACCTGAATTGGCAAGAGAGAACGTTGGTTGGAAAGAAAGAAAAGAATTGACAGAAGATGCATTAGTCAATACTCATCACAATTCATTAAACAGAAAATTCCCTCATTTTCTCTCTATGTCAAAGAAAAAAAGAGGCTAAAGAAAGTGTGACTTAAAAACACAACAAAATAATGAGAATTAAAACACATTTGTCGCAAAACACTTTTATTATTGTTCTCTAAATTAATTTGTAAAAAAGAAAAAGTCCTTCGCAGAGTGTATAAAATAAAAGTCTTATCACACATCTTATATCATGTATCTTTTATCACATTTTCTTTCTCAATCATCAATTCATCTGTTCTGAATGTCAAACTGTGTGTGTCTCTTCTCTCTCTCTCTCTCTCCTTCGTCTTCCAACTTTATTCTTCAACAGCTGTGTGTTGAAGTGACACAAAAAGCTACTTTTCTTTTGTTAGCCAGAGATGTTTTCAGACTACAGAATCATTTTAATATTCAAATGACCCCAGAAATGTCCCATTTTTTTTTAAGGATGATTGCAAAAAAAAACCCCATTCGAGAGCCACAATTTTATCAGGAAATCCCAGTTTTGCCCCGTCTTATCAAACACAGTGTCACAATTTTTCAATGCCACAGAAAGTCAATTAAAACGAAGGTTGAGTAATAAACTTATCGCTTATATCAAAGCACGAGGGGAGAAAATAATCATTATTTTCCGCTTTTCTACACATAATAATTTGGATAAATTCACTATCGATTTGTTCTATCACGCCCTTCAAGGCTTCAATTCTCCATTAATAATCTAGAGATGGTTAACTTTATGTCATATTTTTTCCCCCAAAAATAATCATATTCACAACCTTGGGAATTCTTTTTTGTATCTGTTTTTCCAGATAAATATTTTGTTCCATCACACTGTGCTGTTTTGACAGCACAAAATGAGGTCAAAACTGAGCTGAAGAAGTCAACAACAGTGAACTTTATAATGCAACAAGACAGGCTTCATGGGGACTTTCTCAGCTCAGTTGTGCCCTCTCAACAAGCGCGCCACCAAAGCCTATGATAATTAAGGGGGGGTCGTGAGAGAATAGAAGAGATTGAAAGAAACCTTAGCCAGATGCTGCTCAACCGCCTTGACAATCACTTCCGCGTGCTCGATGTTCTCCTCAGCAATGATGGTCAGCATATTGATCAGTGGCTTGCTGTTGACGTTGAGATCCGCCAAACTGGACAGATACTCCTCGCCGATCTCCTTCGCCATGGCCAGAAAAAATCTTCACAAATCTACTCACAAAATCAACTCCTGCGAACACTCCAAAGGTGTGATTAGCACTGACTTGTCCTTGCGCCGCTCTTCACGCATCCGCCGATGGAATCGACACCCAGGATTACTGAAAAACGAACAGAGTGGAAAACCATTAAAACCTCGTTAAAAATTACTCAAAACCTTAAACGGCATTTAAAAGGCTCTCAAGACAGCCGACACAGATGGCGCCAGTAGGCGTAGAAAGTGAAAAACTGGGTGAGTCGGCAGAAAAACCCCCATTACGCCCCAGAAAGAGCCGTCCGGCCAGAAATTTCGCCGTGAAAATCGACACAATAAACATAACATTACAAATTGCAATAAATTTTCCTGCGAAAAAAGGCAAGAAAATCTCCATTTTTTCCCACTTAAAGTCCCCTCAGATTTTTGTTTCTCCTTTTTCACCCCTTCACAAAGCATTGAACACATATTGTTTATGAGAATATCCACGTCTAGCACCGCCTTTTTTTACTGTTTCTACTCAGATTCGTGAGTGAAATTGCGTGCTAGATACTATATATTGAAATACGCTATGAGTCACATTTTCTCTCTCCGCAAGCTTAATTGTGAGAATTTCATCGCGACTTTTCACTATTTTCCTACACACTTTTCCCCGATTTTTCACACTCACCTTCATCTGTGTGAGGTAGGGATGCGGTTTCCAGTGACGAAAATAAGTAATTCACGCTCTTATTGCAGTATTTTCCACGAAATAGCTCTCACACGTCCACCACTTGGTATTGCAAAAACGTAAAATGGCGTCGCCAGAAAATGCCAAGAAAAAATCGAACAAAATCGATGAGTTGTATAACAGTTTGCTTTAAACACACATTTCACACTTGCACTGCTATGATTTCTCTATGTAAAACTCCCAGAATTTTTATGAACACCACCTAAATATGAATAAAGGGGATTTTTATATGGAAAATCCGTAGTTTTCCGTTTGAATGAATGAATAGTGGGTTTATTGTGGCTTGCGGGCTCTTGCCATTCGCCACTACCAGTAGCATTATACAGTTGCTTGTCTTATTTATATAACAGTTTTGAATTTGCCTTTCTTAACAGTTTTTCCTTCTTCACTCTTTCTTATTTTAACAGTCTTGTAACCAGTAGCGTTTTACCGTATACATTAGGAAATATTCAATAGATTTATGCGGGGACAATCTACCTGCCCATTTCTACGATGAACCATCGCACCCCAAAGGGTAAAAATCGATTCAAAACATCCCTTGATTTTTCATTCCTCTTCCTGTTTTTACGGCTTATTTTCTTCGAGATTTTTAGAAAACAGAGCCAAAGGCTCCTATCTACGATGAACTAACACACCCTAAGGGTCAAAATATAGTTCAAACGTATCGTAACCAGTAGCGAATCTAAACATTTCACAGACATGTGAAGCGGAATCACAAATATTTCTCAACAGACTCACTTATTAAACTATCTCCCCAACATCTTAAGCTCAAAACATCTAATCATCTCTCAATCGTTTTTAACAACTAGTCATCACATAATTTAACGTCTAATCTACTTTCAGTCGCCTTAACAAACAATAGGCCATATGGGCAAAAATACCCGTGGCCGTATTGACAATAAAGAAAGAAGAAACTAACAGAAATCTCAGACTTCATAATATAAATGACAGTTCTTGCCTTAAATCTCTAACATATTTCGCTTAATTCAAGAAAAGAGATATAAATTCATTTAGCTTCAGAATAAATTCCAATTCTTTAAAACTTCTTAGATGAAAATTAAAATGACTTCTCAATTATGACACCGGAAGGGTGAAAACTCAGAGCATATCAGATACATTGCCTTTGTCATCAGCCAGAAAATCCGTTATGAACTTAATCAACGCACTCACTTAATTCCAACCGTATCAGCGGCTTCACTCTTGGAGTAACGGTGATCCTGAGTCGATTCGGGTCGATTGCTCCGGACACCAGGCACTTTCTCCAACCTGAGCGATTTCCCAGAGCGGGAATGTATCACCTTGCGAGCTTTCCGCTTCGAATTCTTGCTGCGAGTCCTAGCACTTTGTTCACTGCCTTCCTCCCTGGCGGTGGACGTCTGGCTTTCTTCCATTCTTTGATCCTCCTCCATTGTCAAGCAATTCCGATCCACATCCAAATTGGAGATCGTCCAACCTAAATTTGAGATCGGCGCCGGGATAACTGAAGAAGTCGATTCCGCATTTGCATCAAGACACGCATTGCTCTCCTCCGTTAGTGAATCCACAGCACTTGAAGGAACAAATGACTGCAGCATTCTCTCTGGTTTACAGCGACTGCATGTACAGGTACACTGGCAACTTCCTCCCACAGACTCCGTCGAAGGATTCATTCCTCTGGCGATTTCCTCCACCATCGTAAGATGTTTTCCCGAATAGTTTTTAAAAATCCGCTTGGCCGTGACCAGCGGAACTCGGAACGAGACCGCAACTTTCTGAATCTCATACTGCTCTTTGTACACTGGACAAATTCGCCATGACGCAAAATGAGGTCCTCCACAATTTGAACAACGAATTCCTGATTTACACGGATTCGGACGGTGCTCCGCCTCCGAACAACGAACACAGATAGCCGCATTCTTACAGGATGTCCGGAAATGCCCAAACTGCTGGCACTGGAAGCAACGGATCGGGTCCGGAATGTAATCACGTGTCTCAAGCGTCACATACCCTACTTTCAGGAATTGAGGGCGACTTGGCAAGTTGAAAGTCACGATGAACAGAGGAGTGGGGTACCACCCCGACTCACTCTCTTTATCTCCTTCCAATGGGATGCCACCGCGGGCAATCCTGCGTCGGGACTTGATGTTCTTTATCGCAATCACACCCTGGCTGGCGAGGTTTTCCAACATCTCTTTTTCACTCCAATAGATCATATCCTCGTCCCGGACTATCGCCTTACTTGTGTTCATAGGTATATCCATCGTAATCAATACTTCGTGACCCGAAATTGAGGTTAGCGTGGCTAACTGCTCTGCTTGATTACGATTGATCGCCTCAATCAGTATTTTGCCGTCCGCTCGTCTGATGATTTCGGTAACCTCTCCAAAGACGTTGAGCTCCTTTTCGATCACAAACGGGGAAATCTTAGAGAGGCTTTTCTGATCTCTCCTGCTGACCAGTAAAAATACGCCATTTTCACCTCCCGCGTTCGTACTAGTCGCGCAATCTCCCAATTCATGAGAGCACCCTGGGGCACTTGTCCCCTCCATCGGTGGCTGCCCAAAAAGCATTTCTCACAGAATTCCTCAAGTCACCTCAGCAGAAAAAGCGGCTTTGACTACAAATACGTTATATTTTCACGCAGCAAAATATAACACACGTCGAGTTTTCCGTTTGTATTGCATAAACACCAGATTTATTCCACCACTAGAGGCGCTGGCGACTAATTGAGGGCATCGATTAGGGAAACCCTTCACCAGTGAACCGACGTGGAGTCATTCTAGTTTGTTTTCGTGCTGGATTTCTCGCTGCTAATCTCCTCCGGTTTACGTGAAAAGCGTGTTGGTAGCAACGTGAAGATGTTTTCCTCGGATTCAGACTCGGGGGTGCTGCATCAGAGCCCCAATTCTGCTCTGTACAGCAAGGAAAGCACGCCCGTGGAGATTGAATATGCCAGTGAGTCAATTGGCACGTTCTTCGGCGCTGAGGCCAACAGGTGAGCATCGCACACGATTTGTAGTTGGTCAGGGAGTTCTAAGGAGATGATATTAAACCAGAAATGGATGAAAATTATCGTGTTCTGAGGATAAATGTGTTTGCTGAGAGAAGCTCTTCACTTCCTCCCAATGTTGACACTGGAAGCATTTCAAATGTCAGTGTTGTGATGTATATTCTGTTAAATTACCCGATTTTATTACACCACCTTTGGATGATTTGAGGAAAATGTTAGAAAAATATCAGCTTTGAACCCAATTGACTCATCACGAAAGTTCATTCATAAATCACACGGATAAGAGGCCGAAAAACTGACTCGTGTCGATTACGAACAAAGCCAATTATCCAAAAGAAACGTGCCCACAACTTAATGTCCTCCTAAAAGGTATAATTTATTATCTCTAAATATTTTTCCCAAAATATGATCTTTATCTGTCGATCTTGCACACGTTCGGCATTAAAATCCGATAGAGTGTGCAAATTTAATGGGCTTTTAAACGTTCCGCCTAATTAACATTCTATAATTGATTATTTAAATTGCTCCAGAACATAATGGATTATCATTGGCAGTGATGAGAGGAGAACATTGGAATATTTCACGTGCATCGCGAAGTTATCGCGCAATCTTGTCTCGGAAGATATTAACCTTTCTGTGGAACATGGAAGCTTTTAAAGTCTCATTTTGTTCGATGATGATTACTGATAATTTATGGCTGCTCGTGGAGTTTTGAGACAGAAGAGCGTCACGTAACTTTTCACAGAAGCAGACGCTTGATAAAATATATCAATAAATTAGACGACATAGATAAGCTGGAAAATCTCTAAAGCATGCTTTCAAGAAACTGTCTTGAAGGATCCATAAATTACCTATTAATTCACTTAGCTAACTTTATGTCATACTCAAGTGTATTAATCTTCACGTACTGCAAAAAATACAGATAATTTTCTGCACTTTTTCTTCCGTTTTAAGTACAAACCTTTGGGAACCAGAAAATGAAATCAAGAATAATATTCATCATCCCGACCGCAATCTTGCGCATTAAGTGGAACTTAAGTAGGGGATAAAGAAGTAATAGCAATATCAGCATGAAAATTAGCCGGCTTTTAATGCAGATAAATGGGAGGTTTTTGTAAATTTATCGATGGCATCGAGAAAGGCAGTTGGGTTGTGACTGAAAAAAGTTTTTGCATTTCGAGTGTCTTTTATCAGAAAATTATGCTGACTGCACAGATGAATGCTGCTGCATTTTTTTTCTAAAAACACGGACAATACTTTTGATTTCTCCTAGAAAAAGTCGCTGTGGTCAAACAACTCTGAAGCGCTCGATTAAAAAGTGTGTTTTTTTTCTCTATCTCTTTTGAACCAGCAAAAATGGTTTATTATATGAGTCCACATACAAAAAAGTGTATATAAAATTTGTATAAATGCCTTAAAGTTATCCAGTCATTGTTCAACCTTAACATTAAGGGAAATCTAAGATGAGTAAAAGCGCCTAGTCTAAGCCTAAATGTGAAAAACATTGCTGTGCGCGTCTTCAGTTGAAGAAGGCGTCCCAGTTGTAGGTGAGAAGGGCGTTACTGCGCTCGCTCTTGGGCTTGAAGGCGGCGAAGAGGTCGTGCACGGGTTGCTGCTCGACGTACACGTCGGTCTGCGGCTGCTGGTAGAATTGTTGGTTGGACTGAGGCTGCTGATAGTATTGTTGGTTGGACTCAGGCTGCTGGTAGTATTGTTGGTTGGACTGAGGCTGGGACCATGTGAAGTCGGCGAGTTGGTTGGCGAAGGAGGTCTTCTGGGGTTTGTTGTACGTCACGCGTGTGTACTCGGCCTTGTGCGGTGCCGTGTACTTGTCCTGGTTGTAATCTGAGATGTAGTTCTGCTGCGCTGGCTGGTAAGAGATTGTCTGCAGGCCAGGTTTGTCACAAAGGCCGGGATAGCGACTGGAGGTAGAGAGGCCGTAGTTTTGGCACGCCGGACTACCAGTTGAGTAGGGATCGACGCCAACGACGTTGCCACTGAAGGGTAGCAAGAGAGAGAGAGAGGGAGATTAGGATCTGCGCTGTGAAATAGTTAGATTCGCTAGACTTACCCAGGCCCGTAGTTGCACACCCAGAGCTTGTTGTACTTGTAGCCGTCGTAGTACTCGGAAAAGCCGCAGCCGACGAGATTCGTCTCGCCCCAAACCAGCTGAGAGTAGTGGCCGGTCTTTGGGGACCACGAACTGCCCCAGCCATAGTCACGCACCTCGTTGAACCAGTTCTGGATGCGCGACGGGAAGTCTCCTTCGTGCTCTCCCAGTGGCTCTGTGCTCCACATGATGGCCAAATTCTGTCCCATTGTGAAGCGATCTGCAGAGAGAGAGAGAGAGAGAGATTGAGCGCTGTTGCTAGGCTGGGTGTTCTCTGGATTGTGGGAGAGAATGGGGTTACTTACTCAGGTAGCGACTGGGGTCGTGCTCAAAGGTGCACTCAGATGCCCACTGCTGAGCCTTGGCCGCCAATTCATTGTCCCACTTCATTTCCATCATGTTCTGCGCACCTGGCTGACCACGCACTTGCCCCATTGCCACGGACTGGCGTAGGCGATTGTGTGTCTCCAGTATCTGGTGCTTCTCATGTTCAGTCACCCCGGTTTCTACAATTGGCAGATGATGCGGGGAAAAATGTCAGATTCTCACAATAAACACGTGGCGCTCGGCATTTTCTTAATGGACAGGAGCAACACCACCACTTTATTTATGAGGAAGTTAGACGAGACAGAAATGGATAGTGAACACTGAGTTGATTACATATCTAGAGGAATTTCATGATTTTTCTCGAATAGTTCTTTTATTCTATGGAAGCTGTCCTTGCTGAATATCAAGAAATCAAGATGTCCCTTTCGGTGACTGTCTCGAATATTGCATAATTTCCTAAATGCACCGAAATTGAGATGTTTTACTATCTAGAAAGCCTCCACCCACAGGTGGATCAACTCTGTTTGCCGAAAAACGATGATCTTGATTGGACTATGTGACTAAATGGTAATGAGAAAGAGTGGAAGCGCGAGTCAGAATTACAAAATTGACCGCTTTGACTTTAAATTTTGTGTGAATGAGTGTTTCTGAGCAATCTTCTGTCCATATTATATTCCCCTCCCCTCGAGAAAAAAAAAATCCCGCCAACAAGGCATTTATGAGAGCCAAAGTGATAGCAGAGAATCCACACCACATTTCCCATAATATTTTGCTTGGACATAAATTTCAGTTATGCAAATTTGCCACGCTTCTCGAGCCAAAAGCCAAGAGAGCTTAGACGCGATGGTAAAAGAAGGAGTTGCGAGTGGAGATATTGGGTGGCTCTGGAAGAGGGTTCGCTAATTATGGTCTCAGCCGGGCGATATATAAATTTAAACATTAAATAATCACAAGAGTCTCTCTTTGGTTATTAGCATAACTTGAAAAAGTTGCCACAAGAATCTCCTCATCTTCCGAATGGTGACAATGAATCTCAATGAAATTTATTATTTGGTCTCTCGCATTGGGGGGAACTCTTTTCGCCGTGAGATGGAGAGAGAGAGAGAGAGAGAACGCGAGCAAAAAAACCCATAAATTTTAAGGACACTTCCCTTAATCAATTTCCTTTTATTCTTCTCTCGTCTGCTTCTTGGCTTGTTCTTGCTCTGGCCATTTTCTGTATGTTTCCAACTCTCTTGTTGCGATGGGAGATTTTTCGCTGAAATCTCTCATGATCAAATATTAACCGATCGTGTTATCGCGATCCCAAAAGAGGGGGCAATTAAGTTTGATTTTATCGGCAATTCACGCGATCGGAAAGATCACTTGGTTGATCACGATCAAGCACTGATCAAATATGGTTCCTAAAAGTCTTTTCTCTGTGTTCTTGTCTCAAATAAAATTCTCTGATGCTCAGCATCTGCTAATTAATGCAAAACAAACGTCTTCATTCACAAAACTGTTGGTTTTTAGGAGAAGCGCGATCTTCACTTTGTGATCACTCTGTGTGGCGATCAAACAATCGACATGGGAAGTGAATTAGCAAGATGATTGGGAAAAAATACACTCTTGGTCAAGGGTTAAGTGTATGGAGAAACATAATGTTCTTGAGGTTTGATCTTGAAAATAATTGTTGTCACTTTGGATGTTTTACAACGTTTTGAAACTTGAGACACTGCATGAATTTTCATGGAAGAAAATTATGGTTTTCCCTAGCCAAAAAACCAGACGAAAAACAAGCAATTAATTTGCAAATGAGTGTGATTTGTGAATTAATATTCGTCCAAATTTCCGAATATCATGAATATCGGACGAGTTGGTCTGATTTAGTATCAAATATTCGCGTGGCAACGACAATATGAAGAGAATTTCTGAACACCTTTAACCAGTCTTCGAAAAGCGCTAATATTGTCGCGTGAGAAGCGAAAAAGATTCAGAACCACCGCCAGAAAAGGAGAAATATGAGGAATTGAGCAAAAAAAAAGATCATAAACTTACTCATTAGTGCTGCATTTCGACAACCTGTCGATTCTGTGGCCAGAATTGTGATGAGAATGGCAATCTTGAAGACGATCATCATTTTTCTTTTTTTTTATCTTTTTTGAGAGAAGAGAATATTAAAACTTCACAAATTTTCCACTAATTTCTCAATTGAGGAAAAAATTTTTGTCAGCAAAATGCTAATTGGAAGATCGTCAATTTGTTGCCAAAGAAACCAAACGATCTTTGTAGTAAGTAACGCAAAAAACAATAGACGATAAGCGCTGAGACGATGCTATATAAAAAATTCTCGACGGAAACTTTTTATTACTCACTCGCGAAGACGCCTGGAAGTCTATTGCGATCAGCCACACGGTGACGATTGCCTTTTATACTGGCGAGCAAGAGCGCGAAGAGGCTCTCTCTTCTGTGGCAGACAGATCAGAGACGTGATACTGGACAGTGTGAAGATTTACCGGTCAAGCAAGATCGCGAGAGCGAGAGCGAGAACGAGAGAATCCAAATATCACCAGATGGTCCCGAGCAGACTTATGCCTGCGCAGCATCCAGCATCTTTCCGCGATATTCGTAATTCTTATTCTCACTTTGCTTTTATTGCTTAATGCGCATCTCCTCAGGTGGTTGTAATTTTTTCTGTCACTCGCTTTTCCTCGAACGGGATCAACGCGTGTGTGATCATTAATTTGCTGAAGAGTTATTGGAAATGCAATTCAGTACCAGGAATTTGATCTTTCCGATTTTCGTGGAGAATCAAATCTTAGTTTGCGTTCGTTGAAGGGCTTTGTCGTTTTCTGCATGCATAATTGCAGTATATTGATAAGTGGGCGGGGCTAAAGAGTGGGCGGAGTCTCAAGTATACTCTCATTGTCTTATGAATTCCCTATGTCCGAAACAATTGGTTTCTTTTCTGACTCTCTTGTGTTCTTCCCTTCTTCTCCATGAAAACCATATCGAGAATTTCGTACTGCTTTACAATTTTCCATTAGCCAGTCTTGCATATACTTGTTCTTATCTTTACTTTTCCTTATTCACTTTTTTCCATTCACAAAATTACACACTATTGTCATTTTCCAATAATCGCGGGTTGTTCAGAAATTAATTCACAAGCGATGGACAAATTCAGTCCGAAACGGCGTCGTAAATAACTCTGGTGCTTCAGTCTGTCTCTTTTTGGACTGTGATCTAATGAGATGGAAATGGTATTCGGCATCATGATGGTTTTCTGCCTATACCATCGCGTCGTGATTGATCTTCATTTTTGGATTGAATATAGGGCGAAGATTTATTCATGTATTTATTTATGCAAAAATTATTACGTGAAAAAAAATACATTTTCATATGATTTTCCAAAGAGCTTTCAACTCCACAGATGTTCTTGGGGAAAAAGGAAGGCAAAGAAAAAATGAGACAACATAAAAGTTTTGGGCTATCAAATGAGCCTGAAATCACGACGATTCGTCTTTGGCGAAAAAGGCTAATTAGGCGGGGATTGTGTCTTTGGTTTTGTGGGTTCTTAAATTTCCTAAACACCTGTGAGATGGATATTTTAATGGCTCGTGGTGGAACATTAAAAGCTTCCCATGGGTTCAAGAGTCACAAGAATTGATTGGATTTCATGGGAATTTGCTTATATGACTATACTTCTGTGTCAATATCCTCCGGTGGAGGGTTGAATTTTGCTATTTTCGCTCTGTTCGATCTCTCTCTTGAGCACCTGAGCCAAGCATATCTTCTGGTGTGAGTCACTTTTTGGCCATGGGTGTCAATAAAAGCGCGCCCGTAAACCTTTTCTTATGCGATTTTTGGGAGTTGGAGTTGAGAGAAGAGCTGTAGAAAAAAAAAAAACGAACTCTCAACAGACTGAATGTTTATCAATAAACCAATTTATATTGTCCACTCTCTGCGCGAGCTATAATCTTTTTTTTCCGCGAGCTAAGCTCTGTGTCATCTTCTGGGTTTGGTTGTGACCACAGAATGGGTGAGAGAAGAAGAGTCCCCACCTTCGGATCTACACACACCTGATGGCAATTTATTCAAATGGGATTCTTATGCCTTTTTGCAGACTGGTTAGTGGGCTAATAATTTGCAAGTTGAGACTGATTTTTTCGAGAATGCCGCACAAGATCTTTTCGAAGATCAATTTAGAGTGGAAAACGCTCTGCGATGATCATGTGCTTGTGCGGTGCATTTGATTGGGCTGCGAGGGATGAATATTTGACGGTTGACTTTCGAAAACAAAGAGAGTCTAATCTATAATCTTGTTATTTATTTGATCCTTTCCACAAAATGATTTATCGATTGGCAATTTATGGTGAAATTATACAGTCTTTACTCATATTTCATCTCATATTTCGGGCATTCAATCAACCTTTTTTTCCCAAAGATTCTTTCCAATCTTCTCTATTCCGTGATATTTGAATGAAAGATTGTTGGAATTGTCATCAATGGAGAGAATTTATTTGCTCTTGCAAATGAGTATAAAGTGAGAAATACGCAATTGTAATCGGTTAATAAAACACGTGTGAAGAAATGTCATGAATTGTTGTTCTCTTCGTGTGAAATGTTTTGACGAAACGTTGCGACGTAGAATTTCACCGAAACTCTTGATTGATTTCCTCTGAAATATGAAAACAAGTCAATATTATTTTGAGCAAAAATATATCCAAGAAGTTGTAAAAGTCCTAAGAAGAATAAAAGATGTGACAAAGCCATAAAAAAATTTAGATATTGCGATTAAAGTGCAAAATACGCAAATTTGTGCACGGCGAATAAATTATGAAATCATTGGGTTATCTATCATTTTGAATATATTCTCTTTTCCTCAATCTATGACTTCATTAATGGTCCACAATAAAGCCATATATGAATCATTTTCCTAAAACAGGCAAACTAACAATAAATTAGCCAGGCAGAGCCTGAGAGCTTGAGCATGAATGAAGTCTCTCTCTCTCTCTTGACTCTATCTGGCCAATAAGATGGATTTTTTATTACAAATCTCGTCAATTTATGCGCTAGAGATATCAATAAAAGTGTGATATTTTGCCTCCTTCACCCGCGCCTTCACCCGAAAAGGTTACACAACACATTTTCTGCCTTGTGTTCTTTCTGTGTGACTCTTTTCCTCTTGCTTCTCTGCGAACACGGTGTGTGTGTGTGCGATAAAAACCAGAATCAAAATGATCAAAAGCACTCGCATTTGAAATTCAGTGGAGAATTTATTCCTCTTCTGTCGGGAGGCAAGAATTTGGCCACTTGGAGATCACTTGGCAATGGATGATAAAACTCCTGTTCTGCACTGGGAGAGATAAAGCGCCCCTAAAGAGTTCATTTCCCTCTCTTTTGCACAGACACAAAGACTTGATTGAGATGCTGGACAGCAATAAAGTGGGCCTGAAGCTGGAGGCCATGAAGAGGATCATCGGGATGGTGGCGAAGGGACGCGATGCGTCTGAACTCTTTCCGGCCGTGGTGAAGAATGTCGTGTCGAAGAATGTGGAGCTGAAGAAGCTGGTGTATGTCTATCTTGTGCGCTATGCTGAGGAGCAGCAAGATCTCGCCTTGCTCTCCATTTCCACCTTCCAGCGCTCACTGAAGGATCCCAACCAGCTGATCAGGGCCAGCGCATTGAGAGTCCTCTCCAGCATCCGCGTACCCATGATTGTGCCCATTGTCATGCTGGCCATCAGGGATTCTGCCTCCGATATGAGTCCGTATGTGAGGAAGACGGCCGCTCATGCCATTCCGAAGCTGTACAGTTTGGATGCGGAGCAGAAGGAGGAATTGGTGGGCATCATTGAGAAGCTCCTGTCGGACAGAACGACTCTCGTTGTGGGATCTGCCGTGATGGCCTTCGAGGAAGTCTGTCCGGAGAGGGTGGATCTAATCCACAAGAACTACAGGAAGTTCTGCAATTTGATTGTGGACGTGGACGAATGGGGACAAGTTATCATTATAAATATGCTGACAAGGTGTGTGTCCTTTTCTTTTACTTTCTTCTGCACTCTATGAATAAATTGTAAATTCTATTTCTCGACTTTCTTGCCAGGTATGCGAGAACTCAATTTGTTGATCCCAATGCGCAAGAGAAGATGCTGGATGAGGAGAGGCGTAAGAGGAAGAAGAAGCCTCAGAAGCTGGATTCCGCCTCGAATTCCTCCCAGGACGAGGAGGACAATGAGGAGGAGGAAGAGGATGATTATGAGCTAAATCAGGAGGAGAAGAGTGTTTTGGATCCCGATCATCGGCTGCTGTTGCGACAGACAAAGCCGCTGCTGCAGAGCAGGAATGCGTCAGTGGTGATGGCGGTGGCGCAGCTGTATCATCACATTGCCCCGAAGGCTGATGTGCAGATTGTGGCGAAGGCGCTGGTGAGACTGCTGAGGAATCACAAGGAGATCCAGAGTGTCGTGTTGACGTCAATTGCGTCCATGTCGCAGGATCAGAGGTGTCTGTTTGATGTGTACATCAAGTCCTTTTTCGTGCGGACGAACGATCCGACGCACATTAAGCTGCTGAAGGTGCAAATTCTCACGAATCTCACCACTGAGGTCAACATCTCGATCATCCTGCGGGAGTTCCAGACGTACATCAAAAGCAATGACAGGGAATTCGTGATGGCGACGATTCAGGCGATCGGCAGATGCGCCACGACGATCAGCCAAGTGACTGAGGTGTGTCTCACGGGACTCGTGCACATGCTGTCCAGCAAGACGGAGTTCGTGGTGGCGGAGAGTGTGGTGGTGATCAAGAAGCTACTGCAGAGTCACTGTGCAAAGCACCGCGAGATCATCGTGCAGATGGCGAGACTGCTGGATCACATCACGGTGGCCGCGGCCAGAGCGGCGATTATCTGGCTGATTGGCGAGTACAATGAGTATGTGAAGAATATTGCTCCAGATGTGCTGAGAAAGATCGCCGAGACCTTCACCAGTGAGGTAAAGATTGCCTTATAAACCACAACGCTCACATGGAGGATTATAATTGCTAATGGCACAGGTTTTCCTTCGCGCGATTGTCTTTTCGCGATGGTCATAAAAGCGCGCGGCGGCGGCGACCAAAATTAGAAGTGATCTAAATTATATTTACCTAATGGTCGACATTTATGGTTGGCATTTAAAGATTTTTGATTGATGATTTATCTCTATTTCAGGAAAACTCCGTCAAACTCCAAATTCTCACCATGTCTGTGAAATTGTATGCCACGAATCCTGAACAGACGCGCTTGCTAACGAAGTACATCTTTGAGTTGGCGCGCTATGATCAGAATTACGATGTACGCGACAGGGCGAGATTCCTCAAGGCGCTGGTGGGAATTGATGGTGAAGGAACGGTGCTGAGTAGGAATCTGCAGAAGATCTTCCTGTCCAGAAAGCCCGCTCCGGTGCTGGAAAATGGATCTCACGAGGGCGCCACGGCGCTGCAACTGGGCAGCTTGTCGCACTACTTGAAGCTGAAGGCGACTGGCTATCGAGATCTGCCGGAATTTCCCACTGTGGCTCAGGATTCATCGGTGAGAAATGTCCAGAGCAAAGTGGAGATTGTCGTGAGTGGAGAGCGAAGTCTGCTGGCCACTGAAGTTGATGGTAATGCGCGTGGTAAGGAGAAGACTAGAGATTTCTACTCGGAAGAGTCATCAGAAGACGACGACGACGATGATGAAGATGATGATGATGATCAGGAGGATGCGGATTCGAAGAAGAATGACTCGGATGAGTGGACAGAAGATGATGAGGAGACTTCGAGTGAGGAGAGTTCGTCGTCTGGCTCAGAATCTTCCGTGGAATCTGATGAGGAGGAGGCGGAAGAGCGAGAGAATGGACAGCAGGAACAGCAGGGGAACGCTAGCAATGTGGATTTACTCTCTGGTCTGGACAATTCCCTCTTCACAGGCGTGCCGATGAAGCCGATGGGCATGCTGCAGCCGGCAGCGACGTCGTCTTCCGCTGGGAAAAGCACTGTCTTGCCGCCTGTCTTCACGGCGACTGAGCATATGGAGTTGCTGAATAAGATCAATGGATTTGGCCTCGGAATTTCCTATCGCTTCACGAGATTCACTCACCTCACGTCAGCCACGCATCTGTCAGTGGAGGTTGTCTTGAGGAATCACAACACCGTCCAGGAGATTGGCAACATTCATGTCGATGCGAAGAGTGATGTTCAGGCTTTTCCGGCAATTTTGCAACTTCCGCCGAATGCCACGTTCACAGAGACACTCGGCGTGGACTTCAATGACTCCACGCAGCCCATTTCCTTCGCCATTGTCAGCAGTTTGGGGCGCAGCACCGTGTCGCTGAGCGCCAACATTGGGGAGTTGCTGCAGCCCATCAAGCTCAGTGAGGATGTGTTCAGGGTGGAGAGGAACAAGCTGAGAGGCATGACTGAGCACTCGTGCAGCATTGCGACTGTGACGGAGGCGAAGGCGCTCGAGGAGAAGATCCTGCGAATGGCAAATGTGGCGCCAGTGGCGAGCAGTGAAGAGAGAGTGCTGCAGTTTGCCGGTCAAACGCTGAAATCCAAGAGTCTACTGCTGATCACGGTGCTGCCGAAGGATGGCCAAGAGGTGCAAATCACGGTGAATTGCGAGAAGATCGTGATGGGAAGCATTCTGCTCAACGACATCAAATCTCGAGGACTCTAAAGTCTCCTGATTGGTGAGTTGCCAGAAGTGTAATCAAATAAATAATCTCAACTATTATCGAATGAATTGCGTGAAATTTTATCTCTCATTCTTCACATTGTCTGTGTGTGTGTGTACACTTCTAAAGGCATCATAACACAGCATAAATCCTTTCTTTACTGCCAAGTCGTTATCATTGTTGATTATTTGCGTGAGGCGCAAATTTTGTCGCGAAAAAAAAAAAATTCAAATATTTGCAATGAAATTAACTAATTTAGTCCAGAGTAAAGCGCGATTTGTTCTTTTCGTGGAATTTTCATACGAATTGCGCCAAAAAAAAAGTCCACATCAAAAGCCTCTCTTTCAATGATAAGAATCTCTCTATCTTGTCTTTCAGGTTTTTTTCTCTCTCCTTTTATTAATAATTATTAAAATATTCCACATATAATTATTCATATGACAAAGTGATAAAATAAATTATAAATAATATCACCTCAATGGCTTTGAGCTGTGCAACAAATTGCTTTGGCTAATAAGCGCACGAATTCTTCCGATCGCAGATAAAAATAATTTCGGTGATTTGCATAAAATTAATTAGCACTTAAATTAATTTTGATCTTGTGATTTTTCATTGAAAAGAAGCTAAAATCACACGTGTTCTTATTTTAGGGGTGAAATTTCTGTTCTCTTTAATGGATGAAGTGCGAGAGAGCGAGAAAGAAAAAAAATTGATTGCCAAGAGCATTTAGCAAGTCTATAAATTCGATTTGATGCCAAATGATTCACGCGCAACAACTCATCACCAAAAACACTTTTTTTGGGTGGGAATTTATATATTGATAAATGTTCGCCATGGAGGAAGAGATGCTCGCGTGTGGACAAATTAATTAAAATATCCCAGAGGTCAGAGTCTTCTTCATTTAAATATGAATTACAGCCGTGAAAAATCATCAGCGATCAGCGCGATTCATAAGAACATAAATTTGCAAAAATTACATTATAAGTGGCAAAGAGAGAAAAAGCCGCGTGAGCCGAAAAACTGCACGCATTTGTCACTCTGATGCGCGACAGTCAATGAATTCAGGTGGTCAAAATGAATCACATTCAATTATCTATTCAATGGGCTTTATTGATTCACTGCAATAAATCCACGCCACAATCTAGCCAAGGCCTGAGTGTATAAGATTTCCAGCTCAAAGTGGGTCAATGAGTGGAATTCTAGTGGCGAAATTCTATATATCGCAGAATCACCTGAAGAACGGTTCTTTCCGACTTACAAATGCTCAATCAATGATAAATACTTGCTAAAATATACAGTGACGCGCAGAAGCTCACAAAATTTATAGAATTCATCATTTTCCGCCGATACAGATGAAGATGTGTTTCGGTAGGTTTTTCAGTTAATTACTCTTTAGCAGATTGGCAAAATAAGACACCGAGATTGTATATGAAAATTTGTCTTTATTGTTGTCTTGCGTCGGAAATGCTCAGCAGCTGTACATTTTGCGGATCTTGTTGATGTCCTTCTGGCTCATGCCATCGCGTTGTCCCATCACTTGGCCGGTGTTGTACTGCAAAAGAGCGATATGTTAGAGCGACTGAAAAATATCCCTAGCAGACTTGAGGCACTCACGATGGCCTCGATGGTGGGCAGGTAGTTCTTGGAGAAGGCGTACGGGCCGTAGTGCATGATGCTGCCGTAGTCGTAGCCCTCGCCGTAGTCGGTCACGTAGCTGTTCGTGTAGGCCTCGAAGTTGTGCTCCTTGCCGGCGATCATGTTGTCCCACTTGATGCGCACGTACTGATCGCGATTCACGTCGCTCTGCGCGTGGAAGAAGCCAATGGCGTGGATGAGCTCGTGCGTGGCGATGCCGCGAGTCACGCAGCCCGCCTGGATGGACAGATTGAGGATCTGGGCGTTGCGGATGCGCCCCACGTACGACCAGCAGCCAGAGTTGGCATTCTGAATGGTGATGTAGTCGCGCTGTGTTGTCCTGGGCACGAATGTCACGCACGTGGAGGCCTGGATGTCAGCCATGCCGGCCAGAATGATTGAACGATGGCTCGAGGCTGCAAATTGCCATTGGCACTCAATGCCACAATGCTCTGTCATCGCAATTGATTGATTTACTCACTGAAATCCGCCGCGAATTCATATGGAATGATGGCATTCTCCCAGCGCCAGTAAGAGTCCAGGATGCCAGTGTGTGGCGAAATGACCTGATCTGGCGCAAACTTGATGTCACCCTCGAAGTTGTCGCCCAACTCGTCAGCACTCGGTCCAACAACTGCAGAAAGAGATTCCCTTCTTAGTCCCCAAATAAAGCTCTGCTGCGCAGAAACTCTCAACTCACTGCTCTCAATGTTGGCCGGCAGCGCTTGGGCAGCGGCCACGAATCCCAGGATCACGATCACTTGCGACACTCTCATTTTGGACACTTCTTCTCTTGGTTGACTTATCTCACGATATATCCAACAGACTTATGCGTGATGCACAGCGCGGAGGCTCTTTTTATACGCCCCGCAAGACGATGGGAGTTCCTGATAAGACAATTACAGCCACCCAGAGTCGGAATCCCGCCACCTTTTTACCACCTTTGGCGAAGCGTCTTCTATTTGGATCATAATCAAAAATATTTGGCCTGTAAATAGAGTTTCTTTATCATACGCAATCACGCCTTTTTATGAGCCTGTCATTCCCTAATTTCGCTCTTCCTGTGCCACAAACAGTCTCTCAGGAGACTTTCGGGGGGGTAATTAGTCGGGCAGAGGTTCGTCTTTGCGCCCTCTTTCTTTGCAAATTCGTCAGGAATTACCTTCGAATGGCAAAGAAGACGATTCTAGGATGCTTTTCTTCAGCCATGAAGGGACAAAAGAAAGCGAAGAAGACTAATTGTGTGAGTTTGAAGACCCAATTGACCCGTTATCTGGGCAATGACAACCCCCTGCGTCGTCTTGCGTATCACATGGCAAACAACCCGAGCTAATTTGTGACTCCTAATCTCATTTATGTCATATTTCCCGCATTTAGGCCGGAGATGACTTCATTCATCTTTTTTCCCATTCATAAAATGTCGACTGGTTTAAATCAAACAAATCACTTTTAATGCCTTCAATGATGCCATCGCGATCGCTTAAGCCTTAAATGCGCACGGAGAAGATGATGAAGGTCACGAGGGGCAGGAAAAGGTTGTCCACCTGATCCGTCTTCGCCTCGAGGAGTGCACTGACGGTGACGCCGACGAGACTGGCGATGACACTGGAGAGATGGAGACTGATTAATCCCGCGAGGTGAAGGATGAAGATGGTCAGCACTTGGCTGAGGATGTTGGCCAGAGTGCCCTCGATGGTTTTCTGTGAGTTGGCCAGTCGGTGTCTGCCCAGCTTGCTGCCAATCACGCCCGCCATGGTGTCGCCGATGCCCACAGACAGAATGCCAGCGAGCAGTGGCAGGAGTGTGAAGGCTGTGGAGTCCGTGAGGTCGCAGGGCGCGGGATGAAGCCACAGTGGCAATGAGCAGCCGGCCAGGAGGTAGATTGGCGTCAGTGCAACAACACCGGCATCCTTTTCATCCACAAAAGCACCCACAATGGCCTGCAAGTGCTGCGCAATCACGGGAAAGTTGATCAAACGCGCGGCCTCGAAGATCACAAAGAGCGCCAGGAGGAGTCCCGAGGCCAGGAAGAGCATCGTGCACTGGCAAATGATGCCGATGAGGTAGACTATGACGATGACGAGGTGGAAGACTTTCCGCAGTGACACACTCGTGGCAGTCTTCTTGCTGATCTTCCACGCCACGAAAGCTCCTGTTATTCCGCAAATTCCCGCATAGATCAGCACCACAGACAGCCTGCCAATGTCGAGGATGATGAAGCTGGCGACGAGGATCACTGGCAGAGGATCTGTGACGGGTGTGAAGCCGGTCAAGAGTAGCCACAATGTCAAGAGGATGAGGAAGACTAGCGGATGACGACAGCAGGAGCTGACGTGGAGCAGGAGGATGAGCAGAAGCACTGCCAGAATTGCCACTGAGAGAATGGCAGTCATCTGCTCCATCTCGAACATTGACGGATCCTGCAGGGCATCGAAGATCTTAATGCCAGCGCCGAAGAGGAAGATTGCCAAGCCTTGACTGACAATTGCCGCCTCGCCCAGCGAGAAACTCCTTGGCATACGCTGCAGCAGCGAGATGTAGAGGGAGTTGTAGATGAGACAGCACGGAAGGGCACACAGGGTGAAGATGAGGCTGTCCTCGAGGAGGAACCAGATGAGGAGTGAGCATGCGATTCCGGGAAGCAATTTCGTGGGCACATTGATGATGCCAATGACTCTGCGGCAGCTCAATTTGAAGATTATCTCAGCGGTTTGCAGGAAGAGGCCAAAGCCAATGAATCCAGACACTTTGTACAGCAGACTCGACGATTTGGGATGTGTCCAGGCATTGACGAGGAGCGCCAAAGGCACCAGACAGCACAGCCACGCGCCATTTCCTGCATTTGGCCTGAAAACACAGGGAATCTGTCAGACTAAACTGCTCCAAACACACCATAATCACACCCAATCTCACCTTCTGTGAATATTGCTGGCCTTGCAATTGGCATCCAGGTGTTTCCGGGAGACAAAACTCGCCTCTTCACTCGTCATTTCCTCAACGTGGCCACTCTCAATTTCATCTGTCGTCATGAAATCTGCCTCCGAGGGTGTCGATGAGCAAGCTCGGGTGACCTTTGAACCATTAAATTAACTGTGACTTCACGAAAACAGCCTTCGAAGGAGGGATAAAAAGATTTCCTGATAACGCACTGCAACTCACCTAACCCTACTTCTTGCCAAAGTGACTTTTCATCCACTTTCCAGGGCACTTTTCAGCAGATTCTGGCCTTTAATACATCTTTGGAGATTCCTGAGTGGAGTAAATTAGTAAAATTTCACAGTAACATTGCTAAATAGAGCGAGAAAATGGTTTTATTGCGAGGTAAATAAAGCACTTTTGTCAACTTGTCCCAAAAAAAAAACATTAGCAAAGACGCAAACCAGTCGAGAAGCTCTAAAATAAATATTTTGTAGGAAAATTGCATGAAAATATTGTGATTCAAGAAAACTTCTGTCTTTTTACTCATACTTTATTTCTCACTTTTAATTCTAATTATACATAATACATCATTACATTTAAAAAAGTCCAATATTAATTCACCAATAACACAAATTTGAATATAGAGTCCAACTACCTCGAGCTATTCTCTTCACGTTTCCTCAAGAATGCGCCAAATAATTTCAAGTAAAAAAAAAGAATCAACATGTACTTCCTCTCATCAAGGTAAAGGTGCATTTCTCATCACCTCCAAGACAGTAAATATATATATATATTTCATTTAGTCACAAAAAAAAAATTAATGATAAATTTGCTCTCGAATCACTAAAAAATAATCATGTTTATATAGTATTTATATATCTTCTCCTGGCTCAAGGACAAAAGATGGGAGAAATGCAAGCATTTCTGCGTGTCGCCGAGGGAAATCAAGGTGTTTCAAGGGAGAAATGAAATCGGACTCTGTCTCTCTCTCGCTCTCGCTCTAGATCCTCTTGCCGTAGACATTCTCGTCGGAGTAGACAATGTAGAGGAAGCAGTCTTCTTCGTGGTGCTCCTGGTACAGCGATCCCATGGACGCCGACGTGGGTGGAATCACGTTGTTGACGAAGAAGAACAGCGCGTCCTCGGGGCGCAAGTGGATCCTCTTGCGGATGAGAAAGTAGAACTGCCCCACCGTCAGATCCGACGGCACCAGATACTTCTTCTTGTCCAGATCGCCGATTCTCGCCTTGGGCGCCTTCTCCACGATCACCTGTGGAAAGGCAGAATGTGACTGAAATCTGATTTCCTCGGGCCACAGAAAGACTGCGTGGACGCGCGAATCTCAACTGATAAGCATAAACTGTGCCACACGAGTTTTGCAGGTTTTACACCTTATTCTCGAACCCGGATTTTAAGCGAGGTTTCTTTCCCACAAAGAAAAAATACGCCAAATCCGTCAAGCGTGAAGCGCCTTCAGAAACACAAATTTTGAGCAAGAAAGACACAAGAGAACTTCACGTGAAAAGCCCTAGAAATTCTCGGAAATGCTCAAACTCTTGAAGGTGAAAATCAATTGGTGAACACAACAAATAACAAAAACAGCAAAGCGCGTCACTGATAAGACGGAAAGTCGTCAAAATAGCAAGAAAATCGATAAAGAACGTGGGGAAAACAAAAGAAGGCCCTGGAGACTCTCCAAAGAGGCTCTTTTGCAATCGCGAGCCCCTAAATTTGTCAATACACAGAAATCAGCTGATCGCATTCGCTTCTCTGTGGCCACAAAAATAGACGACTCGCGTATTATTTACAACGCGAAAGAGAGGAAAAAACTTTGCTGAGAAGCAAACATAAATAAGCACAAAGAAATTCAAGACAAAGTGGCCTTGGGCAGGGCCTCAAGCCACAAATCCCGTGAAAATCACCAAAACCTCCCCTGAGAGAGTCTCTTCCGCCCACATGTCCACCGCGGAGCGCCCCAGAGAGGCTCCTGTGAGCCTGCTGAACGCCTATTTCGCAACAATTATTGGTATTTGCGTCGCAAATAAAATGTCCGCCATTGATGGATTTGATGGAAAAGAGGAAACTTTCTCCACGATTTTCAACTACTTACGGGCACACGATCGGGATATTTCCTGCGGATTTTGTCACCCTCGGCACGTCTCTTCTCAAAGGGGTGCTCCTCCTTGTACTGGAACTTCATTTTGATGGCCTAAAAGCACTTTTTCACTGACACTGAAAATCTTCGACTGATTTTTCTCTGACTCACAATTGCCTTTTTGACCAATGGTGGCCACCAGAGGCGCAGCTGACAGTGAGTGGCAAGTGTTTGTTTACACGGTAGAAAAATAGAAAAATCAGAGGATTTTTTGCGTAAAGAATTTTACAAATTGTGAGAAAAATATAAACTAAGGAATATTCCTGCTGAATTAATTGCCATGTATTTTTCACGAATAAATACAATTTGTATAATTAATAAAAATTAGTAATCAGTCGTTCTCTATTGAAGATCGTTTTCATTCTTTGAAGCAATTGAAATTCGTTCTAATTTCAATTTCATCTGCTATTGTTGCTATTCAAATATTTTCCACGAAATATAGAAAAACCAAAGCGGGAAAGCCTAGGGAAAGCGCTCAGCACAACTGGAGTAAAAATACATAGCGTGTATGAAAATATCCCCGCCGTTCAAGTCGAGGGCAGCACTGTCTGCTGAGAAGTTGCTCATTTCCCGCCAAATTCGCGTAAAAATTCCAGGAAAAGCCGCACTGAAAGTGAGAAAAACTTCCAAAAATGCATTCCACGCAACTTCTCAACCACAAATCTGCCTAATCAACCTCCTAATGACGATGAATTGTCGCGCCTAGTGGCGCTCGAAGGAAAACGGCGACGCACACATATGAAAGGCACCGCGATGGGATGGCTTTTCCGAATTTTCCCCGAATTACACACGAAAAGACCATGTACAAATGAAAATAGACGCTCTTATATAATAACAGTTGTATCTTCAACATCAGTACAGACCATTTTATCGTTTCGGACAGTTTATTTCGTCAATCCGTGAGCTGAAAATATTTTTTCTGTACGCGTTTTCCTCCCTATTTTTCCACCATACACACCATCGTCCGAAGGAAATCCACCACGAGCCCCGGACTCTCTCAAGCGTGTCTCAAGCTGTATTTTCGCGACACAGTGCGCGGGGCGTCTGGTGGCGGAGTGCGACTCTCTTGTGTTCCCATTTAGATGTGACTTTGCGTTTGAATTCTCACGACGCTTCGCGAGTGGGGCGCCCCATTGGGTGCAGATTTTCAGTGAGACGGACCCCCTTTTTTCCTCCTCAGCATCGCCAGCGCGCGCGTGTGTGTGAGTCTCTGCCCACAAGCTCTCTTTCCATCTCGCGAGCGTGTGCGTGTGTGTGTGTGTGCCTGAGAATTTTCCTGGTGAGGGTCGACGTCGCGACGCTTAATGGCGAATTTTCACGATTTTGTGCATTAAAGCTTCTGAGACATTATATATGAAAGCCAGTGAGAGGCACACACTCGCCTCTATGTACAAATCTTTCTTATATAATGCCGATTTTTCCTCTCGCTGGATCTCTTTCACTCATGATTTTCCTTCACAGCCTCGCGCGGAGATGTGAAATGCGCTCAAACCCCTATCGGAAAAAGTGGGCGCCATATCAACTGCAGTTTTCCACCCCCTCCACGCCTCGGCTTTCCCACTTCGGCGGCGCTCCAAACGCTTCAGTCGCCCAAAGTCACTCCAAAAGCGCAATTTCACAGTCGCCAAGAAAACGTGCTCACAAACATTGAAGAGCGACATTTTGCTGGGCTTCCCAAGCAAAGGCTTTTCCTTTGACTTTTCCGCCCCCAAAACAGGCCCAAAAGAGGCCCACAGAAAAGTGATTGCGAGAAATATTAAGTGGCGGTGGCGAAATTCAAGAGAATTTTCTCGAGGCGCCCCATAAATCTTGTGAGTTTTCTTGCATGGAAAAGTCAGTGAATATCTTACTCTGATTGCATCGTGAAGTCTCACACAGATGAGAGATAATTTTTCATCATATTAAGAAATGAAAAATAAACTTGTGAAAATACAAGTGAACAAGAGACATTTTATTAGTAGATAGAAAGAAAAATCACAGGGTTAGGCGGAAAAAATCTATTTAGTGGCAGAATAAAATAAGTGGAATTTCTACTCTTAGCTTGAACTTTAATATAATTATAAAGCTTTTAAGGGATTAGAGATTAAAAAAAAACTGAAGTGTTGAATTGATTGAGTAGAATTCCAGTCATTTTGTATTCATCAATTACATCCGAAGATTAACCCTGTAGAAAGCCTTTTACCACTTTCGCCACTTTTCACTCTATTTTCATCTTTTACAATGCATAAAATTTTATTTCACCCATTCTTCTGATTCTTCTCCGTTTCTTTGCAAACTGACCCCTTCTGTTTATTAATAAACAACCTTCACGACTCTCTGACTTTCATGTGGAAATATATTTTTTCAAAAACTATTCAATTGACTTCTCAGAAGTGCCCTAAATTTCCCGGAAAAGCCTCTTCAATTGACCTCGTGGACGTGTTTTTTTTTTTTGGAAATAGACTTTCGTGGGCCGCAATTGGAAATAAGTCATGAAGAAATGTGGGTGTGTTAAATGTGCACATTTTTGCAAGGAGGACGCGAAAAATCATAAATTAGCCCGGCCAGAAAATTGTCATGCTGCAGCACACAAATTTTCCTCCATTTCTCCCTCTCTTTTGCCCCTAATTATCAACTGTAAATTTTCCTTCAAGGTGTGTTTTGCATTGATATTACCAAATTAATGGTAACTTCGCACTGACTGAGGAATTAAGGACAGGAAGTGAATTGCGGTGTCTCAGGAAATGACAATACTTAAAACTCCCGGCCAAACTTAGGACAGAGGAAGTCTGCGAAAGGAGAAAAGGAGCTACAATTTTGACATCTTCACTGCAATGTCAAGTCGAACTGTGATCAACAATTTTGATTTACTGGTGAGTTTTTTGTTTTTATTTCATATTTTACACATCTATGCATATTCTACTCATTTTCTACACTTCTGACAGGTGCGATTTGTCAATATTCTAACCCCGCGCGTAGAAAAGTGTAAAAAAGTGAGAAAAAACTATCCAATTTTCTCAGTTTTCTCTGCATCTCTCCCGTTTTTTTCTCATGTTTATTTTTATGTTTTCGTCCAATACACACAATATTTACGCGATGTGGTGAAGATGAGAATGTTTTGGTAGCCAAAGCCATCAACTACACACTCTCACTTGGGATTTTCTCTCAGTGTGTTTAATGCCAAAAATAATCAGCTCGCAATTTGTTATGCGCGCGCAAATTCAGCAGGAATAATCGTGGAAAAGAGTCTCAATTTATATATATGACTTCTTTTTTCCTACTAACACACACACACGTGCAAGATGATGAGGGAAAAACAGGGAAAATCTGACACGTTGCAGTTTTATTCTCATCGATTCTCATATGAGAATTGAATTAATTTGGTAGTAATTTTTTGGGGGGAAATACAATAGAATCAGGCATTGAAATTAAATTATGAGCAATTCGGAAGACTGCATTGTCTACTCCGGTTTATTGTTTCTCGCTCGTTATAAAGTTTTCACGGATTTTATGTGCGTCGTCAAAATGACGGCGGAATTGCGGAAATTTGATGGCCTGGAAAATTCAATGCACTGCACTAAAAAGTGCGTCGCGAGACGGCAAATTGGGAATTTTTGAGAAGGCGTAGGTTGATAATCACAAGCATTCCAACAAGTTTCCGTCAATTGGATTTATTGAGGGAATTTATATTCTCGTTGCCTGTGAAAATGTGAAGGAAATTCTCTCTATTTCGGAACTAATATCATGTGCAGTGTGGCAAAAATAGCTTGTACACTCAGACAAAATCGAGTGGGGAAAAATGTTTGGTTGAATAGAGAATCACACTTGCAAAAGAAGTCAATCGTGTGATTGAGGTGCAGATGAGCATCACATATCAGTGCACCGTCCAAATTGGGTCTATTCAAGGGGCAGATATTATAGTCGGAAGTGGTGTACAGCTTTGCGGAAGTGGTCAAATATTTCGAATATTAGCATTACAAAAGCTTCTATTTCAATAAATTGAATCATTTTCTGAATTACTTTACTTGGAAAAATCAATTTTATTGCTTTCTTTTGTTCATACAATCTGAAATTTAAGCATTTGAGGAGCTTAAACGTCTTGTGAGGTGGAAAAACCATAGATTTAAGGCATATTATCTCCCCCTTGGATCTATTAATGCATGCTGAGTCACCTGTGTGGTCCTGTGACTTTTGCAGGCGATTCTTCAGCCCTGGCGCGAGCAAGGCGGTGAGGATCGTGATTTGGCGTGAAGCGTGAGTGGCGATCGTGGCGGTGGACACGGGCATGTTTATTCCAGACTCGCTGAGGAGCTGCATGATTGAGACGGACGTCACGTCATACCTGCAGACACCATCCTCAGGACAGGTGCTTGTGCTCTTCTGCTACCAACCAGCTGAAACCCATATCATATGTAATTAACATAATGTCATTAACTCAATGATGTTGTAACTGGAAAGAGAACCGATAACACGCGTGAATTGCGTCCCACTCGACAATATGGGCAAATAGAAAGGAAGAGATTACGGGGTGGCTTTTTGGCCAGCAAAATGGGCCTAATTGAGATTTAATTGTCCCTAAATTCGCAATCAATGACAATCCCCATTTAGCTGGGTTTACACTGAGGCCGGAAATTTGAAAAGTATGTGCATGAAATGCATTCAATCACTGCGTTTTTGCTCTTTATTCAACATTCATTCCGCCCAATTACTGATTAATGTTCAGTATTGATTGGGTGGGGGGTGAGACTATGCATGATTTAGGAGGAGACGGAATTTTGTCTGCATTTGATTTTGCCAGATTGCAAAAATGGATGGAAATCATTTTGCAATTTCCACGGGCTTTTTGCTTTTAACGATAGATTTTTCTCTCTCTCAAATTATTAATACTGATTTTTCTTCCTTTTTTTTCAAAAGTCAGGCCAAAATAAAATCACTGATTGCGAATTTATCTTGCTATGTTAAAAAGGACAAATTTTTGCCAGAAAAAGTGGGACGCATGACCACGTTTGACTGTTGTAACGCGCTGTAATTGTGATCCGTGTGTTTTGATTATCAATTTTTGACTGTGTACATAAACTTCTGTCTATCTCTTCTTTTTCATATATCATCTTTTTCCAAAACACACCAAAAAAGAAAATAAGAGAAGACGTACAAAATGTCAACGTCTGACGATTTGTAATTTGCATTGCAGTGACACTGTTTAATTGATTATTCTAAATTCGATGTCTGTAGGGTCGGATTCGCGATTTGCATTTGAGTCACGTCTGGACAGTGTTTTGACCCACTATTTAATGCACTTTTTCGCATTTGATTGTGCATTCTGTGGCCGAAAAATGATGGAATTTCCGAGATTTGTCACGTTTTCCTTAAGAGTTTCACCTGCATTTTGCAGTGAAAGAACTCACGTGCGATATCGACTGGAGATATCAGAGCTAAACAAAGTGAATTTTCTATCAATTCTCCCCTCCTCACGCACTTGAATCGATTAACAACGCCTTTTTTGCATGTTTTGTACCATAATTTCACTTTGCTATAATTGTTGCATGCGCTTTACTCGTTTTTACAAGCATATTTCTCGCTTCAAGTATATCTTTACCAGCTTTTAGTTTCTAACAATCAAACATGGCGGAGGGGAGAAGTAACTTGATGACTAAATCGACTAAAACAAGATCCTGATCCCACAAAATCCTTCTCCAAATGCTTTTTTCCACGCTACTTAACAATATTACTCTTATTTCTATATTTATTTTCACTAAAAATCTATCAATGTTTAATTGTTTGTTACTTTTGGGTGTCTCTCTGTCTGAACTGAACACACTATTCGCCATTATTGACTAAATGCTGAATGTTTTTGCAATGGCGCGACATCGGGACATCACGGCTGACCACGTCAGGATGAATTTCATCCCTTCATTGAGGCCCTCCTGCCATTTGTTAAGTCATTTTCATACACATGGTTCAACTTGCAAGCGGCGAAAAGGAAGTACTACAAGAAGCATGAGAAGAAGATGTCCCTGGAGGAGGAGAGACACTGCAAAGATGAACTGCAAGTGAGTGCAGCTGTTTACAACCAACTCTTGTCTTGACCACTCAACGGTTTTTATCTCTAATTGTGGCCATATAGAATGAAAAGGCGGAGGTGAAGCAGAAGTGGGCCTCCAGATTGCTGGGCAAGCTCCGGAAAGACATCACGCAGGAGTGCAGGGAGGACTTTGTGCAGAGCATCACAGGCAAGAGGCAGTCGATATGTGTGCTCTCAAATCCGGACCAGAAGGGCAAGATGCGGCGGATCGACTGTTTGCGGCAGGCGGACAAGGTGTGGCGGCTGGATTTGGTCATGGTGATCCTTTTCAAGGCCATTCCGCTGGAGAGCACGGACGGAGAGCGCCTGGAGAAGAATCCCGAATGTACAAAGCCCGGCCTGTGTGTCAATCCCTACCACATCAATGTGTCTGTGCGCGAGCTGGATCTCTACTTAGCCAACTTCATCAACACCCACGAACCACTCAGTCCACCGATCTACAGCAAAAAGGACGACGAAGGCAAGCGCAAAGGTCCGTCGACGTTGCACCCTCGTTCGTCACCTTCACCTCGATTTATCTTTCCAGAGTCTCCATCCACGGGATTCACCCACAATCCCTACAATGGAGTCGTTTGCAATGACATCATCCTCGCCACAGGCGTCTTTTCGTCGCGCGAGCTCTGGAAACTGTCCAAAGGTCCGTCACCTGAGCTGATAGGAAAGAACAGAGCAAGTATGGTGCCTCGATATGCTAATGATCCATTCTTATCTTCAGGCTCCATCCTGGATGACACCGGAGACGGATCTGGAGCCATCCAGAGCAATACTAACAGCATCAAGATGGAGAACTCCACGCCTTACTACTGCAACAGCTACAGCCTGGCCTCTGCGGCCCCCACTCAGGGCCCCTCCATGGTCGTATCCAGCGGATACAGTGAGTAGCCAAGCATGCGCCATTCCGCATTGACTGATGTCTCACTTTATATCTTCTCCAGTTGACCTGGTGGATCCTCGGGCGATGCATCTGTCCAATTCGCCCCTGCTTAGGGGTCAGAAGAACGATGCCTGCTCCTCGCCGCCGGACGCTTCGAACAGCTTCCCGGTGATTCTGAGATCGGGAGAACAGCTGGGCTCCGCCACAGGCAATGCACTGCACAACTCCCTTCCCCTGCAGCGCTACTCAGCCCATCCCAGGCTCGTCACTGTTGGCCAGGCACGTCCAGATGATGTGATGATGTCTCACGGTGCCATGGGAACGGCGCCGGCCACGTCGGCTGCGACAGCCTTCTACCAGCACAGTCCCGGAGATGCGTCTGAAGTGGCGCACGCCGAGCACCACCAGCCAGAGCACGGGCACAAGTATCCAGAGAATGGGCACGATACGCTGTCGGACTTCGTGACGTTCGTCTGCCAGGAGGCCGAGAACTCTCCACAGCAGGTGCAGCAGGTTCTGTCCAGGAGTCCCAAGCCTCAGTACTCGCAGTACAGCTCGATGTTGCCACCGCCTCCACTCCCGCCCATGGCGCGTCCCGTAGCCATTATCCGGTCCACGGGGGACCTTACGATGATCACCTCGCCGCCGTCATCCATCACGCCGCCTGTGGCCGCGGCGCTGTCGTCGCCACACCAGGAGCCAGAGTGCGCCACAGCGGCTGAGATTGGGTCTTCGCCGCCGCTGAGTCCACAGCTGGAGGCGTCGGCCAGGAAGGGACTCACGCGCATCTCCAGCCCTTACTCATTGGGTCGGGAGTACGCGTTCAACCACTTCCACAGTCAGCCAACGCAGCTGTTCAGCTACACCGGTCAGACGGCCGCCTCGTCCACCATGTCGGGCGTGATCAGCCCCACCAATCTCAGCCTCTACTCCTCTCCGGTCACCACGCCGCGCACCACCTCGCGCTCTCGCTGGAATGCGCCCTTCCTGCTGGAGGAGGACTTTGGCATGATCACACATCCGGTGTCCAACAACACGCCCGAGGCCAACACGGTGATCCTCATGGAGGAAGGTGAGCAACTTGAGTGGGTTTACATTTTCCTCGTGCTACAATGAGATGTTTTTTTCCTTTTCCCTCCGTCCAGATCGCTTCTTCCAGCAGAGCACAACGTCCGTGGACGTGATCGACAACACGGGTCACGGGATCATTGCGCGCGATCACGGCGTGACGTCAATAAACGCCGGCGTGGACGCGAACGTGTCAAAGGGTGAGAACGTGCTCATCTCGCCCAAATCTGAAATTCTGTAGTGCTGCTGATGGACTCCAGGAGACGCCTAAGGTAATGTGCCTTAGTTCTAAACACACACACAGTCATTGAAATGGGAAAAAAGTGAGATTTTAAGTGCGCAACGGCGCACATTTACAACTATAGTGAATGACTTTCTTCCAATATTTAAGCGCATGTAAAGAAAATTGAGGTGTGATTTCCTCGCGGAAGTGGAATTGTTATGTGGTCAACAATTCTTCGGTGAAAACAATAAGTTTATTTGTGATTCCATTGAAGAGCAATAATTGAAGAGTTTTTAACACATTAAGTGAGAAACAGCAAAATACTCTCTGTAGACAAAGAAAAGCTAACTTAAATACTCAGAAAAAAAATGTAATCAAATAATCTCCTTCAATTTGAAACATAAAACATAATTATATAGAAATAATTTTGTGCTTCCACACTTTGAGAAAGAGAATTATTTCAACTCCCCCTTCTTCGTTTCCCTCAAACAAGAAAAAAAACCACTGGTCAATAGAATTGAATGACACGGAGAAGTGAAACTAGAGCTAATCCTATATAAAGCATTAAAAACTCTACACGAATTGAGAGAGATTGTAAAAATTATGGTGCAAGAAAATATATTTAAAATATAAGTGAAGAAAAAATATTACACAATAACTGATTAATATATTTACAACAACAAAAAAAAATCGTAAAAAACCCTAAGGTTTAGAATTGTTAAATACGAATATTTAAAGAAGGAAAAAAAATTACACTGTAGACTATTAACACTTTGTAAGGTAGACTTTACACCTTTAATTACTCTTTACGGTCCTTTCTTGAGTGAAAAGACGAGGAAACTATTAAGATGAAAAGTGGTCAATAATTTAGAATTTTTCGCATATAGTTTAAAAAGGAGAATAAAAAAGAAACGTGGGAAAAAAAACAATTACCGAAAGGAAGCATTAATTAAAATATATAGCCAAATATTGCCTTGTAGACTTGGTCAAAATATTTATACATTAATATATTTCGAAAAGAGGAAGAGAAGAAAATATTACAATAACCATTTACACAATACACAAGTTAGAGGATATATTCAGAAAGAAAAAAAAAAACGGTGAAGGAGAAAAAACAGAAAATATTCAACGAAATGAGAGAAAATGACAAAAAGTATTTTAGGACGATGAACAGAGAAAAGTACCTCGCTATTTTTCGTAAGAAGAAGTGTGGAGAAGTAAGGAAAAAAATACACTAAATAACAAATTTGTAGATTGTGTCAATATTTTTATTTCTGATTTTGAAAGAATTTCTGTTTGGCAAAATATTTTCTCATGATGACGGAAAAAAAGGAATTTAACGAAGTAAAAAGAATTTTCAGACAATAATTCACACCATAAAGTCAATACAGAAATGATTTTTTTTGCGCAAGAAAACTTGTGTTTGTCAATTTTTTTCAACAAAAAAAAAATTCGCCAATATTCTTAGATAAACTTTAAGAAACAGTAAAAGAAAAACCATGCAGAAAAACAGCGCTCAAAACATTATTTTCTCTCTTTCGTCAAAAGTGGAATAAAAAAGAAACTTCTTATTGAAATTATATAAAAAGCTTCGAGAAGTAAAAAATTGAGAGAAACGAAATACGGAAAAAATACTTAATAATTATACACACAATTATAAAGACTGCTCAATATATTTAAACTCTTAAAAAAGAAGAAGAAGAAGAAAAAACGGAAGAAATATTGTAATAAAAAGTGTAGAAATGAGAAAAAGAAGCTTCACTAGAAGGACAAGAAATCGTTGCCAAGTTTAGGAATTAATTTCGCACATTGAATTTATCGAGGAAAATCTGGTCAATTTTCCTCCACAGCCAGAAATTTTTACATCCATTGATTACACAAACTTTGTAATCCAATTTCTGTAGCTGCACAAAAACTCTCGGTGATTTTTCTGTTGACTTTTCGCCAAAAACAAAGTCAGAAAACACCTCAGAAAGTGGTCATTTTGAGGTGCGCGCGCATGCTTTTCGCGTGAAAACTCTACGAAAAATCACCCGAAATTTAGTCATTTTTTTTATTTAAAGAATTTGTAAATTATTTTCTATAGGTGAAATTAGTTGAATCGCGAAGGAGAATTCTCAAGTAGAGCGTAAGAAGTTGATGATAATCCCAAGAAAAAGGTCCTAGAGAAGAATGCATAACAAAAAACCCTTAACTTGAAAACCAAATTTACCAAGGAAAAAAAAAACACGGAGAAACGAAAAAAGTGCCAAGCGCTAAATAGGTTGTAGTTTAATAAATTCATACTCATTAATTTAAAAAAAAAAGAAGAAGAGAAGGAACTTAATTACCCAATGTGATGGTCAAATTAGGAGATATTTAGTGACAGAGAGAGTCGAAGAGCGGAAGAGAAATAATATTGCTTTGTTATTGAAACTCAATTACTAGGAATTTAAAGGGTGGAAAAGGTGGTCAAATCAAAATTCTCACGAGAATCAAAACAAATTCGGTCAAAGGTCATTTGAAAACGCCCCAAAGTCGCGCAGAGGTAAATAAAAATTCAAGATGAATATAGAAGAAAAAAAGCCTTTCAATTCCAGTCACGCAAGTCAAATTTATTCCTTCTCTCAACTTCGAGTGACAAGAGTTTGCCGAGACGCACGCGAAGGACTTCACTCATTGTCCTCCTCGTCGTCATCATTGGAACTGATCCGGAAGTAGCGCAGCTCGTACGACTCCTTCTCATTGGACACCACGCGGATCCAGTCGCGCAGGCTGTTCTTCTTCAGATACTTCTTCGTGAGGTACTTGAGGTACTTCTTGGAGAAGTGAATATCCGAGTTCACGAACACCTTCATCTTCTGCCGCTCCATCGTCACATTCGTGCCCAAATTGTTCACCTTGCCATTCACCTTGAAGCGCTCCATCAAGTATCGCTCCTGCAAGACACCAAACAGGAAGGAAAGACGTTAGAAATCTCATATTAAAGCATTGCGAGTAGCGAAAAAGGAAGTAAAAGGGATTCGTTTGATCACAGGATTGGAAATTCTTTGATTGGTACAAAAAGAGACCGAAATATTAACAAAATACAGGATTTTCCTGTGAAAGTAAAGTGACGAAATATAGAAAAGCATAAAATTGATTATTTAAAAATTGATATTTTCATCACAGTTTCATTAAAAAGCTTCCTTTGCTCACTAAATTAACTCTTATATGTCGATAATCCTTCAATTATCCCCCAATTCTGGGCACAATAATCCAATTTCGGAATTGTCGGAAGAGAAAAGAACAACAGATGAAATCAGATTACTCACAAAGTCCGCCACATCCATGATGCTGTCCTCCACGATGTTCGTGCAGTCGATGCCGTAGCGCAGTTGCACCTTCTTCTTCTTCAGCCCCTTGCCGCGCAGCAGCTGTTTCTTCGTCACTTTGCCGGCCTTGCCGGTGGCGGCGGCGGCGGCCGACACCACGCTCTTCTTCTTGGGCTTGGCAGCCTTCGCGGCGGCGGGCTTCTCCGTCTTGGGCTTCTCGGCGGCCTTGGGCTTGTCCTCCTTGGCCGGAGCGGCCGCTTTGGGCGCCTCAGCCTTCTTGGGTGCCTCGGTCTTCTTGGGCTCGGCGGCCTTCTTCTCCTCCTTGGGCTGTGGCGTGGGCTTCTTGGCGGCGGGCGCGGCAGCAGCAGCTGGGGCGGCTTTCTTAGCAGCCGCCTTGGGTTCCGCCTTGGCCTTCGCCTCCGCCTTGGGTTGATCCTTCGACGGTGCGGCGGCCTTCTTCGTGGCGGCGGGCTTCACTGGCTCAGCACCAGCCTTGGCGGCTCCCGCTGGCTTCGTCACCTTCTCAACCTTAGCCGCTGTGGCAACTTTCGCCTTCGCATCCTTGGTCTTCTTTTCCTCCGTCACTTTCTTCTCCACTTTCGCAGGCGCGGCGGGTTTGGCCTCCTTCTTGGGCTTCTCGGGGGCCTTCGATGTGCCCCCTTTGTCAGCCTTCTTGGCGTCTGGCTTGGGTTTTGCCTGAAATAGCCACAAAAGCACATTAGCACTGTTCCCCTGTTCAATGTGTGAGGTTATGTTTACACCGATTGTCTGCACTTTTCTGTGAAAATAACTAGAAATCACACATTCTCCTATCGATTCCTGCACAACAATTAGTCACAACAATTTCCTGGATAAGAAGTGACCGGGAAATCATTGCAAAACCCGCAATATTTACGTGAAATAAAAAGGTATACAAAGCACGAACACCCTCACAGAACCATCAAATATCTCAATCATCCGTCGATTTTTTCGGAAAACTCCACGGGATTTTCACAAATCAAACATCGGAGAGTAGCATTTTCACAGAATATTGCAGCAAATCGACGCTGATGGTGTGAAATAAGGTCATTTTTGGGGAAACTTACAGATGGTGCCATGTTTCTATGTGGCTTTCAGCGAAAAAGGAACTGTCAAGCGCTGTCAAATATGACGTCACACACTTCTTCACAGCGATCGCAGCGCAACTAGTTGCAATTTCAGGTGTGATTTGGAATAGGAAAAATAAACCATTAATTCGTTGGAAGCGTTGACAGGAAGAATAGGGAGAAAATCAATGTGGGATATGTGAAAAGTTAACAAAGCCAATTACAAGAATGATTCAAGAAAGCCTCTGATTGTGTTATGAACTAAACCTTGGAGGACTGATTAATCGCAAGTTGCCACCGATATGTTTCAAAATAATAAGAACAGAATAAACATCAAAAGTTTTTTTTGCGAGAAACTCTTTTATTGTGTTATAAATCTTTTTATATTATGTTTCCAAAGAATAGTACATCAATTTTTAATGATCACTTATTCAAAGATCTCCTTGAGAATAACATTGGCGATGCAGTGGTAGAATTCGCCAGAAGCCTTGCATTTGCCTTCGCCAATCTTCGGTTGGCACGTTGTCATGAATTCCTCAATACGGCCGGGAAGCACAAAATCATTGAGTCTTCCTTTGAAATTGTCGACCTGGAATACGTAATCTGCATTCACGATGCCAACTTTCTGCGACACACAATCTGCAAAGCAACTCCATTTGCCCAAAGCGCCGATAAAGTTGCCTTTCTGCACTTCCGTGGCCACATCCGAAGTCAGTCCAATCTCTGAGACGCACGGTAAGCCTATGTCGATGATTGCCTTGGACAGTTGAGCCTTTGTCGGGGCGAAGAAGATGAGAGAGAATCCCAGGAAGGCGAGGAAGAACTTCATTTTCACTTGAGTTAGCTTTTTAAAATGTTTCTCGATTGAAGACTGATCTAGAACTGTGAGATTCTCCAGCGAAATTCTAACCTTTTATAGGTAAATGTTTACTTCGGTAAAAAGGTTTTTGCTTATCAAAATGATAATAGTCATTTTGTGTATCACACGTTGTGACTTGAAGGCGGAAAAAGAGTCTAATGAATTCGTACAGTGTGAATTTGGGACGTGAAAAAGTCTCCTTTAATCGCTTCTAGGTCAGTCTTACACCTTCGCAGGGGCGAAATGACTGAGAGAAAATGAAATAATTGGCCTCGCCACTGAGATTTTACTATTTCTTCAGTCACCACAATCAAATGCTTAGCAATGGGATTATTTAGAATCTAAATTTCCAGGGTTTTTGATAAAAAAAAGGGACTCAGTTGATAGATAAGCAGGACTTGAAATCTATTCGCGAAGCTGAATATCGCTAATTGCCTCCAAGGAACCATTGTTTGTGACAATTTGAAGTGGCTGTTTTGTAGCTAGACCCTAAGATCTTACTTTCGTATAAAAAAGAATAAAAACCGAGCCCACGTTTTTACGAGATAATGGTGTATAGCAATGCTGCCCCATCTTCCTCTATTATTCAAAATACTGATATTATAACGCATAAATACTGCTAAATTCTTTTTATTAATCTCTAAAACATTCTACGTGTGAATCTCAATTAGATTTTTACATTCTTTTGTCGCTTAACCAAAAATCTCCTTGAGAACAATATTGGCGATGCAGTGATAGAATTCGCCGGAAGCCTTGCATTTTCCTTCGCCGATCTTTCCTTTACACTTTCCCATGAATTCCTCAATGCGACCGGGAAGTATAAAATCTCCTAGTTGTTTTTGGAAATCTTTCGCCTGGAATACATAATCTGCATTCACAATTCCAACTTTCTGAGACACACAATCGGCAAAGCATCTCCATTCAGCCAAGGCGGCGATAAAGTTGCCCTTCTGCACTTGCATTGCAGCCTCCACGGTGAGTCCAACATCCGTGACGCAAGGCACAGCGATGTCCATAATCGCCTTGGACAGCTGAGCCTTAGTGGGGGCGAAGCAGACAAGAGACAATCCGAGGATGACGAGGAAGAACTTCATTTTCACTTGAGCAGATATAAAGATGTTGCTTAACTGTAAACTTGATTATAACTGTGTGATTTTCCTGCGAATTTCGCGCATTTTATATACCGAGAAGTTAGCGAAAAACCAGGGTAAAAAAGAGTCTTTTTGCTTTATCAAAATGACAAACGTAATTCTGTGTTTCACATTTTTTTCTATTTCTTTTGTCGTCACTGCATAAAATGCTTTGCAATAAAATTTGCAGGAATCTGTTCTTGCTAAGGAATAACTCATTAATTGTATTTAATCGGTGGTAAATATTTTATTGAGTATTTCAGCCAATTCTCGTGGCAAAAGTCCTGTTTCCACAACTCATTCCAGAATTTACACGACGTAATATGGAAAAGGCGCCTGGAATTTTCTTCTTAATAAATAATAATAATCACATAACTCTTGAGATCCTTTCTGGTTACGCGCGCGCGCGTCGTGGCGGCGCTCACATCGCTGAGAATGCGTGGCAAATTCACCACCAAAATATCCCCACATCTGCCTCTCTCTCTCACATCGCACTCTCCCTCTCACTCGTGGGCTTATTTGTCATCGATTGAGTTTTCCTTTCTCTGGTGTTTTCCAGACAAATTCCTTGGCGTGTGAAAAAGTGCTTGGGGCATTCGCGAGGGGCTCCAACGCGTGAATCCGAGTGTCTGTGGGGCGCCAAAGGTGTGCTCCGAACGTGATCAAGTGACTTTTTCTCCCCCATTTCTCTCTTGGACGTCCAACACACTAATCAGCCACCATGTCGGGGAACTTGGGCATGGAGCAACTCATTCCCATCGTCAACAAGCTCCAGGATGCATTCACGCAGCTGGGGGTGCACATGCAGCTGGACCTGCCCCAGATCGCCGTGGTGGGTGGCCAGTCGGCGGGCAAGAGTTCCGTCTTGGAGAACTTCGTGGGCAAGTAAGTGACGACGCGGCCCCATTTCGCCCACTTTTCCCACCCACACACGCCCCATTGGGGCGTCAGGGGGCTGTGCAGTCGCCATGGGAGCTGTTTTGCAGGCGCCCAAGGCACTGTGCAGCGATGCAAAGGCTGCACAAAGACGTCTTCGACATGGCCTTGGAGGCGCTCTGGATGCAATTTCCGGAGACACTCCCCGCACGACAATGGCGCCTCCGAGCGTCCGCCGCGCGCGATGACTCACGCCCCAGTGACGCCCTGAGCGCCCCCGAAAGTCCGTCAATTGCGTCGTGAAGTGGGGAAAAATTGCGAGGGGTGGGAAAATGTCCTCCACCCTCGCTTCCTGTGTTATACAACAGCGACCTTGATTCGATGACCCAATTTTGTGCTCTTCTCACGCCCTCTCTCGCCCTCTCTCAGGGATTTCCTGCCGCGCGGATCGGGCATTGTGACGCGTCGCCCGCTCATCCTGCAGTTGATTAACGGGAATGCGGAGTACGGGGAGTTCCTGCATCAGAAGGGCAAGAAGTATGGTGACTTCGATGAGATCCGGAGGGAGATTGAGGCGGAAACTGACCGGATCACGGGCAGTAACAAAGGAATATCAAACATTCCCATCAACTTGCGCGTCTACTCGCCCAATGGTAAGCGAACCATCCACAGAAGGGGGCCCAATTGGAGCCGTTAGCACTGTCAGAATTTGAGGAAGGAAAAGTACATTGCAATGAGAATTTCCCTGCACTGTTGCTGATAAACTCCAACACAATTTATCTCTCAGTCGAGCGGATGTGACAATGCAAGTGTGTGTGTGTGTGTGTGTTCACTTCAATCGCCCAACACTGTGCCCTTTGCACTTTTCTCGTCAATTGCTAATGAACTCTCTCTCTGATTCACCCTCTTTTCTTCTCTGCAGTGCTGAATTTGACGCTAATCGACTTGCCGGGCTTGACAAAGGTGCCGATTGGCGATCAGCCGGTCGATATTGAGGCGCAGATCAAGGCGATGATCTTCCAGTTCATCAAGAAGGAGACTTGCCTCATCCTGGCCGTGACGCCAGCCAATACTGACTTGGCCAACTCGGACGCTCTGAAGCTGGCCAAGGAGGTTGACCCTCAAGGTGAGACAGAACTCTGCGCGCCCCAATTTCCGCATCGATTTTCCAAGTCAGTGGCGAGATTTGCTCGCGAATGCGTGCTTTGACTGTCGCTGTGTCTTATCTTGAGGTCTTTTTGTTTCGCGAGAAAATGCCTTCGATGATATCACGGGGAATTGATACTACAAATTGGTGAATTCCTTCTAATTTCAGGCAATAAAATTGTGTTATCTGGCTTTTTGTGGGTTTTCTGTGTGTTGAAGAAGAGGAAGAGAAGAGAGCGATGTTTTGGGCTATTTTTGTGCTCTTAGTCTGAAGATTTTTAATGGGGTTTTTATCGCGGGCTTCTTGAGCTTCTTGAGATGAAATTGTTTATCCTCTGTTGCAGGCATTCGCACCATTGGTGTGATCACGAAGCTGGACTTGATGGACGAAGGCACAGATGCCAGGGACATTCTGGAGAACAAACTGCTGCCGCTGCGTCGCGGCTACATTGGTGTGGTGAATCGCTCGCAGAAGGATATCGAGGGGCGGAAGGATATTGGCGCCGCGGTGGCGGCGGAGAAGAAATTCTTCTTCAGCCACCCGTCGTATAGGCACATCGCCGATCGCCTCGGCACGCCGTATCTGCAGCGCACGCTGAATCAGCAGCTGACGAATCACATTCGTGACACGCTGCCGGGTCTGCGGGACAAGCTGCAGAAGCAGATGTTGACGCTGGAGAAGGATGTGGAGCAGTACAAGCACTTCAGGCCCGATGATCCCAGCATCAAGACGAAGGCGATGCTGCAGATGATCCAGCAGCTGCAGTCGGACTTTGAGCGTACGATCGAGGGCAGCGGCTCGGCGCTGGTGAACACGAATGAGCTGAGCGGCGGCGCCAAGATCAATCGCATCTTCCACGAGAGGCTGCGCTTTGAGATTGTGAAGATGTCGTGCGACGAGAAGGAGCTGCGCCGCGAGATCTCCTTCGCCATTCGCAATATTCACGGTATCCGCGTGGGTCTGTTCACGCCCGACATGGCCTTCGAGGCCATCGTGAAGAAGCAGATCGCGCAGCTGAAGGAGCCGGTGCTCAAGTGTGTGGATCTAGTCGTACAGGAGCTGTCGCACGTGGTGCGCATCTGCACGGACAAGATGGCCAGATATCCGCGCCTCCGCGACGAGACGGAACGCATCATCACGACTCACATTCGCCAGCGCGAGCAGTATTGCAAGGAGCAACTGCTGCTGCTCATTGACTTCGAGTTGGCGTACATGAACACCAACCATGAGGACTTTATTGGATTCGCCAAGTGAGTTTCAAAGGAAAAATTAGCTTTATTTCATCGACATTCCCTGTTAATTTTTCCTCTGTACAATTGACTCTGTTTTGTGTGTTTGCAGTGCTCAGAGCAAGTCTGAGAATGCCTCGAAGACGGGCACTCGTGCCATTGGCAATCAAGTCATCCGGAAGGGCCACATGTGCATCCAGAATTTGGGCATAATGAAGGGTGAGTTGCAAGTGATGGGAATTTGTGTGTGGGCAAGAAAGATGACGCGCATTTTCACTGTCTTTTCCAGGTGGCTCGCGCCCCTATTGGTTTGTCCTCACGTCTGAGAGCATATCGTGGTTTAAGGATGAGGATGAGAAGGAGAAGAAGTACATGTTGCCACTCGATGGGCTCAAGTTGCGCGACATCGAGCAGGGATTCATGTCGCGTCGCCACACTTTTGCCCTGTTCAATCCGGACGGGCGAAATGTGTACAAAGTGAGTGTTGATTTTGGGGTCACTTCAAGTCATTGATGTGATTGACTAACTCTGGGTTGTTTCTGTTCTCTGCGCAGGATTACAAGCAACTGGAGTTGTCGTGCGAGAGTGTGGACGATGTGGACTCGTGGAAGGCGTCATTCCTCCGTGCTGGTGTTTATCCGGAGAAGGACTCCTCCACGGCCAATGGCGATGAGGTGAGATACACTGAATTTACACTAATTTTCAATGCTGCAGAAACTTTTTGCCGACGGCATAAAAATGTTGAGATATTTATCAAATTAAATGCCTTTTAATTTCTTCTCCCTTGAATTACGATGTGTTGAAAAATGTGGCTTAGGGAGATGGACAAGAGGTTTGTTTCAAAATGCCTTTTTCGCAATTTCTCTCTCACATACACACACACGCCAGAAACACTTTCAATTCAATTTGTGAAATTTATTCAATTTATCCTTTTGGTTGTATATAAATTGAAATGAACAGTGACTTGTATTTGCGTCATCATTGCAACTAAAATCGTGGGATTGTTTTCTGTATTATTACATGCATATAATTACATATTTTTAATCAATTCAGAGTGTCTCAGTGTGTTTATTTTTCTCCTCTTTTACGCTAAATTTCCCTCCAGAGATTGAAGAATGTGTGATTGTTTCGGAGTTTACTCGTAGTTGTTCTCTTTAGATAACATCTCTCTCTCTCTCTCTCGGCGAATTACTAATGCTGTGTTTTCTCTTTTGCTGCACAACCCTTCGACAGAGTTCTGAGGATAATGAGACCAGCTCGCTGGATCCGCAATTGGAGCGTCAGGTGGAGACGATAAGGAATCTGGTGGACTCGTACATGAAGATTGTGACGAAGACAACACGTGATATGGTACCAAAAGCCCTCATGATGATGATCATCAACAATGCCAAGGACTTCATCAATGGCGAACTGCTGGCTCACCTCTATGCCAATGCCGATCAGTCGACGATGATGGAGGAGAGTCCAGAGGAGGCGGCCAAGCGCGAGGAGATGCTGAGGATGTACCATGCGTGCAAGGAGTCGCTGAGGATCATTGGCGACGTGTCGATGGCCACGGTGAGCACGCCAGTGCCGCCGCCAGTGAAGAACGACTGGCTCTCCAGCGGACTGGACAATCCGCGCCTGTCGCCGCCGAGTCCCGGCGGACCCAGGAAGGCCGTGCCGCAGCAGCAGGTGAGTTCAGTCGGTGGCAACTTGGGTTTGAGTGACTGTGTAATTTCTCTGTGATCTGCAGGGCTCTCTGGGTGGCGTTGGAGGCGGCGGACCGCCGGGAGGCATCAGAGGCCCGCATCCGCCGGCTGGCAGACCGGCGCCGGCCATTCCAAATCGCCCCGGCGGCGCTCCACCCTTGCCACAAGGGCGGCCCGGCGGCCAGGCTCTTCCCGCTCCGCTAATTCCATCGTGAGTATCCTTTTTCCCATCGTCTTATTGCTTTGCATGCCTCTAAGCTTTGACTAACACACGCTTGAAAATGCCTCGCAATGAAACTAGGATGATTGATGATAAAAAATGGTTTATGAATTTTCAGGAGGCGTTAAATACACTAACTAAAATGCATTTATCTAACAAAGTGGGAGTGAGAAAGAGAGGAAATCATAAAATAACAATTAATCGCACTGCATTCTGTTGGTAGTTTAATATAGAATTAACATGAGAAAAGACGAAGAAGCTGATGATAATGATGAGATATTATTGGGAGAATTAAGTGCTGAAGAAGTGTTTTGCTTTGTATAGTGAAGAGGAAAATACAATCTATAAATATAAACAAATATATTTTGCTTGAAATGAGAGTTCAAACGAGTTCTTTTCCCCTTCTAAAATCACTCACAAAAAAGAAACCAATTAAACTGTTGATAAAGTGACAAAAGAAGTATAATGAAAATTAATCATAGAATATAATATGAAGAGTTACTGAAGAGAGAAAAAGTGGAATTTAGAGAGAAAGATATATATATATTTAGATGTAATTTTCAAATAGCAATTAACCATTGAGGAGTGGCTAAAATTGATTTATGAGAGACAGGCTAAAAGAAAAACCGATTGGTGTCTAAGCAAAAAAAAAAAAGAGGAAAATCTTTCATCTCTACATGTAATATTTGTGTGTTGAAAAAAAAAAGAAAAGCTATTTTAACTAAATATTCAAAAATAAAACATTAAAGGAAAAAATTCAATTCTAAGTGGACAAATATTCGATGAAAAACATATTTTTTACATTTTTACACGACATGAAGACATGTAAAAATTTGCCTTTGCGCTCAATGGACGGCGAATTTTGGTTATTTTTGAATTTTTGTAAATTGTGAGTTCGAATCTGGATGAGAATTTTGATTTTTTTTTAGATTAATTTCCATTGTTTTCTTGTACCTAAAATATTTTTAACAACATAAATGAATCAAATAATGGTTGAAAATTAATTGATGAGCTGTTAAAGAGGCGGTAAATATGAATTTGCACTGAGATTTGAATTTATCATGTTTTCTTTACTCATTATTCTGTCGCTTTCTTTGTAAATATTCTTATGCAGCAATCAAAAGATATTTACTTCGTTCTTTTTTTTTATTGAAAATTTCCTTTAATTTTTCACTGTTATCCTAAATTGAATAAAATTGTAAAATTGACGCAAAGGCTGTTGACACATTTCACCCACCAAAAAAGTAAACATTCCATTGAGACACTGAATAAATAAAGCATTCTAATGCTCAACAATTTTCTGTGCTTTTTGTGACAAAAAAAAAGGATGCAATGTAATTAATCACACAATTAACCATGAAATTAACACAAATGGCGATTAGAAGTTGTTGTACAAAAGGAGGAAAAGTGCGAATTATAGAGTTAGAGTTTGTTTTATCCTGAGGCAATTCTGAGCAATTCTGGTTAATTCTAATGTGGATAATTTTGCACATGTAGTCGGCCTGGCGGCGGAGGACCTCAAATTCCTGCCCACATGCGTCAGCAGGTGAATCAGGCCGTTGGCCAGGCTGTCACCAATGCGGCCATCAATGAGCTCTCCAGCGTCTTTTCCAGCAAATTCAAGTAAAGCGGCGCCGAAGACATCTCACGAGACACACAGAAACACACACACACTTTTCTTATTAGAGTAGCGTTTAATGCAGGAGAGATTTGATGGAAAAGGAGGGAATTTACTTTGCAAATGCAATGATTTTTTTTTTATTATGATTAATAATATTATTTGAAAAATGATATTTTGTATTATTGAGAGAGTATGATTAGAGTTGGTGAAAGTGTGAGTTAGAGAATGAATTGATTTTTCATTGATAATTAAATTTAATTAAAGAAAAAAAAGAGAAACACAGACAAAATACACTGAAGATATAATTAAAAAAAAATATAAACGTTCCATATATTAAACTTGAATAAGATGATAAAATGAATTTAGAATTGTATTAAAAGAGAAAGTCTTGCAATATTTCATGTGTTTTTTTTTCTTCCTTTAAATTATAGTTTCATTTTCGCATTAGGACGCAAAAATGCTTAGAATTTTCAACAATTTATCCTTCTTTTCAATTCAATACCAAAGTTTTACTGAGATTCTTTGAAAGAGAAAAGCATTTGTATTTTTTTTCTAATTGTTTTTCAATAAGTTTTTATTTCTACCGCTTCTTAGAGGAAAAGTGAGTAAAAAAAGGCGCGAAATTTAATATTTGTTTTTTTTTTTACTCAACAATTATTATTTGCACAGAAAAAAAGTAACAAGAAAATCAATGTAAAACTAGTTGAGAAGAATGCATTGCTGAAGGTATTTTTCCAGTTCTTTCAAAATTGTAGATGCAAAAAGCAGAGAATTATATTGAATGTTAGTGTCCTAAAAGAGAAAAAAAAAATAGAGAAAGAAGAGCATAAATTATAAATTATAAAGCGTAATTTTAAGTTAATAAAGATGAGAGAAAAAATATCGGAATTAAAATTTTCAAAGTGAAATCTTAAATTATTCGGTGTCTAAAATTGAAAATGATGAAGAGAAGAAGCACTAAGAATGGAAATTCTTGCTCCTTAGCCTGTGCACAAAGTTATATCCTCTCATATCAGGATAGATATGCAATTTACGCCCATCATGTACATAAATCCCCCAAAAAAAGAAGAAATTCTTCGGCTCACAGCAGAAGAGAAAAACATCAACGAAAAGTCCTCATGAGTTCATTCATTTCCTCGGTGAATCTTAATGTGCATTTTTGAAAGTAAAACACCTCATTTAAAGTGTAAAATCCAGCAAAAACTATGGAAAAGAGCAAAAAGATTTGTTTTCATGACGAGCAAAGAGAAAAGAGGAGAAAATCACAAGACAAAGAAGGAAGTATTGGAATGGTGTGTAAAATAGAAGCGATTCATGAAAGCCCCAACAAAGAGAGAATATAATTAAATTAATTATTTTTCTGCTTACAGAAAAAAAGAAAAAACATGAAGAAGATAAAATATATAAGAAATCATATATAAACTTTGTTGCTGATAAAAGAAAAATGAAGAAAAACATGTAAGAGACATTGTTAGTAGAGAAATAAATGAAATAAAGATGAATAGAATCATTAGAAGAAGTACTGATTTATATAAGTCAAATCTTCGATCTTATTTTCGCCCTTTTCTGCCGATTTTATTGAATAAAAGAAGATTTTCTCGCATGTAATTGAAGCAGCAGCAGCGCCCCCTGCGTTTGGGGAATTATTACTGTACATCACAGACTCAAACCTAAGGTCAAAATTCAATTTTCATCTTATCTTTAAGATGAAGCGCCGACGTTATTCTTTTCAGCGAATCGTCGATGTTGAATCTCTTGCCATCTTCAGCAGTACCATGTGCAGCACACTGGCGAGCAGACTCGTCGCGGAGAATCCAATCCAATGTCTTTGTTACCTGAGCCAGAGCACGAAGTGCAGAGAAAGAGCGGCAGCAAAACAGCTTGTATGTTTTTATCTTCATGTCGTGCAATCCAGTTTCGTTCGCAGGCTTTTGAAAGGATGAAAAAACGACTACGAATGCAAAAATTGTAGCTTTTCCATTTTGGTTTCAATTTTGGACTTGAATCTAACATTCATTTGTAGAATTTTTCAATTGGAATATTAAGAAATGCGTCTCTTTACTTTGAGGGCTGATTGAAGACTGACTCAAGATCGTCTTTCTATTCTTTGATTGTTTATTATTTACTCTGAATTATCGTGACATCGTCAGCAGTTATTTCTGTTACTGGTATCAAATTCAGTGGCCACTCTAGTTTATCTTTGGGCTGATTTATCAGTTCACAATAAATCTAGAATTACTGAACTTTTGTTGCAAAGTTTCTTCGGATATCATGAAATGTTTTTTTTGTCTTTGTTCTCATTCTTGATGTCGAACATAAAACAAGGAATCAATTCACAAAGACAGACATCAGTAATTACTCATTAAATGAGCAGACGCTGGAATATGGACAGAAAATTGGTGCTAAGAAAGTCCTGAAAGTCGATTTATCATGTTTCAAAGTCAAAATCGAAAAGGTAATTGTCGAAAATGGATGTGAAATAGTCCAAAATATCAGTATTGAAAGCATTCTTCGGCAATTGAGGGCTCTTTCGGTGGGAACAAGAGAAGAAACCAAGAGAATAGCATTCTAATAAACCTTAATAAGCATGCCTCAATTATTAATTGGTGAGTCAAAGGAATGATTTTTGGGATGGTGGAAATGTTCTCAAATCATTTAGTGCTCCAATTCGACTCTCCTGCATTCGCGCTTCATCTTTTTTGCCCCCGCGAGAATCTTCCCATTCTCTTCGCTGATGAATGTAATCACGAAAATCAACATGATATTGCGATAAAAACTGATTCGATTGATGAAAGGGAGTTTTGAGGAGGAAAAGAATGGAAGATAGTGGACGGCATCGTAAATTATAACTCAGAGCAACATGAAACGTTGATTTAACTTGTCGATATATTCTCCCTGCCTTTCCTCGAGCGAAGCAATTTTAAATTGATTACAGACCGCAATGAGACCATCGAAGGGACTTGAATTTCAAGAACCCCGGCGAAAGAACATGCAAGAAGCACAGGAGAATATTTACGAGAAATATTTACTCAACATTCTCTTTGTGCGTCTTTTTTTCCATCTTCTCTCTTCGCGTCCATTCTTCCTCCGGATCGCGGGCTTGGAGAGAACTTTGGCCCAAGCTTAATACTACATTGATGATGATCCAAGCGTCAGTGAGTCTGAGATTGCGCGCTCTCTTGCTCTTGTGTCGAATCTCGATGGAATTCTCAAGTGTTGCGAAATCATGCCGTAATTTATGTATTTGCTGAAAGGGTCATAACAATTCATCAGGCTCGCCTTGACACGTTTATTATTTTGTGGTTACTTTGCACCTTACATGTATAGCGAAATTTTTGAGATGAAATAAACAAGGGGGAGATAATTATGATTAACCTGAAACGTTCAAATTTACCTGCAAAATACTTCCAGGTCTTAATCTTCCAACACTGTTTGTGAAAGCTCTCGTAAATTTGCCATTTAATGGATCTCTTAAGCTTCCATTCGACTTTTCTCTCAAAATTCCTCTTCAAATCATTTCTTATGTGTTCTTGACAAATCTAGGAACAATTTTTAGGTTGGATTTGCAATGAATTCTTCATTGGTATGAAGAAGGCACAAGTTTTGTCGCCAAGAGAAGAACTTAGTGGATAGTTCTTTTATATAGTTTGAATATTATGTACTCTGCTAACGTAAGCATTGATGTTTGACCCAAGGAGCGATTCTTGTTTGTAATTAACGCCTCTTATATAAGTCATTTTGTTGTCGTTATAGCCAGAGAATGTGATGAAGAAACTGGATTCTAATTGACAAAATTAGCAAGAAATTGAAATAAAATTCCAAACTATGAATTCAAATATATAAATTATAATCGAGATTGGTGACTAATAAACAACATTTTTAATCTTGTCGCCAGAGATGTGAGATTCTGGCGATCGCCTTTTGGCTCCTTCCTTTGCCATCAAGAGCGCGCGCTCAAGAGTGGTAGCATGAAAACCAATGGAAAAATCAACAGAACGCGATGGCAACTGGTCTTCTTCTACCAATCTCACTCTGTTGCTCGCAATAAAACACGCGTGAGAGTTGAAAAATCGCAAAGAACATGAAGCTAATCTTCTGGCCAATCTCGCGCATTCGACAATTGCTTGGGCAACTTTATTTATTACATTATTTCAGTGTATAATTGCTGCGATATCTGTGCATTATCTCCTCGCGCGTCAGCCAAACTAACAATCTAATGATAGTGATTGGCTTGACGTCACTCGTCCACTCGGAATAATCTGCATAAGTTGCCGCGGAATATTGTGTATGGTTTCGCTGTGGTGACATATTCTCAAATTTCACCTGAGAGCGCTTGTGGTCAGGTGGCCAGAAGATCAGACGCGCCAGTGTCAAATGCTCGATGGCTCTTGGTGCGAAACGAGGCCACGAGAGTTGCTGGAGTTGTTTAAATAATTTGGCATTTGTGTGTAAATTGCGCTAGGCTACGCAAGTGTCGGACATGAATTTCCATAAATAATTTATTGACTTTATTGGCGTGGGAACGCGCGCGCTTTTGGCCCGCCGAACAGTAGGTGAAGTGAATGTCCAATTTCACATTATATGCGCTGACTTTTCTTCGCTGGGCGCACACGTTTGGCAGATGTCTTCACTTTGCGGCGTGCCTTATGGCCAGCGGAGGTCGTTGATTTGTTGTTCTCCGCCACTCTTAATTATCACATATTCGTGATTTATCCATGTGAGTCGCAAAGTGGAGGAATAATTGTCACCAAATGAGCACGCGATGATTTGCGCTGTGTCTTTCCATGTTGCAAATGAATGAACAAGTACTTTGGCATATGAGATATGTTCTAGAGATTTATAGGCTGTGAAATCACCTTTCCAAATCTGCATCACTTTTGGAAATCGGATAAGAACATTGGAAGATATGGCCAGATATATGATGGAATGCAGAACATCTCAAAATTGACACTCAAAAATTGTATAATTTTATTAACAATAATAGTGATGAACACAGATTTGTGGAAGCTTGAATTGAAGATGGAAAACAGGCAAAAACACTTGGCAAGAAAATGTCTTCTTCCATCATCGGCTAATGGATGAAAAGAAACACCAATCAAGAGACAACAGAATATTTTATGTGATGTTGCAAATTGCAAATAATCAACTAATGCTTTTAAACTTGACTTGGTAGAAGATATACGATGCAGACCTTCTTCTGCTAAAACATCTTCCTGTATTATGGATTCCACATTAATCATATATACCAGTTTGATATGTTGCAGCAAATTTATCATGGCCTTATTAGAGCCGGCAATGCTTCCCGTCGTGGTGGATTCCTGAGGAAAAATCACAGTTTTGCCAAACTGAAACTCTCCTCGACAGGCTCTCGGGGGAATTAATTGGCTCAAAGAATTCGAGTTACAACATCAAACAAACTCCATTCAGATTGTCACAGCATTTTCCCTCCTCAACATTGCAGCTCGGCGAGCAGCGGCAGAGAATGTCGTGAAACCGAGCAATTCGTCTGCCTTTAATTTTTCAGCCTTCCACACAAGATAAGCCCCGCACTATCTCTCATTTGCTGCTAATGCACTCGTAATCGCTGTATCTCCAGCTCTTTTAGTGCATCTCTCGCTCGGGACTTGATCTCGTTCTCAAGTGTGTGTTCGTCCGTTGAGTGGATAAAAAGAGATGAAGAAGAAGTGAAATAAAACAAATATACCGAATACCATGCATTTAACATACAACATAATGGCTCTCATGGCTCTCGCAGGGGCGCAGAGTCCATCGCAAGGGCCAGACACTGCGCCCAGAAGTGGTGTACAAGCTCGGACAATAATTTCTTCCAACCACTCTCGATGCAGAAAACCTAATCACAATCGCATTGAGACTCTCACGGTTAAGAAGAATACATTTTCTGACTATGTTTTTGATTCCTAACAACGTAATTTGTTGAG